TCCTTTTTATACTAATAATGCGCTATTTTAGTAGTGCTAATTATAAAAAGCTTATAAAAAATTATATTTAACTAGTATAATAAGCTTTTGCACTACTATTTAAAACTTAATTAGTATTTATAATTTTTTTATTTATAATTATTAAAATAATAAAAGTTTTAAGTACTATTTTGCGCTTTTAGTTATTAAAATTATATAATTAAATAAGTATTATAAGCATATTTTATTAAAAAAAAATTATTTTAACTTAGTATATTTTTAAGTTACTATAGCTAGCTTTTACTATTAAGTTGCTATAGCCTTTCTTTGCCTTAAGCAAGTTATTTTTTTATTTACTTTTATAATGAATTTTTTTAAAGTACTGCTTTTACAGCTAGGCATTATTTAAATAGTAGTAATAATAATTATTTATAGCGCTTACTAAGGCTTTTATATATATATATTTATTAGCCTAAAGCTTTTTGTAGTTTATGCACTACTTTATTTTACTTTTTATAATTTTTAAAAAAGCAGCAAGTATAATAGTATTAATTTTATTATTTATAAAGCGTTAGCGTTTTTTGCTAATAATATTAGTAGCTAGTTTATTAAAGTTTTTTAATTAATTTAAAAATATAATACTTAAGTTATTATAAAGCACGCTAATTTAATTATTAAATAAATTATTAAAATTATAGAAAAATTAAAAATTAACAAGCTATAGTAGTAATAAATATTTAGAATTAATTAAGCAGAATTAATTTTAAATACTATTTAGGTTATTCCTAAGAAATATAATAAATTAATAATTTATTAGTTTAGTTTTTAGAAAATATTAAAAAAGCGTGTATAAATAAATACTATTTATTATATAATATATAACGTATTACACGGGCGAGTTAGTCGCCTAGTTAAGTTAGTTATAATACTAAAACTCTACTAAAATTAGTATTATATATAATAGTATAGTACTATAAAAAACTATAGCAGTAAATTGTAATAAGCTAATTTATTTAAAAATTATTTTTATTTTTTACTTATATATTTGCGTATTATGCCTAGCTTTACTATAGTATTTATAGCACTTTTAAAAAAGTTTACCCGCTTTAGTATATACTTGCTTTTTTACTTTTTTTTTATTACTACGCGCTTTAAATTTTTTTAAAATTATTAATTAAAAATTATTTTTTATTATAAAAATTTTTTTTTTTATATTTACTTTTTTTTATGCAATTTTTATTACGTAGTAGCTTTATTAGCTATTTAAAATTTAGTAATTTTTTTTTATACTAATATAAGCTTGTGCATAACTATAGCTGCATTTTTTAAATTTTTTTTAAAAGCTTTAACTATTAAAGTAAAAAAACTATTTAAATACTTTTAAATTTTTATTTTAACTAGTATTAACTAAAATTTAAATTTTAAAATATTATTTAGTATTTTTAATTCTTAAAAATTATTTTTAATAGTAAGTAATAGTAAAATACGCAACTAGATATTAAGCTTTAATATTATAATTTTAAAATTAAAAAAAACTAAACTAGTACTTTTAAAGCTACTTAAAATATTGCTTTTTATAATAGTAGTATTAAAAGCTAGTTTAAAGTATAGTAAAAACTTAATTTTAATAATATAGTTAATGCTATTATATATTAGCTTTTTAGCTTAGTATTTATACACTTTTTTTAAAAGTGCAAAATAATTTATATTAAGTAGCTATAGGAGGTGCAAAAAATACAAAAGTATATAAAAAATAATAATTTTTTATTTTTTGCAGTACTGCTAAAATTAAACTAATATATAGCTTTTATAATTGTTAATAATAAATAAATAATAAATACTAATAATTTTCTTTTTAGTATGCTTGTTAAAATGCTTTAATTATTTAAAAGTAAATTTATTTATTATTTAGCTATTTTTAGAAACTGCAATAATTTAATTATAAAATAAACTATTTTCTTTATACTAAGTTAAAAAGTAGTTTTCGCCTATAAAAATAATAAAAAATAAAATAATTTATTTTATTATATTAATACTTTAAATTACTATTACTTACTTTTAATTACTTTGCTGCACTATCTTTGGCTATTTTTAATAATTAATATTTAAAATAATAATTTTATATAATATTTAGCCTATTATAAAGCCTATTTTATTAAAATTGTATATATTTTTATTTTAAATACTATATTTAGCTTTTATATTTTTTATAAGTTAAAACTAGCCTTGTATAAGCTTAAAATTTTTATATAAAAATTTTTAATAATTGTACTTTTAAAAAGTTTTAGTACTAAACTATAGATATTATTTAATAAATATGCTAGTTTAGTTTTTATTAATAAGTAGTTGCTTATATTTAGCTAGCAAAGTATTAATTATATTATTTATAGCAGCTAATTAAAGCAGAAATTTTTAGTTTTTAAAGTAAAATATATGCTAAGTAATTACTTTTTTTTTTATTAAAAAAAGCTTTATTTTATTAGGCCTAGTATTATATTATAAAGGCTTTTTTTTTAATTAATTACTAAATATTATTTAAAAAACGCTGTAAATCTACGCAGCTTTTAATTAGAAAAAATTTATATTACATTTTAAAGCCTAAACTATAAGCTATATTTAATTTTTTTTTTTAAAAAAATTATATATTATTGTGTTAAAGCATCGCATTTAATAATAAAAGACTACTAATTTTAGTAAAGTTTTAGCATTGTAACTAACTTAACTAAGCAACTAACTTGCCTGTGTAATATATTATTAAGTTTTTAAAATACTTTAATAGGTGTAATAAACTCTATAATTATTATTCTAATTATTAAAGCTAATAAGGCTTATAGTAGTTTAAAAGCTACACTGCTATTTTTTAGAAAATATAAAATAGTAGTTAATTATTTAAAAAAAAGCTAGAAATATAAAGCAATAGTAGTAAATTTAAATAATTTTTATTATTTAATAAAGTTTTAAAGTTTTTTAAGTTTAAGCTAAGTTAACTTATTAATAATACTAAAAGCTACTTTTATATTTAGTTTTGCTAGTAAAAGTAATTATTATTACTATTATAAAATAAGTAATTGTATAAACTGCTTTATAGTAAAAGTAGCAATTACTAAGTATTAATTTAGTATTTTAAGTACTATATTTACTCTACTATTTATATTAATAGCTTTTTATTTATTAATATATAATACTATAAGCAGAGTATTTTTTTGCTTAAAGAAAGTATATGCTTTAATACTTAAGTATTATTATAATTATTTATATTTAGTATGCTTTTATTTTACTTATTACTAAATAATTATTTATTATATTTTTATATTAATATTAGTAGTATTAGTAGTATTAGTAGTATTAATAGTATGTTTTTTATTATTAATATTAGATAATTTAGCAGGCTTTTTAAGTTTAATAATTTTTAAATTCTAGTTATTATATAAACGTTTAATTTAAAAAAAAAGAAATAACTAATTTACTACAACTAGTTATTTTAGCAATATATACTAAAAATTAATTAAAGTTAATATATAAATTAGCAGTATTATTTATTAAAATTTAAAAAATTTATAGTTAAAAAAGTGCTAAGTTTTGTATAAGGCGCTTTGCTTATTTTAATTAAAATAAAAATAATTTAAAAAATAATTTAAAAGTATTATTTAAAATTTACTTACAGCTTTATTTATAAAGCAAGAAATAATACTAAATAGTATAATAAAAATTATAAATTTTTTTTAGTAAATTTTTAATGCTTATTTAGTTAGTGCTTTTAGTATTAATAATAATTAAAGTAGTTTTTAGTAAAGTAAATTTAGATAGTTTTTTTTATAGGGTATTTAACGCTTTAAAATTATAAGCTATTTTATATATTAAAATATAATTTAAGCAGCATAAATTTTTTAAAATAAAAAAATAATACTACTTAAATTAAAAGGCTTAGAAAACTCTGCGTTGCTAATATAATACTTTTTTTTTAATTTTAAATAGTTTTAATTTTAAAAACTTAGTTTAAAGCTTTATTAAATTTATTTATAATATAATTTTACAAGTTATATAAAAAGGCCTATTATTATAAGCAATTTATTTTAGTATTTATATAAAGTATAGTTTCTAAAGTATAGTAACTTTTAAAATAAAGTAGTTTTAGCGCCTTTAAAAAAAAAAAATTTTAATTATATTTTTTTAATAGTATATTATAATTTTTAAGTACTGCGCTAGGCAGTTGCTATTATAATTTTTTTTAATAAAATTTTACTAGCTATAATATACTAGCTTAAAAGCTTTTAAAAAATAATAATTTTTAGTACTTTATAAAAGCAACTTTACTATTATTGCAGCTATTTCTAGCTTTTTTTAAAGCAATATAAATACTATAAATTAAGTAATAGCTTTTAAAAGCTTATATTGCATAAAAATAATAAGCTTTTATTAATTTAATTATTAGCTTTATATATATATGCACTAATATATATAAATAAGTAGTTAAATTTTTTTTTTTTTATAATTATTAAAAGTATAAATAAAACGTATAAAGCGCCGGGCTTATAATTTATTAAAAATAATAAAGTTTTATTAACTAATTACTATTAAAAGTGTATAGTTTTTTATTTATACCTAGTTTTCTGCTTACTAATACTAATTTGCTCTCTTATATTTCCACATTAGCAGTACTAAATTGTACAGAAAATAATTGATGCTCGAGAGCCAAAGGCGAACAACTGCCCAGTTTAATGTCTTTTCTACACCCAGAGACTGTCAGGTGCAGCAGAGAGAGCGGCCAATTTCGTTTTGTGGGATGTTCTTCTCGCAGGTGCTGTTGAAGGGAAGCGCGAATTTCAGACCATCTGGGTCTGTCCCCATGAAGCGAATGCAATCTTTATGGAATCGCTAATTCTTCACAGGATTTGCATGACCGCAAATACTATCCAAAGGGTAACGACCTAGATGCCACCCCCGAAGTCAAATGTGCTTACCAGGACCTTGAATCGAATGATTTAGAACGGGGGTTTAATGGCTGTCAAAGACTATATTTCATGTCAATGTCGAAAGCCATGGCGGCAGAATGCAGTGGTGAAGTTTTCTTGATGACCATGACAAACTTGGAAGATAAAAAACCTGTTCCGGAGGATGGGATTTGGTGGCAGGTTGAGTTTCCAACATTGATTGACGAAAATCGACCAGCAAACAAGAAAGTCACGAAAGTTAGTATATCACCATCACCTCCTCTCTGAACGCTTGCGCGACAATGGGAATTGACAAATATTGTAGATCACATACATCCAAGTGCCCGATCTTACAGCTGCGCAGTTCAAAATATTGCAAGACTTACCAGACGATGAGAAAACACCCCCCGAGGAAATAGGACGGGGAGAGTACTGGCCTATGAGGCCTGGAAAGGAACAGTTAGACGAATCCAAAGCTCTAGCTGGCAAGCAAGGTGATTCACAGCAGAAGCGCAGCCCTACTACCAGCGATAACCACGAGGATTCGCAGCAGAAGCGCAGCCCTTCTTCCATCGGGTTTGTTAAGAGAGCAGATCGTTCGGATACTCCAGTTTGCGCGTATGGCGAAGAATGCTACCCCTACCCCTACCCCATCAAGGACATGTACGAGTGGTATAAGGATGTGGCCTGGTAGAGGCTGGGGACAACAAATATGGGCCTGGTGGGAGAGAGAGAAGATTAAGTTGTAAAGCTCGGAAATTTATGAACAACTGTCTTTTAAGATAATTTTCATGTTAACTCGGCTGGCTGGATCCACTAGCGTGTTGTCTACCTTGAAAAATTTCTAAACTTATTATTTACCCTGGTCATCTATGATTGATTGATTTTCGCCCCGCCGTGCATTTAAATTCCTCGTAACGCGTAATGCGTCGGTTCGTTCCTACCTGAGGACACTAGTTGATATGATCCTTCCTATGCTCTACGATGCCCCCTGACATCACGCGAGGCTGGGCTTGGCCCTGTATTACGTTTAGGAATTGTTATTTGAACCAAGCTGCGATTCATCACTGGGAGTACCACTGTGTTGCTCACCGTACGATATTAGCATGAGCATATATTTTAGCCTCGAGGGAATATGAAAACGATGATAATTCGAAAGGCTCATGACTATAGATATAGGTCTATTTCACTATAAAATTACTCCACCCACGACTGAGAGGGACAGTGATGTCGTAGTCCCCGGTATGTAATCAGCAGTTTCTAGCGCCACATGCAGTGTCAGGTCAGGCCTACACTTAATTGCAGGCCCGATATGGCACCCTACAATCGATCTTATATAAAACAAGGGCTCCAGCACGACTAGAGCCGTTATTCAACCTTATGGTCAAAAGTAAGTTCTTCTAAACATATTTCGGAGGCGTCTGGGTACGCCGGTGGTCGAACTGCGATCATAAATCGATGTCTTTCTTCTCATGTCAAGGATGATAGAGCCGTAAATCAAGCTACAGACTTCCAGTCAAATGAAAAGCTCATGTGAATGAGACAAACTTGGCGTCGTAAATCTTGTCCCGGGCGCTCTGCAAGTTGTAGATACGGTGTTGCAACAATCAACGTTACCGTATCTATATTCCCATCATGTAATTACGCTCTTCGCGGCCTAGGTTCTTCCACTGCCCGTATTCAACCTTGAAGGTCTTTCCATTGTTGCGATCGATGGAAGCCTGGCGAAGGAGCTTATATATATAGCCAGGAACCTCCTTAGAAGGCATCTTGTCGGCAAGGACCGCGCCTTGAGAGATGAGGTACTGTATCACTGCGACGTGGCCATGGTAGACAGCTACATCTAGGGTGATGATGGAACCGCGAGAGTACCTCGGGATATTAGAGCTGACTAGGGCATTGATTTTGACTCTTCCAGTATCGACCAGGGCTCGAACGGAGTCCGCATAGCTGGACCGGACCGCGATATGGAGCGGATTCTGAGCAGAAGATCCATGTGTAAGTTGGAGAGATGTCAGCCTGAAAGCAGCGGAGACGAGATCATAGTCGCCAGTCTCGCAAATCCAACCCATGAGAGGAAATCGAATTTTGAACCAGGAGTTGCAAGGCATCTTAGCCAGAGCGTGCACCATCGCCACGTTGCCCTGATCTACGGCAGCCTCCAGCCAGTCGTTGAGTTCGCTATCTTCCACACAGCGGATATACTTCGTGTACAGCTGAAGAAGAACGGTGGTCATATTTAGTTGATTGTAGCTAATCGCACAAAGCATCGCTTTATGGACTGGAAAGGCATTGTTTTGGCTGGACTGGAAGAGGATATTCCTTCGTTGGATGTTACTCTGTTGGTTAAGGCGGGGAGAGTCGAGATGTTGAACCATGATGTTGAGAAGGTGCTGATCACCGAGCTTAAACACATTAATCAACGGTGTACCATAGACGATGCTAACTCCATTATCGGGAAATTCTCGTAGCTGGTACGCAACGATGTGATACCGTCGGGCAGACATGGCGGCAGCGAGCTCGGCAGGGGCTCCAAGGCGGTCAAATCCATCCCACCAACTCTTGCGATTAGGCGAGTAATAGTCGCGACGCATTATTGCGAGTGAGATATTGTATTCGCCAATGATGATGGCAAGGCCCGCGCACAAATCATGAATGAGCGTCTTCCAATCCAAAGTTAGGTCACCCAGCGCGCCTACCAGGAAGTTTACCAACCGCTCGATCTGGTTGATGAAGTTTTGGTTGAAGTCATGTCGAGCGGCCCGAGGTTTGGCAATCACGAAGTGACTGAGGCGCTTCGTCAAATCTATTCGGTCTCTCGGGTCCTGAAAAGTTTGCTGAGGTTGAAGGCAAAAGATGTTCTCGGAAATTTCTCCAACAAGGTAACCTGATCAAGTTAGCCAGCATATAGGGTGGGATCACCGCTATACGTACGACAGACACTGCGCAGCTTCGAAGCTCTGCGCACACCGGAACCGGCAACTATCTAGCGGACGATCTGTTGGAGGATCTCCGGAGGTAAGTCTAAAAGATGCACCATGTAGGAGGCTGGTAGCGAGTTGATTGTGGAACCATTAGATTTTGTAGATTCAAAAACATTAGCTCTTCTACTTTCTAACCCATTGATTAAGTGAAAGATTTCTGGTGTTTGCCGAGTTGATAGGTGCGGCAGGTCTAGTAGATCTAGATTTTAGTGTCGGCCGTTCTCACAAAAGAGGGGAGCATGTAAAACCATACCGAAACCAGAGGTCTTGCGAGGAGAACCGCCGCCGAAGTGGACGAAGAGCGGCACGAGGAGGCCCTATAACACGATTGGCTAGTAGATCTGTACTCTTATCAAAGCTCAAACGCTGCTCGGGTTGAAGGGCTGGAGATTTTGCGATGGTGACTAGCCGATGGAGACGATTTGAGGTCATATATATATGCCAATGGGGAAAGGAAAAGGCTGCGCTACTAAGCAACGCTAGGGTCAGTCCAAGAGCAAGCTACCACGTTGCTAGCCGCGTTGTAATTTCCGATCTTTTGGGTGAAAGGGATACCTTCACAGATGTAAACATGCACAGAATGATAAACTAAGAATCTCGCAATTAAGGCTAGTAGAACTCAAAATACCGACGCAGGATGCCCATTAGGAGAGAGATTACTGTACAAAAAAGCCTCGCTTAGACGAACTTGACTAGAGGCACTTTGAGCCACCTGACGTCATGTTCTCAAGAGCGAAAGAAGATCCGAAGGCGATATGCTAGCCTCACCTCAGCGATCAGCGATACATTGTTCGGAAACTTAGTACTCCAACGCCTGCATGTCTGCCTTGCTCATATCCTTGAACTGCCACAACTCGGGCAATTTTGCATTGGTTTTCTTGTGAACACTCTCACGGAGGAGATTATACATGCGCCTGTGCGTCGGCCACGTCGAGATGTGAGGCACGATCGACCCAGCATCAATGAGCACTTTAGCAACGTCGACCTTTCGTCTGTAGATGGCAACTTCGAGCGCCGTCAAGTCACGTTTGACCAGGGTTGGAATGTTAGATGCAACAGAAATGCTGATATCGGCTCCTGAATCTAGGGCGGCGCTGACAGCGTGGTGGTTTCCTGAGCGGACAGCGATGAAAAGTGGGAGGGTAAGGATTGAGCCAGTGTTGATATCAGTGTTCCAATGTGCTAGTATGCTATTGACCATAGCGCGAGAGCCGAATTCGCACACCGAGATTAGTGTCCGACGAGTGACGTGGGACTTGCCTCTGGGCTTGTAGTTGAGAATGGGCGTGAGAAAGTCGTGTGGGCTGTGTCTACCCTCGATGACGGCGACTTCGACCAATGAGGCCCACTTCTTCGGACCCATATTAGGCATATTCTTGCTGTAAAATCCTAGTAGGGTCTTAGTAGCATGGAGGTTTCCTTTGTAAATGGCTCTAGAGATGCCTTGGGAGATATTGAAGCCGGTGTTGCCATTTAAGGCGAGTTCAAAGAAGCGATCAAGGTCGGGCAACTTGAGTGATTCTAGGTACTGCAGAATCGGCTCCAATAGCGTCTCCCCACTTAGTGCTATAGCCATATTGAGAGAACTGAACTCAAGAAAATGTAACTTTCTGTTATTGCCAAGCTCCGGAAACATTTTCGGTATGAGGTGGTATTCTTCCACGGCGAACGCTGCAGATGCCTTGTCGTGTGCGTCAAGCTCCTGATACGTCCACGTTTTACATACGTAGTCATACGGCTGAGGAGGATCGTTTCGAGCTCGAAGTCCACCAAGAATAATGTATTCGTTCGACAACCCACTGATCCCCTTACAAAATTTGGTGGTGATCTCTTCACGCTGTTGACGATCTTTCGCCCCCAGTTCCTCAAACAGATATTCGATCAAGATCTTGATCTTAGCAAGAAAATCCAGATCAGCATCAAGTGGTACATGAAGCCGGTTGAGCAGATATCGGTCGAAGAATCTCACCAGAATCCGGGTTTGAGTATAGTTAACGAAGTCTGCCAACGGACGCTTTGCTAGGATCTCGTGCCCGATATATGTGGCAAATGTTCGAGAAATACTTCGCAGATTCCATGCGCGTCGGATTCCGATAACATCGACCAGATCGTGTGTTACTTGTTGGAACAGCTCGGGGGGCAAATCTTGAAGATACATGAGGCTTTAAGTCGAAAGTCGCTGAGCAGCTGTTTATGATTGATGGATATGATGAACTTGGCGTACGATCCGTGGTCGGTGCCTTACGTAATAGCGTGCAAGGATGATGTTCACGGTTGTTTTTGCGAGGATGTGGTAACGTAAGTAGCAGTCGTAGATACCCTTTTGTTGGTTGAGGAGGAATTCTTTTTCGTTGGGTATGGACAGTAAGAAGTTGCGAGGGCAAGAACAGATATTGATGACGGGCTTAGAGGGGGGTGCTAGTAGAGGCAGGTGCAACTGTAGAGGTTGGCGGGGTAACAATTCACGAATCGGTCACGAACAACCGCGGGTGACGGTGAAAGAGAATGCGCCATTTCCAACGCGCCCAGCATAGTCTGAATACCTTTCATTCGAGCTCTGAAACCCATTCGTGTCGCATTATTGCTCAAGGTCCGCACTGCCTCGTCACTGGGAAATACGGCATCCACAACTGCTGCAAGAAAATAGTTTCTCAGATCTAACGGAGTTTGGGCTGCATCAGTATTGCATTCATTCCAGGAGGTATTTTCAACTTCAAAAGACGTGATTTAACTCAAGACAAACACGAGTCAGATCTGAAACCTATATCTCATTCACTCTCGCTAACGGCTACTCGGACTGTGAGCCTGCAGCTAGCTGTCTTGGCAACCTCAGTAACGTGCCGCCCCAACCGCTGCTGATTACTCCCTACCTGATCACTCTATTACATATAAACAACTTTCACTCTCTCAATCACCGCCCCAACGAGGACCAGCCTACACAAACGCGCACCACAACTGGGATATCTCTTCCAGCCATCGGCTACTACATCACCTCAGTTATGACGAGTCTTCTTGACCTTCCCCCAGAGCTGTTTCAGCAGGTCGCCCATGAGTTGGTAAAAGTTGCGGGGCCGAGAGAAGCATGGGAACTGCGGAAAGTGTGCCGTACCTTTGCTGCCGAGATCGAGCACGACGTTTTCACCAAACATCCCAACAGTATGCTCTCAGGTCGCAATCACATGGTCCTCACGAATAGTCTTTCGCGCTTTATCATGAAGCGTATGGATGCTCCACGCGGCGCTAACGAGCAGATACTCAAGAAAATTAGCAGCATGGTCGACTTTCTCGCCACTGAGATCGGGTTCACAACCCATCAAGAACGAATACTTTATACGGAGGAACTTCTCGATGGCCTGAAGAAGATGTGGATTGGGGGACCTCGCAGACTCGCCAACGACGTCTTGTGCACGAGCAAAACACCTTGCGCCTGTTCTTCGTATAGTTGGCGGAACGTGGCCGATCTCAACATCTACGATAAACTGTCAGCTTCCATTGCAGTGAAGGGTTACGACGTCATCGAGAAACTGTTACCGATGTTGCCGCCCGAAACCGACGATCGAAACATATTCTTAGAGTGCAAACCTCTGCAACTTGCCGTGAATGAACACGATAGATTGTTGCTCGGAGTTATTCTTGCTTTCCTGAAGACACTCAATCTCAGGGGACATCGTAGAGTATTCGAAAATTTTATCGGGCCCTCATACGATTTCGCTCCTCTTTTCCCTATGCACAGCGTCATCGCCACGACGATCACAAAGGAAGACGCCGAAACAACCAAAATTCTTCTCGACTTCTACGCTGAAAACCTACCGAAGCTTGGTCAACATACGTTTGATCACTTGGCCTACATCGCGATAATTCATAGCAACGATAAGGTGTTATCACATTTGTTGGAATACAGCCCCGGGGGCACCTCGATGGTCACTGCTCGAAGAACACTCTCAGACGCATGTGAAATCAGTAACGTCTCCAGTATTCAAATGGTTCTTCGCCATCTTCCTTCCGATATTAACGAAGGCAGCATCTTGACTCTGCCGCTCTTCATCGCCGTGCGCTCTAGACAGGTCGTCGCTGTTCAGACTGTGTTGGACCTTGGCGCTGAGATAAACATCTTGGTCAAATCCAATCTCCCATCTATCCCGAAGGACCTAGTGACGCCCATTGATGTCGCGATTCATCGAAAGGAACTGCCAGTTATTCAATGTCTTATCGAAAATGGCGCCAAAGTCCCTCATATCAGTGAATGGCCAGAACACAAGAAGACTTATAATCTTCTACGGAATGTTGAAATGAATCGAAGTGGCATTTCTCTTCCTACACAGTTGCAACACAAATTCATGACACCAAAAGAGCTCATGGCGCTAGAGTACTAGGCTAGCTACTCGCCCGTCCTTGTAGCTTAACCCTCAAATTCTCAAAGTTCTCAAAGTCTCCTCAACGTACGCGTTTAATTTCTTCTGCCTAAAGTAGTCTAGCAGCAGCTTTTAACTATAGTTTCCTAACTAGCTTATTTTAATAAAAATAATACTTTAGTTACTTAATTTCTGCTCTTGCATCTAACTAAATACTAATTTTAAAATTTTTTTATTTTTTTAAAGCAATTTAATTTTTTACTTAGACTTTTACTATTGCTTTAGCGCTTATAGCCTATATAGCCTATACAACTATACTTTTAGTATTTTTTTAAAATTTTTAAAAAAGTTTATATAGCTATAGTTTTCTATAGTTTTAGTTTTAGTAATTAGTTTTTAAAGTAGCTAGTAAAAAGCAGCTACTTTAGCTACTTTAATAAGCTTAATACTTAGCATAGCTTTTATTATTAGTAAATAAATATAAAAAAATAAAAGCTTTTTACTTATTATATAATTTTAATAAAAAAAAGTAAGCTATACTAAAGCTACGTTTTTTTTTATTTCTTTAAGCTGCTAAGCTTTTTTTATAATAAAATTATTAAAAAAAAGGCTTTTAAAGTTTTAGTTAAAGCAGGTTTAAAAAGTTAATACTAAAGTAAGTAAAAAAAAAAAGAATTTGTTTTGCTATTATATATTAAAAGTGCAGTAGACAGAAGCTAAAAACTATAAAGTAAAAAAGTTTTATATAAGCTTAAAAAGCAAGTAATTCTTTTTATACTTAAACTATTAAATATAATTAAATCTTGCATTAGACTTATTAGAAAATTAATATTTAGTACTATAGAAGAATAATAATAAGGTTTAGAACTATAGTTAGCAACTATTTTAATTTATTTTAAAAAAATTAATATAATTATAAATATTTCTGTACTTAAAGTATTTTTACAGAACTAGTAATAGCTTAATTAGGGTGTAGGCGCTTTGAAAATCTTCTTAACCCTCAAAGGCCTCCTGCAACAGGAACATCAGTACATTTCTGCATACTGTTACTTACGCTTTGCTGAGTGCATACCGAGATCCCACCGAACGTATAGCTTTCACATGATCGCACGGTTCGCCGTTTTTACTTTCTTCTACCCGCATAGTAAGACGCATAGTAAGACTTCTGGTCGTAGAATAAACCGCGAGCGTCCCGTTGAAATAGAGATATTTATCCCTTTCCATGATCAAATCCAATCTCTTCTATTTCGTCCAAAGCTCACTGGTTGTCCAAGATTATGTATCAAGGCTACTTGTAATCCTTGTTGTGTAGTCGCTCTTCCTTAGTTAGCTCCATCATGTCAACATCTTGATACTGTGATATTAATCTGATCAGGAATCATTGTTAAGGCATGATATAGGGAGTGATAGGATATAATAGAAGGAGTACCAGTTGATAATCAGGTAAAATACTAGATGCTTAATTCGGTTTTGCTGGCTCGTAGTAAAAATGACGACTTGATAAGCCGGTATCGGAGGAGATCTCATGAATAGCTGGAAGGCCAGAGACTGCCGCTAGCAGGCGATATGGCAGCTCGAAAACTAGGACATTGCCACAAAATATGCAGATTAGAGCGCCGTTGGTGCCGTTGGTGAGTGCTTGACGTTGGTGGAATTGCCACTTCCCGATATCGATGGCGCGGGCTTGGTCGATCGACGAAGGCATTGCGTGTAATTTATCGGTATTCGAGCAAAGTAAAGCTATTCGCGGTCCCGAGATTAACTTCTGGGGAAAGATGAGGTATTCTGATTTTCGCATTATCTGTTTGCCGTAGATTTATGGGGCTTTTCTTATGATAGAGCACGGGAGCTTCTCTTCACCTGCCTTCACAGCACAGTTCCCCTGATTAGATAATGCCCACGGCCAGCATGGCGGAAGAGGACTATGTTTGAAAAATGAGCTAATTATACTATAGTGTATTCTAACGACAGTAAGCTTAAGAAGCAAAGTTCAAGACCGTCACGCTTCCTCCTCAGATGAGCCTTCACGTTTCGGAAACTTTACAGAGAGTATCTACGTATATTCGCCCGTATGCGACATGATAATGCCAATATATGGAGACAATAGATGGTGTCTTATACAACATCCAAGTTTCTACTCCACAGAAACAGGACATACTCGCGTTATTCAACATGGGTAAGTAAGTATTCTGCACAACGTGTGTACGAGCAAGGTGAGCCACGGAAGAAGCGACTCTGTGCGCAACAGAGGGGAGAGCACACAAGTCTGCACGTGCAAAAGCAGATTTTAAGAGACCTATAAAGGATGGCTAAAAGAGAGAGAGAGAGACCTAATCGCCATTGAATGCCAAATCCCTGGGCATGAGCCATGCAATAAGACTGCGCCCCACTGCCGCAAACTCCGACATATTTCCCACGACTCATTACTACCACAATTATCGAAAACATATTACCGATGGACATGCCAGGAAAACGAATTTTCTAGACCGCTACACGATTTGAGAAAGTATTATAGTGTACACTAGCCTCCGCGCCGTGGTCAGCGCGCTTCTTTTCCAGCATTGGCACCTTATCCTGAGCTTCCTTCATCTTCTGCTCCCCTACACCGCCCGGAAATGTCTCCTAAAAGAGGTCATGGCTAATATGTACCATAACCAACTAACCAGCCTTGATCGGGATACGGATGCCCAGGTACTTGTATGCATAACGGGCCTCTGCAAAGGTAAAAACCTTGATACCGTTAGGCTTTTTCTCGCGATAGGAGATACGAGCCGCCTTCTCCTTAGCCTCTTCTCCTGCCTTTGTCTTTGCAGTAGCAGCCTTCTTTTCCTGCTTCAATGTGGCGACCTTTGCAACATGCTCTTGCTTGATGCGGTCTGCTTTCTCTGCTTTGCCCTCGCGTTTCTCAAAGTCAGCTACGCGGGCGGCTTTGAGCTCAAACTTAGAAAACCATTCGTCGATAGCAGTACCCAGACGAGGGTTAGTGGGTAGGTAGTGTGTCTTGAAATCATCGCCATTCTCGAAGTTCTTCTCCCACAACTTCTTCGCAATGGTATAAGCTATCTGGCCGAAGAGCTTGTTACCCTGCGGCGTACGGATGCTTGTGATAGCGTTGATGTTTGCAGCGTTCGGCACGACCGAATTTACGCGCTTAAAGTATGTGTCGAAGATACGCTGGGTGAACGTACCCATACCGAGAGCATCTGCTGCAGAGCAAAGACACACGTCCCGGAACGTATCGTTTGTGGCCGCCAACTCATTCACACGAGGAAGAGAAGGCAACAAATTGATACAGCCAATCAAAAATTTAACTGTACCCAAATCAACATACTCGGGCACGGTGACCTGACCCGCAACCAGAAGCTCTGGCTTTGAAGAGACCGCTTGGAACAAGGCAAGTGGCATGTTTACCACATTCTTTCCCTCTAAGATGGCTTGACCCTGGTGATCGACGAACTGGACTACGTCACCCCAGGTCAGCCATGCACGGCCCTTATGACCCATGGAACGGACGTGTGGGAGGCCGCCGGTAACGTTCTGCTGAGTAGATGCACTCTGGATTGCAGAGACAGCAGTGGCTGTGTCACCATCGTTGCCCGGGGCAGTCGATGAATTAGTAGTGGGAGTCATCGTTTCAGGACTATGGAGATCTGCCGATGGAGTGGACGTAGCGGAAGTCGAGCGATTCTGTGGTGTCGGAATAGAGTTCGAAGGTGGCTGGCTGGAGATAGGTTTTGAACATAGAAGCTAGTTGAGAGTCGATGTTTTGTGGTGGGAGAGATAAAATGAGGCCAGACCGAGCTTTTTACAACTTTTTATTCTCTGCACTAATGTCTTGGCAGTGAATGAATGCTGTTGTCCGCACACTATGCTTCGTTGCCCTAACTAAGTTTCACTCACAATGGTAAAACTTGGCATTAGAGGTTTAATTGGTAGGAATTCCGCATCTTCACCCCAAGAAAGTCTCTCAACGGAAATGCTACTTGAAAATTGGACGCAGCATTGTGTATATAGGACTCGATTATGACAATATAATGTTCTCTAAAACGACAATTTTTGTGAAAGGATACATCGAGGGTTTCGATTACTATTTATAGAGAGGTCAGTAAAACTGATTGTTACCCAGCAACTACTAATATACCTGAGAAAACCCGTTTCCGCAGGCTTCGGTAGCTAATTTTGAAAACCTGAAGTTAGTATAGTCATAACAATGATTTGGGTATAGGGTTTCGAGCCGCAAGATACGGACTGATACGAATTTAAAAGAAAAGTTTATCTACAGGCTACCTAGCGTTCTAATATAGGTAGGGAGAGGCAGGTGTTTGCTATTTCTGAGGCAATGGGTACACACAAGTTTGAAAAGAGCTAATACAATTAAATGTTTATAAACCTTGTTATAACCAAGACCCAACTGTTCCTGAACGGAGGAAGGGAGCAAGATAAAACAAGCGCAAAACTACATCAATAAGTCCCCCTGCAGTTGACAGATCATCATATGCGATCCAAAAAGCAAGTCTCATACCTTCTCAGAGAGACTTTCAATGCTTCGATCAGTCTAGATGGGCACTCGCTTACCATACATGATGTAGTGCATACGCGCCTCCTCGTGGGTGAGCTTCTCGCCAGTGCGCTTCTTCTTGATTATGCGCTCACGAAGCTCAATCTCCTTCTTTTGCTTTGCCTCACTAGTAGCCTTATCTTGGGCAGCTTTCTTGGCCTTGCGAACCTTCTCTTTAGCCTCCAACTCCTTATAGTGCTGATCTTCCTCCTCTTGACGAATCTTTGCAAGACGGGCAGTATCAGTGCGGCGAGCCGCATTCTCCCAGATCTTGAACAGATTATTGACCGAGTTCGCGAGGGGAGCGTTCGTAGCGAGCTCATAATCGAAGACTGCGGGGTTGGGGATCGCTTCGTTCCAAGCCAGAGTAGCCAGGTCGTAAGCGACGTCCTTCAGAAATTTGCGTCCAAGAGCGTTCTCGACCTTTGATATGCCTAAGAGATGCTCATATGCAAGAGAATGATCTTTTAAGGGATAGTAGTACTCGTTAAAGATGTTTTGGGTGTACTTTCGCATGCCCATGACCTCAGCCACAAAGCAAAGGTGGAAGTCACGGAAAGCGTTCTTGAGACCAGCCACCTCGTCCTCGGCCAGCTTGTTCAGTTCTTGAATGAGCCATTTGACAGCTTGCTCGTGAATTGCATCATGAATCGTGTCTGGAAGATGGATCTGGCCATTGGAGTAGAGCTCTGGCTTAGTTGATGCAGCTTTGAATACGGCGAGACGCATCTTAGTCACAACTTCTCCAGCGACGTTAACAATGTTAACAACTATACCTACGTCCAAACTATTGCACATCTTCTGGCTCAAATTGTGGATGTTTTTCGACTTGTTGTTGCGGCGAGTTGCCTCATCCTGGCGCGAGGGGATTTTGTCCGTAGAGGTCATTGTGGTGATATGGAGTAGATTGAGTTTTGGTTGAAAGGGTTTGGGAGGAAATCAGAGAAAGAGAGCTACAGGAGGTTTTATTACGAGGGAAGGACCTGCACATTGTGCGCCTACACTTTTGAGCCCACACTTTGTGAGTACACAATTCCTCGCAAAATTGGTATTGCCGTGGTCACATGTGTTCTTTCCTGATGATAATATCGTCTCTAGTAGTAACGTTAGGTATCCGATGGGCAAACTGAAATACCTCGGATTACTAGAAGAAAGTTAAAAGTTGCTTGCCGCAAGATTTTATTTGGCATGGCGAGGAATCAGTGCGTGCTGTGTCAAACTCAAGTTTCATTAGGTAGTGCAACAGAATGACCTGTACGAGCGGGCTTCGATTAGACTAGATTCTTCTCTCTAATTTCGAGGGAAGCGAATACTCAAGACTTTAGGGTTCTGCTAATCTGGGGAATCCTCAACACGTCATCATGAGAGATGATCGGTGCCAGGGGTTCATGTGTCAAACATGAGTTTGGAAGCTTCCGTCTTTTCACGCACACAATTTGAAGATTCCATAGTCAAACTGTTCAAAATCATGAACCGATTTTTACATAAACATGTAAACTAGGAATACAGTTGCAGTGTGAGATATTGAGTGGAAGATAAGTCAAGCGGGCATTGTTGTGGGAAATAGTTAGAAATTCTTTGAGGAACGCCTACACCCCGGAAGATTCATTGTGCTAGTCTATGGTGGTTAAAGGAACGCTCGGTGGACTAAAGACCTCCATGAAAATATACCAAAATTATTGTGGTTTGCAGGTGAGAACCTCATGTTCCTCTGAGATGTCGATGTTGTTAATCAGATCTAGACGGGAACACGTTTGCAAAACATCAAGTAATGCATGGCCGCTTCCTGGCGAGTAAGCTTCTCCCCCGAACGCTTCTTTTCAATAACACGTGCACGAACCTCGGCGTCCTTGTGCTTCAGATCAGTCCACTTCTTCTTGTCTTTGGCCAAGTGCTCCTTTGTAACAGCAGCGTCGCGCTTCTCGTGCTCCTTCTCAAGCCGATCAGCTTCCTTCTCTTGACAGCGGTGCTCTTCTAGACGAGCCTGATATCGAGCTGCAGCCTCTCGCTTGGCGTATAAATCTTTGACAATTGCGGCGAGCCGGGTGTCCGTGACGAGATAGGTATTGAAAGCTGTAACATTGGGATGTTCACCATCCCAAGCTAGCTTCGCAAGACGATAGCCGACTGTATTGAACAGCTTATCCCCAAGTGGAGTGTTGACTTTGCCGATAGCCTTAACATCGTCAGGAGTAGGGACTGTTGTCTGCAAGCGGTAGTAATATCCATTGAAGATATACTGGGTATATTGGCGCATACCAAGGTCATCGGCAACAGAGCAGAGATGCAAGTTAAGCTCCATGTTCTTCGTGAAAGGGACTTCGCGAACGTATTTCTCGGACGCGAGATTGTTCATATGTGTGAGGAAAAACTTCACGGCGTCGGATTTGGCGTGTTTGGGAAGCTGAACTTCATGAGAGCCGTTGTCACGTGTGACGACAAGCTCTTTGTTCGAAGTAGCAGCATTGAAGAGGGCAAATGGCATGTCTGCGTCGAGTATGGTACCATCGGCCTTTCGAAATTGAACGATGGGGCCCTTCATGAGGTCTATTCGCTGCTTGAGCGGTAGGCCACGGACCCCAGTTGGTCGACGAGACATATGGCCTTTGGATTCCCCAGCTCCATCGACTTTAACAGCAGGGAGCATATCGATCCACTTAGTGGTCGGAATTTTGGTGTTATGAAAAGCCATGTGGCTGGTGATTGGTGGAGAACGTGATAGGGTATGAACGGTTCGGATGGTTGATAATTTCAAATCGTCAGTGGAGGTTGTTGAGTTATGGGTTATGCTTTGTGGGTCTGATTAAAAAAGGGAAGAGGAGGCGGGAGCGGGACGAGACTTATACTCGAAGGGGACTGCACTAGTAGCCTCCTCGTAAATTCACAATGGTCAACCTTGTTACTTTTTGTGTCGCAGTAACGTACCGTTCATTGTGTTGCAACACCACTTTTACAATTTCCAGAGAGCTCTCTGAGCTTTACACCTTCATTTCTTCTCTCAGAGGCGGTATAAGGACGATTTCGCTGTAGACATGTCCGTTGCGACCGAAACCAGTACTTGAGCAGCGTGAAACATCTACATAGCTTGTTTTCAGCTCATGACCTGTCATTCACTCGGACTCTGACACCTTGGGTGTAGTTCTTACAATGTATAAATTCGTGGGTGGTAGGTGCAGTTACATGATTGCCATAATGAGTTGCATTCATTGTTGCAATACCGCTTGTGCGATTCATAGAAAGCTCTGGCTGAGCTTTAAAACTCCAGTTCTCTTGTATATACAATGTATAGCAAGCTTATCGCATCATGTTTGAGAACCCGCGTACTATTTGAGCAACTCGGCCCTCGTCTTTCCTTCCAGCCCCTTCATAGAACTTGTCTTTGTAACAAAAACATATTAACGCCGAACACTGCACTCCATTTCCACTCGGCCACCTGTACAGTAATCGGCTCATCTACGAGACTGCATTAATCAGTCTAACAACCCTTCGGTGGCTGTTTACCCTTGGTGCGTAGCCAGTGCATGCGCTCTTCCGACGTAAATTTTCGGTCCTTTGGAATGGTTTCTAAAGCCTTTTTCTGGCAAGAGATCTCGAGAGTCGCAGCCTTAGCTTTCTTTTCGTCCCAGAACGCTTTATTACGGGCGTCTTCCATCTTCTGGCGCTCGTCGTCGCGCGTCTTCTGTTCATCTTGACGAGCACGAGCCTGCACAAGACGAATGCGGCGCTCCTCGCGCTCAGCCTGGCGGAGCAGATTGGTAGCGTACTTCTCGTTGACTTCTTTGATAGTGGCATCGAGAATTGGGTTCAGCATGAGATAGGCATTGAACTCTTCGACATCAGGTATCGTATCATCCCGAACGTGGACCGCGAGATCGTTGACAACAATACTGAACAGCCGCTCATGATGTTTCGAAAATGCAATGATTGCGTCGAGGTTCTCATACGTGGGTAGACCCTTGCGAAGAAGTGCCTCGCACCTCTTGTAGATGTGGTCTACGTAACGACTCATCCCGAGAAGATTCGCAGCAGCGCAAATGCTCAGAGATTCCAACATCGTCATGTTCTTGGACAACTGATTTGGCTTGTGTTTAAACTTAATCACTGCCTCGAGGTGGTTGACAATTTGAATAACACCACCTATGTCAGTATCGTCGGGTAGCTTGACATCGCCATTCCTAAGAATTACGGCAGCGATCTCAGAAGTCGCGCGAAATAAGGGCCTCGAAATATCGGTGATGAGCACATCTCCCGCAAAGATCCGAATGCGATTTCCCTTGGAGACCAATTTCTGGCGGTCTCCATATGACCAGCTGAGGATGTCGATATCCTTAACGGGGATAGCAGAGAGAATCTTCCTACCAGCTTTCTTAGGCTCTTTCAAGTCTCCGAAGACTGTGTCCCAGACGGTCATACTTGAGTTCTTGGGGGCGGCAGCAGCACGAGCTAATGGGCCTGACGTCATTTTGCTGCTGAGGTATCAGCGGCTTTTGTATATTATGTTGGACGATTAAGGATACTTACTAGATTTAGACTATATATGATAAATTGTCGTGTAGCGAGGAGGTAGTTGACTTGACACCCGCGCTTGTTTGTTGACCTTTTTCCTCAATAGTTGAATCGAATTGGGGATGTTGTAGGCTAGTGAAACCGCTGGTGACACACAGCGAATGGAACTTGCTTCAGGCGCCGTGGGTACCATACATGAGGGTGTCAAGACTGATTCACCAAGGCTTGTGGTGGCCTGTGCGTGTGTGTGCGTGTGTGTGCGTGTGTGTGTGTGTGTGTGTTTGTGGGTCGGCGCTAGACCACGGAGTCGAGAGGTTGATCGAGTCTTCGGGGTTGAGGTTCACGCAGTTGGCCAGCTGGTATTGATTGTCAGAGAATCTAGTAGGGGATGGTCTTATATGAGAGCGGGGCGGTGAGAAGCCCTGTCATGTTTTGCTTCCAGTGAAATGACCCATTAGCGTTAGCTATCTTATTCGCGCACGTATGCCCTTTCACTACTACATAAGATCAGACCTCGTTAGGACTTTGCGATTAACCACCACTGGCGTTCAAGGCATTGCGCATGGCGGTATCTCCCCGAGTGTATCATCTTAACGATCTTTCCGTTTCTCTAAGCGTACGTTAAAGGTGGTGTCATTCCTCTCCTATCAGTGAGTAGCTGGAGAACGGCGGCCTGGAACGCAATTGATTGTTGATATTATATTTATAAGGACAATATTGGCCCGTGTACTTGATAGACGTCAAATATAGACAAATTATAACTTCAGTTTGATAACCAGACTGGAAGGTAACTATACATCTATCCGCCACCAGCAGCTCCATTTGGTAACTTCAATCCAATGGGTAGTCCCTTGATGTAATGGCCGCTATACCTCTGGCCCCGTCTGCGGGCGAGCGCTTCCTTGACATCCTCATACATGTCGTATCTAGGCCAACATGTAAGCTGGATAAGAAGAATTTGAAGGGTACTGCTCTGTAAACTCACGCGTTCATCTCCTCGATGGTCAATTTCCTTTTCTCATCTTCGACCTTGTAATTGGGGTTATCCGTGTTGTTTGAGAATCCTTGCACGGGACATCAGTATAAGAAAGACATATGAAGTATGCGGATTAAGGTACCTATTCTTTCATTGATGTTGTATGCCGCTTTCGCCGCAGCGGTCTGAACGCGGGTTACACGCGGGAGTCGGATCTCCTCATAGACCGCGAGAGTTTCAGCAACATTTCCGTTGAAGAACGGTTTACTGAATAGGATCCCGAATGCCGCGGCATCTTCGATGGCCATGCAGGCACCTTGGCTTTGATGAGGCATCATCTAGGAAAATATTAGCATGCTTGACGTTTACGAATGTAAGAATTCGATACGTACTGGATGGGCTGCGTCACCCAGCAGGCCGACACGGCCTTTTTGAATGTATGGATACGATTCACTGTATGACCGGTCAGAATTTTCTAGATGCATCGGAATCCTCAGACTCGAGGTGGATAATTACTGGACCCAGAGCCGCCACGGCTGGATCTCCTTGCTAATAGCGAGATGAGCCTTTACCCGAGGATCGAGATTCGGGTACGGGGCAATCAGTTCTTCCACAGGCAGGCTGTCAGCTCCCCAGCTTTGGTTTGAGTAGTCACTTACTTCTCGAGGGAAGAAGCAGTAGTACGAGAGTAGCTTGCCGCCGTTACAGGGTGAGAGAACAATCTTATCCCACTTCCCTTCCTGTCCTCCCCAGTACTCCAACGCGGTATTTTTCGAGTAGTCAACAAGTCCGGCCTTGGTTGCATCATCCGTGAGCACATTTGCATGCAAGCAGCTAGAATCAGCTGGCTTTTTGTCGACCCGAAGACCTAGGATCTTCCGAACCGCAGACCCAATTCCGTCAGAACCAACTATAAGCTCATGCTGAGCTTTAACACCATTGGTGAATTGTATTGCCCCGCTTTCAATATCAATATTCTGACACTGGGATTTTCAGCGGGCTTTTCTATCATGTTCTAGCTTGGATGTTTGTACCTTGTGATTGACCTCGAGCTTTGCTGGAGTACCTGCTCCCTCGGGCTGAAGGGCGCATTCTTTCAGTATTGCATGCATGTACTGACGATGGAACATATTATAGACATATCCCCACCGCTCTTCGTAGTCTGACAGATCGTACAGGCTAACAGTCTCGCCTGTATACCAGTCATGGTTGATCAGACTCTTCAGCACCACAGGGTCGCCCTTGGCCACGTCGACTCCCCACTCGTGAAGCCACCGGGTTCTATTCGCAGCACATGAAACCGAAGCACCGACTTCACCAACAAAGTCGTTGCGTTCGTAGATGGTGACCTTGTGACCAGCACGACGGAGTGCAATGGCCGACGACATGCCCCCAATTCCGCCCCCAATCACCGCAATGCTAAGTTCTCGCCATTTTACATTGGTCGTCTCCATTCTTGATTTTGTAGGCAGAAGATAAGTTATATGGATTTAGTAGAAACGTAGATAAAGAGGATAACGTGGCAGAACAACGAGGACTTAGGAGGTGGTGCGAATGCGAGAACGTTGAAGTAATTATGTGTATGAAAGCTGAGTTGATCGATGTCTCCATCACTAAAGTCGTGATTGGTGCCAGAACAGTACATATTCTCACTCGGGTCGCCCCAGTTGCTAGGTGCATCATCCGCAGTAGATCTCCTCATTAGATTCCGCATGTCGGGTAAAGCTACGACCAAATTTCGCGTCGCGGTACCGTACCTTTCACTAATTTGCAACACCGCTTTTACGATTCTTAGGGAGCTCCATGGCTTTTGCACCTTTCTTCTCATCGGGTACGAGTGCGCGTGGGCGGAATTTCGTCATGGGCTACTGCCGGCTTTGGGAACCACCGATCACTTTGCGTCAGCGGCCCGACCAACGAGACACCTGTTAGTTATCTAGACTAGTAAAAAAAATTGTCCAAAATCACGTGGGCATACAAATCTCATGACAAGATCATCTCTGGGCCAGTGGGGGGCAAATAGTGCGTTTCCAGTGCTAGTGCTTGCTATGACGAGCACTGGATTCTAGAGCTCAAGATAACACCCAGACACCGTACCTCCAATCTCCCGCACATTCTGTTAGCGGTTGGACTAATGTAGCACGATTGCAACAACGGATGAGCGAATATATGAAAGTGGGAGTTTGAAAACCTTCTGCGGTGCTTGATAATAAACATCCCACTATTCGAACTGAAGATCGCTCTGGTCCAAAAAAGGAAAACTGTCCCACTGAGAAATTTCCAAGATGTCCCAATCGAATGGCAACTCAATACTCACGTCTTCAAACGTTGATGGTAACATCTCGCTACCCAGAAAGGGAATTGCGCTATTTTCTGTTGTGATCCTAGACCCATTTATCGGTAAGACCAGATTGTCATCATGCGCCATGGAAACAGCAGCACTGATTTCTTGGCTATGCGCAAAAAGCTTTTCAACATACTTGTTGCGCCCTCGCTGCGTTTGTTTTTGACGTTTGGAAGTAATAGCACGCGATAGAAGGCTCAGTATATCCATATAATGGGCAGCCTGTGGGCTTTGCGTTGATAGAAAGCTGAGAATGCTTTGCGCTCCGTGGAAGGCGGCGTCGAGCTCGTCATCTCCCTTTTGTTCCACGAATATAGCGAACCCAATAATAAGACCAGAAGCGAATATCAAGGCCCTAATAGTTCATATCAGCTAGTAGTCTTCGATTCTACAGGTCTTCAATCCCTTACTTGATAAAACACATGTTGCCGATCATCAACTTCTTTCTATAAACATTTACGCAAGTCTGTACCAGAAGGATCGCGGCATCGAGACAGGCTGAGGCCAATTGCGACCCATCAGACCCTAATCCCGAGGTCAAAGCAGATACCAGGACTGGCCTTGTGATGAGAGTTATCGCATAGTAATAGAGGCAGGATACATGCATCTCTGCAAGGCTTTCTTTCCGGTTCGGGTCTTCAAGAGAGTTGTGGTGATTCGATAATGATTTTGGAAGCTTTCGGCTCCATGTTTCAACCCTTCCTAAGAGTTGCTCAGCGGTAGTGATAGACTTATCCTTCTTAACGTAGATACGATGAACTATCTCGTTGATGATAGTGAGGATTTCGAATGAGACCTTAACAGATGTGCTCTCGACTTCAGCGACTTCAACTACGTCTATTGGATCTTTCTCGACATCCAAGCGCAAACCGCCAGTAGCAGGAGGCCTGCCAAGGATGGAGCTGACAAGTATGTCGACATTACAGAGACTCATCCATACCTGAGCCCTAAGAAGGTCTTTAGAAAAAGAATCATTGAGGTAGGGGTTTGGCTAGTTGCGTACCTCAGATGAGTCTCTAGGTTGCATGTACCAGAATAGGAGCCACTGTTATGAAGACCAGTGGATGTTGCAGCCCTTGTCGCTATGCCGAGATACATAAATGCCTTGTTCCGACGGCATTGCCCTAGCATGTAGAATGACATTAGTAGAAATGTACGAACCATGTCGATGCTAGGGTCTTCTAGCATCGTGGAGAATGCAGCAAGCTGGGCACGGCGAAAGTACCTCTCTCCTGCATTCTGGGAACTTGCAAGGGATTGGCATTGTGCTCCGATGGCGATAACTAGATCCCGTATTGTCGAATTAGTTGAAAGTGCACCTGGGCAAGTCTCTCCGTCTATGCGGCAAAACTGCGTCGACTCCGTAGTCGATAGGATATCAATCAGTCCAGTGGTCTGAAAAGCTATCAAAGCATGCCCAGACAAGCGCGGGGGGAATTTGACTTACCGATGAGCAATACACATCGAAATACGATGATGCTTCTTCAGAGAAAAAGTCGGGGCTTGGGCAGCTCGTACCCAGTGACAGAGGCTGGGCCTCCAGCATTCTATCGACTTTATCGTTGTGGGAAAATTGAGATGGTCCTAAATTCGCTGAAACGGTGTCACGAACAAGTTGAAGGAAGGATATAGAAGCTGCCTCGCCGATGAACACTATCAACATACCGTTAGTTGGGCTTTGGACATTCGATGATAGTACGGCAAGGTGCGCATAACGTACTCCTGTTGCCGCTTCGATTTAGCAACATCCTCGTCTGCGACTCGGTTTCAAACGACGAGACTTGAACGCTACTCGTATCATTACTTTGGGGTACCAAAACGGCATTATTGGGAGAGCTGGGCGGTGACGAAGGTCGGTTATGACCTGAGGGGATGATATTAGGTGTTGTTGGTTCAGCGCTATGGTCTTCTTCAACAAGGCGTGGCGCCGTGGAAGGTCCCGGGCCAGGAAGCGAGACTCTTGGGCTCTTTGAACTTTTGGATAGACGACACGATTCTGCGATGCCCCGTTTCAGACAAGCAGCGCAAGGAACCGTCGCGCTGCAACGCTTCTTGGATGCGCGACAGAAGCTGCACGCTTCCGCCGCCCGCTGGCGAAGATTCGGATGCACTTTTGGACGTGGCATGGCCGGCTCTGTCCATAGACCAGCGGCAATGGGGGTGGCTCTTTCTAAGTTGTCGGATGTGGGTCGTAGTTTCGGCACGTGACCCATCCTGCACCTTCCCCGCATGTCAGATAAGAGAATTTTCAAAGCGCCTACGCCCTAGTTGAGCTATCGCTGGTTCTGTGAAAGTACTTGGAGTGCGGAGATGTTTGTGATTACATTGATTCATGTCAGATAGCCACGCGCAGTATAGATAAGCGATGTTCAGAAAACAAACATGGCATGGGGGCCATTCCCTAGTCAGGATTATCTTAATAGCCCCTACCCAAAATTGGTCTGACAAACCATCAACACATTTACGCACCGATGAGCTCCTCCTCTCACGCTCACGCGGCCCGACCCCTCAACGGCGGATGCGCGCAACATTGTCCCGTGTATATCCATCGTCACTGAAGCCTATATTGTCAGTCGGGAGCAACTAAAGATCCTCAGAACACTTCATCTTCGTCCGTCAAACCTCACCTTTTATTGCTCAACATGCTGGGAAAGGTGGCGCTAGAGGAGGCATTTGCCCTGCCTCGCTTGCAGGAGAAGACCAAATGGTGGGCGTCCATGTTTGCAGTACACGCCGAAAAACACGCCGCCGAGATGACCGATGTAACCAAGACTCGAATAGAGTACATGGACAAACATGGTGTAGGATACACCATCCTGTCGTATACGGCGCCTGGAGTGCAAGACATTTGGGACCCAAAAGAAGCTCATCAGTTGGCCGTGGAGATAAATGACTACATTGCCGATGCCATCAAGGACCAACCTGACCGATTGGGAGCCTTCGCGTGAGTCCGCTATCTACTATGTTCCACCACTAACCATCATGTAATGTAATGAGTTCTATAACTAATTTTGCGCATTAGAACTTTGTCAATGCATGACCCTAGCGAGGCAGCGGCGGAATTGAAACGATGCGTCACTCAACTTGGATTCAAAGGCGCCCTCGTCAACGACACTCAGCGAAGCGGCCCAGACGGTGACGATATGATGTTTTACGATGGCGATGAATGGGACATTTTCTGGTCCACTGTTACGGATCTCAGCGTCCCCTTCTATCTACATCCCAGGAATCCTACAGGTTCGATTCATGAGAAATTGTGGGCAAAGCGTAAGTGGCTTATCGGGCCGCCCTTGAGCTTTGCACAAGGTGTCAGCCTCCACCTATTGGGCATGGTCACAAATGGCGTCTTCGATCGCCACCCTTCGCTGCAGGTGATAATAGGCCATTTGGGAGAACTGATTCCCTTTGATCTGTGGAGGATCAATCATTGGTTCGAGGACGTTAAGAAGCCGCTCGGGCTCTCATGCCAAAAGACCATTCGAGAATACTTTGCTCGGAACATTTGGATTACAACAAGCGGGCACTTCTCAACCCCAACTCTAGAGTACTGCATCACAGAACTTGGATCAGACCGCATTCTCTTTTCCATAGACTATCCGTTTGAGTCGTTTGGGGATGCATGTAACTGGTACGATGGTGTGCGCCTGAAGAATGAGGGTGATGTGAAGAAAATCGGCAAGGAGAACGCAAAGAAACTGTTCAAGCTTGGGGCCTTCAAGGATTCGGAGTAACTTCTTCTATCAGCTGAATGTCTATGGAGCACCTAGTGACTGCAATATCTCAGTCAAATGATGCCTCTAATAGACCCTTGCGTTGCTCAATCTCAACCAGGGATCTCCTTTTCGAATTGCGACCTGCAGCTCACGTGTCTGTTGTGTTATGATCTTCAAGATGGTGAAATCTGACCATCAGCCATCGCTCGCTGCATCGCATTACCACTGGTGATCCATAACAGTTGTATATTTTTTTAATTGCCGAGAATCATCAATACATTCAGCAGATAGTGGAGCTCACACCAGTGTAAATATCATACCTAGCGAAAGGCCTCTCCAAACCTATCCAATTGTACGTTGAGCAACATATTGCTCGGCTAACTAGAAACAGTTTTTAGCTTATGCTAGCGGGTAAGTCCCTCGCTGTAAGATGAAAGATGATCTGAACCGACCCGGTGCTCGGGCTGCGCACCTCACGCATCTGTCTACAAGAGGATTTTTAAAGCGCCTACGCCCTAGTTAAGCTATTGCTAATTCTATAAAAATATTTTTAAGTGTAAAAATATTTATAATTATATTAATTTTTTTAAAATAAGTTAAAATAATTGCTAACTATAGTTTTAAACTTTATTATTATTTTTTTATAGTACTAAATATTAATTTTCTGCTCTAATAAGTCTAATGCAAGTTATAATTATATTTAATAATTTAAATATAACTGTTTAAAAGAATTACTTGCTTTTAAAATATATATAAAATTACTTTATAGCTTTTATTTTTTATTTACTATACTATATAATAATAAAATAATTTTTTTTTTTTTTGCTGCCTACTAAAGTATTAACTTATTAAATTTTTTTTAGCTAACTTGTAAAGGGCCTTTAAATAATAGTATTTATAAAAATAAAATTTTATAGTTTAAAAAAATAAAAAAAATAATAGCTTTTATATAAAATACTTTTTTTTACTAAAAACTAATACTTAGTAAAAAACTTTTATCCCTTTATAACTATTTATTAATAGCTTATATATTAAAAAATACTTTAATAGTTAAAAATATTAAAAATGCTAAAATTTAGCAATTTTAATTTTTTATATAAAAAATATTTATTTTTACTTTTACTATTATTAATTTAGACTACTTAGCTCTTTTTAAATAATTTTAAAAAATAATAAATAAATAGCTAAGTAGGCTGTATAGGCTATAAATATTAAAATAATAGTAGAAGTTTTTAAAAAAATAAAAAAAGTTTAAAATTTAGCTTATAGTATTTAGTTAAATGCAGGAATAGAAATTAAGTAATTAAAGCTAGCGTTATTTTTATTAAAATAGGCTGGTTAAGAAACTATAGTTAAGAGCTGCTGTTAGACTACTTTAGGCGGAAGAATTGAACGCGTACGTTAAGGAGACTTTAAGAACTTTGAGACATCCGTCTACAAGTTGATCGGAATGATGTCCAACAGCGCAATTTTTACAAGGTCAATCTGGCGGATACCAATTCCGGGGCATGCAAGTTTCCTGAATGGCCTCTAGTATTGAGATTGACGTTCGTCGTCGAAAACCGTCAAGGGTTCAGCTTTCAGTGACTGACATGTATATGTAACAATGTGCACTAATCAAATTAGTCCAAGAAGCTATTTCAAATATTCACTCATGATTCCAACGTTTTATGTTTGAGCTAACGTCAAGCTGGGGCTGGATGATATGCCTTATAAACTTGGACGGCCCCTTCAATACTTTGAACCAGACCAAAGAACAATGTCAACCCAATTGCCACGATGGCCACCCATGAGTTGAACCATCTGTCGCCGTTCTTACTATCTCTCAATGCTTTCAGGAGGGCTTTAGATGGGGGTGTGGCGTCGTCCACGGCCTCCCTCAACGTGCAAAGTCGATCGCGCCAGAAGCGGAAACGCTCAAAACGCCGTGATGGATGACCAGCCCTGAAATGACCGCAGCTGAGCAATCCCTGGTCCAATTTTGACAATAGTGGATGTGTTTGAAAGTCGCTTTCCAGCCACCGTCTCGTTTTGCGATCCGTATCTGGGAAAAGAAGCGCGATAGTGTCTAATGTTTCTTCAATGAGACCATCCGGGTACAGTGAACTACTCGATTGAGGTCCAGTCAGTGCAACGATCCATGGCATGGACACAGAGCTACGTACTTTTGGGTGGCGTTCATCCTCTTGAGGAAGGATACATGGTGGAATACACAAACTTTTGTGTCCCTTTCAACAAGCCGCAGGTGATCAATCAGATTGTCTGTCGGTACCACTTCAATCCCGGAAATGCGATCTATGTTACGACAGGTCAGATCCGTCCCAATGACACTGTACTTAGGATCAGGGTCTATCTCTGGCAGGATGTTGAAATGGCGATGCACCGCATCTCGCAGTGAGCCTTGATCCCAATTCATAAAGTATCTCCCCGAGATCTCGGACGCAAGGGGCCCAATGTTGACCATGGCGAGTAGGCGAGTGGCGAGTTTGACTGAACCATCAAGCATCCTATCTTCCTCAGCTTGAGGCCTCTGTTGTGTGAGATTTTGGCGGAGCTTTTGCTTAATCATCTCTTCAGTGGATTCGTCTTCAAGCAGGCGTGCAATGGTCAAAATATCATGATGTGTTCTAGCTGATAGATATAACCCCTCATTGACCAATGCTGCTTTACATTGTTTCGTGTAGTATGCAAAATAAGCAGTCCAATCGAAGTGAACTGATCGTGATGGGGCTGTTACTCCGTCTCTCCATAGATAGGAAACGATTTCAGCTTGGGCCTGAGGTGTGACTGGGTTTTGAAGGACTTCGTAGAGTGGGCCGTTAGGGCTCGACATCGGTCTTGAGCAAGTTTTCAAGAAAATGCACTTTCTTGCCTGATCTTATAAACTAATATTACAGTGCTCTAGTTTTTCCAATTTGTTGCTAAGCCATGGATCGCTGCACAGCCTCATTGAGGGGGTTTGGAGGCGTGCTTGTTTTACCGGTCAAGCTCTTCTGACCTCCAATAGGAGCAGACTGTGGCGCCATCCACGCGGGCTGAGCGCCAGAACTACGTTTTGTCTGGGCCCCCTCATCTTTTTCTGAATCAGTTCTGTGACCTTCACTCCCACGTTACAACTTCGTCAATGTAATTACCCACGTTTATCCTCAATCTATTTGTCCCTCAGCGCCCCGATTCCTAATGCCGCTACCCTTCAAAGGGGCGAGCTTCTGGAAAAGAAGTTCGAAATCTTACCCAAACGCTTACGCCTGCATCGGGTCCAAAGTTGGAGTCTTTCACGACAGACACTGGTGGCATGCTACGGGGCAAGCCCGTGAAGATTTCAATCTAGCCGAAGGAGACATCCTTGATCAGCTCAGAACTGTCTTTACAGACAGTTATTCTAGCATCGTACATTTTCATCTATATATGATAGGACGCTCTGTAGATTCTGCTATACCTACTATCATGTTCTTTTGCGAAGAGAAGGAGCCACGCAAGAAAGCTAAAAATGCTATAGAAGAAGGAGGTTTCCTAGAGCGCCTACCAGGGTTTCGACTTGGACACCAGGCCAAACAACCAGACGTTGGGTCTTTGATTCAGCCTGCTACAGAGAACGATGGAGCACAATCACTTAGCCTAAATAATTCGGTCTTGGATGTTTACTTCGATTCTACCCGGCCGATATTAGCAGATGGGATGCCAATTTTTGTCAAGCATACTAACGGCCTCCTACGACAGGCTACTGCCAACGCGGTTTTCAAGGGGCACAGATATGTATACATGTCCGTCTCGCACGTGTTCGTTGATAGCATACCCTATGCACGGAGGAGCACAGCAGATTCCGACAGCGAATATGATTTTGGAAGTGGCACTGAACTTGAAGACTACGATGATTGCATAGACGCAACGTCTCGAGGAAGCATCAGCTCGCCGGAGGAGAGCTCAGAAGATCAATTAGACCTGGCCGCTTCTGGTTCCGGTTCCTCAGCCTTGATGAATGAGACCGCTCTCACACAACGTGTCCTGCACGACCGAGTTTCTTCTCCCACGGGGATTATACGGGTTAATCCGAGATTAAAAACGGAACACAGTGACAAAGCTTTGGTTGTAGTTACACCACCAATTGAGAGCCTCGAGTATCTAGGGAGTTCTCAAAGTTCTCAAAGTATCCTCAACGTACGCGTTCAATTTCTTCCGCCCGGGGTAGTCTAGCTCTCAACTATGGTTTCTCAACCCGCCCATCTTAACAAGAATAATGCCTTAGTTACCTAATCTCTGCTCCTGCATCTAACTAAACACTAGCTACTTAATTTTATCCCTAGACTTCTACTATTGTTTTAACGCCTATAGCCTGTACGGCCTACCCAGCTGTTTGTTTATTATTTTTTAGAATTGTTTAAAAAAAGCTAGGTAGTTTAAATTAGTAGCAGTAAAAGTAAAAACAGATATTTTTTATATAAAAAGTTAGAATTGCTAAATTTTAGTATTTTTAATATTTTTAACTATTAAAGTATCTTCTAGTATATAGGCTGTTAGTAAATAGTTATAAAGGGATAAAAGTTTTTTACTAAGTATTAGTTTTTAGTAGAAAAGGGCACTTTATATAAAAGCTACTATTTTTCCTATTTTTTTAAGCTGCAGAATCCTGCCTTTATAAATATTATTATTTAAAGGCCTGTTACAGGTTAGCTAAAAGAAATTTAATAAATTAATGCTTTAGTAGGCGGCAAGGAGGAGAAGAATCTGTTCTGTTATTATATATAGATAGAAGACAAAAGCTACAGAGCAGAGCAGCTTTATACATGCCTTAAGAGCAAGTAACTCCTCTAAACAGTTATACTTAAACTATTAGGTAGGTGCAGATATAACTACAACTTGCATCAGACTTATTAGAGCAGAAAATCAATATTTAGTACTATAGGAGAACAATAATAAGGTTTAGAACCATAGTTAGCGACTGTCTTAAAGCCTATTTTAGAAAAATTAATATAATTACAAATATTTCTGCACTTAAAGTACTTTTACAGAACCAGCGATAGCTCAACTAGGGCGTAGGCGCTTTGAAAATCCTCTTAAGTATCTAGGGAGTTTAATACAATCCTCGACTGATTTGGATTGCGCATTGATCGAGATCAAGAATTACAAGGTCTATGCTATGATTCGCCAAGGGTACTCGACTGCACGAAATGATCCTGTTTCTACAACTCATTATCCTGGTTCTAGGCCTACTTCGATCATTACACACACTTCTCACGGAACTATATCTGGACTGCTTTCCAATAATGCGACCCATATGCGGCTTCCGGGAAGTAACACTTTCCAAAAAGTCTACCAAATTGCACTTGATGCCCCCCTCATTTGGGGTGACTGCGGGTCTGTAGTTATTGACCTCGCAACTTCTGAACCATATGGATATATTGTTGCAAGCTCGATGACAAAACGCATTGCTTATATCATGGTGGCATCGGAAGCTTTCGAAATCTTGGAAGTAAGTTGGAAAATGCCTCATCTGGTTACTACCGAGGCCTCTTCCGGTGATATTGAACGAAAAGGTATGTTGTGGGCTGTAATAAGCCGACTCCAATCAAGCCTGCCTCTGAACCTGCTCTGCTAACAAGCAAAAGTCTCTCTACACAGATCAGACACAGTTTCCTCGATTGGAAGCGACGCGTACTCACCGCTCCCCCCTGGTCGTTGGACTTTAGACTTCCATGGAAACTGTCCAAGATGTCATCATCATCATACTGGCGTTAAAATCAAGGTCGATGTTTCCCATGATTCTAGTAAGGTCAGCCACGTTCGTTGCGAAATGTGTCAAGAGAACTGGTTAGCTTTTGGGGGTCGTAATTCAACCCGAATATCTTTACTCTCTACGTTGACGGCTGATCCAGATCCTGTTGAAAAGGAAGTGCGCTCCACACTGAGCAAACTAGTAAGGAGTACAACTGCTATCACAGCTCCATGGCTTCTCAATATTCCCGAAACGTCTCCGGAACATTCGGTGCGGTCAACGACTAGTAATGGCCTTCAGCCGTCATTTGGGCCAATGGCGACTACAGCACAAACTTCTTCCTCTGTTCCACTAAGCCGTGTTCAACGTCTTAAGCCATCAACTAGTTTGTCGTCCCTCCCGACTACGCCTACAATCGACATTGGGGATAAGGGCCACCCAAAACAGCCTCTTTCGAATCTCAAACAGAGAGTTCAAGCACGATTCCCCATTTTGCAAGGAGCAAAAGTAAAGCAACTGTTCAGACATTCCAAGAAACCGCAGATGTCTGCTGAAAAGAGAGAAAATTACCCAGTCCATATCTCAGCTGGTAACGAGCTGGGACCCTCAACAAGCTTCCAAGAAGAGTTGTACACTTCTGGACAAGAGTCCGGCAGTGAGGTCTTACATAACGACCCTAGCGTTTCCGACTCAGCGAACATGAATTCAGAGGTAGCCGATTTCATTGCCGATCTTAGGAACGATCCAATTAGCGAGATGAACAAGAAAGAGCGTGTTATCTGGTTGCGGGAGAAGCTCACCAAGTTCAAGTCTTCCCGCAAGATCTTTGACCAACCAGCCCACTCCATTGTGGTTAACAGTGGTACTCGTGTGACTTCAGTTGAACCCCCACTGGCCTCATTCGTTCAAGACAGTCGTCGTCACTCGAGTGAGATGCTTTACCTCGGGAGTCATCTTAGTTACTTTGATAGATGGTCAAGTGAAGCCGCACTTCATGGACGCCCTCTTTCTATGAGTGAACGGGGTACGGAACTATCGGACGCCTCTACAGTCGCCGATGACAACATTGTTGCTTCTGATCCACGCAATGCTTTGGTGGAGAGTCTTCAAAGGGCACGTCGTGCATCTGAATCGCCTCGGCCGCTTTCACTAAACAATTTGTCGCTGTCGTGGGGAAATATCCGTCAAGCTCGGGCGGAGGCACACTACTCTTTAGACTCGCCGCGGTACTCAATCGACTCTGCTCCTACAGAGTGCGGTGTGAAAACTAGAACTAGTAATTATCCGTCCCGACGTTCGGGAGCGCGCGCTCGACGACCAAGGACGATCACTCCTTCCTCCGCCTAACTTCCAACACTCATCGGGCCTCCGATTGTATTAGGGACTGCATGATCCTTTCACAGGACAATCAGCCTGCGCCTTAGGCAGATCCCTATTGGCAATCCGAGATTACCAATAAAGAGCTTTTGCTGCAACCTTATGGTGTTTATTAGAGCATAGATTGCTGTTGTTATGGTAATCATGCAGCAAGCTAGAAGCTCTGGGGAGGGCTGTACCAGCGCGTTACATGTGTATAGCAGCCAGGGATTCTAATGACTTGCGGCACGTTGCAACTAACGTGCTGTGCGTAACCAAACGCGAAGGAACCTCATTTTGTTTCAGCAAAATAAAAATAGTATTGTGAGGCCCCTTCTTAGTTTGGACCAGACGACGACTGCTGTATGGAGGCCACCCCGCGATCAAGTATCGTAGTTATTTCTTATCTATTACCGCACTTAAGCTCCTGTCGTCTGAAGATACATGTCGGAAGCATAGAAAAGTTGAGAATGATAGCCTTTAGAGTCGACAGAAGTGGTGCTAAATATGACTTCGCGAGGTTCCATCTCACGCCCTTAATGTATCGATCTTCTCTATTATAGCAACATTCTTAATTGACACCCCTACTTTAGTGGTGCAACGATAACTCCTGCTAGCGTTATGATATGGGGTTGACAAGAACATCGTTCGAGGATAGCGTTCCTATGCCTAGGCCACGCTATACCTAGATAGGCAGATTACGTAGTGTGTTGATGCCCCGTGGCTGGCTGCGTCCGCCAAGGCGTCTTTCTGCAACGATATCTCCATTATAACGATATTTTCTTGCAAGCGAGTAAAATCGTTACAGTGCAGAACCTACCGTAACAGCTATCCGAAGGGTTTAGCGCAAAAAAAATAGGACGCGTCGCATATTGTGATCGCTCGACTCCACGCGAGCTTATCACTCTACCATCTCAACTCGCGTGTTAGCCTCCTCTTTTGGCTTTCAAGTATTTTATATTGGCACCTTACCAAGGTATTAACTTTGCACATCGAGACTTTTTCGCGTTACGAAGATGACGAAACGTACGTCGGACCAGTACATGGCGATGAACGACGACGACCTTGACGATGAGCTTGAGAACATGCCTGTAACAGAAAGTTGCGATGTGATCCGGTAGTGACTCTATTTCATGTTTTCTCCATACGCATACCCTCTACATCTTCCAAGTGTGCATCTTTTACCTGTACGCCGCCTACAGACGCGTTTCTGACCCATCACACAGTCGCAAGATCCGCGCTCTCATCGACAATGGCGAGATGAAAGTCGGCGAGTTCCAGAACGCGATTAACGTGACCCCGAACGCGTACTCACGCTTCCTGGGGCAGAACGGGCCCGACAAAGGCTCCGAGTCATCCGTTTACATGGCCGCCTGGTCTTTCTTCAAAAAGAGAGAACTGCGCGGCATCAAGACGAAGCCGAATAAGAAGGCCAAAACGGGCACTAATGGCAAGGATAGTGTGCCGAGTGTGGACGGCATTGAGTTGGAGGGAGAGAAGGACGATAAGGTCCAAGTCTACGGTAAGCACGCAGTAAAACTCACACATGGAGAGAAGTTGGCTCACGCTATATAGATACATGCGATGACATCCGCCACAAGATAAACGCGCACCTTAAAAAGCCCGGCATGACGCAAGCTGCTTTCCTACGCGCTGCAGCCGCGTCCTACCATGCTGCTCCTAGGAAACTCACATCCCCGCAACTGTCCGCTTTCCGCAGCAAGAAGGGCGCTTATGAAGGCAACACATCTGGTTCGTAGCCCGGCATCCTGCGTACTATTGCATAGCATACACGCACTGACATTGTAATCCACTTTTAGGTGTCTTCTACGGCTCCTACGTGTACTTTGAGAAACTGAGAATCAAAGAGGGCAAGCCGAAGAGCAAGAAGCGGACTGAGATGGAGGATATTCATGCAAAGGACGGAGGGATGGAAACGAAGAGACTGATGAATTATACTTTGTGTACGAGTGATAAAAGGCCTGTTATGGATAGTTATGGGAGGTTGGGTTTCTGTTAGTCGAGGAACGAGGACGTATGGTTCAGGGGCAGGGTATTCTGAGGATTCGAGCGTCACTACTAATGTGCGGGCTTTTGTTTGCTTTTGGAAATCTAAAAGATGGAGTGCTGGTTTCAGGTTGTACTCGGAGTGCTGGCGGTGTTTCTAGCTCGATGCAGGTGTGTTGATAGTTTCTTTGCGATTTTAATTTTTACATATTCGGTGTCCTCAATATCCCTGTGGTATGTACATGCTGTGTGAAATTCCACGCAGCTCCTTTGAGTCCATGATCGCAGGAATGAATTCACGCCCCAACGCCTTTGCTGATAAGATATGCCAACTACCTGCCCAACACAGATGGTGCGAATTATAGTGTTGCTGCTGCCTCGATAGCTCCTGCGAGTTTGAATGTCTTCGGACTCGTGAAGACGATCTCAACGGGGTACTGCCACTCCATGTACTTTGCCCAACCTGTGAAGCTGGTTAGCCGCCATTTAAGCACACATAAGTCCCTTGGGGTTCGAGGATCGCCTCATGAATCCCATCTCCTTCTAGACATTCAATATGACGTACCCCAGTATGCACACTTCCTTCCGAAGTACTTCCCCAGATACGGCACCATGACCATTGTCAACAGCAGCTCCATTTGCTGCAACGACTCCCTCCACTCCCTCTCCGCATCTGAAACGTATTCGTCATCGTCTGCCGAGGAACTAGTCGCGGAGGAGGGTAGTGAGTCGATCTCGTCGGCTTCCGAGGAGCTCGTAGGCGGCTCGATGAAGCTTGCGCTGTTGCTCATCGACATGGCGGCACGAACGGAGGAGTGGATGGGGTGTGAGATCGTGTGCGACTGGTTTTTGGGGCCTGGCTACCGTGAAAACATTGATGATCGCGAAAGGTGGTAATGCTCGATGTCGTAGTTGTCTTGCGTCGCGCCTTTGGTACTGCGAAGCTGCAGCCAATGAGCGATGGTGGGGCTTAGCGGCCACTAGCACGTGATAGGAAATCTTGGCCCTTTGGAGGTTCGACTCACACATGTATGCCAAAAAGTGACTCCTCCCATCGCAAACACCCACACCTCGCCACTTTATTTTACCACATCGTATACCCCGAATCGAATAAGGAAGCACACATATCGAACTGAGATCAAAAACCGCGACCACAACCGCAATCATGGCTGATACTGTACGTCATTTATGCCCCACGTCCACGGTCGAAATACATTGTTCGCTCTCCGTGGACGTGATGCGCCCTCAATACCCACCGACATAGCTCTCGAAAGGCGTTTGCATCTAACATGACCAACACAGGCCGATCTCCCCGAGCGCAAGCCTCGCAAATCCGTCGCGTTCTCCGAAGGCGCCACAATTGTCGACAGCAACGGCGAAATCACCGAGTCGATAGATATCAACGGGGGTAAGTCTTCCGCCGAGAGCCACGCCTCAGGGGCGCCTCCGGGTGAGCATACCCATGCATAAAGCATGAAGCATGGGCTGACGGGGAACACAGCGGACGACAAGGAAGTCGAAGAGGTGACTGACATGTTTGCGGACCTCGCGAAGAAGGTATGATAAAAATTATAGAGAGTAGCACTTTGGACGATGACTGATGAACAACAGAAGAAGAAGAAGAAGTCGACCAAGAAGAAGGAGGGCGAGGATGAGGACGCACCCGAAGGCGACTTCGCTGCGCTCAAGAAAAAGAAGAAGTCCAGCAAGAAGAAGGTCGAGGACGATTTCGAGGCTAAGCTCGCCGCTGCTGGAGGTGACAAAGGCGAGGGTGAGGACGAAGAGGCCGCCGCGCCTGAACCCGAAGTTCAAGAGGGAGACATGATGAAGGGCACTGGCATCTGGCAACACGAGTCGACAACCCCGATCTCGTACAACCTCCTCCTCAACCGCTTCTTCACGCTTCTCCACTCGCAACATCCTGACCTCGCGAGCTCAGGCACCAAGAGCTACAAGATCCCGCCACCGCAGTGTCTCCGTGAAGGCAACAAGAAGACCATCTTCGCCAACATTGCTGAGATTTGCAAGAGGATGAAGCGTACCGATGAGCACGTTACGCAGTTCCTGTTCGCTGAGTTGGGAACCAGCGGTTCCGTTGACGGATCAAGACGTTTGGTGATCAAGGGTCGCTTCCAGCAGAAGCAGATTGAGAACGTGCTCAGGCGGTATATTGTCGAATACGTTACTTGCAAGACGTGCCGTTCGCCTGACACCGAGTACGTTCATCTTGCACAGAATTGTATATACGTGCTAATATACTTTCAGTCTCTCCAAGGGTGAGAACCGTCTCAACTTCGTCACGTGCAACAGCTGCGGATCTCGACGATCGGTCCAAGCCATTAAGACTGGTTTCTCTGCGCAGATTGGAAAGCGAAGGAGAATGGTTGGTTAGAGTATTCTTCCTTAGGCGCTTCACGATATTCATTGCGGGTATGGCATACATTGCTTGGGCTGGGCCGGGCTTCCTGGTGGGCGCTCCCAACATTATGAGGGCAGTCATATTCGAACGATGGATGAACGACATGTCAATATGAGAATGGCTTACGTAGGTTTGACTCGTGTATATCAGAACTAGTCACGAAAACAAGATGAATATCTGACTTCATTGCATGTCTGACGGGAACTGATTCTTGAGTAACGAGAAGGAAATCTACAGGTGGTGCTGACTTGTAGGCGCCAGCAAATCAACTGATAGTCTCAAAGTTCTCACGCTGTCGTATTGGGCGCTTACAGGCCGTCTACGAGCTGGGACTGAAGCGGTAGTACACAATCCCAATCCACATCCCGACAGTTTCTTGATATAAATATAAATTAGTTCCCGCATATCCAAGACCAGCTACCGCTAAGCTGTCGCACACAAAGTCGTTGGCGCATATTCGCAAGGAGCTCGGCGGTGGTGGGTGCGGGGCGCTGATTCGGCGGCTCCAGGTACCCCGCTAGCCAACAGCTCTATCCCATCGAGGCTGAGCAGCTTGACACCAACTTGGAGTAGCGAGGGGGCGCGCGGTTAAACCATATAGGTGCTGATGCCTTTGTCTTCTTCCGTAGATCAAATCCAACTCTGACCTCCTTCTCCCCGTGCCTGTCCTGCTTCGTTACGTGTTTACGCTGGTCCTCCAATCTGAGCATCAGTGGCACTTGGAGCTGATTGAGGTTGTTTTTTGGCATAGCAAAGAATGTCAGGATACCAAGCGACTCCGCCGCCGGGTGGAAATTACTATCCTCGTGAGTCGCATGATGAGGGGGCATATAGACGTGAGCTGACGAGAACCAGCGCCGCCTGACACAGGCGCATACGGTACGTCGATTCCTCAACGTCGCGACCAAACCCAACCCACAGCTAACACACAAGCACCACAGACCAACCAGGACAGCAACAAGGCCAACAGCAATACTTCTCGCCTCCGCCAGGCGGCCAGTCCTACCCACCACCCCCTTCCTCTCCCCCCGCGCTCCAGCAGCAACAACAGCACTACCCACCTCCCCCGGGCGGTGGTCAACCAGCGCCCCAGCATGCGCCGCCCCAGTATGCGCCGCCCACAGAGCACGCGCAGCAGCAACACTTCCCGCCACCCGGCAGCGGATACCCGCAACAGCAGCAGCAGCAAGGCTACCCGCCGGAGAAAGGCTACCCGCCGGAGAAAGGCTACCCGCCGGAGAAAGGGCCTCTGAGCCCATATGGCGCGCCGAGTCAAAGCCCACAGCCAGGCGCAGGCGCAGCGCCCCCAGCGACAGATGATGTGGGCACATTCAACGGTGGGAGCTATAGGGTGAGCCATCGAGACACAAACACCATCTTGACGGTGCAGTTGGCGATTGGGTGTCCGTTTACTGCGAAGCCAGGTGAGTCTTCCCGAAAAACCTCAGGCTCCTCTTCTTGAAGGCCAAAGGAGAGACTGTCATAAGCCAGGACCCTAGATACTGATAACGCTCCAGGCGCCATGATCGCAATGTCCCCAACCGTAACCCTAAAAGGCACCATGAAATTCTCCCTCAAAAAAGCCTTCGTCGGCGGCGAGATGTCCAAGTCCTCCTACACTGGTCCTGGCGAGCTTCTCCTCGCGCCCGCCGCCATCGGCGACATCACCATCATCAAGCTGGGCGGCCACGAGCAGTGGAGCGTGGGCAAGGATGCGTTCCTAGCGTGTACTCAGGGTATTGTTTCCGAGTACAAGAGCCAGGGACTGGGCAAAGCCATGTTCAGCGGCGAAGGACTGTTCGTGTACAAGATTAGTGGACAGGGTATACTCTGGTGCACGAGTTTTGGCGCTATTATTCGTAAAGATGTAAGCTTTTCCTGCCTTGACAACCCCTCAAAGGTATGACGAGATACTGATTTCCTCCACAGCTGCAAAAAGATGAGAAATACATCATCGATAACGGTCACCTTGTCGCTTGGAACTGCAAATACGTTCTCGAGCGCATAGCTTCCGGGGGTCTCATGTCGAATATGATGGCTGGCGAGGGGCTGGTGTGCAAGTTTACTGGCCCTGGAACTGTTTTCATGCAGACGCGGAATGCGCAGGCGTTCTCGGCGTGGTTGGCGGCCAACGCGGCGCAGGTGTAGATCAGGAGCTGGTGGGTTTGCCGAGGGAAGAATGAATCATGAGTGTGAGGGATATCAGGATAAAGGATATCAGGATAAACTGAATGAAGGTTAGATTGGAGGCAAGACACCGATTTCCATGTTGTTGAAAGCGGGAGTTTCTGAATGGGGATATCAAGTACGTATTGTATTCTAAAGCTCATTCCCACTGGGTGGTGTGGCTCAATGTATCACATCACGTCTCTTCATTTAGTGTCACAAGTAACAGCTTTGGGGGGAGGTTGGCCCACCACATGCAATCCCGCCCACGAGACTTAGGACAGCACGGCTGATCAGGAGTTACCCCGGCTTTTAGCAAGAATGCTCATTGTTAGAGACAGCCCAGATGCAGCGTACCCGGCGATTACGGAGTTAACCTTCACTGCAGCTATTCAGCTACTCGCCCTTGGTCCCGAAACCGCTCAGCTATCCAAGATGGCTTGCATATCAGCCACCTCGTCACGCGTTTATACAGGTGACTGACGCTTGTTGCATGGCTGATGTGAGAATGGTGGTATAAAGTAAGGAAATCTTTGCCTTTGAAATTTCATCAATATCTTACAGACTCGATATTGTAGCTTGCTTCAAGACATATCTCAACTACCTATTCGATCTCTCTTCCTTCTTGTCTGAATGTCTTTTATTACCCCTACCCCACCTGTCTCTCTCCTCGGCAGACACCGCATCCTCAGTCGCACAGCCGGCGTTCGCGTTTCGCCACTATGTCTAGGTGCAATGAACTTTGGCACTGCCTGGACAGCCTCACTTGGAGAATGCAGCAAAGAAACCGCGTTTGAGATCCTCGATTTCTTCTACAGCCAGGGCGGGAACTTTATCGACACGGCCGTAAACTACCAGTTTGGTGAGAGCGAGCAGTGGATTGGCGAGTGGATGGAGGAGAGGGGAAGGAGGGACGAGATGGTGCTTGCAACGAAGTTTACAGGAATGCAAATCACAGAGCGAGAAAGGGACGGAGGGAAGGCTGTCAAGAGTAATTTTGGTGGGAACAGTGCGAAGAACATTTATACGAGTATCGAGCGCTCGCTCAAGTCGCTTCGGACAAGCTATGTTGACATCGTAAGTCCTTCATCCTTTCAAATGAGGCTGGGCAGCATAAGACTTACACTGGATATTAGTACTACGTCCACCTCTGGGACTCCTCAACTTCCATCCCCGAACTTATGTGCGCGCTCAACGACCTCATCACCGCCCGGAAGGTGCTCTATCTTGGCATAAGCGACACACCCGCCTGGATCGTCGTCAAAGCAAACTGCTACGCGCGCCAACACGGGCTTCGCCAATTCTCAATCTACCAAGGTCGCTGGAGTGCCGCGGATCGCTCTTTCGAGCGCGAAATCATCCCCATGTGTCTGGATGAAGGCATGGCCTTGGCGCCGTGGGGTGCGCTCGGCGGGGGAGGATTCAAGACGAAGCAACAGAGGGAGGATGGTCAGAAAGAAGGGGGACGCAACCTGAAACTCAGTGTATTGGGGAATGAGGAGAAAGTCTCGGAAGTGCTCGAAGCTATTGCCAACGCAAAATCGCCCTCTCCGCCCATCACCTCTATAGCGCTTGCATACGTTATGCATAAATCCGCGTATGTCTTCCCCATTGTCGGTGGGCGCAAATTATCGCATCTAGAAGGTAATATCGCTGCGCTGGGCTTACGTTTGTCGCCTGAAGAGATTCATCAGATTGATAATGCGTATGGGTTCGACATGGGGTTTCCGCATAACTTTTTGAGTCCAGCAAATGTTGCTGTGCTGGGCCCGGAAGATAATCGTTTCATAAATAATATGGGGTTCTTTGACTTTGTGGAGGGGCCGAAGCCGATTCCGCCGCATGAGGGGAGGTTGGATGCGAAGTTCAAGGATCTTTAGGCGAACAAGGCGGCGAGGGAGAAGGGGGAGTAGGGATGCGATACTCAGAAGGATGAAGAGGCTGATTATAATCTGAATAATATCAAGTAATTTGAGCTTATATGTGATTCCTTCAGTGTTTCTCAAAAGGAACTAAGACTTACCTATTAATGTTCACTCTCGAGCGTGTTAAATCTATTAAGTTTCTGTCTTTGCTACATTTAAATCGTACTATTCGGGCATATCAATTATGCTGTCATTTACATAGCTACACGCTTCCTTGGTTTTTCAAAGAGTCACTTTTGCCAAAACGATAGTATATATACATTCGGCATCGAGAGTATATAAAGCAAGCGATTTGATCAGAGTATAAGACGGACAGATAGAGTGGCAATGGTCTCCTTCTCCAATGAGGGGTCTAGCGGAGTGATTGTCAATATGAAGGGAAGCGCCGCTAATAAGTGGGTATAGAAAAGAATATACAGTGATTTGGGGCCTACGGCATTAATAGTTAAAGATAAGAGACAAAGAGCACTACACATTCCAAAGGAGAAATCTACAGAGGCCCTCAACCGCCAAAACAAAATTGCCAAATAAAATCATAATTGCAATTCTTTTTTTCGAAATAGCAAAAAAAGGAACTAAGCCCGATGCGGGGGTCGAACCCGCAACCTTGAGATTGCGGAGAGATCAATCGTCTTGTTGAACTGTGTACTGCTAAGAGTCTCACGCTCTACCGATTCTGATGGAGTCGTTAGAGAGATGTTGGCGGGGGTGATTATAGGGGTGAACATACGAGCTAACCAGGCTGTAATAGCTTGTCGATGACGATGCTAGAAAACGGAGAGTTTATAATCTCTATGCACAAAACCCCTTTAGGATGCCCCTGAGACTATTGAAAGAAATCGTTCGTAAAACTAAGTGCAAATTGTTCTTAAGGTACATGATGGCGGGGCAACGGGGAAAATTGTGTTCTAGTGCAGTTCCACTGGACATGAGTGGGGCTTTTACATTGCCTAAATGTACCAGCCTATAGCGATGTGATCCCCATCATTCCTAACCTTATAAATACCGTGAAGTACGAATGCTTGTTTTCAGTGATTTAGTATACGTAGTAAGCAGCTACGTATAAGCGGGGTAGCTGTACAGGCTCCGTGTTCTCTGAAGGGTGAGTTAAGCAAACCCTGAAGAATGAGGCACAGAAAAAGAACGATACCCCGTAATCATGTGCGAGCAACGTTAATAAGGACATATAATTATAATGAACGATGTGTATGAGCCCAGAAGGAATTCTGGCTAATCTAGTTTATTCGTTCTGTTTCTAAGCCCCTAGTAGTGTCGCTTGTAGCTGACGCCCGGTGGTATGCTCGCATGCTCATTGAGAGAGATAGACAGTGGTGGAAAGCAACCCCTTGGACCCATTACCTCGCAAGGTTTACCATTCTGGGAGCTTACATTTGTGCAAGTTATGCGGCATGCCCTAGGCCATGCAGTGGTAGATGACGAACGCTGAGGGTCCATGTCCGTGTGGCTGATTCAACTTCAATCACTAGCTCTCACAATCTGGCCCCGAAAGCGACCGCTGCTTATGTTCTCCAAGCTTTGGTTGCGTGGAGTACCTAGTCGCTGAGAGGTAGACTTCAGGCAGTAATGGCGTCTGAGCGTTGCCTAGAGTCGAAAGTGCCGTTGAACCAAGTACCATTGCTTCACTGTTCACAGCCCTCTTGAATCCATCATATCTATGTATATTCTGGCACTCTGTCTTTACTAAAGAGCTCCTCTCATGCTTAGGCTTTATAGCGGGGGTAGACACCTACTGGTACTCGCAAACCCCGATAACACCGAGCACCTCCAACATTCCATCGTGCACGTCGCAACTCTGAATCCTCCAAACTCGGCTGAAAGAAACAATTTTACGCACATTCAGAGCAATCGCGAATAAAATCTTGAGAATTTTTGGCTATGGAGATGGTCGAGCAACCCGCCCTCTTAAGTGCAGACACGGACGGCAATGGACCGATGAAGCGACGTCGACGACCAGCTCTCTCATGTGTCGAGTGTCGCATGCGTAAAGTCAAGTGCGATCGCGAGAAGCCCTGTGGAGCTTGTACTAGGGTCAAGTCGGCAACATGCACTTTTAGGCCTCAACGTGCGGGTATCCGCTCAAAGAGCGATAGGTCACCTGTAGCTGGCTCTGTTTCTGGAAGTGGGAGCAATGAACAAGAGCATGAAAACTCGGCCCAGTCTTCTTCTCAGTCCGCCGCGCCGTCCAATGAGTTTGACCTAATGGTGCATCGTTATGTTGCTCCCGGCCTTTTCGGTGAAGGACCCAAGCACAAGCCTTTGCCTACCAATAGACCGAGCTTGACTCTCAAGTCACACTCTGACTCTGTAAATGCTGCTATTATCAACAGTCTATTGGAGAGAATCAGTAATCTCGAAAGCGAACGAGCCCCCGTCACTATAGGCGAACATGGTGGGAGCACGTCCTTACCGACTCGGCAAGGCATGGATGCTTCTATAGGACAATTCGTCAAATCAAAGTATTACGGCCAAAGCCATTGGATGAACGCCATTGAGCCTGTAAGCTGATCTCCTTTGGATTAATAGGCTAAAGCATAAAGTCATGTATGATGAAACTAACGGATCATAGTACAGCGCTCTTGGTGAAGCAAATACTACCGTGAACCCGAGAACCAAAAGGAAAGAAGTCAACAAGTCGACTGAGTTGTACGCTACCGTCGCAGAGATCAAGCGAATTTCGCGCGTCATCAAGACATCTCGTATGCTTCAGCCTTTCGTATCGCCGGAAGTACAGGAGTCGATACCACCAAAGGCGGTTTGCGACGTGCTGGTTGATTGCTATCTTCAAACTTTTGAAGGGGTCTTCCGTGTCCTTCATGTTCCTTCTTTTCGCAAGGAATATGAGGGCTACTGGGTTGGCACTGTACCGGCTAAGCCATCTGTTATTCTCAAGATTCTGTTAGTCTGTGCAATCGGAGTGCCGTTCTACAGCGCGCCTGACCAAGGACGTTTACGTGTCTCCTGCGCCAAATGGATTCAAGCTTCAGCGGATTGGCTTGATTCACCTCATGCGAAGTCTCGACTGAATATGGTAGGCTTGCAGATTCAAATCCTGGTGCTCCTTGCCCGTCAAGCATGCAACGTCGATGGCGATCACATTTGGATACCTGCAGGCTCAGTACTCAGGACTGCGATGCACCTTAGCCTACATCGAGATCCGTCAGTCTTTGGCAAGATAAGCATTTACCACGGTGAGATGCGAAGACGGCTTTGGGCATCCGTCTTGGAGATTACAGCGCAGAGCAGCCTCGACATGGGGATGCCACCTATGATCTCCCCAAATGACTACGATACCAAAGCGCCATCTAATGTCAATGATGAGGACATAGGTGAGGGTAACGACACACCGTTCGACGAGAAGCCACTTACTACGTTCACCGACAGCAGCATACAGATTGCATTCACACAGACCTTACCCGTTCGGTTGGAAATCATTAGGCTCATCAACAATCTGCGATTTGACATATCCTATCCCGACGTATTACGACTCGGCACTGAGCTTACAGGAATCTGTCGTGAAAAGACAATGTTTTTCAAGTCGGCCCTAGTTGCCAAAAGCAACATCACGCCGTTCCAGATCAAGATGTCGGACTCGATGGTGAGACGCTTTGTACTCTGCTTACATAGGCCATATTTCGTGAAAGCGAGCGAGAATCCGAATTATCACTACTCACGCAAAATATGCCTCGACACCTCTTTGGCCCTGTGTGCACCCGCAACCGAACTACAGCCCGGGGAAGAAGATGACTGGACACGCATGTCCCATAGATGCGTGGGCTTCTTCAAGTCGTTCTTCCTCTATGCCATGTCGACTGTGTACTATGAGCTCAACTCTCAGATCAACGAACGACGAGAAGACTCTACCCTCTTTGCCCCAATGATCTCCACATCAGCACCTCAAGAGAACCGGCCATTGGCATTACCGTCACAATTCCAGGCGCTGCGCGGCGTCCTCGAGGCAGCCAGAGACACAGCACTAGCCCGAATACGCAACGGCGAGACAAACGCAAAAGGATTCGTCTTCCTTCACACTGTGCTTGCACGCATCGATGCGCTCGTTTCCGGCGCCGACCCAGAACGGGCCGTACTTGAAGTAGCGAAGAAATCCGTAAAAGAAGCCGCCCAGATTATAGCCGAAGTCTATCGCGAAGAGCATGGAGAGGAAATAGATTTGAACCCGTCTGGTGGACCATTCGGCGGCAAGGAATACGGACGAGGCGATGGCGCAGATAATTTTACAGCCAGAAATATCTCGGCGGGAACTGGTGAATTCGATGGAGTGCTTCCTGCGTTTGATGGATCATTAGGTGCATTGGATATGTTAGATGGTGGCTTGGGTAGCATGAATATGGATATAGATGTGGATTTGGATCTTAATGCTTACATGCAGGGTCAGGATATGAATATTGGGCATGGATATCATTTTACAAGAAGCCCGGAGTGGTTCTATGACCTCGGTGGGTGGGCTGCATCAGGCAACTACAGTATGGGATACAATGGGTTCTCGACACAAGATTAACTATGATGCTTGTCAGCATCGCATTATGTACTCATAAGCTATTGCCCCCTTTGCCCACCTGCCGAAATGATATTGTATTATGCCGGCTGTAATGTAATCCATTCATCAAGCGCGACAGTGAGTGTCACAATTAGTATGAGGGTAGCACTCGAAGATAATGTTAAATTGATGAAGGGCGCTAAGTATGCAAAAGCTCTAGAAAAGCTGGCTCGTACGCTTCAAACGCCGAGAAGGTAAACAAACAACAAGCAAGAAAGTACCGACCATGCGGATTAAGATTCGAACCGTATCCAGAAATAATAACCGTAAACAAATAATCGAGGCTTTAAGCAACACCTAGAGTAACAAGTCTGCTCTTGATATCCATAGGCCTCATTGCCTGATTGACAACAACACTAGAAATACTGCCTATGCTGACGATCGAAACGTAACCTGGAGCGACCTCGTTTGCCAATACCTCGATGCACTTCATTGCCTCTTCTTTTGAAATTGGGGATCGGATCGACCCTTGTAATGATTGCAGAAGGGTTGTCGTAGAGAAAGAAACGCGCACTGCAGGTCTGTTGGCGCATAGGAGAGAGAGAACACCGAGGACCTCTGGGGTGCGTTGGAGAGCAGCTCTTCGCTGAAGCTCGGCGGGTGAGGGTGCGGCGGGTCCGGCTTTTGCTGCTTCCTGCTTTGCGAGAATGCGGTCGAGGAGGTTGGTCTTGCGAACGGCGGCGAACTCGGTGATCTTGGCTTGGACTGGCTGTTGATTCTGTAATGGAGTTGGCTCGTTCTCTTTACCACTAAATTGCCTCGTCTTCTTCTGCGCACGGCCCTGCTGCACGCTCTCCTTGAATTCCCTCAATCTTTTGCGTCCTTTCTCTTGCATCGGAGCAAGGGCGGTAAGAGATGCGCAAGTGGTAATATCGGCAAGAGGAAGCTGTGAAAGAAACTTGGACATGGAGGTTTCGTCCAGGAAGGTCTCAAGGCGCGTCTGCTTGATGTCGGCCTTCTTCGGCCGTCCACGTCCTCGCTTTGGCATCGCAATGGGTCGACTAACCATCTTCTGGGAAAGCGTCCACTGCGACCAAAGGCTGTCCAAGCCCTCCTTGAACATGTCTTGTAGCCCCTCCTCGTTCATGTGTGTCATGCCGCTCATCATTATGCTGTTTTCCTTGATCTCGATGCATATCTTGCCGCGTCCGTAGTCTGACAGGTAGTAGGGGTTATCCTTCCCGGAGGGACCGAAGTCGAGGACGCCGATGAGTAGTCGAATGTCATCGTATGTGACCTTGCGCTGTCGCCAGACCAATGTAGTAGATGCAGTAAGATCTCGAAGGTCGGCAGGGGTTGAAGTACCGTTGTGCGCGTAATGCAACGACAGGGCGGTAAGAAAAGATGAGTGTAGGGCGAGGAGATTGACGAGCTCAGCCGGGAGCTGTCCAGGAGCAATAGGCGACATTGTGTGTGATGATAGAAGAATTGATACAGCAGTGAGATAGAAGAATCAATGGGGAGAGCAATATGTGATGCGGAGGTCGAGTTGGCGTGCGAACGAGGGGATCGCTGAGTGTTTATCTCCGAGGGGCTGGCAAAACAGGAAACGACGCCCGACGCGACTTCCTTGGCGCGTTCGCGACGTGTTTAGCCCCATTTCAGGCGCGCTAATCAAACCGCCGCATTCGACGCGCAGGCTGCATTTCTACGACATGGCCAAATACTGCTTTCACCAATCATTTCCTTGCTTTTGGATACTACTCACGCGGGAGTGTCGTTCGGGTTGCCTTGTGGTTTGTTGAAGTAGTGCTTGCAAGCCTTCTCGAGGGAGCTTCTAGGCACTCTGTCCATGCTCCTTGAGAACGGGGAATTACCTTAGGAGTATATGGCCTCAGTCAAGGAGGGACTGGTACAAAGAATCGGATCATCGATATATGAAAGGAGACGGCGAAGTAGAATGCAAAGGGTGGAAAGAGTAGCGCCACTCGTGAATGTCATCTGAAATCGTATTGAGACGAGAAGATTGCACCGTAGGAACTCCAGTGCTCGACAGCTAATGCAAGACTCCCAACCACAGCTTCTCTCCAGCATTGATCCCTCGTAAGCTACAAAGTCATCTTGGGCTTATTTCCCGCCGAACCACGAGCCGAACCAGCTCTGTGTCTTTGCTGCCTTGTCCTCAACTATCTTGTCGAACTTGTTTGCTGCCGCGTTCACTTCTTTGCCTGCGCTGTGGTACTCCCTCTCAGCCTCGCGCTTTGCCTCCTCAAACTTCCTCTTCGCGTCGGCACTGTAGGCGTCGAACTTCTGTTCGGCCTTCTTCGCTTCGGCCTTGGCTTGGTCGGCCTGGTGGGTATTAATACAGGGTTGCCAATACCTTCACAAGCTTGTGACCTGCAATAAATGGCAAACTTACGTATTGCTGAGCGGTCGCGCGCACTGTCTCGTAGCCCTCCTCACCGGCCTTCTTCGCTTCCCTGTCGCGTCCAGGAAAGTCGCCCTTTACTTTCCGTACTGCGGTAGCCGCATCGTCTATGACAGCAGTTAGGCTCTGCAATTAATTATACTTGGGCGAACAGCTTACGCTCAAACTTCTTCTCCGCGAGCTTCGGGTCGCCTCCCGCGCTGTAAAGGTAGTAGGTACCCGCGCCAACAGCGGCGATACCACCATAGGTAAAGATCTTGCGTCCAGCCATTATGTTGAGATGAATTCGTGAATAATTTCGAGAGACAATTGGGTTGATGGAGCGTATAACGTGCGAATAAGCAATGAAGAGCAAAGGCAGAGACCACGGTACTTAAGGGAGGGGGAGCCGCGATGATGTCTTTCAAGGCAGGTCTGCTGTGACGTAATGGCCTAGAGCTTTCGCACGGCCCACTGGGCAACGGCGCGAACTAGATCGCCCAACTAGTCGACTCCGCAAACAAGGACAAGATGCAGCCTCCTTTCTCTTACTTTTCTTATGTATACTAAGCGTTGCTTCTAATTTTCTTTCTGCTTTACATTGTAATTGCTCCTACTATTGTGGCTTCCTGCGCGTGCAATAATTTGATTGCAGCCCCTAATCGTCGACGCACCGCACCTACCTGCTAAGCACACAAACTTGATGCCTTCACGGTAGCACGGCGTGGGCCTACTACTTCATTTCCCTTCCTCCTGCCTACCCTACCCCCTACAGCATGGCTGAACCGCAAATACACCTCGTCGACCACACCGACGGCGAAGAAACGCAAACGACCCAGTCTGAAGCACCACCGCCTACACCAGACTCGCACATCGATGTGCTCTTCGAGAACCAGCGCGGCTGGTTCGTCTTCGGCATACCCCTCTTTTCCTCGAAAGCGCTATGGAACTTCAAGATCGACCCCGCACCGTGGGTAGACGCGAAGTGCAAGCCCTCAGCCGTCAACATCACGAATGCACAAGTACCCGACCCTAGCTGGGTGTGGGACTGGAAGAGCTGGTATGTGGATATGAGTCTTGATGTTGATGAGGAGGGCTGGCAATATAGCCTGCTATTCAAAGGCTCGCCGTGGCACGGCAATCATCCGTGGTTTCACAGCTTCGTGCGAAGACGACGCTGGCTACGGAGGCGGGTCAAGCAGAAGTTGCCACCGAAGACGAAGGCGACTCAGAGAGAACGACTGTTTGGGGAGACATTCAGCATCAGTACAACACTGGCAAGGTCAACTACGATGGGAACGGGGACTTTGAGTGCACAAAATAGCTCCCAAGCGTCGCTAGATGAGGAGGTTCGAGACATATCGACATTGATGAGGAAGCTAAAAGCGGCTGCTATTGATCGAGAGAAGATCATCATAATTCACAAGTTCATTGACGATGGCGGGGAAGAGCTACATTATTTGGCGCAGCAGGTATGTCAACATCTCCTTCTCGTTTCAGTCTGTATGCATGCTAATCGTTTATAGATACCAATCATCATGTCAATGCTCGTTTTCCAAAACTCGCGCCGCCAACTCCTCTCCACGTTAATGGACCGCTTTGACGCCGCAAAAGACCACCGTGCAGAACACAAGAAGGAAGACAAGCCTGAAAGCGAGACCGAAGAACGTAGGATCGATAACTTGCTAAAGGCCGTCGAGGCAGCCGACAGCGAATGTAAGAAGCTGGAATACTGGAGTGATATCAGGAATCTAGCCGAGGAGGGCAAAGCTGGCGAAGCTACAGATCCCTCGAGAGGATGGGACGAGAAATGGCAAGGTCTGGATGGCAGCGGTGCCAAACACCCTGCGACTTGATTCAGGATACTATTGCATCGAGGAAGGCGTTATCAGGAGTTAGATATGTTTAGTGATATCCTTTGTTTAGTGGAAAGCGGGAGCTGAAGGACTTCAGCATTTCAGCATAGCATGGTCATAGACATTGTAATTACAACCACACCTAGTGCTACTCCTATCAAACAGCCTAGCCACCCTCACTTCTTGATATTCCTAACTCGTATCGGTCCCCGGATATCCCCCAGACTCTCCGCATCGACCACATCGCCTTTTTGCATGACTTCCACCTCTCCATTTTCCCGCTTCTCCCACATAAGCTCCCGGACATCGTGCATAGTCTCTCGCCAGTTCAAAACACCGAGCATCTCCAGCTCTCTTGACGATAGCGCACGGGCGATCTCGGAGGGACAGATTGTTTTAGGGTAGTTTCTGTTGCTCAACAGCCTGTTGGCGTGGCTCAATACAATCTCTTTCTGGGCATCATCCAAAGTCATACTGTATGCTACGCCTTGTTTCTTGGGTATAACAGATGTCCTAAGATTCTCGCAGAATTAAGAACAACCAGACGGCAATTTCTCAAAGGATGCTTGGTGTTCTTGGGCAGCTTGTGGAGCTCCGGCAGGAAGCGATCGACAGCATGGTTTAGCTAATCCCTTGACGTCAGAGCACCCAATCGGCGCACAGCAGAAGCAAACATCAACCACTTCCCAACGGATCGGCCTGCAGAAAAGCTGTGAGAGGGCGCAGCTTGTTTGGTTGCTGGGTGGTTGTTGTCTTGCCATGCGACTACGGATACCCCACGCTGCCTGTGGGCTAATAGCGGGGCCCTGTGTCACTTCTGCTGGTGTCTCAAATCCCCTCTTTTCCACCTTATCTTCTCGTCGAACTCTCTCGTCTCTTCACACTCCTTTCAGAGCGGCCCTTGGACACTCTTCGAAGCTACCTACACTCCGATCCTATTCACCCCGTTGGAAACTAGCCATGGCCGACCAAGGACCCAAGGAGGTGCGCAAGTACCTCCAGCAGTCGCACGATCGCATCTTTGAGAACAACAAGAAATGGGCCGAGGAGATGCGCAAGAAGAAGCCTGACTTCTTCAAGGGCCTCACTGCGGGCCAGAGTCCAGAGTATCTGTGGATTGGTGAGTTTCTCATATCCCCCAAGCCTCCCTTTCGTCCCATGTAGCTTGAAAGCGCCAGTTAATCCTCAAGTTGAGCCATTGGCATCCACGAGTAGATCCTAATGATTTCGACCTGTATGCTAATGAGTGAAAACAGGTTGCTCCGACTCTCGCATCCCCGCCGAAGCCATCACCGGCCTCGAGCCCGGCGAGATGTTCATCCACCGCAACATCGCCAACCTCGTAAACAACATCGACCTCAACGTAATGTCCGTCATCAACTACGCCGTTCGCCACCTCAAGGTGAAACACATTGTCGTTTGCGGCCACTACGGTTGCGGCGGTGTCAAAGCCGCCATGACACCCAAGGACATGGGTCTCCTGAACCCCTGGCTCAGAAACATCCGAGACGTATACCGGCTGCATCAGGACGAGATGGATGCGGTCATGGCCAACGGGGGCACTGAGGAGGACAAGTATAACAAGCTAGTGGAGTTGAATGTGTACGAGCAGTGCCGCAATATCATCAAGACGGCGGCTGTGCAGCAGTGCTGGGCTGAGAATGAGTTTCCCGTCGTGCATGGGTGGGTGTTTGGATTCCAGGATGGGCTGCTCAAGGACCTCAAGTTCGATCATGAGGGTCAGCTCAAGGAGATTCAGAAGATCTATGACTTGACCAAGGACTTTTAGATGTGAATCCTACTGATGGGCAGATAAAAAGGCTTACTATGTAGTATCGATTTAGCGAGGAGTTCGACTTGTGGGGTGGATGCTGGAAGAGGGGTTTCTGGCCAATTTTGGTTAAAGGAACGTTTAGACGGACTTGTAGGTTGTGATTTTCGATAGATAGAGTGTCGACCCAGACAATTTAGAGTATTTGGGTTAATTTCCGTTGTCCATCGAGGAGCGCTGTAACTGGGCATACAGCTGTAGCAATTGGTTGCAATTGATAACGCTAGCAAGTACCCGAAGTTACCCTGCCAGGGTATGATTCGCATCGTGGTGCTTATATCAATCGTCCTTGAACCACGGATCCTGAAGAATCTCATATGCTGACGCCCGTGCAGAAGGCTCAAACCGTAGCAGCCGTTGAACAAGCTCGCCTACTTTGAGTATATCTTCCCTGGTCAAATCCTCATTTCGTTCCCCATCGAAATACATTTCCTCTAACCATCCTTGGAGTGTATATTCAGATTCTTCTCCGGGTGCTGCGCTATCCATGGCGTGCCATGTTCGTTGCCAACGCTCTGGAAGTCCGTCGTTGGTCAGCATTCCCAGCATTTGCCGGACAAGTATTGTAGGCGTTGTCATGAAGCTGTCGAACGGCGGCTGGCCGACTACGAGCTCAAATAACTACCCAACCCCGTAAGCCTCATTTTCAATTACGAGCGATATCATTGTCATCGTCCATGTATATGTTTACAAAGGTCCAAACTCACCATACAGCCCATGCTCCACAAGTCTACACGATAGTTGAACTCATCCCCGAATATCATTTCGGGTGCGCGGACAACGAGTGGTGTGTGCAGCATGTCAGGGATCTCATTGCTCAGGAAAGATTCGCCGAAGTCAACAATTCTGATCGGAGAAGCCAATAATGACTTATGTACCGTAAAGCAAGTCGGTCTAACAAGGTATTCGGGCATACCAGGATCCAGTGGATTGCCGTCAACGCTTCTAAGGGATCCCGTTTCAGGTTTTCCAAGCTTTTGGAAGAACTCTTCTTCTCGTAAGGAATGTAGAGGAGGAAGAGTCAAGGCTAGATTGCGAGTATGTATATCTAGTAAGTATGAGCGAAGTCAGCCAAACAGCGAAAGGAACAATGACTTACCCCCATGTCCGATCTTTTGTGCATGCAAGTAGTCTAGTCCGACGAGAGCCTGTTTCGCGATTTGTTTTGCAAGTCTTCCGGGGAGTCTCTCGCCACGAAAGCGTGTTTCGAGTAGATCGGCGACACTTGGCCCCACTAATTCAAGCACGAGGCAATCGTGAGTTCCATTTGGACCATCGATCAGGAATTGGTCGAGCATTGACACTAGATGTGGAGAGCCAGGCTGTTCGGATTGATTTGCTCGCAAGACTTTGGACTCTCGGCTTTTTTCTCCTCGCTCTGATACGGAGACCTTTACGGCGACATATGTGTGCTCTCTAGTAGTTTGTAAGCCTTGGATTCATGAAAGGGTAGTGAACAGCAAAACCTCTGGTCTCTTACAGCCCAGACTGTCGAGTAGGCCCCCCAACCTAACTTGTGCAATATTCTGTATCTCCCATCCTTCAAAATATCACCTAGGCGGATAGGGTGATATCCACCCTTTCGATAGCGATGTAAAGGCTCAGCGTCAATATCGCAGGTGTGCAAAGGTTGACTCATCTGTGTTGTTGCGGCACATGCGAAGGGACGACGAGATGTAAACAACGACGGTAATCTCTCATAAGCTGCTATTCGTCGGACTAATTTGAGAGAACTGCGAGCGCTTAGTCCTTGTATACTCATGCTTCGGGCCGGACATGTACGATGAGTTGAAATCTGATGGTGTGGCGGTAGAGGGAGCTATGCGCCAAATCAGCAAATCGTATGTACTTGGCGAGCTACGCACTACACAGATGTGGAAATGTCAGGTATAGCGCCATACTCAGTGTAGCAGTATTTCATATCCCTCTCCTTCGCTCTACGTCAACTAGTACGCTCACACTCGTTTTGATTCACTTGGCCTGCGCGCCAGTGTCCTATCAATCATTAGCAAGAAATGCGCTACAAAGAATCCGCGAGCATACCAAATACACTTGATAAAAATCCATCTTCACCATCCCATCCTCCTTGACTAGATGCGCCCTCGCCGCCCACTCCAAACCCGACTCACCTCCCGCCTTCAGCCCATACTTGACCGTCCCGTACAACATAACTTCATCTGCGCCATCGCCAAACGGGAAAATCTTCAGCGGTTGATGTGATCTGCTCGAAACCCTTTCCCACATGCCCTTCCGCAGAGCGAGGATTTCTTAAAATGTGACTATTGTCAGTCGAGCAAGGAGAGTCTAAGCGCGATTAGGTGACGGCATACGATCAGATCCAACCGCTTTTTTCGATGCCATGATTAACGTCGCGTCTTTTGTAAAGTGGGTGATGTACTTTTCGTGCGCATCTGGCGTGTCTGATGTTGCGTAGAAGGTCTCGAAGAACTGCTTGTAGGCGGAGTCGAAGTCGACAGGTGGGTACGAGGATGTGTAGGCGCTCATTTTCGATTCAGGTAGTTTTACAAGCTTGTATTGGGACGCGATTTTGGTAATTGATGGATGTATATAGACTTGTAATCGCTACTCACGTATTACTGTTGACGTAGGCGAGTGATCGGATACGGGTCGAATGCGGAAGGGACACCATGGCTCGGGGAAAGCTCGGTCACAACGAGAAAGATCAAACAGCAACTCTCGTCTTCAAAATTGTGTTGTACGTACGAAGAAGTTTCAGACATTCGTTCATCTTGAGAAAAGCAGTTCTATGTTCGCCGTGGTCTTGTAAGGTGATGCTTTGAATAACGCCCATCAACAGACCATTTTCCGCTTCTATCCCAAAATCATAGCTTGATAGAAAACAAGCATAACACAAATCTGTCTTTTTCAGGTCCATGAGTCAGTCAGACCGATACTTAAGCACTCTCAGGACCCGGCCATCAAATCTTTCGAATCGTCAATGACCCTCGCCTTTCCGCCTCTTCCCCCACCTCGCCCGCCTCTACCTCCTCTACCACCCCTCTTGCCCTTTCCCTCGACATCACCAACCGCTTTCTCCCACTCTGCGACATCTACAACTACGCCATCCGGTAACTTCCCCTCACTCATCAACACGCCTCCATCTCTCTTCCTACTCTCCACGCGCTTGAAGAACTCATACGGCAAAAAGCCCTGCTCATTTCCTTCTGTCAGAATGACCCCATTCTCAGAGATGAAGAACTTGATACCAACGGCGAGCGCGGCAGTAATATCGATGTAGATGAGTATCGAAGAGTTCTTGCGCATACCAGATATCACGGGCGCGGCCTCTTTCTCTTCTGTGGAGCCCGTGGGTGATTCGAGCGACTTGAATCCAGCAGGGAGGCCGGATGCAAAGTGGATGTGATTCCTGCCCATGCGTCGTAGGCCGCCGCTCTTCAGGATAAGTCTCCACGCAGGCTCGTCGGTGCCGTGGACGACAGTTTCGGGAACATTACCTGCTTCTTCTGTGATTGGTACAAGTAGGCCTTCGGTGTCCACTTTGATTGAATGGCCTTGGTTGGCGCGGATAAGGTAGTCTGATGGATCGTCTGATTCTAGGATACTCTGGAGAGCTTCTGTTTCGAGTTTCTCCGGCTGTGGTGATGGTGCTTCGGAAGGCTGCTTCTGCTCGAGAGATGAGGAGAGAATCATAGAGAAGCGCTGTTTATCGCTACTTATAACTACTTCGCGGAGTTCAGGAAAAGTGATGTTGAGGGCCTTTAAGGCCTTGGTGTTTAGCTATGGAATGTCAGCATGTAGCTTCGAATATTCAAGCTCATGCATCGCGAGCAGATTCTAGTATCCCCAGAAATAAACCCGCTTCTCTTTTGCACGTCTTAGCCTTCCTAATTGTGCTTGTAAAGAAAGAGACAGAGATGGTATGAGATCAAACATACCGCATCCTGCACATTGACATATCCACCCTTACCCAACTTCAACCCCTCTTGACCCGCACCATGTCTCAACAACCAGCTAACCTTCCTTGAAATTTGCTGTTCCCGGGGTAAATTGGCCGGATTGCGACTTCCGCCGCCGCGTCCGCCTCTGGCCATCTCTCTAGTCGCTACCGTGAGAAGTTTGCGCGAAATTTTGCGGGTTGAGCTCAAGTCAAGACACCTCTGTCGGCGGTAGTTTTCAACACCGGAGCCTGTAAAAAAATTTGGATAATACAGAGTGAGTCAGCGTTATTGTAAAGACGGAGGAAGGGCGGTTGTGGTAGGCGCAAAAGGGAAAGGGCTAAGATTTGTGTAGCGTGGCGAGAGGCACGATGATTGGTTGCAGTGCAGCCGGAACGTTTGCCGTCATTTTCACCACCGCAATGTTGAAAGCCCAGTCGTCAAACAGTCCAGGCACAGAGGAGAAGCGTAAGAACTATCGTCATTTCATTGTATCCGATAGATTACTAACATGTAAGAAGAGGAGACAAAGCAAGATTCCCTTTCCCCTCGGATTCCTTGAAAGCGGACCAAAGTGTGATTTCCAAATCTTGGAACTCCAAGCAGATGTGCGGCTCATGTACTATCAGAAACAAGTATCACCGCTGTTGAGGAAAGGCGCGCCTGTAAGCGGCTGAGGTAGCCTCGAATCGCCAGATGCAATTTCCCACTATGCCAGTCAGAAGCCGACAAAACTTGCAGTTAAAGCATCCATGTATCCTGCAGACCTCGCTCTTCAGAGAGGTGGCCTGAGAAAGCGAGAGTTTCCCTATACAAGGGGCATCCATAGTTGTGCCTGTAAAAAAATCGGCTTTGCGATGAAAAGTGTCTAAGGCTTCGGCGAGGATTTGCTTCTTTGTTTGCAGTCATGCTGGCAGTCCCCGTCTAAGAGCTTCGGTAATCCAAATGCTTGGGCGTCTCGTACGCAGCCAATATGTTCATGTTGCCGTGCCGGGACCGAATAACTGTGCCAAATGAGCCTCGAAATACATAGTCGTAGATGCGACGTCTTAGTTCTTGAGGTAAAGAAAGTAGGTGGAGTTGGCTGAAAGCTTGGCCGTTGATTCAATGACGTCGACCTCTGCTTTGACTTCGGCGAGGAGAGGCAGTCGTGGTAGTAGGTGGTCTGACGTGGTCGACAGAAGATGCAACCCCTGCAGGCAGAGGCGCCACGTACTGCCGCTGCAGCGGCATTTTGTGTCGAGTGAGAAGCACAGAGGAAAGTAGGAGTGTCGGGGTACAGCTCAGCGTTGGTGTTTCGTGTTCATCTATTAAGTTGCTGACGGAGCGGTATGCAACAAAGATGCGGCCTTAAGTGATATGTATGGAAGCAAACGATAGAGCCGCCAGCTACAAACGGACTGAGTCGATCATCTTGTGACAAGAGACAGCAAAGACCGGCGTACACTAGAGAGCAACGCGAGCTGCAGTGCTGGGGTGTATCGATGCTTGCTGCAAATCATCAAGGCGTATACTTCGGCGGTGGATCTTCCTCACAAGTCCTCTCGATATCCCCTCGTCTTTGCCAAATCCTCGCCTCCTCCACTCTAGGGAAGTCCTCCGGGCCACTTCTACTGTCCAACAGCCCATTCCTCGGACTCACAACTTGACATTGACCTATTCCTCTCCTTGCGGCAACACCTCCTTGAAACATCAGCTCAGAGCCCTGCCCTACAATACGTGCCTGCTCTTTCCTATCGATACTAGCCCTCTCACGTGCCGCACAACAGAAACTACGAAAACACCAGATAAGCGCCACAATACCAAAAACGACGCCAATCAGGATACCCACAATACCTCCGGGGGATAATGTTGGCTCATTAGAGGTCTTATAACGAGGCCTCCTCGTTGCTGTAGCCCAGCTAATGTCGCTCGTGCTTGTCCTCGATGCAAGCGTCTCCGCCGTCTTGACTAGGATGAGCGTAGGACCATCATGTTTCTTTAGATTGAAGGGATCTTTTTTATTATCGAAGTGGCGTTCGCGGATGGACATCTGAATTGTTTTCTCATTCTGCACGCCGGAAATGTTGGTGGCTATGAAGTTGTATACGTACAGCATGAAGTTTTCTGTGCGATTCCCTGTGTTGCCGTAGAAGGTGGAGAAATTGTCGAAGCTTACAGCCAGGCCGGAGCCGGGGGGGTAGTAGGATGCTGGCCAATAGACTGCCTTTCAATCAGTACCTACAGCGTCATGGCTAAGAGAAAAAGACAAGATAAAACCAAAAGCGGGAAAAAATATCTTACACGGTATTTCTACTTCCGGTACACATATCCTAGTTCCATTTGGTGGGTAGCAAAACGCTGTGTTGGCAGCCGCTTGACAAGCTGCGATACCAGCAAGTGTAGTCGAGTTGGGTTTTATGGTAGTGCGTGTGAGACAATTCGCTATCATAACATTAGCTTCCGCGATTCTTGAAATTTAATTTCCCGCTCTATCTCCTTACTTGAATTTCCCGACATTTTGTTTTTGGTAAATGTAAAAAAAAATCCCCAGGACAAAGTTCTTACGCGACGTGGTTCCGCGAACAGCAGTCGAGATACTGACATAGCGGGCTCTCTATCTTTTATCTGTTATTACGGCCGTATCCACCTAGAACGCCTCACCAAGACCAGCTAAGCACTGCATCCAACTAGAAGGCATAAATAATTTAGTCGTGAAGCTTTGATTTGCCCTCTGAATACTAGGATGTGTGCCGACGTCCGGACATCCTGGCGAGGCTGTCCGCTACGATTGGGAAGCCTTGGCAACGAGGCGGGGTGTTGGTATCAAGCCATAGGCGGAGCTATAGCCGGTGAATGGCATAATTTCCAACTGACCAAGACATGAAAGATACACCAGAATGTAATTAGTGACCGGTACGCAAAGCTTTGTTCAGAGGAACTTGTTGATCGAGAGCTTGATGAAGGAATGCCAAGAAGCATCGCTTACCCATGCTCGCTCTTCAATCCGAACGAGGAAGGCGTACTGTGAGTGGACCAATTGGGAAAAGTTGTCAAGCCTCGTGAGAAACTCGTTATATACGAGGCAGCTTTCGTACGAATGCCAAATCTTGAGCCGCGGGCTGTGAACATGTTCTGTCGTCAGTCCTACCGGTGACCTAAACAGGGAGACAGGACTCACGCTCATGCTGAAGCAGCTTTGTTGACGCATCACAGCTATCCAAGTACCGCTTCGCACTGTACAACCTCGTATAGATTACTAGTAGTGGAAGTATTACTATCCGCAAAACGCCTTGTTTGAAAGGAGGCCGCTCTACACAATCAACCGCACAATACAAGCTCGTCGTAGTATACCTTAGCATGCGCAACCCTCCTTAGCACCCTCTGTTCGGGCACTACCCAGATTTACCCGCGCATCCTCTTGCCTGCCCAAGTTTGTCTGCCCGCCAACTCCGCGCGGTCCCTTCAAGCTCGTCTCCGGAATCGCATTTGCAATAGCTGTAAACACCTCCGCGACATTCTGGCCCGTCTTTGCACTAGTCTCGAAGAACAACAAGCCTTCTTCATCTGCGTATCCCTTCGCAGCCTTGGTGGGTACTCTCCTCGCGTCCGCACCATCCTCTACTTCATCTTCCTCGCCCTCAGCAGCCGGCGCTGCGTCTGCGTCTTCTAAGCTCTCCTCGCCGCTGGCAGTAGCAAGATCGTATTTGTTTCCTACGAGCGCGATGACGATGCCTGGTGAGGCTTGGCGGTGTAGCTCGGCGACCCAGTGCTGGGCTTTTGTGAGGGAGGAGGGCTTTGTGATGTCGTAGACGACGAGTGCAGCTTGCGCATTGCGGTAGTACATGGGTGCGAGCGAAGCGAAGCGTTCTTGACCGGCGGTATCCCAAATCTCAAACTTGATGGTTCTGGTTGGGAGGTTGCATTTCTGCGTAAGGAAGGCAGCTGTGGAGCGCATGTTAGCTTGATGTTCGCAAGTGGGAGGTATTTCCTGGGTTCCGAGAGCTCCTTTCCATGAATCTAATTATACGTACCTCCTATCGTGGGCTCCTTATTTTCCTGGAAGTCGTTGTTGACGAAGCGCATAACGAGTGAGGACTGGAGAAAGCATCAGCTACTTGCTCTCCATAGTGACTATACACGGGTGCCGCAAACCTTTCCAACAGCTGCCTCTCCCAGCAGCACCAGCTTGACGCTGCTGCTGGGTTTCGGTTGGGCGGAGGCGTCCGCCATTGTGAGTTTATATGCGCTGTCCAGAGCGTACGGTGGAATACCAGGGAGCAGCAAGGGTTCGAACAGGTACGGTTGACTTTGTCGAGCGATGAAACAACGACCCGAGATCGTTTCGCAGTCTGTAAATAATGAGAGCGGTTGGGTTGGTGCGCAGATGCTTTTGGTGTTGATCGCCCAGAGATGTGACGACGACACGCACGTGAGGCTTGGCTGACTAAGCTCGTTCTGGCAACCAAGTCGGTCGCTGCCTCGTACAGCTGAACTCTATCATAGCTTGCTAGATGTAAATTCCTTTCGCATCACTCTTAAAGTTTTGATACACCTATCGCCGCTTCTGCAACGGCAGTGCCATTGAATCTCCTATGAGATGGAACATCATCTAGAGGTACTGCTTAGTACCACCGTGGTACAGAAGGTCTCAATTTACATCGCAAGCTCCTTCAAAGAGTCCCAGAACACTGCGAAGTTTTCCGGTTCCTGTCTAGTAATGCACACCCTCGAGGACCCCACGACGATCTGAGACATGTCATAATCCTGACGTTCCGGAGGTTTCCACTGTGGTCTAGTACTAGGTGGACTACAACCTATACGCATTCTCAAGCAACCAAAGCACGAAGAGATCGAGTCTCCTTCAAGGGCCTCTGATGCAGCAGAAGATCGCCCCATTTTGGTTTGTGACATTCTATACTCACATGTTCACCCGCGCAGAGCTCTCCAGTACGAGTCCAGTACGAGATGAGTTGGGATTGCCTGCGACGACACTTGATATTGACCCGCAATGACGCTCTCGATCCAATCTTACACCTCTTGCCACTGAGCGTCGTCAATCCGGGAATTGTTGAATAGAGGTACGCTCCTCGGCATGTTTCGACGAGCTTAGTGCTGTAAGCGGGCTCTGGGGTGTATCTACCACGAGAAATCATCTGATGTCGCTTAATCACGGTTAATGATACCGTCTCTCCACTGTTCACCACCACATTCCAGACTTATTATTAGACGTCATTTCGAGCCCAGATGCTGCATCTTGCGGTAGTACATCAGTCGGCAACGGATAACGATCACGCAACACGCCAGCTTCTTTATTCTTGAAAGTAAAAAGTTTGGACAATGAATATGGCGATCTGACATCATTTTGTGGGGATGAAACTTGCTTTGCCACAGATTGTTTGGGGCAGAAATCGCCGGGACCACAGGAGTGTGGCAGGGCGAGCGCACGTGCGTGTGAAGCACAGCCTTTGGACAAAATTGTGGGATCGAATCGTCTGACAGCCGTTCTTAGCCAAGATACAAAGGCAATGGACGGCGAGGGACCGGAAGACGCAAGAAATTTGGCTCCGAGGGCACTGATAGTGGCGGCAGTACCCCTCAGCCAAGGGTCCATCTGTCCTGTCAGTCAGTGAAGTCAAGGCCATTGCTGGGATTCCAGAACCGGAAGCTGCGATTGAACCCCTCAGCACCTGCATATCAAGGCCATGTCAAATGTAGACACACGAAAAGATTATTTGCGCGCAACACGATGCGAATAGGGCGAGTCTCCGGTAAAATTGATTGGAAGCATGAAACAAGGTACCGGAGCAAGCATGGCATTCTGACCAGACAAAGAAAAAGACGGTGCGCTCGCAAGCACGTTTCAGTCGCTGTGGGCTTCAACAACACAAGACCCATGTACGGCCCGCCCAGACACGCGATCTGGAACTGCTGTCCATCGCTGATCGCGCCTAGAGCGGACGGCAGCTGGTCCAGACATGACTTGCAGCAAGGAGCGGCTTCGACGGCTGGCAAAGGCAAAGCCGTCATGTGTCGTTCGCTGAAAGGTGCCGCAGCGACCCGCCGCAGCGAATGGCAACGAGACGAGGGTGGCTTGGGCGACAGGCAGGCGATTGGAGCAGCCGCCAATATATGCACAATTGACTGTGCGCGAGACCGATGGCGATTGATGACGCCAAGCGCGCTGTCTCGCAGCCAGAGGGGCCTCTAGCTAGGCGAGCTGGAGGGTCTGCCAGCTGCGAGATTTCTGGATGGCATGCAGAAAGTGGCGGAGAGATGATGGCGATGGCGCGACGAACTGATGTTCATCCAGGCGAGGATCTTTGTGTAGCTCAGTGCTAGACAGCGCAGTGATCGCTGGCCTTAGCCACGGCAGCTGGCACTCTCTCCAGACAAGCGCTCGGTTCCCCGTGGCCATTGATCCGCCCGGGCTGGCGCCAGCGGCAATGGGAGCAGATCGACGTGCCCAACGCGGGACTAACCCAGTGTCGATGTGTGCAATCATGCTCGAATCACTGAAGCGGGGAGAGGCAGGCTTTGGCTGGCGCGCTAAACTTGGTCTCTCGCGACTATACTCTAGTTGGGCCGCGCCAGGAACACGCACAAAGAATTCCTGCTTGCTGCCAGCAGAGGCCATGGCCATGGAAGAATGATGGGAGATGATGGGAGAGATTGAGGGCGCGCGTCGACTGCTGAAACACGCACTTCAGTAGCGCGAGGGAGACGCCGCGCACAGCTTCGCTCTCACGGACCAGTGCGGCCTTTTATAGAAAGTGGCAGACTGGGATGCCTCGGGGCAGGACTGGGACATTCTATCTATTGTACCGCACCGGTACCTGTGAGGGGACTCGCCGATGGCTGGCTAGGGGGTGGGTGGGCACTTATCTGTGATCACGTTGGCGAGCCCTGGGGGCGTCCGGCTGACCCCAAGCCGCGTGCCATGCTCGCTCGCAAAGCAAACTAATAAATCGTTCAAAGATAAAAAGTTGCGGCGCTGCAATTGCTGCAACAGTCTCACTGCCCTCCTTGTCCTTGTCCCTGAAGACTATCCTGCTCTAAGCCTGAAACTTGGTAGTATTGGCCGCATTTCGCAGGCGCCGCGCTCGAGACACCCCCGTCAGACACACACAATAACGCCATATCAAAGGCATAGGCACAGGCGTCCAAGTGGGGTCCTATCGCATTCCAGCATCTGTCCACACTGCACCACAGCGGTTTTTTGGTCCGAAGCGCCCTGCACCCGCGAGCAACTTTCTTTTGCACGCTTCCTGAATAAATATCATACACGCCCGCTCCCTGCCCTGCCTTGCCCTGCATCGCTCCTCGGACCCCCGATCAGCCGCATCTCGCTTTATCCCCCCCTCGACCCATCGCCGACACGCCCGCGGCTGTGCAACAAGTCCGCTGCCTTGCTGACGAACCCCCCCGGAGAACAAAGCACACGTCGACGGCTGCCAACCTTCTCTGGCACACCATGACTGTCCTCAAGGTACGTCTGCCTCTTCTTGACAACTGCACAATTGCACCTCCTGCACTGCGCTAACTTGCTTCCGCCATCCAGGAACCGATTGCCGTTCGACCAGCGAGCCAGCACCGCCACTCTGGTAACATCATGGCCGGCTCGCTCCCCAAATCTCGTCCGCATTCGCACTCGCTCTCAGTGGGCTCCCTCAACTCGGCACATCGTGTAACGCGCAGGAAGAGCATGAGCTCGACGGCCGCTAGCAATGTCGCCGCCATGGCCGCTGCGGCCAAGGGCATAACTGGCGCTCCGCTTGAAGGCAGCGCCAGCGGACAGCGCCGCCCCTCGAAGCCTGCGGCGCACTTCCGGGGCCCCAGCGTGGCCTTGAACTCGACTCTGGCGTCGAGCATGCCCGGCAATGGCTCTGGCTCCCCCCCAAGTAGCTACGGTGCTGCTGCTGCCAAGAGTGAAGCAGTCACCGACGGGCCAACGCTCGCATCCATGCCTGAGCACGACGCGGGCAGCTCCAAGTCGCGAATTCGTCGCGCGAGCGAGGGCTCCAGCCTGTCCAAAGGCGATAGCAAGCGCACAAGTGGTAGCGAACTGAGATGTGAAAAATGTGGGAAAGGATACAAACACAGCAGCTGTCTGACCAAGCACCTGTCAGTAACCCTAAGCCCGTCACTGTCCTCCCACATACTTTCACGCCTCATGGAGAATGCCCTGTCGTCACTTGCGCGCCTACATAGCCTGCATTTGTTTCTTCAAGTTCTGCGTTGACTTTTGATCTAGTTGGGAGCACACGCCAGAATGGCAATACACGTCCAAGCTGCTCATCTCCAAGCACCAGCAGGTGCAGCTGCTAGAGGCCGCTTCAGTCCTCGTTGCCATGAACATGAACAACAAAGACAGCGACGGTGGCGAGAGCGATCGCTCGTCGCCTCCGGCCTCGGGCTCGTCTGACCGACGTGAGGAGCTGAGCTCCACCGAAACTACCCCGCCCCCGCAAATTGAAGACCATGCCGTGGGCTCCTACCCTCACTCGGCCTTTACAAGTCGCTCTATAAAGCGATATTCTACCAACAGCTCTGCCTATAGTCACTCGTACCAGTCCACCGTATTTTCCGATACCGGAAATAGCGGCCACTTCCGCCAGTGGAGCAACGTGTCCGACCGTCCCACGACGTCAGGCACCTCGGTGGCAGGCTCATATCATGATGATGGTAATGACCATGCGGACCTCGCTGCCGCTGTGGGGCTGCTGAGCTGCTCGTATGGGACGCCCAAGTCGGGTCCAGTTGCGCTTCCGCCGGATGTGCCACCTGTGCCCCCGCTACCAGCCAAATTTTTGGACTTTAACAATGGCCGCACATTGTCGGGCAGCACTACCGTGACGGCGCAGCAGTCGAGCATGCGCAACAGCTATCGCTTCCGCAATGAGAGCAAGGATGTTGACATGGACGACGACCAGTTTGCCGACGAAGAGGACTATCGCCAGTCCAATTCGCGCAGTCGCGGACGCATCGAAGAGGACGACGACGCCTTCTTCGGAAGGATGGAGGAGTAGCGATAGCGCTTCGACGCCGTCCACACTTCCCACGACCTCAATATGCCCTTCTCTTTCTCTTTTTAATTGTCCATCTGTTTCCACCATTCCCGGCCTGTAACACAACGATATTAGCCATTTAGCGATTTATCTCCGCAGACTCTACCTGCGCACCCCGTCTCACGAAGTACCGAGGAGAGGGCCTTCATCCCACGTCGAGCTCTTGAGGTTGAAGCTTCGCGATATCGGACCAGGTATCGAGAGTAATGCTCTTGCGTCGAGTGCCCAGCACAATTGCTACGATAACCATATACCGGAGTTGCGTATCTTTTTGTTTATCCTTCACCAATCTCTTTCGACATTACCACATATATCAATAAACCCATATAACTTCACATTTCAAACCAGGACGAAAGGGGAGGATGGGCTTGGAGACTTCTGTTGGACATCTAGGGAGCGTTTGGATAGCGCAAACATCTTGACTTTTGGTTCGACGACCGTGTATATTCGGCTGGCCAGCAAAGAGAGATGACGAATGGAATATGTGTGATGGATGCTATTGTAGGGAATTATACCTGTAATGCAACTGTCTCAAATCACAACAAAGTTTGCACTACGAAATGATGATTTTTCTGACGTGGTATGGAGAGTTGACGAGAAGGAAGAGCAGAAAATAGCGGATGAGCGGCAGAGGAGATCTCGTTCCCTTTAAACCCGCAGAGAAGAAATCGGTATCGACAAACCCTTTACCCTTTCCTCCTACCACCGTACTAGCTTGACAATCCACAGCTGCGTATAGGCTAGTGTTCTGCCTCTTTTGATGCATTCAGGTCGGCCGGCCGGCGGCGGTACTACTAGCGTGCCGCGAACACTCACCACTCGCACCTTCCAGATTACACTTGCCTCGTCCTTGCAGGCACTCCACGCACGCAACGACAACCATTTAACAAAAAAAGGAACATGTTTAACAAATTCAGCTGTGATAAGTAGAGCAATTGAACAGTAAAGTAGATGCGGGACGGGCTTGGAGGGGGGGACTCGACTATATACCTAGGTACCCACAGTTTTAGCCAGCCCCAACCACCGGGCTCGCAAAGGCAAGCTATGTCCCCCCCGATCGCCATCGCGATCTGCACGATCTTGTGCGCTTGGTTTCGTCATTGGCATCCTTTTCGCTGCGAATGGGGTAGGAATCTGCGGCTTACTTGCGCCGGCTGTACTTCCGCGTCGAGCAGTGGGAGATTGGGATCGTCTGGTTTGGCGTTACGTTTGCGTTTGCCTTGCGTGTGATGATGCGTGTGATGGGCGGTTTGGTAATGTAATGTAATGTAGGGTGTGAGGTGTGAGATTAGCATGGTCAGGTGGTTGTGTAGAGTTGGGAAGGTGGGAGATGGGGGATTGAGGGTAGGAGGACTTGGGGGAGGGTGGGCGCGGCGTGAGGTGGTGGGAATGTGGTTTGGAAAGCATGACGACAGGAGATCTGCGGTTTCGTGAGATAGGATTTGGAGGGGTAGTTCTGGGGGGACTAAGGTTTCGAGTAGGATTTGATGATGGTGACTCCCAATACTCCGAAATAGCGTTCACAGTATCATAGCTCGCTGCCAGCATGTAATCGATGCAGTCCTCGAGGAATCAATACCCGTCACCCTCATCCTCATACCTCAGCATCAACTCTATCTTCTTCACAGGACCAAACTTCCTGGTTGGCTCGAGGTCGAATAGGTGATTCGGGGAAGCACCAGTAGAAATGCACGAATTATGTTGCTAGTCGCACTTTCTGCTTGTTTTTATGAATTGGACTTTGTTCTAGACTGAGAGATAGTCCAGAAAGCGAACAGAGCTATGCGGGATAGAATGGCTTATGAGCCGCTCTAGCACCCAATGCTCGAGCACCTCCTCAAAATGAGGACCCTGGCATACTTGGTTGTGGAAACTGGGGGAAAGCAGAGAGCTATAGTCGCTATGCTGCACCATAAATCGAGCGGAAAAGGTCTGTAACTTCTCGAGCGAACTCATATAGTCCTATCGCCATGATGTGTCAGTTCATAAGTGTCAGTTCATAAATGTCAGTAGCTATAAATATCAACCTTGCTCATCGAGATTTCTGGCTTTGTCATTGTATATTCCGAAAATGGGGCTGTAATTTCATCTATGGCGATGGCGTCAATCCATAATCTCAAATGCCGCAATTCTAGACAAGTTGACAGGTACTTTTCAACCACTCATTTACAAGTAATACCCCTTGGCCATTACTTATGAAAGGTAGATTGAGCGAGGCGGCGTGCTTAGTGATAGCGTTTGCAAAAGTAGAAAGATTCAACCAGCCCTTGGAATGCAGGATGAGCTCTCGTAGGTTGCTCAATTGTGCTGTGAAGTGCAGACAGGATTGGAAGGTAATACATTATCCGCCTCTGACCATCAGTGCCCTAAGCGCGAGAAAGTTCTCCGGCTTAGATACGAAGAATCCATCCCACTCTATGCAGTCCACAAGAGCGAGAGCGCGAACTGCTGGGAACAGAGTACTTTGCAGATAGAGTGACGTGTAGCCGAACTTGCACTCATGGAAAGTCAGTCTAGTGATATTAGATACGAAGGATGCCGGTGCTAGAGATCGACCTATATCATGCCCATCGGTTGTGGGAGCTGAGTGAAGCCGTAAGTGCGCTTGCGCTGTATTTGTAGATCGTCTGATTAGTTGAACATGTTCGTTGGTAACGTCAGAGCGAGTCTTCATCGTCAAATCAAGCGAATGAAGACTGGGGGGGCGTATAGCACTGCCAACGAATTCCTGAAGACGGAAATCTAGTGGACCTTCGATGACCGGGAGTTCTATCTTTCTGAGCACTTGCTGCGTCTCCAGCAAGATCAGAAGTGTCCTACTGGATAAATTTCGTGCAGAAGATGCCGGCATCGTGAAGCTAATAACGCTTTAGCTCGGTAGATATCGACTGGTCCCACGCTTACCTGAAAGAGGGCAACTGGTGTCGGCGCAGGGCTGCTACGAGTGTGACAGCGACCAAGTCTTCAATTTTCTTGGGCTGGTCATTCTCCTCATATAACGATTAGATTTGAAGATGTCGAACATATCGCAGACCGATTCCAGATGCTAGGTGCTTCCAGGCTGAGACATTTCTCGCAGGGCCAACAATACGGTCGTACGCCATAGGATATGCGTGCCCCCACAAAGCGACAAATGTCTTCGATACACTGATATGATCCCGCTGACTTAGCTATAGCACTTGTATCAGCTGAAGCCACGCTCCCTCTCTTACACGGCTTGCACCCACCTCAGCAAGGATGAGTTTGAGGTTCTCATATGGCGTTCGGAGTAGGTGACACGGCAGGCTCTCCGCTTGAGACGCCATGGTTGTCGTGATTTCAACGGTTTGTCGAAGCGAGAATAAAGATGAGTACAGTGAGGCGTGCGATTTGGTGAGGGGCGTTCACCCTGCCCTCCCCCAACCGCGCAGTCACGGGACAGCGCGTGTCTTATGGTTTTGACTTTCTGAGAGCTCTGATGAGCTCAAATATCATCCCCGGAGCAGTCTCCTATGCTAGTTATGCATGGCCGAGTATCATTTTCGGCCCTTTCATCGTCCAATTGAGGTTCTCTTAATCAAGTCGGCTCCAGAGGGGTATATAGACGATGTGCAAGAAAATGATATGGGATTTGAAGGACTAGTAGAGAGCAAAGAGATACCTGATACGAGGAGCGATTCGGATTCAACACTTTCTGTCCTCGCTATAACTGAGTAGATGAAGATCAAAAGCATACCGGTATGTGTAACAAGAGATGATCAATGTAAGATCCTAATGAAGCCCCTGTGTGGCCATGATCAATCCCGTGTATTAGATCACCACTACAGTACTTGCAATGCAATCCGGTCTATCAGTAAAACGTACAGGAACATTCTGGTCAAAGTTTTGTGCTGGGTCGATGGGTGCGGTGCCTGAGTAATGGCGTCACTGACTGAGGCCTTCCTGGCCGAGCCGAGACCCTGACGATCTGCCCGGGTGTGCGGCCGCTACCACGCTCGCGCTCAATGCTCCTGCATCATAGCCCACAACATCACGACTCACTCAATCCATGCCAAACGACTCGATGCCCTCCGACGAGCGCTAGCCCTCTGCTCCAATGCACCCGGTCGTGTCTCTAATTGCCGAGAATGTCGTCAAATACCACCAACTGTTCGCTCCGCTGCTGTTCAGCATCGTCGCAGCTGTCGCAAACGTCCATTCCCCCGTCCAACACTCGCTGCTCGTGACTGCCGTGTCATGGCTGCTAATATGGATGCCCATCATATTCCGAGTAGGGATTTATTCGAAGAGTGGCAGCCAAAAAAGGAAGACAAGCTGGCTCGCAGGTGCATTCTTAGGTCTGTCCCAGATATGTGACAGAGCTGCTTGCGACAAGGAGGGGATCTGGGCGACAAAGGTAGTTAAAAGACTAATATCCGGGTATTTTTGGGTGACTGATTTGTCTATAGGCTTTCGTCCCGCTCTTCGCTGTTCTCATCTCCCAAAACGAGTTACTAGCAAAGCACATCGCATTGCCTTCACACACACTTCTCGATGACCCCGCGGCAAAGACCACCACCCCTCCTGAGACCCACGCGTATACTGGCTCGTACCGAATATTGGCTGCCCTCATCGTCTCTGCGAGTGCTGTCCTCGCCACCTACGTTGCGCCTACAACCTCCGCTCTCGGTTTCAGCAGTGCCATGTTTGCGGCAACCGGCCTGGTGCTATTCGAGGCGGCCATGAAAAGTGCGGAAGATGATGGCGAGAACAACACACGCGGGTTGGTATCTGCAAATGGGTCCTTCTCACGCCGAAATTCGGTAGGCGGCGCCCAAAGAGAACAACAGCTAGCAGTTCTGAGAGATGTTGCGGCTACCATTACGACAGCATGCGGCATTGCATCCTATCTAATAGAGCCTTCCATGATTGCAAACATGATCTCCTGGGAGCCAGTTTACAGATCTTATGGCCGGGACTGGAGAACTGTACACAACTACCGGGTTCTGCAGCAGGTTCTGTGGATGATACCTATAAACGTCACTGTGAATGTCCTTACTTTCATCATGGTAAGTATCGACCTTGTTTTGTATGCAACTTTAGCGCGAACTCCAACTCCAATTTGCACCTCAATGGAGGATTTCGTGTGCTGGAGTCGTATCACCACCGCATTCGATCGCTTGCTAACGGTGCGTTATAGCTTTTCCAGCAAGGCGCTGTACATACATCCCTTTTATCATTATTTTCATACACATGCGCGAAGCTGCATTTCACACCTTCATTTTCGGGTATATGGTTCACCATTATATACGGCTCATCGGCGCTTCTTAATTCATTCGGGTCGTCATTTTCTGTCTCTGTTTCCGATATACGGACTTCTATACGGATTAGACGCATCGTGTTTGGAGTCACGACGCTTTCGATTGGAGTTTTGCTGTTCCGTTACGCATATGGAGCACGCTACTACCGATACTCCCTGGATACTTCTCTCGCCTTCCCTAGTGTCCCTCCGCCGTCGCCCTTTGATCCCATGCAGGTCGACCTTAGCAAAGGACATCCAGCCGCTCAGTTGATCAATGCTGCGGAGACCGACTTTCAGAATACCCTGAGTCGGCAATCGAAATCTCTTGCTGATGCTGTTCGGGAGTATCGCCGGAGACACGGAATAGCGCCACCTCCACGTTTCGAAAAATGGTACGAGTTTGCCACCCGCAATAGTGTAGTGATGATCGATGAGTTTGATACAATAAATCAAATGCTACTTCCATTCTGGGCACTCAAGCCGGCGACAATTCGATCACGTATCACCAACGCGCTTGGCCACGAAGACAGTGCTTTGATTGCAGTAGCCATACGAAACGGGGCGGTGGAGCATTTGGAGAATGGTGATGAATGGCAACAACAAGCCACTGCTGGTATGATGAAGGACTTCGTGGAATACCTACCCGATATGGACCTCGGCTTCAATATCCACGATGAGCCTCGAGTGGTCGTACCCACCAATCTCTTGGCTTCTATGATTTCCAAAGCAAGAGACGAAGTTCTACCGCGTGCTGCAAAGATTGCTACACCTCGGAACTCTTTTTCAGCCCGCCCCACGGAGATGAACGACGGTAAACGCTTCGCCGAAACAAGTACTACCAAGTTCAATAGGTTTGCGCATCAGCAGACGTGGACACACTCCCGACTATCATGTCCTGCCAACACCCAATCGCAGACATTTGAAGATTACGCGGCCGACAATCTTACAGCTTTTTCCGCCAGTCCACTTGGCTACCTCTACAATGTGACCGCTTTCTCTGACATCTGCAACTCGCCCTCTCTCTCATCAACTTTCGGTTTCTTCGAGCGACCGAACACCTTCAACATCATCCACGAGCTCACGCCCGTCTTCTCACAGTCCAAGATTTCTAGCTTCCAAGATCTTCTTTACCCTAGCCCGTGGTACTGGATCGGCAAGGTGGGCTACAATGAGAGTCATGACACAAACTGGGAGAACAAGACCAACAGTCTCTATTGGCGCGGTTCCACCACAGGTGGCTTCAGTCGCAATGGCGGCTGGAGACGTCAGCATCGTCAACATATCGTTCGCCGCCTCAACGCTCCTGACAAAGCACAGATTGTTGTGCCTGCTCTCGAATCCGCCGATGTTCACGCCGATCAGACAGCCTACTCTCTTGTAGACATCGACCGTAGATCTCACAAACACCTCATCGACGTCAAATTTAGCCACGTCGGCCAGTGTGACCCCGGCGACTGCGAAGCACAAAAGGAATTCTTCCAAGTCACGGATCGCGTTGACGGCCAAAATGCCTGGTACAACAAGCACTTGCTCGATATGGACGGTAATGCGTTCTCTGGACGCTTCTACAGCTTTCTCAAGAGTCGTAGTCTGACGTATAAGATGGCTGTCTTCCGCGAATGGCATTCAGAGTGGCTACGCCCGTGGGTGCATTACATACCCCTCAGTTTGAGAGGTGATGAACATCTAGATCTGATCAAGTGGTTTGGTGGCGATCATTCCACTGCGGAAAAGAGCCCCCCGAAGACAGAGAAGATACCAGACAAGGGCGGAAATGGTGATTCGCTAGGTGAGCGCAAAGCGAGAGAGATTGCTCAACGAAGTACGGAGTGGCATGATAAGGTACTACGGAATGTGGACTTTGAAGTATGGCTCTTTAGGTTGTTGCTTGAGTAAGTACATCAGTGTGAGGATCATGTCGTGTGCATGCTAACAGTCAAACAGATATGGCAGAGTCGTTGACGACAATAGAGAGGAGATAGGGTATCCCGGACCGTAACAATCCGAGCCTTTTGTACAGTGGCTTCCTAGCCTGATTGTATATGGTGGTTTAGACTCATGTAGCAATACTGGTATATATGGTGAGGTGTTCACCTAAGACAATTACTTTCCAAAGCACTATCACTCGCACTGGTGATCACTCATAACCTCCCTTGCTTCATCAACGCTCCCTAGCGTTTCGTATCCTTATACTGATAGTCCGCTAACGCATCTACCATCTAATCTACATGCCCCGTGGCCATGCACAGAGTAGACATGGGGAGCTTGTAAGCAGCAGTAGGAAATGTTTGAGGGGCCTACAAAAGAACAAGCCAGATTCCAGTGTCCATCCCAATCCCGATCTTCTTGTCATTCCCAACATATCAAATCTAGCCCTCCAACACGTAGAGCCTGCATCAAAAATTCTCACACTCCAATACAACTTGTTTCCTAGCCATACCATCCCTCGCTGCTCGAAGACAACAAGTAGGAAGTTAAATCTAAACGAGTGAACATTTATGATTTATTACAGAAATTCTTTACCATCCGCTAAAAAGACGACAGAGAAAAAGTCTCAAGGCTGATAAGCTGTAGATGAGTCAGAAGGATAGGCCTCATAGCGCGATATAACGGTTTGTGAATATTTGCACTCAAACACTGGAGCCCTGGGTAGAGTCCGATGACCATTATTTTCTAGTGTGATTTTATGAACTTGGGATGTTCGTGCTATTCCATGAAATCATTTGATAGTTTGGGATACTGGGCAGTTTATCAGGTTGAGAGTGTGTGTCAATTGGATTTGAATCCCGGTATGAATTCATGATCAAATTCCTTGGGATGCACGAAATCGCATGGTGAAGAGTGAGAAATGAAGTGGTTAGTAGAATCACGGGGATTTAAAACTGGATGGTGAACAAAGTTTCGCTGCGGACGAGTCCGTTTCGCACTCCCGCTGATTAATTTTAAACGGTTGAGACCTGTTTATTTTTCTGATTCGGCATGAGATTTAGAGTAGTAGAGACAAAATCTGATCTATAATGCCTCCAGTGATAGGCGTTTTATAACGAGAAGACACGTCCGGGTACATGGAGTGCTGTATTAGGCGAGACCTATTTGGATCTACAAAGCAATGGGCACGACTCGGCTGGGCAATTGCACGGGACACATTTTTTCCAAGCTGAAACAAGGCGATCAGCTATATTTGTTACTGATATTAAGGCACCCAAGCGTGTGCAGAAACGACAAACTCTTGGATAACATGATCCCTGTCAATACCTGTATTTCAAGCACGGGATAGCCTTGCTAACATACATGGCCGATATCGCCTGTTGCTTCTTGCGATGTTACCATTTGTCCCCTGTGATACTACATCGATATAACAGGAAGGTAGGAAACAGTGAAGCGGGCGTATCCCTAATATGCCCGAGGGATCTTCGTTGCGCGTATTGCATGCCGTTCCCAAACTCGAAAAGTCGAACGAGTCTTCGCATACCCTGAAGTTACTCGGAGAGCAATAATATTGGACTTATGTTCCATGTTGGGGCTTTCGATAGCGGGTGCGTGCTCTTGCGTCCGTACTAGTGATGGGACTCAAATAAGGTATGCTATAACGCTCCTCGAGAACCACTGCAGCCAGCCGAGACGGGTGAGATTGCTTGACGGTCCGAGTGTTGTTAATTCGAATTGAGAGATAGCCTTCTTCGGCAATATCTTGACCTCGGCGATGGTTCACTGAATGGGGTCCTCTTGAAGGAAGTCGAAACGGATCGTTCATGCTCGGACATTGCCACCAGTAGCTTTAAGTACGCCGGCAATATCGTCTTTCAGCTCTGGCATCGCATTTGTAAGCTGCCATGCGAGCTGCTCTTGTAGCAACCGGTACGCGTCAGCGCGGCCTTTCAGCATTTGGTTCATTCGCTGTACAGTCTCGACAAACTCGCGGGTGAAGATGTCGGGATTCCTGGAGTTCTCAACATAGGTCGTGACCTCGGGAGGGATGTCGATGTGTACTGAAGGTGCCGTTCGCGACAGCTTCACGAGATTTTGAACCAAGGACTGGCTGCGCGCTACTATTAGCCTCACTTTACGAACACGTCGACTCGGATGCAGGCTGCATACATCTCTCGCTTCATGGCCTCTTGCGTCTTGCTTCCATGATGGTCAAATGACTGTACGATAAGGTTGTAGAGATTTTGCACGATGTCTTTCAGTTGTGCTTCTACCGCTAGGATGGCTGCTGCGTTGAGCGTTAGCCTATGTTAAGAGGGGCAGAGCAGGTTCATACTATCAGATCCTGTTGCAGCCATATTTTTGGAAGTCGCGAGGGCGTGAGTTTGCAATCAAGTGTTGTTAGCTTGAAAGTTGTTGTAGCTGATGTGGTGGTGTTGAACATGCTCAATAAAAACGACGCCAAGATCTCGGTCGGCTAAACGAACCCCGGGACGCCGTGGAGCTCTGTCGTCATGACTGGCCTCTTCACTCTTCAATTTCCTAACAGCGACTTTCATCGAGACCCGCGCTGCACAGCGCGCTATCACGTGCTAAACCGTAGCCAGCAAGGAGAGAAAGGATGAATATCAGGCTATGATGTCGGAAAGCACGCCTCGGGATCCCAATGTCACTCCATTGCAGCCACCAAGCCATCTCATCACAACATCGTCTACCCTAGGAGCCACCGGAGGCAACGTACCAAATCACACTCGTGCAACTAGTGCAACACGCGCGGCGGAGACACAGAAGTTTCAGTCCGACACCACTACGGACAAGGCAACTGCAGCCTTCATTCGACGCACTCTCTGCATTCACAATGTACTTCTAGGCAACGGCGAAAAGGGGCGCACAACACCGCGCCCCATTGACGAAGTACTGCCACCACTGACTAGCTCAAACGAGGTTGATCTCCAGCTCTACGCTATCATCTCTGTCATCATCAAGGAGTTCGTACATACGTGGTACTGGAAGATCACCCCTGACCATGTGTTTGTTAACGAAGTCATCCAAATCATCGCCCACTGTACTAGGGCTCTCGAGCAGCGTCTCCGAAAAGTTGACCTCGAAGCGCTATTGTTAGATGAGATCCCTGAGCTGCTTGAAGCCCACCTGAGCTGTAGGTGATTCCGATCCTGGACCGTTGCATGAAGGTTTTCTGATTACCCCTTTGAAAGCTTTTCGCCTGGCGAAGCAGCAAGCCACCTCGCCCAATTCACTAGTTTCGGACCCACGTCTGGTCTATCATATGCTCCACCCGCACCCTGCACTCTCTCCTGTTCCGACGGACCTTGTGCCGTCGACTATTGTTGAGCAGCGGGAGAGCGAGTCTGCATGGCGCCAGCTACTCGTCCAGGGAGTTTTGGCTGTACTCCTCCCCACCGAGGACTTGGAAAACGGATGTCTTCGATCTCTAGTGGCAGAGATATTTGCCGAAATGATCCTCGGAAACGGCATTAGCGGGAAGGCCTGTGAGGGCTGGTTGCTCTGGGAGGGTATTACGAGAATAGCTGAGATTTTGCAGACCGATGGCACGAAAGAGAAGAATTCCCAATCAGAACATATCAGTCCAGAGGAGTCGCTGACCCGTCTGGAGCGCTTTGGGCTATTGCCCTCGTCGACAGATGAACAGACTGGGTTGTCGACGCCACTGGTCGCCAGGGAGCATCGTCATAAGACTACACCCGTATCCATCTCGGGTGTGTTCTGGGCCGCCGTCCAATTCGTATTTCTGGCGTGTATAGCGGCGCGCGCGGTGATCTTGAGTCTCGCGACATCATCTTCCCTGCCCTCAAGATCTGTCATCACCGAACAGTCACCTGTCGAAGCATCAAACCAATCGCAAACACTACATGCCAACGCTTCGACCCCCAGGCGCCCGTTGGGAATCAAGCGGCCTGTAGTAAGCATGAAGTTGTGGAGCTGTGCATCGCGACTTGCTGAACTAGACATCCGCATGCCTTGGCTGTTGGGCTTCATTTCAACGCTGCATCGAGGAGCGTTGGTCGGCCCCGGTAGGGTGGGTGAGACGGATGGTGTATTGGATAGGTGAGTTACGATAATGTCTCCTTCTACCTCCTTCTCTTCCCTGGTTGGCTACCACCCCAGTACGGTGCAACACAAGATGCGATAGCCCCCGCATACGATTTCAGTCACTTGATCTCGCTTCAGCGAATGCGACGGCCCGCAGGCTCTCACACGTCGACACCCTTGTCGTGGCGCATCGTCTCATGCAAGCCTAACACCCGTTCCGAGCGGCAACTCGACGCGTTTCGGACAAAGCACTTGGCATGGATATCCCCTCTTTCTTCCACCCCATCATCGACTGCATCACGATGCTTGTGACCCGAATGGACCAAGCTTGCAGTGCAGCTCCCTATTCGCAATACACAATACGACACGCTACTGTTGGGTTGTAATGCGATAATTGCATCCTAAGCCGTCTTATCGTGATCCTAGCTACTCCGGATGGGCCGCTTACGCGCCGGTGATCCACCCTCACCGTCCGTCGAGCTCGGGACTGGCCGTCCCTTAAGTACAGGCACGACATTGGTTATTGTTTCTACGCTGCCCAGGCCTTAGGCCTCCGCGCCTCATTTTGCAACTCGCGATATTCCGCCGGATCTCATTACTCGTTGAATGCCGGTCCCGCAATTCGCCTTGACAGTGTAAGCTTCACTGAGAAGTTGGATCGTCGCGCCAAACGAAGTTGGAAATGACTTCTTCGCGCCGCCATAGCCCTGAGCTGGCTTCCACATCTGCAACGCGTTCCGGTGGCCTGTCAATTCCGCTAGACATGGGTACGCGCCTCACTTTGTGGACTGGATCTGTCTGCTCATCCTCGACTGGAACGCATTTCTGCGCCTTTCGTCATTCGCTTTCGCCATCTGACAATCCCGCGGACGCACTGACAACATTTGCCCTATTTTGCACTAATCACGACCTCTACGTTTATTGTTGGTTACGTCGCTAATCCATGAATGCCTTAGGTTCCTTTCTCACACCATCCATACGCGCATCCTGAACCCCGCTTTTCTTCCAGTCGTCCTTCGCACGCTACGCGCCACACTCTTCCCAAACAACGCTCTTGGCCCCCCACGTCAGATTCCATCCGATGAGGAGACCAGAGAGATCAGACGTCGTTGTGCCGCTTCGCTACTAAACTTGTTGCCACCGGCAGTAGCGAAAGCGTTCTTCGCAAGCCACAAACGCGAAGTGCAGCTCCAGGAAGTCGACAAAGTCCTAAGCTGCCTCGACGACACGTATCTCAACAAACATTTGATTTTCCAGATCGTGGAATTGATTGTTCTGCGCATAGTTCCGGAATTAGGAGAACGAGGTGTCAGGGACTTGCTGGAAGAGCGCACTGGTTGATGCTATCGATGATGCTTGGTATGGATTTGCGAACCATTACGATACCTGGCTCCCCCATGCGTCCTTTCGCTGCGCTGGGGTCAGAGCTTCGCACATGCCAACCTCGAGGCTTTCACCGCCAGAAGCGCGAACACCTGAGCACGTCCTTCTGCGTAACGTCAATCCTGTCATGCTCAACAACAGTGGTGCCTAGGTGATCGCCTTTAAACCTTTAAAATCACTTAACTTGCCCCTCTTTGGCAATCAAAGCCGTGTTAATCATCCAAGTACACCTCTGAACGGTCTAGTTTGCGCAGCTACAGGAAGTACGTTCATGTATTACAGCTCATCGCGCATCTCAGCAGTAAGTGTGTGGGAAAATATACACCGCTGGTCCTGAAAAGAGGGGCTGCCAGCCAATCAAAAAATTCGCCTGAGAAATTTGTTGAGGCACATGGCAATCCAGACTCCGCGTAGGTGCATGCTGCGTTGAGCACCTGACTGTTTGAGGAAGTGCTGGGCCAAGAATAAACGCGAAAAAGCAACGCGAGGTACCCCGCAGTGAACTCCGCTATCAAGGCACGGCCCTGTTGTTACCTTCCCGGTTTTCGGCCTGCAGCGTTCACGGTAGGCGTCAGAAGGAACGAATGGCGGTGTATCAGAAAGATACTTGTCCAAGTCATGTGCGCAAGAGGAGCTTTGATCCTGCGTGTAAAAGACCTCGGGGACCGCGACGGTCCGTGTAAATTCGACATTCTGCACGGACGGGACGAAATCGCAAAACAGCCGGCCACTCCAACATACAACGATAGTAAGCGGCATAGCTCGACCCAGTTTGCTTACGATCGGGCTTGTTTACTGGAAAAGAAGCCGCCCCTAGTGCCTATCTCCGTTAACTGCCCTGGTATCCTTAGCTTGTGATGTAGTTTGGTTCGCATGTACTCACAATCCAGAGGACGGGATTGATTTTCCCTACATTCAACCAAAGTGGCGTTCCGAACTTCAACCTACTGCCTTACAGTCAACTGCAAGCCGTCCATCTGCTTTCCACATTGAAGCCTCACTATACAATAGACCGAGGCTTTAGGTTGGAGGCTGTTACACAAATCTTCCTCGACTCTTGTCTGTATGGTTTCATGTTTAAATATAACCTTACTTCAGCTAACCGACGTCCACTTGCAGAGCACTTGTGTTTCAATGGTCGAATTCCGCAGAAGCGATGGTGTGTTGACAAGTTTAAGATTGGGGAATACCCCGCACGCCACATACAGTTCATATTGGTATATCTTATCGCTTTACAAGGGCTAGGGGACCTGATTACATGTACCCGACTACCCCCTGCCGCCAAATTGTTTCAATATGTTGCCTTCGGTTGGGCAGCATGCTCGCGGGACGGAACGCAGCTGTCAGCCTGCTTGCGGCACAGCCATTCTCGCTTTCATCTCGAAACTTTCGTCCTTTGAGGACCTATCGAATGCCGCGCGCATTGACGGCGCGTGCGTTGGGTATGTTGCCGCTTACGCCCGTGGTCTATCCGCATTCAGTCGACGTCACCGTTGGGCTACCCAGGTTCCTGACTCAACCCCCTGAAACCCGTTGAATCTTTGGTCCTTCACGATAATGCACAAAAAGGCCCCACTTCCAGGCGCTCATCAAACAAAAGATGCGTAGCAGAGAGTCATGATCCTAGAAGCACTTCCCATGATGTGACACCGTTTGATAACACGAACGCTTCGCGAACAGCGTGGGGTTCCCCTCAGAAGTCATGAACCTAGCTGCAACTTCGCATGATCCTAGCAGCCTGAACACGGCACACGTCGATCAAGGACTTTCCATGTTCTTCCATCAAGTGATGTTCAGGGGCCGCCATGGGCATCAAACCATCCCAGAAAATCAATGCCGAATGGCCACGAGCTCAATATGTCGGCCCCACGGGCAGGGCGAAACTAGGCTCAAGAGACGCAAGACATATGATAGTGGAAAATCATGCTATGAGCATGTGTGCTTCTAGACTATCTGTGGGGAATCATGGCCTCAAACATGAGGCGATGAGCAAGGGGTTGGCATGCTGACAAGAACTCTATTGATGCGTTCAGCCTGGATGGTCTCATTTCGCATACAATGCTCGGAGACGCCATCGGAACGAGGAAATGGCCAGCATGCTCGCTTGCCCACATCGCATGGGGCCAACTAGCCTCGCGATCATGACGGCGATCATCGCAACGCTCGTACTGTGCAATGGCCTGAAAGCTCCCACTGATACTCGAGCCGCACCATCATTCGGCTTTGCTCTTCTCTCCCGTCCGTTCATGCAAGGTCCCGTCTTTAGCAACCGAGTGACGCATTTGGAGAAACGGTTCGTGCATCCGACAGAGAGGACGAAAGGGCCGGGAACGTCAACCACGGGCGCATTGGTTCTACGAATGCAATGGCAAGGCTGCGAACGCTTGACCAATGCTCATGTATCTAGGACAACGCGATATTTGCAAGTTCACTGCCGGTGGTGTTGCCAGACTAAGTCGACCAATTTGCCATCCACCAGGGATTTGCGCTACCCCGCTAGTCAAATTGACAACAATGCCTACTAGACACTTATAGGCAATATACACATTATCTTCCAGGTTGCAAGATAAGCTGGCCTTACTCCTTTGTGAACACCTTACACAAGCTCCCAATAGCCAAGTCGCAGCTCGAGGAAAACCTGCTAATAGCCGAATGGTCCCACCCTTGCCTCGTTACACAGCATGAGAGTTGGATCACGTGGGTAAACTAGTGCAAGGTACCGGGCCGTCTGCATTGAGCAACAACCTCGACATTGCCACCAACACTGCTTGCGCAATTGTTGTTCCCTATCACTTTCCTATCTTGAGGCCACTTTACACGATCGGCTTCCGCTTATATCGAATAGCTCTAGATAGCAATACTTAATTAAGCTCTCAAAGGCTTTTCGCGATCTAGCTCAGGTTTCTACTGTCGGTAGTAGCACGTCAAACCATGTTAGCTTCGCACTACGGTTGACGCCTGGCTTGACGTAGGGCCGAATCCCACGCAACACCGGCGACCCTGGACTTCTGACTGGGTGGCATGATTTGAATTATAGCGCGCTGGCCGCTGTCTCAGTAGCCTTAGGCATGATCTGGAGTGCGACATGGCTGCGGCTAGCACCGATGTTGAGAATCCAATCGCAATTCGTGAATGAAACTGGCCAGATTTCTCTCTGCGCTTAGGAGCACAGGAGGGAAACGTCCCGACCTTGTTTTTGCGGCCTGGTTAGGTATCCAACAGCGCTGTGTAGGTAATCGTTACGTATCAACCACCCTGAGGTCATTGCGAGCTCCAGCTTGGACTGGGCTATGCCAGTAAAGCATCAACGTCACGGCTACAGCCACGGCCCGTACCGGATTACAACTGCCCAAGCGCACGATGCTGCTTGCTTTGTGCAATTGCGACAACTGGACCCGAAATGAACCCGATTGCGAAAAATATTGCTTTCTTTGCTGTAAACACCCGGTGTGGGAAACTCGCGAATCGCAACTGCAGCTGTTGTGCGCAACGTGCTGTCAGCTGTCAATACATGTCAGTCAACGAGATTGTCTCACCCGGCAGCTGCACGCATGCAACACTAGGAGTCCACGAGCACAGCATCTGCGCGTGTAGAAGCTTCGCCGGGTTCTGGTGTTTTTATGAACGCAGTTGTCGTCACTACGTCTTGCGGCTGAACACCTGGCCAATTTAGTTCCCGAAACGACGTGCTTGATGCGGAAGAGGCCTCTTTCGAGCTCCGGCATTCAGCTGAAGTTTTGATCGACGTCGGCGAAGTCGGGAAATTAATTCAGAGTTAGCTGCATTCCCTTTTTCTTCGAGGTCGTCATGTATGCTATGTCGATCATCATTTGAGGGGTTGAGCGCACGGGTTTTCCACTCGCGCAGATGCGGGGGGGCATGGATTGTCGCGAACATGATATTCACCTTACTTTTGATGTCTGAAGTCGGCCTTAACTTCTGGAGCGCTTTGTACGTATGCACGGTGCCATGAGATCCCCTAGTGCGCTCCGCGGAAAGCGCGTTGGATTTGCATAATCTGTGATTCATATTCAATCTTGTGCTGTGCAAGATGCCGACAGCCGTGTTGACAGCGGCAAGTACCATCTGTTCATGTCCCATGACCCATGCCGATCCTTTTTTCCCAAGCCTATCCCGGCTACAGCAAGGAGATAAGCGTTTCGGAAAACACCATTGTACTCGAAAGCGTAGATTAAGAATGCTTCGACTGTGTTCCAAGTCTCGGCAAGAGAATTACATGTGGCCCAAACAGAGAGTACAGGGAGCGTACGAAACCGGAGTAAGCTCGTTTTAGTTTTATTTACGCACCTGCAACGTATCAGGGCCACCAAAAGCTGTAAAATCAAGGGTAGAAGCATGAAACATGTGAGAACATGGAGCGTACAAATAATTCCGCGCGAGCGGTTACAGTCTTTTCTTGTGCATACGAAAAGAGACGAGATATGTGCGCGGTCGAAAGGGGGGTATAGTCAGGCCGTCGTAAGAATAAAATAGTACAAAAGGGTCAAAAAGCGAGGGGTGAAGTAAAAGCCAGGGGGTGAAGAAGCGAAAAACAATGCTAAAGATGCTGATGCAAAAATGCTCCAAATGTGACATGACAAGGAAATCCAAATGCCAGCATTACCAGCTGTGTGTCCTTATCCTATTCTTGTGATCCGAAAGTGCTGCGCAATCCTCCCAACTCCGAGGCCAAACGATTCTGGAAATCGCCTCACGGAACCAGATTGCCATAAGTGTGTACGTCCAGGAGCTCTGTGCGCTGTGCCATTCCATGAGACACAAGGATGACAGATACTACCAAAAGATGGAGCTGATTTGCTAGTGGAGGACGTTGACGCTTTCGAGTTTAGTGGTGGTGAAGTCGGGCTCCAATGTACGTCGTATACCCGATGGCAGGCTCTCGGAACTACGTTTGATTCGAAGCTTTTCCATTAGCTTGCCGATCGTAACGTACTCCTGTGGCTCGACGACGAAACCTGCGTTTTGCGACTGGAAGAAGTTCATGACGAGTTCTAATGCGCGTGCAGCTTCTTCCTGGGACGGCGTAATGGGCGACGAGTCGGCAGAGGAACCCTTGTCATCGGCAAGGCCAGATGCAGCATTTGGAAGAGGAGGCGGCTGCATCGAGGTAGTGGCCTGTGTTGGCGATAAGGACATTGTCTCATCGATCGCTGGTAAGGACCCAGGCATCTCTGCCATGGGAGAGTCGAGTGCACTGCTGCTAATGTATTTTGGGGTAAGCGCATCAGATGAGCCCGGTGGTGACATGTACTGCTCTACGCCTACGAGCATGGGGAACGTCTGACTTCGCGGGCGCTGGAAATTACCGCTTCCTGGCTGACCATTGGCGGCTTGTCGATTGCCCATGAAGGGACTCGGGCCGCATGCAGAATCAGGTGTGAAGAACGGCGACGAGAGCGAAGTTGGACTGGTAGGCCCAGCCGAGAACGAAGACGGCGCTGTATCTGTGAAGACGCTTGACAAGGAAGTGCTGCTTTGCGAATGGAAAGGTCGGCGGTGGTTTGCAAACTCGTAGGTGTCAGGACTTTCTGTTTTGAGATTATCTTCGCTTTTCTTGGTGGTTATAGTGGCAGTAGAGGGCGATACCCCGCCTGGCGAAGAAGGTGAAATAGCTCCTGGTGTCTGTACATTAGAGGGTGGGTTTGACGTTCCCTCTGACTCTTCTGCTATTGACCCCTTCCTAGATCTTGCTCCCATAAGATGATTCTTTTGCTTAAACTTTTCTAGCCAGCTCGTGCTGTTGGCTTTCAGGTGGCTTTCAGAGTTACCGACGGTTTGTGCAAAGAAGCGCGCTTTGTCTCGAATGATCGCATCAGTCAGTAGTAGGCCTTGTCTTTGGTGATTCCTCGCCCAGTTGGAAAGTGCGCGCTCGATATCAGGGAATTTGCCTTTCGACCTTTTTATGGGTGAACGGCTACCGTCGTCCTGGTACAGGTACTTCTCCTTCTGACGCAGCACCTTTGAAACAGTACTACACAGCTGTCAGCACGGCAAGAGACATACGACGTATGCAGTGGTACCTTCGCTCAACACCGAACATTGCTAGGGTAAGATTAGCGAAAGAACCACGTTTGCTGGGTCATTGACGCTGGCGTACCTCCAATTTCCGTTTGTTTGACTGTTGGATTGTCCTCATGGTACTGGCACATGCGTCTGCGATCTGAGTCGGTGAGGGTTTTACGGGGAGTAGACGAAGTGCGTGAATGCGTCGACGTTGCTGAGACTGGTGTAGCTGATGCCGGCGTTATTGGCACTGGTGCGGAAGGGAATAGCGGAGGTTGATATGTTGACTGGCTGGTCAACATACTGGGCCATTGTGGCATTTGTGGCATTATCAGAGGCTGAAGCTGCGGATGTGTAGTCCTTGGTGTTGGATGGGTCTGATGTGGTGGGTGCATGGCAGTGCCATAGAGGGGCTCCATGGGGAGCTGCGCATAATTGCTGAAGCCATTGTAGTCCTGCACTGGAGATTGATGGTGCGGGTTGTATCCACCGTTCTCGTGCCAGCTTGAATTTTGATCTTCAAAGTGTTCGTGGTGGTGCTGCTCGTGGTCCATGTGCAGCTGGCTCATGTTGAGTTAGGGCTCAGGGACTTGAAGGAGTATATCCGTGCGAGTGTGGGAGCGAGTGTCCGTGTTAGATCCTGAGCAGAGAGGGTTCCAGACGGGGCATTTGCGCCTGCAACGTAGTGTTGCTGTACCTGTGCGGGTGGGTGAACTCAGACGGGCGGCGCGCATGCATGCATGAGATGAGATTCTGGTTCCTGAAGCGAAACAGCAGCGACGAGGATGTACCGCAGCAGCCAGCAACGGGGAAGGCGCTGACAAAAGACGCTGCCTGTGCAGAGGGCCAAAGAAACTAGGGGCAAGGCAGCGCGGCAAAGCAGTGTCAAGCTCAGATGGAGAACGGGAACTGCAGGGAGATGCCTGGCGCGGCGGGCCTGCAGCGCGTACTTGAAGAGAGTCTGGGGGACGCGCTGCTACAAGACAAGGCCCTGCTGAGTGCGATGCGGGCGCGGCCTACTGCAGCTCGCGGGAGAGGGGGCCCTGTTTGTTTCGAAGCCCAAGCTTGCCGGCAAAGGCTGGCTTGTGCACTACGAATCCTGGCCGCCATCCGGCCAAGCGACGAGCAACGCGAGCAACGACGTTGGGCTTAGCGTGTGCGGGTCTCATCGGGGATGCGCCCCTAGACCAACGCGGGCCAGCATTATGCGGCCGCCTGGCTCAAGCTCGCAAGTGCATGCCTCCACGCCTCGACTGTGTCATGGGCAAATGGGATGTCGACGCGGACCGGGTAGCATCATCCCATCAAGGCCCTCGCACCGCTGAGCACGTCTGCGGCCGGCTAATCTGATGCGTCCCAAAACGGACATGGGCTGAGTGGGCGCGCCATATTGGCTTCGCCTCGTGTGCCCCGGCGAAAGTGATGCTGGCCGTTGCCGTGCGCCGCTCGTGGCGCGCGACAGTGTGGAGCCCATTGATGCTGCTCAGGTACGCGAGGAGGTGGCAATTACCATGGCTGTGTCAAGACGTCAGTTAGCGGCGGTGCATAAAGGAGAGACAGAATGTGTGGACGGCTGAAACGCTTTCGGAAAGCTGCAATAATCGCGCCCGTGGAGAATCGAGCCACCATCAGAAAGGACTCCATTAGGTTTTGCCGACTAGCCACTCAGCTTCGGGAGCGATAATGATTTAGCGCCCGAATGACAGCGCTTGCTCTGAGTCGTCAACACAGCAGGACCCCTGTTGGATTTCTCCGAGTTGACCACTGTAGCCGTTAGTACACCAATAAAGGAAAGCCAACGCCTGAAAAATGGGCCAGACAATGCTGATCGTCATCCATGAAATTCCGATACAACAATATGAGGAAAACAAACGCTGACACTGTTCCAATAGCACCAGTGGCGCTGTCACTAAGAGGCCTCGTTGAGACGTCTATGCCCGGTGGGACGCCCCTTCGGTAAGGAGAGCCACCCCATGTTATTGATAGCTCGACGGACGGCATCGGTCCGCCACAGTCCCTGGAAATTGGCGAATGGCAGATACGATCCGCTCCGTAAGCTGTCTTGCCCAAAATAAGCGTCGTGCTGATGTTGGCGCGGTGCTATTTGGTCGGTGTGCTCGGCCAATCCAAGCTGCGAAATCGGCTTCAAGCCTTGCCCTGCTCGTCATCCTTCTGTCGCGACCTAGCATTGGTATCGCAGTGAGACATATTTAGCCATCTAGAAGCCTCCTTCCTCTCCACTCACTCTCTATCGCAAGGTCGAAAGGCCTTAATGCCGCAGGAGGGATCTTAAGTCACAAGACTCAATCTATCGTTTTACAATGGTGACTGGCCACATGGTGAGCAAAGGGCACTCCACTAACGGACTAACATCGGCGAGTACGTACCAATGTCTTCGTCGGCAAGCTCGTGAGAGAGTCCCACGCGCTGAGGTTGATGCTTGACTGATTTGCCGTAGACGATGGCGTGCTTGAATTGCTCAACGATCGTCTTGTGGATAGAGTGGCACTATTCTCGTTAGCGAATATTGCCATGGCCTCCAGACGAGGAACATACGAAATCTTCAACGGTGCAGGCGGTCGATCGCAAGACGACTGGTGCAGTATAATCGGGCATCCTGCCCTTGGGCTTTGTATAGACACGGACGAGGGCTAGCTTCTCCCACATCTGCTCAAGTAGCTCGTCGATGTTCCAGCCATGCTCAGAACTGATAGGACAAGCGTTCGGGATTCGATAGAGCAGGTCAAGCTCCTCAATAGTGATGGCGTCGATCTTATTCAGCGCGTAAATAACTGGGATATAGCTTCGGCCCTTCGCTTCGACGATATCGATCAGATCGTCAACAGTGGCGTCGCATCGAATAGCGACATCAGCATTTGCCATGCGGTATTCGTTCAACACAGCCTTGATCTCGTCGTGGTCAATGTGTGATAGCGGGACAGTCGAAGTGATATTAATACCACCCTTGTCCTTCTTCTTGAGGACAATGTTGGGAGGGCTTTTGTTGATTCGGATCCCGAAACCTTCCAGTTCGTTTTCGATGACGCGCTTGTCGGTGAGTGGCTTATTCACATCTAAGATGATGAAGATCAAATGGCACGTCTTTGCGACTGCAATGACCTGCCGACCGCGACCCTTCCCGTCTTTCGCACCTTGGATAATACCGGGGAGATCCAGAATCTGAATCTTAGCTCCATTATACATGACTTGACCAGGCACTGTGGTGAGCTGGAACACTGTCAGCACTGAATCCAATAATAAATGGCTGCTCTACGCACGGTCGTGAACTCGTATGCAGCTGCCTCGGAGTGCTGCCCAGTCAACTTGCTCATGAGCGTACTCTTGCCCACCGAGGGAAAGCCTATAAAGCCTACACTAGCCACACCAGTTCTAGCGACATCGAAACCAACACCAGCACCGCCGCCTCCGCTGCTGCTGGGCTCGAGGAGTTCTCTCTTGAGCTTAGCAAGTTTTGCTTTCAGTTGCCCTGTCCTTGTATAAGCATGCTAACATGCAGTGTACGTTCGCATAGCGTACCGAGATGGAAAGAGGTTGCTTTATTTTTCTGGGTCTTGGCCATCTAGAATAAAGGTATAAGTCATCGTCGAGGTATTTACGGGGTGGGCGTGTCTCACTTCGGCCTCGATGTCCTTGATCTATCCCAGAAACATGTTAGCACTGTAGCAGGCAAAGCGCGTGGGTTCAGTACTCGCCTTATCTACTGTAGTCGCCATCTTGACTGTCTGTATCCCCTTGACGTGCTTGAAGCTTGATTGAAACCGTTGTGCTGTTGTTACAGAAATTTGATGTGAGGTTGCCAAGAATGACGCGGAGGGGCAAATTCGGAGAACTCCGTTGTGCTGTAGCCGAAGTAAGACTAGCGCCATATGCAGCACCATCTGGCACTCGGTTTAGGATGTTCCAAGATTCCTTCACGAAGCTGATATTACCGATGGAAGCCGCTATGCATCGCTGAACTTGTCTGACTTCCTATTGCATTTGCAGGACCACGTTTGGGTTGCACTGGTTGTACGATTATTGGCCGATTGACTAGCTTACAAGTTTGGCTGCTGCGCAAACTCTTACATAACGAAGCAAGACGTGTCTGCACAAGCAGCACTGAACAGCACACGGCTCGTTTTCTCCTCCCCGCTCCTCTATAAGGCCTGCCCTTATCTTGTCTCCCCGTTCTAATCTTCTTTCACAAGTTGATCGCTCTTTCGGAAACAGACCCTACAACTCACATCACACCACCCTCCCGTTCTGCAATAACTCATCATTCATCCTACCCATCAACATGTCAGATCTGGCCGCGGAACATGACAAACTCGAAGAGCTTGTTCAAGCTCTACGAGAGAAGCTTGGTCCCTGCTCTGGCATCGACTCCGAGGATGTAGATCCTACAGAACTACAACAGCTCATGGAAGGCTACATGTCCGATGAGTCAGAGTGGGCGAAATATTACTTTCCGTCGCCAAACTTCCCGTATACACGAAATCTGGTCGACAAGGGCAACGGCAAGAGCAACTTGGTACGTTATCAGCTTGTACACTGGTGAAGAATCTCACTGATGAATGAAGCTCATTCTAGTTTGGGGGCCTGGCAAAGGGAGTCCTATTCATGAGTAAGTTTGCTTGTTCTGCAGCGGTCGACACTAGTACCCACCAACTGGACCTCTAACTCCAAGCGCATTCCATGGCTCTGGTCTCCTGAACGACGAAGCGACTTCGGTCGCCGATCACAAGATCGATGCGTCAACAACGCAGGAGACACGCCGGTAAGAACGACACCTTTCGGTATCTCGCATCTTCCTTATCCTAGAGGCTACTGAGGCTACCTCAAAACTCTCAGCACCACCTGGGACTTGCTAACAGTTGAACAGCCATGCCAACGCACACTGCATCATGAAGATCCTCAAAGGCAAGCTCGTCGAGACACGTTTTGCGTGGCCTACGCAACACCTCAACAATTCCGAGGAGCGCCCACTGCAAGTGATCTCCGAGAAGACATACGAAGAAAATCAAGTCACATACATGTCTGACAAGCTTGGCCTGCATCGTATCAAAAACCCTAACCCGAACGACTACGCCGTCTCTCTACACTGTGGGCCTTCCAATCCCATATGCAAGTCGATTATGTTGCTGACGTTGACTAGTATACACACCACCCAATGCAGCCGTCTATGGCTGCAACACCTTCAACGAGAATACTGGGCACGTCAGGCATATGAATAAATGCACCGTCTTCTCGGAGTACGGTCATCCAGTGCGCGAGCCACAACCATGATGGTATATACTAAGATGAAGCCTTCGCCCCTACAAAGATACGGCATCTCATATCTAAGCACTATATCATCATTGAAAGGGGCTATGTGAAACTGGTTATAGCGTTGGTCGTCTAGTCTCACCGGATATAGTTTCGCTGGAGAGCGACATTGGCGTTCATTGCATTGCATGCATCATTCCCGCTCGCCATAGCGTTCTATTAAATATTGCTTCTCACTCTCGAAATGTCCACCTCTCCATACCCGCCCTCTTCATTTCCCCCTCTGTTATCACCTGTGAAAAAGATGAACTTCCACTACGTCGTCACTTCTCTTTCGGATCACTTGGATTTGAATGCTCTTCCTGAACGGGAACACTTTGCTCGTATTTCTGTATGTGGTTTTAGGGACGATCGAGCCTTGCAGCAACTATAGAGATAATGGTCGGGACCGTTGGTTGACCTAACGCCTGAAAATCATTGTGTACAGTCCCGCACCGTCGCTACGAACACGTGCTGCCTACAGTGTACATTTTCCGCCCAAGTCCACTCTGTCACTACACATTGTGTACACTACTCGCCGCGCATTCTGCTCTCTCATAGTAACACCGCGATGGGTACCACGTCCCATGCACATTACAACTCGTAGCTGTTGCCATTCTCTCTTTTCACTTCTTCTCCACCACGTGTGCAAGATTGCGGTCATACACTCTTCAACGTGCTACTGGCATGTTGCGCATTCACTATGTAGCAAACACCGATCTGTCACTCATTATATACCCACAATGTCTAGGAGGTCTTCACTATGCAAACTTTCCTGTATACTGATCTTGACTCTTCATATTTTGCTCATATTCTTCCCCTTTCACTCACTTGATCATTTAGCGCCTGATATCTCTTCCCTTGGATTCCCTGTTTCAACGCCACGCGCACGACACAATCAACCAAAAGCCAATCGCACACCACCCACATAAAGACTTTTGTGAAGTCTAATAAACAGTATGTTGTTCAACCGTACAGTGCCGCGCTGCTCGAACACGCCGCCGCCGAATTGCTCTACCACTTCACCCTCAACACCCCGACCTTCGAAGCCCTCTTCTGCTCCAAATTCCGACGACACCGCACCGTGGGACCTCCTGACTACACCAAGTACACCTCCAAAGTCCGATCGCACCACGCAAACTTTGTTCGATACCGCAACCTTCCCTGCGGAATCGTACCTACTTCCCTCAGACCGAAACGGGACATGGCGTACAGAAGCTATTCACGCGCTTCAACGTCCTAGCGAGACTGCAGTATCCATTCACCGGCATGCGAGCGAGTTGAATTGGCCCACGTGTCGCAACAAAGTACAAGACCTAGCAGACGCCGCATCCGACGGCCTCAATTCCCGGCTGAACCAAGCACTTGAGGGCCACGATGTAGTTGAGCTGGGCAATCGCGTCGTGGAGCTCATTCCTTCGGTATCAATGCCCAGTATACGGCGGCTAGGCCAGACCATCGATTCAGTCAGCGATATAGCGCGTTCTCTGGTAGAACGCCGTAAGTCAGAGACGGACTTCCTGGACCAAGAGCTACAAGGTGATCAATGGGCTTTCGCGCGTATCATGAGTACGAAAGCAAGGAAGGCTCTAGTAAAGCAGAGGATATGTCAGGAGTCACAGGTCACTCCAAATCAGATCACTTCGCCTTGGCAAGATCATTTGAATTCGGCGCTGGCCGCCACGTTCACGCGCGAAAAAGAGTCCTTTAGCACTACGAGTCTTTTCTCGATGACACCTGTCTGGTCAGCGGACGCAGTCAACAAGACCTGGCGTCTGGAGCTGGACACGGGCTTGACAAGTATTGAGGTGGATTCAGCGACCGATGGGTACACGGAGCAGCCAGTACGTGTGGCCGTAAGCTTTGAGCTGCCTGAGAGCTGTGGGTCTTTGATTCTGGCGGAGGTGGAACGAGCAGTGGTGGATAGCGAGAGCGAGTGGATGATGGTAATGGGATAGCTGTAGAATGTTCTAGCTAGTGAGAAGGCGTAAGGAGATACGCCTCTGGTATTCTGACGATATAGTGAACAGGCATTTACACAATATCACAGGTGACAATGCAGAAACAGATAGACAGACTCGAGAACAGATTGAATAGCTCCAAAGTCATAGAAAAGTCCTACATAATCATTACGATTCCCATAAAATACGAATCCCCTCCATCGCACCTCTACTCTACCTTCCTTCTCTGCATTCCCGTCTTCCTCTTTCCCATCACATCTCTCCCTTCTTCAATACTCAGCATAGCCTCCCTCTTCTTCTCCGTGACCGGCTTCAATGCATCTCTTACTACTCTACCCTCAATGCTCACACCCTCCTCCTCAAACTCGTCCATTTTCTTGCCCACCCTAGTCTCAATCGCCAGTATCAACTCCACATCTCTCTGCCCAATCAACGTAACACTAGTACCAACGCGGCCCGCACGAGCTGTACGACCAACACGGTGGATGTAATCATCCGGATCGCGGGGAACATCGTAGTTAATTACGAGCGCTACTTCGGGAATATCAAGACCACGCGCGGCGACGTCAGTAGCAACGAGTATACGAGCTGCCTGTGCGCGGAAACGCGCGAGATTGCCTACGCGGTCGGATTGCCTAAGGCCAGAGTGCAGCGCTGTTACTCGGTGTTGGAGAAGGCGAAGCATATATTCTAGTAACGTTGCCGTCTTCGTCCGGTTGCAGAAGATGATGACCGATTTTTTGAGGTTCTCTGGCGTGCTAAGTAAGACGTGAAGGTAGCATTCCTTGTGGGTAACTGGCGTCTGGAGATACTTCTGCTGCAATTTCGGCGGGACAGCAAGTGTCTCTGTATCTACTTCGCATATAAAGATAGACTGTCGATCAGGCCTTGGTTGCTCCTTTAGCGCCAACACCTCCGGTGTGACAGTCGCAGTGAATAACAGCGTCTGCCGTTTCTCCTTGGGCGGTAACACGGACAAACACGTCTCGAGATCTGGTAACATGCTCCCTTTGCCCGGTGCTAAGAGGCGATCTGCTTCATCGAAGACGACAAAGCGGACACGGCGGAGGCCGCAGATCGTATCTTCGCCAGAGGTTTTGATGTGCTCAGCCAGGCGACCTGGTGTGGAAATGACAACGTGAGGTCGCGAAGCGAGTGCAATAGCTTGTTCACGTTGATCGGCGCCTCCGGTGATAAGAATGGGCTTCATAGATTGTGGCGAAGAAATTGCCTTGACTTGCTCGTAGATCTGAATGGCTAGCTCGCGTGTTGGTCTGTAACTGTAATTAGTATGTACAGAATAGATTGGAGGAGGGTGCCGCCTGATGCCTCTAGAAGTACCCAAGCACACGTATCTTAGAATATACTCACGTGATAATCAAGGCAAATATACCGCAAGGATCCTCCGCCCACTTCTGCAAGATAGGCACAGCAAAGGCCACAGTCTTACCCGTACCAGTTCTCGAACCACCAATGCAGTCTCTGCCCTTCAAAATCTCCGGGATACAGGCCTGCTGGATGCCCGTAGGCTTCTTGATCTCCATTGAGGCGAGCGAGGCGACTAGCCACGGCGCGACATTGATGGATGCAAAGCTGACATTCTCACTACTCTTTGTGATTGCCGCCGGTGCCTTTGAACCTCCATTTGTACTGGGCTCCGATGGTTGCTGCTGCTGTTTGGACTTGATTCTCGAGATTGTCGATGATGTTATCTTTGGTGTAGAGATGGCTGCAGAATCTGCCTTTTCTTCACTTGTCGGCGATAGTCTCCGTCTCTTTCTTGCCCCCGATTGAGCCTCCAGTATCTCTTCATCGGAAATTCCAGAGTCGCTGTAGTCGCTCGTCATGTTGATGTTCTTGTTGGTCTTTCGATTGTGAGTTGGTGTCGAGGGTTGTTGATGTCTCCAAATTTTTGTGCAGGGATATGTGACGCTAGTGTTATCGATAAGGACCCACCACCTAAACTTGTCTTCTTTTATAGTGAGCATCTCTCCTCTCCTCTTAGTAACTTCACATGACGACCTAGAAGACCGTGACACGTGTAATTGTCATCCGAGGATACATCCGGTCTGAATCTACAATTTCCCGGTCAAGCTAATTTGGCACTAGCCAAGTCATTATTAGAAAATAGAATCTAGGTAAACTGAAGAATTCGATCCAGATGTACACTGCTGGTATCACTCTCATCTATATGGATCTACTCCCCAACATCGCAAAAACCTACTCCCGCCACCACTCCACCCCCCTCTCTCCGTCTCACTTCCCCTTCCCCTCCATCTCAACCGCCTCAAAAGCATACACCTTAGCGGCCTGCGTCTCCCTAACCCTCCACTCCTCAATATACGTCTCGACCTGCGCGCACCCATTCTCCCTCCCAGGCACGGGCTCCCCCCACGTGCCCCAGTACGGCACAACACCCGTCCACGTCCCCTTCACCAGCTCTCCATCCTTCAAATCCGCGCGGTCCTCACTGGGCCCACCAACCCTCACCTTTGCACTCGCCGACGCAATCTTGACTTTGAGCAGGGAAGTCGACGACAGTTCGGCTTGGGTGGGCGGTGTGCGCGAGTTTTCCCAGCGCGAGGGGAGCAGGTTGTTTGTTATGCGGCGCATGGCGTACAGGGCTTCGGCCGGGTTGGTTACCGGGTGGGCGTGGCCGTAGAGGATGGCGGAGCGGTAGTTGCATGAGTTGTGGAAGGGGGTGAGGGAGAGGACGAGGCCGTCTAGGAAGCTGTTTGCGCGTTTAGCATGCATGCCTTTACTTGGATACCTGCCGTTTCTCTCGAATAGAAGATGGGCAATATGCGGATATGGATGAACATACGATGCAGCTATCGTAATAGGTAACCCCTCCTCCCCCGCATTCTTCCCACTCTTGAATATCCGTCCAGACACATAGCCGTGGATATACACGTCTTGCTCCGTAGTCTTCGGATCCGCATCCTGGTCATCGTAGTTGGCGGTACATCCCAGCATGGGGAGCACGACGGGAAAAGGGTGTTCAGGATCGTTGAAGGAGACGTGGAGAATGGGACATTCGTTGATCAATGTGTGGACTGTGGTGTAGTCATAGGCACCTGGTTGTTGAGAGTGTTAGCTATAGGCGACTGTGTTTTGTCTCGTTTATACTTGGTAGTAGTAGTAGGTATTGTATTGCACACCTCGATTCGCTAGTCGGCCTAGCTTGTTGACGGCTGTTTTGGGGTAGGAAGGTGATGCCATTTTTTTGGTACTTTTGCTCCTTCAAGTACTCCTATAGATTGTAAGAGGTGTATAGGAGAGGATGGTATGAAGCCATGTGAGCTTCACTTCTCTCTTTAAACTTCAATGTGGGTATTCGAATGACTGTACCACACGTGATTCTCTGTCGTCACTTATCAAGTTGTAACTTCGACAAGTCAAGGGTCTAGAAGGTAGTCGGCAGGACTTACTGGTTCGGGAAGCGGGGTCGTAATGAAAGGGTGTTTATTGGCTGCGTCTCTACGTCAAGCAGAAGAGTCCCACGCGTGTAGGGCGTGTATCATGACTGTACCTGTGTCCAGGGATTCTTCAGGATACTGCAGGATAGTTATGGTGATTCGACTTTGTAGGGGGCGTTTCGTCATTGGTTGTAGTCCTCAGTCTGTACAGAGCACATCCACTGCTCTAGTCACGCTCTGATTTACAAACAGAAGCGCGTGCATGTCTATTCTTCTGCGCATATCCCGTCTAATCCCAAGTAAACCCAGAAGCCTCAGTGGGCGATGTAATCCTAGTAACGCCGATATATGCAATAGTAATGCCAAAACAATATGGCACTTCATCTCTCTTGTTCGCACACAACTCTCCTACCGAAATCCCCAGGCAGGGAACATTCCTCCTCGCACACTCTCCAGTTTCAAACACTGATACGGACTGCTTTGTGGATCATAATATAAACCTTCCAATTTCCCATCACTCCGTCGTAGACAAACATAATAAAAGCCACTAATCGTAAGTCCACAGCCCGAATCGTCAAAGGTAGCGTGGTCTGCCTCGTTCGGAGTCGCATGAAACAGAGGTGAAATCTCGACTTCTGCTCGGCCAGTCTGCTGGTTACGGACAATGCGGTAAGGCGAAGCTTGGGGTTGCGCTGCATGTGTGGAGGGGTAATAATGATTTTCTGCTGTAGACGAGGATCGGAAAGAATCATGTACTGGCCCACCGGCGAGAGAAGTGGTCGTTGAAGGAGGTGATTGTACAGGATCACCAGTACTCCGGTTCAGGCTCTTGACAAAACACCGCTCTTTCCAACGCATCAATATCCATTCCCTACCCAGCACCTCAGTAAGCCACTTTTTACTTGTCAGCGCCCTCGCAACTTCGTCGTCGCTCATATCTCGGAATGGCGGCAATTTTCTCCAATACGTAGCGTCATTTGCGGCGGTCGATTTGAAGGATTCAGTGAGGAGAGTGTGTGTGTTGAAGTCGACGATTTCACCTTCAAGGTACGTTGTTATGGAGGAGGTGCGCGTGAACTGTTGAGTGGATGCGGTTCCGTTGGTGGGGGTGGAGGGGTTCAAGAGAGATTGGTGCAAGTGGGGATGGGAAGGTACGTTATATGCTTCCATTGTTGCGGAGAGAGTCATCTTCTCCCAGTCTACGGAGTGGATTGTGACTTTGACTGGCCAGCGATCTTGTTGTGGCGGTACGGGCAGCCCTTCATGCCCTTGTGATGGACTCGGAGTGGTTGAGTAGCTGTTCGCTATCCATGGGCGGGTTGGAGGGGGAAGAGTAGGAAGCGCAGCACCGCCTAACCCGTCGACGATTCGAAAGCGATGCAGGGAAGTAGATGATCCAGGCGCAGTGGTGGTGACGGTGGTTGCCACACTCGTTGCGTGTTGGCACCCTGATAGTACCGCGCCAGGTGCGAGCCACGATGTCTCGGCCGGCGGAGGTATTGTGAAGGTGTCTGTGACGAAGTCGGCATAGTGGCTGCAGAAGTAATCTTTGCTCAAGAAGCCGGCTTCCAGGGCGTAGTTGGCGCTATCGTCTATTGTATTCGACTGGCGTATTCGAGACAGGTACTTGACAGTCTGTTCGAGCACAGGCGAAACGGGCGGTGACGAGTTGGCGGTTCGGTCGTGGAAGCTTCGTCGGTACGAGTCGGCTCTCGAGAGCATATCACGCCTTTCTCTGTCGAGCGATGTCCTGCCCTCGGACAAGCGCTGCATGGCCATCTGGCGGGCAGTACTTTCAGAGCTGTGTCGTTCTCGCGATTCGCTGGATTGGTCGGGTCTGCTTGCAGGATCTCGGTCACGGTCGGACTGATAGCGCTGCAAGTAGTCTCTGGTGCGCGCAGAGAAGCGTGGATGTCTTCGCAGTGACTGGAGGATAGCCGTGGACCTCAGCGAGCTCTCGGCTGCGCCTTGGGATGACTGGTTGCTCTGCAGACGGTTTGATATGGACCATATGCGCGCCCTCTCCGAGTCCAGCTGTGACTGTCCCAGCACTCGAAGGATGTCGGGGTGTGTGTTTGGTTGCTCACGGCGCAGGTCAGCGAGGATGTGGTCCAGCTCGTCCTCGTCGTCGGCCTCATTCGCAGGGGACCAGTCGTACAGATTGTTCTGGCTGGGCACGCGATCACCATAGGCAGTGGTGGTGCTGTCGCTTAGGCGACTGAGGCGGCTCATAACTCGTCGCAGCCTATCGCGCTGGTCGAGTTCGTCTCGCTGCCTCTCCAGCAAGCGCAGGCGCTCCCGTGATCTATCCAGGCGCAGCTGGCCGTGGTCTCGTGCGGCGCGCAATTGAGGTAGGCTGGCGGGAGTCTCGTCGACGTCGTCGTCCTCGTCCTCGTCGGTGTGGGTGCTTAGCGTCGCAGCCAGGTTGAAGATGTCGTCGCTCTCTTGGGAGTCGAGCTCGCGCAGGACGGAAATAAAGGACGGGGGTTGTTCTGCGTCCTGTCGAAGCGGCTGCGTTAGTATGGGGTGGGTTGCGACATGTCCGACAGCTCGCAGGCGCTGGGCCTCGGGCGACGGGACGGGGACCCACGAAGTACTTACAGGCGAGTTGGCAGGCGGCATCCTGTAACGGTAGCGTGTGCAATGGGACTACCACCAGACATGAACGGTACTCAGACAGGCTACAATGGGGTTGGCGCAGAGGACATGGCGACAGGCGCGATGCAGGTTGTGAAGGAGGAAGCCGTCGGTCGCATTCGCGCAAAAGAAAAGAAAAGAAAAGAACGGCGTGATGCAATGTGATGTGATGGTGATGTTTCGAGACCAAACGAACGCGGCTCTGGCGAGACACCAGCTAGTAGTAGAGGGACACACAAAGACTCATCGCTCACCTCGTCGGCGCTTTCAGGCTGAAGCTCGCCATGCATTTGCCCGCCGCGTTCCCGCCGTCGCCGCCTCAGCAGCAGCAGCAGCAGCAGTAGAGGGCAGCCTTCCGCTCCGCGCCTCTGCCAGCTGTCTGCCATGGATTGGAGCAAAGTGGCTGCGGCACAGTACACATGCAAGACAGTACAGTATAGTCAATATGCCCCTCCCTTCCCCTCCTCTCCCCAGAGAATTGACGCTTAGCCAGTCCCAGCGCCATGGTTGCTGAACGATCCGCACGAGCGCTCGAGTCAGCGCACAAGTATACCACACACTCGTCAACATTGATTGTCAAATCTCACTCGTGCGGCATTGTAGCATGTTCAAAGGGTGGTTTTGTGATAGATTCAGGTTTCGTTTTTTATTAGGGTTTAGGCTGCTAGATAAGAAGCTTGCTTCTGGCCTGCATCTGGTTCAACTGCGCCGGATCAACCGGCGGAGTGCTTCTTGGAGACACAGTCTCGAAGTGTAGGAGATGACCCTACAGTCTCTGCGCATCGAGCTGCAAGAGTCGACAGAAGTAAGCAAAAGCCCAAAGGTGCACCAGGAGTGTTTGCTCCGCAAGCAGAGGACCACATCCCAAGGGCAGAGACGCAGGCGTACTCATGTCCCCCCACCTTGAGCAGTGCTCCTCCATCGACCCCATCCACCTTTTGCACAAAGACGAGCTATTACAGCGGCATCGCAGATGCGTGTATAACTTTTGTCGCCGCCTCTCAGCATGTCCAGCTGGCACTCAATACCAGTCTGAGCAGACGATGAACGTATATCGCATCCAATCATGAGTTGGCATGCCATGCTCAACAAAGAGATGCGCACATCCGTCCAGAACGACATTAAACAAAAAACCAACCGAGTGTGCCCGCCTCGTAGCCGTGAGGCTGTATCCTTGTCTTCCATGAAATGCCAGACATGCATGCCTCCCAGAGATGCTGTACCCATAAAGAAAAGACCAGGTCCGGCCGTGTGGTGATGCTGAGAGCGAAAGACATAGGAAAACGCTCGCTAAAAAACACAATGACAAGACTAAAGCAGGTATCAAAGGAAAATGTACGAGAAGGGAGGATAAGAAAAGAAACAAAAGCAGTCGCTAAAATCGATCAACGCCGTCCCATGCTTGGTTGTATGATGTTGGATGTACATCATGTCGTGCACATCGCATTTCGTCTCATCTCGTGTCGGGCGTCGCAGGTGCTATTAGCCTGCGCGGTATATGGAAGATCAAGGGGACTGGCCAGGTCCACGCTTCCCGGCATCGACACAGAGGGACAGGTACCACAGACGAGAATCATCCGCTTATGTGAATGCTGCGTACTGTGGTGCAAATCCCGTGTCCCACCCGAATCCGCCGAACCCTCCGTGCACGGCGCTTGACCCGCATTGTTGGGCTAGCACGCTCGGCAGAGGAAGGGCGGGTATCGGTGCAGATACGGGAGGCGGGCTGTAGTACGAACTCGAGCTGTACGGGCTCGTCGAGTTGTATGGCTGGCTAAAGGATGGTGTCGGTGACGGGAGCTGAATAGCTTCGAAGCCCATGGTGCCCATTGTGCTCCAGAAGGATGGCTGTGTTTCACCGCAGGATGGAATCGTCGGGCTCGGCGTCGATGGGACCACCCTCCACGAGTCAACTGGAGCAGGGTGTGACTGTTGCATGTGCTGTGTTGGCACCCACCAGTTGGCGGTTCCTTGTGAGCTCGGGAGAAGTGGTGCTGGTCGGACAACATCGACGATCCTGGGTGGGGGAGGCAGCAGCGGGAGGAACAATCCCATGATGGCGCTCTTGACGTCCTCACCTCGTCCCTCGAGTAGTTCTCCCGCGCCATCCTCCTCCAATCCTTCGAGCGCCTTGACGCCAGTGCGGAACACATAGCGGTTGACAGCCTGTACGAATCCGTCTTGGAGCTTCTTCAACTGCTGCTCCTTCACGGCCCACTCCCAGGTGCTAGCGGACACGTCGACCGAGTAGATGTCCTTGTGGTACTCGATAAGCGCTTCGATGGTCTCTGGTGTAAGCTTGAATGCAACCTCATGTTGTGAAACCATGTCGACATGTACGACGTATGCCTCGATGTGGATGAGCTGGTAGTTGAACAGAGCTTCGACCAGCGGGTTGGAGTCCCTGCGCAGTTCCGAATCTGGGGCCTTCGGAACCATGATGGAGCATAGTGACCACATAGCGTTGGGGCCGGAAAGGGTTTCTGTGAGACACCGCGTGTGTTGTTGTACGCTGTTCAATGGCCGCTTAACCCGGTTCACTCTCTTCAACGTCTGTGTTAGCCATGGCTCGACTTTTGAGTTGAGAACGACGTTGACGGTTGATCGTGGCGCAAAGGCAGCAGCCGAGGCGGGTAGTAACGAGATCGGCATTGTGACTGGTCGGTGCGGTGCGGTGCGGTGCAGTGCGAAACGGTGCGATATTATGGGACGGTATCAACGACTAATGAAAGGAACCAGAAAAAAAAAGAGGGTTTAAAGAAAGTGTCTCTGATGGATATATTTTTCGACGGCTCGCCTAGGGTCGAGGAAGAGACAAGAAAGGGGACGGGCGAATGAGGGGATAGAGAAAGGCGAGGTGGGAGGTGGAGGGTAGGGAAGGCTAGCGGTCGAGGGTGGCATCTCTTAAGAGCTGACGAGCGATGATCATGGGCCCCCCTCGGCGTGGCCACTACCTCTCGGCAAGGATTTCATGCACACTGCCCCGTTTAGCTGCACTGCGCATCTAGCTTGTTTAAACTTGCATATGGCGAGAATATGCAGCTGCACCTCTAGTCGGATCTAAGCTGACCTGACCGACATGGCGACCGCGTTGCGCACGCGTGGATAGGCGGGCGCCCGCGTGTGAGAAGATTGCGATGCCCTCATGGCTACCATGGTCGTGCGAACGCAAATCCCCCCATGCACCCACGGAGATGAGAACTGAAGAGGCGCCCGATCAGCCTCTCTAGTGGAGATGGCAAGAATAGTCGACCTCAATGACAGGATACTCATCAGAGACCATGGCAGCTGAGCGCGGAGCCCCACGGTTGACCATGCATAGGCCGTCGCAGAAACTTGATCGCGAGGCCGCAGGCTGCCCGCAGAAGCATCGGGCAAGCGTTAGATACACGCCGTAGGCGAGTCCCACGGACGGTCTGCTGCTGCTGCTGCCTCTGCCACTGCGCTTACTGTTGGGCCTCGAGCATCTGGTGTTGCGGCATCGCACGGTTTCCAGAAGCCTTCCCTGACCGTCCAAATGGAGAGCGCACCGCAGCGGCTTTGATTCCCTTTTAGGAGCCTGGCGGGCAAATGGAGCGCGACGAACACACACTGGTCTAGAGGTGGTGCTCCTGGAGCTCAGAAAGGTGGGTGTAGTCTCTGTAGTCTTGGTGCAACTACAGGACGACGTTGCATGCGGCTAAAAATGGGCTCCAAACAGACAGCCCAATCAGCTGGGATAGCCGGGATGTGAGCAGGGATAGCAACCGGATCGAAAAGCCCTAGAGAAGCAAGCTCACATGATCGCGGGCTTTAGGACGAAGCTTGAAGAATGGCAGAGTGCCATCGTCGGGTAGCTTGGGCGCGTGCTGAAGCAGGACGCGATGCGCAACAAGACCTGCTCGAGCAATCTTGCAAAAACCCCGATGACGACGACGATGATGTTGCTCATGCGAGAACCTTGCCTCTGCGCCACTCGCAGTAGCCGACGCGCATGACCGTAGTTTTTTCTGTGAGGCTGTGCATGGCGACGAAGATCTCTCCGGAGCTGCCGTACCCTTAGATTCTTACCAGTACTAACCGGCCTCTTACCGACCGCAACCTAGTTATATCTCGCGCAAGGCCGATATCCGACTTCCGTCCGTCTCTAAGAGAAACGGTCGTCTCTGTGCGCAGCGGAAGGCAGTATCCGCGAGGCTGTTTCAACACGGATCGCTTGCTGGGGCGCCGGCAGTGCGATTGGAATAGAGTATCCTCAAGTGAAGCACTGCGAGGCCATTACCCAACTACCAGTAAACCCAGTATCGTCCAGTCGTCGTCCCATCTGCGTGGTGTTATCGATAGCATCCCATCTACCATGTTTCAAGATATGCAATGGCGCCTGTACCGCGGATCCCACTGCGCCTCACAGCAAACGAATTCGCGGGGGCAAGACGCAGACGCCATGAGGACGGCCTGTGGCGGTTGGCCCACGTCGACGATGGTGTTTAGCTCGCTTCTGATGAGAGTGGTTTCAAAAAGATGGTGCACAGGGAGCCTGAGGTCAGGAGGATGATGTTCTTTCCTCCTTCAAGACAACCTCAGCTCGACAGGGGTCGTCAAGTCAGGTGCGCCCCACTAAACCGACATGAAGCGGGTTACTTCTCCTCCACCTCCTGTCTTCAACTCAACGTACCATGATATTTTTCTGTCATGACCTTGTTCATCATCATCGATGACTGTTCGTGCATGCAGACCGTCTCGTCGTTTCAGGATCTGCTGGCGAACAGCTGGCGGCATGTACGCTACATGCATCGCGACGTGGAGCCCAATGACTCACCCAACACGAGCAGAACCAGCTGGGAAGAAGATTGTCCCGCTTGCCTTGGAAGCTCACTCATGCAGCTGCAGTTTCATCTATTCACATTGCTGTTCTATTCTTCCTTTCTTTGCTTCCAAAGTTCAACTCCGCGGTTCAGGCTCGCTCTTCGCTGCACCTTCATCTCAAACCCATCCAATACCATCAGATCTCGCTTGTTCGGCTCTCGCATTGGTAGGCACCCGAACGCGGCGTATCACAAGGTACTGCGACTGCCAAGTTCACGGCCAGCTTTCCAGATTCGTTCCATGCGAGCTCGTGGCCGAGCAAGGGCTGTATACCAGACGTTACACAGTGTGGATTTCATTCAATCGCAAAAGTCGCGCAGTGCCCGTGGTCCTCACCTGAATGCCCGAGCGTGCCCTCGGAACTTTCTTGAACCGGATCTTCTCACCCGCACGACGCCTTGGTGATACCCATTCACAGATCAGACTTGTCCGTCTGCCTTTTGATCGGTCCAGAGCTCCGATCTTCTCAAGGTCTGCCTGGCTTGTCAATAATGACATGCTTCGGCGATAGTCAAGCATTGGCTGTCGTGAGGCGACGTAACTGCATAACAAACGGAAACCAGAAGTCGTTGAGAAAACGCGACTGGGGTTCTAGAGGTGTGGGCTGCTTAGGGTAAGTTGCAGTGGGATTGGGGGCTATTCATCCCAACCAGTCCAGATAAGGACGTTTATGTGGGATCCTCATCTACGGTGCCGCCCCAAGCATCCCTGGAAAGGGTACAGGGGAGCCGGGGAGCTCGGAGGACCGCCGCTCTGGGATCACCACACCATCATCTTGACTATAAACTGTCAACAACTTCAAGATGTCGAAAGAAGGCGGTCGGGGATCTCGGGATCTACGCTAGTGTACTCGAACCTGCATACAGCTGCAAGAGGAGACGACAGAGCTTTACCCAACACCAGTCTTAGGAAGAGGTCAACCACCACTCTTGATAAGTACAAGTAATGGCTTCTCCACGCCAATCGGGTTTCTAGGCGATGCACGGGCACATGCATCAACATGAACGTCCGCCGGCGCTTCGCCATACGGCTCGCCGTTTTAGCTTTACCCTCGCTGTGGGGTGAAGGTATCGCATTTTGACCTAGAGATCTAGACCGTCTCATACAGCCGCTGACGTACCCACTTTCGCTCCGTCTTTACATTGCCAGTTGTGATCAGCCGTCTTTGGCACGGGACATACGGGATGTGGTGATAACGGCAACAAGAGACGAACTAGTGTGATGTATTCCATGGCTGCTTCTGCGTGGGGGACGAGGCCGAATGACAACAAGCAGATCGCCGTCTATGAATGCAAGGTCAAGCGAAGTCGCAAGTTGCTGATGCCATCTTTCATCTCCACCGTGCTTGTTGCCTGAAGTTACTCGGGATGTTTACCGTTTTGAAGTATCATCACCGACATCTGATGTAATACGCCGCCTTTAATCCGATCAATTAGGCTGAGTGTAGCAAAGCATAGCGATTGACTTTAGGAATAGGTTGGTGCTTTTCATCCACAGAATGAATTGAGTACACTCTCAGGCACTCGAGCGTAAGCAAGCTCCACCTCTGCCTCTCAATTCAGCCTCTTACAGAACTTTTTCTCGTGCAAATAACTTGTGTTCCCCCATGTGCCTTTGCTCTTTATCAAGAACCCAATAACGGGTTTGTACAAGTCCATTTCACCACCCGACATTCAGCTTGTATCCAAGTATCTCATGTTTCCAGTAGATATTGTCGCTTTGATCATCACATCGTTTGTATCACTGTGCAATAGAACATGGCGTGGATCTTGAAGTGGATGGAGTTCTAGAGTCTAGTAGAATACTTGCTTCAATGACGGGGGTGTTGCGGCCCTAATGAAGGGCCTTTTAAGATGATCAAGCCTTTGCGTCAACATAGTGTGTTTGTTGGCGATCGTCTAGAAGGGATCCATAGTAGTGCGTACATATCTGTCAAGAGTATACTACACTCAAGAGCAACCTCTACAATGTCCTGCAAGGGAAACCCCTACCATCCAGCCCTACAGGCTAATACTTGTTGAATAGGATAAGTTTTGGTGGCAGACATATGCGCCGTACTCGTGTGAGACTCGCGATCAAATACATATCCGCAAGGGCACCCACACTACATGTGTTTGACTCCAGTAATGATGATATATGCAGAGCGATAATTTTGTCGTTGTCTACATTCTAGTAAAGACACGCGGAACTTTGTCTATAATGATTTCAGGAGACCTTTGTGCTTGCCACTAGCGTGAGATATCACCTCCTCTGGCCGTTCATAGTACATTTCTATGCCTCTTCAATCATATCGCGCATTCTCTCATCATCTGAAACAGTACAACATACCGTCATACTTGCAAATGCTACACCGAAGGGTGTAAAACATCGAATTCGTTGCCACGTGAGTTGGTCGGCGCTTCGGTAGTAGCGGCGCTGAATCAGCCGTCAAGACATCGGCAGTTGGGTTTTGTCGTCGACGCTGCAACTGCCGACGCTTCTAAGATCCACAGGATTTGGCTATCGCCTCGCACGAGGTTTAGCTGTTGAACTCATGATGGTCGGCAGTTCAGAATAGCATGCAAAACGCGCGGTGTTCTTTGGGGTCTCGGAGAGGCGCGGAAGATTGCGAGCGAGTATGCGGCGGTTGTGGTATTGTGATCGTACACTCATCGAGACCAACCAATGGCGAGCATCACGCTATATTGAACTCATCGTAAAAACCGAAACTTGGGGCAAATAAACGGGATAATCGATGGCTATCTTGAGCGTTGAGAGGTTTACCCCGCGTACGCCTCGGAGCTACACACCCCCGCGATACCCCAAGCCGCTAGTGAAGCTAACGACCCACCTCCATCATCTCAAGCTTCAAAAGAACAACTGCCGACACATAATTATGGGCGCCACGGTGCAATGCCGGTGTCAAATGGACATGCTAATGACGGCACGAAGCCAGGCATAGCCCTATCGCGTCGTCCATATATACGTGGATTACGCCCCAGTAGCACTCAGATATGAAGCAGCGCTTATCCCCCATCGAAACCTGGACGTCGGATCGATAGCTATTAATTTGACTCAGGCACAATGCTAGTTAACGAAATCCTTCCGTTGCTCGTGCGGTACTGGCCTGTTGTTCTTATCTCTGTTTCTCTTGCTTATCTGCTTAACAACAAATACTGGAAAGGCCTGAATCGATATCCGGGGCATTGGGCGGCTGGATACAGCAACTGGTGGAGGTTATGGGACGTATCGAAGTGGAACCATCAATGGACTACAATTGCGCTGCATCGCGAACACGGAGATGTGGTACGCTTAGGGCCGAATGTTCTCTCCTTTTCGGATCCGAGGGCGATCAAGGCCATCTATGGATTAAACAAGGGCGTGTATAAGGTATGCCAAATTTTGGTTGGGCGTCAAATATACGTCGTTTCGTTGCTGACCTTCACTAGTCCGACTTCTACCCCGTACAAGGAGCAGTGTCAAAAGGCCGACCGCTCTTATCACTATTCTCCACCACCGACGAAGATTTTCACGCCAAATACCGGCGATGCGTTAATAATGCTTTCGCTATGACTTCTCTTGTCAATTACGAACCTCTGGTCAATTCTACGCTTATCTATTGGCTCGACAGGACCCAAGAGCTGTATGGAAATACGGGCAAGAGCTGCAATTTCAGTCTATGGCTGCAGTACTTCGCATTCGATGTCATTGGCGAATTGACATGGAGTAAGCGATTGGGATTTGTGGAGGGAAACAAAGATGTGGACAACATCCTTGGATTCTTGAACCAATTTTTTGACTACGTGGCACCGGTAAGACGGCTTTTATTGAAGATAGTCAAGTAAGTGCGCATACTAATACGCATACAAGGTCGGCCAAATCCCTATCCTCGATCGCATACTCTGGAAGAACCCAATCATCCTCTTTGCCCAACGCATAGGCCTTGACAAGCGAATCCACCCTGTGACTCTCTTCGCGCTGAACCGCTCCAACGAACGCGCCGGCCAAGTGGAAAAGATTAAGCGGTTTGGCCTGTCCGACGACGAGAAAGCCAATCCTCGCGGGATCGACCTCCTCTCAAAGTTTGCTCAAGCGAGCCACGACCACCCATTCATGGACGATGACCGTATCCTCTCAACATGTACTTCGATGATCTTCGCCGGCTCAGAGACCACAGCTATCTCGCTCTCTTCGGTCTTCTACTTCATGGTCAAACATCCTTATGTCTACTCGAAATTGATGCAAGAGATCGACGATGCGGTCGCCAACGGTACCATCGAGTCACGCGCAGACAAGACCGTCTCCTGGCCCGAAGCTCAAAAACTACCCTACCTCGATGCAGTAGTCCAAGAATCCTTCCGTGTTCATCCCGGACCTGGTTTCATTCTCGAGCGTGTTGTCCCACCCCAAGGCATGCAGATTCTAGGAGACTTTATCCCAGGCGGCACAATTGTAGGTTGCAACGCCTGGGCCTTGCACCGTCGGCCTGAAGTCTTCGGAGCAGACGTCGACACGTTCCGCCCAGAGCGCTGGATCGAAGCGAGTCCAGAGAAACTAAAGGAGATGAAGGCTGCGATGCTGCAGTTTGGCGCGGGCGCTCGAACCTGCATTGGAAAGAATATTAGCTTGTTGGAGATTTACAAGTTGGTGCCGAGTTTCCTGAGGCGGTTCGAAATTGAACTTGAACATCCTGGCGCTGAGTGGAAGACGCACAATGCGTGGTTTGTGACACAGAAAGAGTTTAACACGCGGTTTAGACCGAGGGAGGTGTAGTAGTGAGGAGGCAGGTAAAAGAATGTTGCTGTATTTATATGCGATGAGCAATCAAATTGGTTGTTATACTGCAGAAACTGTTGACTACATCTTCAAAAACATGTCAGCATCAATAATGGAGATTGCCTTCTTCCGGCAGTGTTGTAAGAGACTCTGTTAAGTGGCCCAAAAATGGGAAAAGAAATTATTTGGAACCGTGATGCTGCAAAGCAAGTCTACTACAGTTATGCGACATTGCTTGAAAATAAAAGGATGAATAGTAATTAGGCGTAAGTTAATGACTTTAGTAATTTCCCAGTCTCACTTATTACTCTAGGACCAAACTAGAAATACCATCGCAATAGAATGGCGACATCTTTCCATTGCTGTTCACATTACATTAGGGAAATATTACTGGTTTTTCGCATAACAGCTGCTAAGTATTCATTGAGCTGCACATAGAGCCACACATCAGCCAAAAGATAATATGGTTTCTCCCTAAACCAATACACGTACTCTTGACTTATCGCTGCAGGTTCGCATTCTTCGGAGTTCAGGTATCTGCGTCCTATCTTCTTCCTCGAGATATAGGGAGAAGAAGGTGTCCGCGTTCGTAGCCAGGGCATAAAGTTGCAGATTCTCGTTGGGGTATTAGCCGCGCTGGAGTCGTGGACGTTGGCTCACGAACCGAGGGCGAACGAAGGAGCAAGGAAGCCACTTCGCTTAGGCGTTGTCAGAAGGGATGTACATAAACGTGCTAACTGACAAGTTGACAGACTTTACACTCGAAGTGGGCTTAACTCCAAGGCCCAATTTTGACGACCTCATCCCTTTCCTTGCTGAGGCATGGAAAAGGCTAGATAACCTTGATTGCGGTGGTGACGTAATTGTCATCCAGGGATTCATTGCCAAGGATTCGGGAGACGGACATTTGGTTCCGGGAGAGAGAGGGCTCGCAGGGGGTTCAGCGCTCAGTGTAGGATTCGAACAAACGCCTTTGGCTTGTTTGGTTGAAGGTTCGCTAATCCACATAGTTTGATGATGCGCATTATATCGGCTCCGCCTGGATCAAGATACGTGCAAAAATCTAAACATCATAAAGACATTATCTGTTGAAAACAATCAAATACTCCCTCCTCGATTACACCAACTTGAAGTGATGCGTGTGGTCGTTGCAGCCCGGTGGCGGGGTGCGGTTACGCAAAGGGCCAGCCGCATAAAAAGCAAAGATAGGAGTAAGTGGCTAACCGCGGCGAGTCAACGCGAAATTCTCAGCACCCGTTGAAAGGTGGACGAAGGGAAGTCCTCACTAACTCCTCGGGTATAGTTAGGAAGGTGAATACACAACTTCTACTTAAAGGACTTTTGATTAACCACTAGCTAGAGCCTTCATAGGAGATCCAACGTGATCACAAAAGATCCGCACCAAAATCCAGAAACAAGGTTTCCAAAGCGCCTATGCTCCAGGAATACTAGTAGAGCTATCGCTGATACTGTGGAGGTACTTGAAGCGTCACCAAAGTACACCTCTACAGATTGAAAATAACTTAACAGGCGAACTAGGCGGGTAAGCGCTTCTTGGTTATTTGAAAGAGCACAATCTGTGTGTAAAGCATAGTAGTGCATGAGCAAAAAAAAGATATTGGGCAACTGTGTGTGCAACCATAGTACCAAACCGTATGCATGGGCAGCTTAGGTAAAGTGTGTTGCAATCGTAGGTGTGCAAGAACTCGAGCTTTTCATAAAGGAGCTTAGAGGAACCCATAACCACGTCGGCGATATGTGCGCTGGTGCGTAGTTGCTGACACAAAAAACCTTGAAATCTCATAGGAGCGCATATCCGATGTGCTGGCTGGGCCTGGGTTCCTGGCCCTCGGCATAGGAATGAAGACGCTCCACATGGGTTTGCAGATCGTGGAGAACGGTGGAGGTTGCACCGGCGCTTGGGTGCGGGCCAGAGGCTGTCGAAGGTGTCGACTCCCAAGTGTGGGCGGCCGCCAGGATAGCTGTGCTTTGGGGAAGGTGGAGGAGAGCTTGCACCTGAGCGTCTGGCTTCGCTGTTTGGTCATCGATATGAACGCAAGCACGGATGCGTCTCGGGTAACGACGACATGATGACTATGCGAAGGCTGAGGCGACATCGGCCGTTGGAAGTTGCTTTTCTTTCCACTGTTGCAGAAAAAGGGCTCGCAGGGGGTTCGGCGTCTGATGTCGGGTTCGAACGATCGGGTTTTGGCTGACGAAAGTTCGCAACGACATGTTTGGGTTGGCTTGCATACGCACATAGAGGCTCCGCCTGGATCGAAAGTACTGTAAGTTGTAAACTATATGTAGTTATTCAATGTAAAGGAACCGTTGTGAGCTTTACGAAAGTCAGGTCATCGCATCAACACGAGTTTTGAAAAAATGACGAGCGAATCACATTAGTTCCAAGAACCTACCAGTCAATCTGACTGGTTTGTCGTCTTCTCAAACCTTGCCCTGTCGCTTTCTGTCGTACGAAGCGGTATGCGATATTTTTCCAAAGTCAAGTGGTTGGGGGACGCGGATGGAAAGAGTAAGCGCATACGGATACGCGCCGTGGCAATCAATAGCCTTGACTAGGTACGACATCAGTATTACAAAAACACTAACGAAGTGCGTATTCTTCAACAGCGAACATGGCAATGTATCAGGCAAAGGGTCCGGGACTGAAGATGACAATAGCTCTTCTCTGAGTAAGGTGTCCATGAGACTTCCTTCTCGCTGTCTGACCTACCGCATACAATCTGCAAGAGTAGCCTGGACCCAACTGTGTCGTACGAAAACATGTGCGCGAACGAGTCGTGAGAATATTTAGTGCGTCCGGAGGAATAACCTCCCTAGATTTCGACGACTTTTCCGTACGGGGCAGTGCCACCTGGATCAAGCATGTCGTAGAACGCAAAAAAGTCTATAACCCAATCTACTGTCAAGAGCAAACGAGTCAAGACGGTTGCTGCGTAACAAACCACAAGCGCAGTAAGACATACACTCAAACATAGAGCAGAAGGAGCACGCTGTAAAACCTCGCTATAAGAACTATACCCACACCTCCCAAGACACCGATTAGCGCACGCAAATCTTTCAAAACGGAAAGCAGTCAAACAAAAAGATGGCAAAAGGTTTTCTGCCCGGAAACGCCCTGTTGCTGAAGGAAATTCCTGGCTCGCGCGGCCGATTTGACAATGTCTTCCACCTTGGCTGGCCGAGCTGGAAATGATTACTTTCAGCTATAGGATTGCTCATGCTCGAAAAAGTCTCCAAGGATATCTAGTAACATATTGATCTAATCTTTTGCGTGAACATCGTGCCAGCAGCAATGGGCGTTTCTTTAGGGGAAAGCGGCTCGCAGGGGGTTCAAACGTATCGTTTTTTTTCGTAGCGTTTTCTGTCAGATTCGAACTCGCGGTTGTTCTCGGGGTCGTTGTTTACTTGTTGACGAAAGTGACGACAAATTCATCTTCGTCGTTGGAACCGCAAGTTCGAAAAGTTGAGGTTTGTGCTGACACGCTAGGGGGCGCCGCCTGGATCGAAAGAACAGTACTTTTGAAAAAATATATACTTGGTTTATTGATGAGTTCTTGGGGGAAGACCTGTTGGGACCGACAAGGGCGGGAGGGGATGGACTTGCGGTGTCTGTGGGAAGGATGCGGTGATCTTGATGCAGTGTCACGCGAGGTTGTATCAGGTAGGGCTGAGGTGTGGAAAAAGAAAAGTGACGAGGAGTGCCGAGTTCCAAATCCAGATATGCAGGTAGGTAGGTAGGTAGAAGTCAGAACATGGTACGAGTGCAGTATAAGCAAATGAGAGCAAAAATGGTAGATCTGATTTGGTGACATCAAGTATTAGGTAGCAATGCGTTGATTCAACGTTCCTATCCAACGGAAACAAGAAGGAGGTCAAGGTGCTTTGAAACGCACCATTGAACCAATAGTGAGAGGGGCGGTCAAACCCAGCCATCACGCTCTCGCTCGTCTTTCGCTCCTCCATTGCCCTTGAGCCACCCGACGCCAACGTTTGCGACGCCTTTCCAGCGCTCAACACTCTTTTTCTTGCTGAACCGGTACTGGCGCTCACGGCTTCGCTCGAGACGTTGCTTGAATGGACCATCACCCGAAACGGTCAAGCCGGCAAGCTCCATGTCTTCGCGGACTTCCGCTTCTCTGAACCCGAGGGCTGATGAAGCACCGCGATTCGATCTTGCCGAGCTCACTCCATGCAAATTTGGCTTCGAGCCAATAGTATCATTCGAGCGTACTCTCCGTAGACGGTTCTGCAAATCGGCTGCCTCGCCGTCGCCAAGTATTCTGCCTTTACGATTCGATGGTGGGGTGCGATAGTCCCAGTTTGAGTTAGTGCGGCGTAGCCCGTGCTTGCGGGGGCTTTGATCCAAGACCTGCCCTAGCTCTTGCATGTCCTCGACTTGAGCGCGCATTCGATCGAGAGATTGCATGCGGGGAGCTGCAAAAGCACGGCCTTGGACGGATTGTGAGGGACGGCGACCGAGACGTGGTGGTGAGTGACTTCGCTGAAAAGCATGGGCTGTACGCTTTTCCTCAATAGCCATTGCGACTTGAGCAACAGAATTGGGCACTACATCGAGCGAATTCTTGAGACCGAAGTTAGCTGAGGTTAAGAGGGCTATATAATCCGAGCGAGGCGCACCATGTGAATGAGCACGATTGGTAGTTGGACAGTCACCAACTTGCTGAAGGAGGTCAGCTTGATCAGTGAGCGAGGCGCAGATACCGACGTATGAGCACTACCAACGATGACATTGAGGAAGTACCGCACTTCGAAGTATTTGCCTAATTCATCAGCATATGCGCCCTCGAGAGGTCAGCGGGTGGCGTACCACACTTGACCGTAGCATGTCCACGGGGAACCTCAAGATCGCAGGTGCGAATGTGAGTTTGGTGCGCTGGAACTCCATGCCAACCCGCAGAACCGTGCTTGACCAATGTTTTGCTTAAAATGGAACGCTCGTTGCTGTCGAAGATTCGAGCCTGGCCAGCAGACTTCTCCATTGTCGAAGCAGCAGCCTGACAACATGACTCGTTAGCATCATGAAACACCAACTCATAAACTTCGCAAAACAAACGTGTTTGTAACAAAGTATGTCTCGCTCCAACTGAAGTTCAATTTTTCTGATCGTCTTTCGGCTATTGTTGACGATGTGAACATCGACGTATATACTTGTGCCGCTAACCCAGACCTGCCGGTGCAGTCCTGCAGTCGCCCGAACCACTTCGACAGTAGTCTCACGGGGCTTGATCCACTCGTCTGAAGCAGTCAATGGACTTGGGAGTGACATCAGAGCTTTTTCAGCTGCATTGCTGTTAGCAGTGTTGTTGAATAGGGTGAGGCAGGCCAGGCGGCAAAATGACGCACGATCATAAACAGAGAGAACTGTAACATTTTCAGAGGTCCTGACAATGTATTGCTTCCCTTGATCGCGTATAAGCAGCGACACGCAGAGGAGGTATCGTATTCTTGCATTCTTCGACTGGAACGGCGGAGGTCCAACATTGAGAGGCAGACTTAAGTTGAAAGCAAGATTCGTAACAGAAGGCATCAAATGCCGGAATAGATCTTGTGAACCGATAGGCTCCTGGGTATCGACCATGTTATGAGGCGGCGGATTCTCCGCATCGATAAGTTCGGTTGCAAGATTCAAAAACACACACCGTCGGTTCCCACTCATTTCCTCCAGTCCAATCAGGTCGATGGATATCCGAGCAATATCCAGAGTCCTTCTATGACGTATTCGCTCGGCGTCGTCGACGTTGATCTGCACGGTTCCCTCGATTGAGCCTCCACCGACAAATATGCCCGCGGATAAATCTAGGCCAAGCTCTATTCGAGGGTGTCTGTGTGATGGGAATTCTAGAAGCTCTTTCGAAAGTGGCTCGCGAATAAATGTTCTGGAAGGTATGCGTCGGTTGGTATCATGGGTTATGGGATCAAGGCGCGCAGCGACATGACGTAAAGGGGACTGCGATTGACCGCGTTTAGGTATTGTGTTACTGCAGCCTTTGGGGGGCGGTAGCGGTATAGTAGGTATCGTATTGAGGGATGTGGTTGCTGGTATCCGCTGTGTGCCGTACAATGGCGGTTTTTGCGGCGTGGGCCGAGTTCGCGAGACACTGCGTGCTCGAGTGCGCGACGATGATCGCGGCGGAACACTGCTAGGTGGTATGCTGTATATACTGGAAATGCTGTTATTGTCTACGGGACTTTGTGGTGACGGTGTTCTAGAGGATCGCCCTCGGTAGGCGGATCTAATGCCATTGCTGTCAATGCTGTACTTTCTGTCTGGCTCCTTGTTCTCGCCATGGCGAGTGTCAATGCTCGGACGGCGCCTGGACGCGGCGGATGGCATCCGCGAAAGCTCTGTGCGAGATGTGCTTCGCTGATTGTTGATAGAAACGAGTTTTCGTGGTGCTGTATCCGCCAAGCTTGGCTCGGTAAGTTCACGAATGTCTGATAGGGGTCGGGCTTTGGTCCAAGAAGATACGATGGAGTGTCCTCTAGGTTCACAGAAGGTATTGTTGACCATGCCTCCACAGCCAATAACTCGACTGCTGTCGGATTCGGGCGAGGAGAGGACTGGTGAGCCGCTGGCCCTCTCCGGTGAAAGTACGAAGCCGGGTAATTGGCCTTTGCTAGGCGGTGGCTGCGAGTGACCTGATCCTTTCAGCAGCCGTCCCGCGATCTCGGAGAATGTCATTTCTGCCTACCGTCAGCGGCTGCGCTTTGCGGGATGTTGTGGGCGACAGACTGAGCGCGAAGCTCACGACGAACGATTAGAAGCTGACCGAGTGATGGATGCGGGATCTGATACTGCTGAAATCAGGGAAAAAGTCATATGAGACTATGCGATGCTCGATATCCAGAAAGGCGGGTGAGGGCTGTCGCTTGAGGTTGGCATCTGGAGTGGCACCGCATCGATCGTGGTGTTGCGGCGTGACGGCGTCTCGCAGAAGGAGGAAACCGCATAGGGGTGGTTGCGCCTTCCATCTTTTGCATTTGCACGCGTAGCTGGAAGAGCGCAGCAAGATCGAAACGCGAGAGTGACAGTCTACTGCGAGAAGGAATAGAGAGATGGTGGTAGCATTGCAGGCATCTCCAGGTACTTCATTTGCTACGAATTGGCTTCTCTACAAGCTCGTGACAGGTTGTCTAACTCTCCCTAAACGCAATGATGCTCTCCCCAAGACGGATATTGCATCCTCTGATAAAAGAGACGGGGCGAATGAAGACGAAATCACCTACCAATCTTCTACAGCTCACCTGTGTCTCTACGGTGCTCAGTCTGGTCGTCTAAGCTCTAGTGCGACATCGGATAAATTTCAGCCTCGTGGTCCTCTTGGCGGGAGCTTTGAACCATTAAAACCTCGCTCCCTGACCCGCGGCTTGCCTCTTCGTCCTTAGTCGAGACTATTCGTAGGCGAGCATGGAGCCGGTAATTTCACGATACGTGTACTATGACTATTCTCCGGTCTGGTCGAGGTCACCTGCTCACTCGAGCCGAGAAAAAGCGGCTCTACACTAGGTCGTTATGGGCCAGCAGAGCTCATGTGCTGCATAAAAGCAAGGACTCGGGCGAGGCCAAGGTGATGGCAGGTAGCGGTCTGAGGCGTCTGCGAAGCCTAGATGCGTGATGCTGTAACTGTAAAGTGTGAAACTGGAGAGGTAGGCGAATCGGGCATCTCCGATGACCAGCTGCGCGCGACAAGGAGCGGGGAAACGACTGTTGTCTGCAGCGGCCAAGGGGCTGTCCCTGTGATTGCTATCGCCCGAAGCCACAGTGGGTGTGAATGGTGCGGGAGACGACAGATGATCGGGTGGGGGAGGGTGCTGTTGACGTTGTTGGTGATTGTGTCGTCATGTTGGAAGTGCTGATAATGCACCCCCTACCGCATATCATCAGTTGGTGCCAGGTGCATCGTCAGCAATCCAACACAAGACGGAAGTAAAGGCGCGGTGACTTGATGTGGAGGTCCTTGTGGAGGTGCACGCATGGAGCAGGGCGCTCCGACGTCGGTTATCGGATGCGATGCCGTAGATTGGTTACTGTAGGTGGCACGCGGCTGACAAAAAAGAGCTGATACTAAAATGCTTGGCAGACCTCACTACTACTAAAATTTGTATAAAAAGGAAGTTTCTGTATTATTTTAAAGCTATTTTATTGCTTTTAAAGCTGTAAAATTATATCTAAAAGCTATATATATTAAAAAATATAGTGTTAAGCTAGTTTTTTAAGCTATTTTTAAAGTTTTTAAACTAAGATTAATACTTAGTTATTCTACTATCTATTATAATGTAATTTTGCAGTTTTTTTAGCATAAAATTAATATACTAATTAATAAAATTTTAATTTATATTTATTTAGCTTTTATAGGCGAGTTTACGCGTTTTAAATTTATCTTAATAAAAATATTTTTTAAAGTATTGCTTTAGTAGTTACTAATAGTTTTTAATAAAAAAAAAATTAAAAAATAAAAAATAGTTAAAATAAAATTGCAGCTTATTTTAAGCTTTTTATTTTACTACTATATTATTAAGCAAGCCGCTGCTATAACTGCTATTATTATTTTTTTTTAGTATAAACTTATTTCTGCAGTTAAGCTAGAGCTTAATAAAAAAATTAAGTATTTAATTGCAGTAAGCAGTAAAAAAGAGTTTACTATTAGTATTACTAAAATTTTTATAAAAGTTAAAATTATTTTTAAAATTAAAATTAATAGCAGCTTAGCTATATATAGCTTTAAACTTTTTTTTATTTTTTTAGTTAAGCTGTTTTTAGATACAGTTTCCGCAGTAGCACTTTTTTAATTTTTTAATAATTTAAAGCTTGCCTTAAAGTTTAATATATTAGTATATTTTATTAAAAAAATATATATTTTTTTAATTTTTTAACTTTAGTTTTTACTAAAGTATAGCAGTGCAAAAAGCTACGCGTTTTTTAGTAGAAGTAGCAGAAACTTAGCTTTTTATACACGCTATATATTTATAGTAGTTAAAAAAGCTAAAAGCGCATTATAAAGTCTTTTTAAAAATTTTAAAATTAAGCTTTATTAAAAGCTAAGTTTATATAAAAACGCAGGCATTTTATTTAATAGTTTAAAAAAAATTATTAGCTTTTTAAATCTATTTTAAAAAGAAAAAAAGCTTGCGTTTTTAAGTTTTTAGCTTTTTTAAATTATTTAAAAGTTTGCGATTATTAGCTAAAAAGTACTTTTTTAGTATTATATAGCCTTATTATTTATTAATACTGTAGAACTTAAAAAGGTTAGTTTTAAAGTAATATATACTTATTATATTTATAAACTTAGCTACACTTTTAATATGCGCTTTTTTAAGTATTTTAAAATTAAAAATATATTTTTTAGATATACTAAAAAAAATGCGCGCAAAAAATCCTAGTATTTTTAAAGTAGTTATAAAAAAAAATAAATTTAAAGTTAGCTTATTTTAGAAATTTATATGTTGTAGTGGACCGAGCTTTTAGTGTCGGCTCTTTTTTGTCAGCCGCGTGGGTGGCTCGCTCTTGGGCACGACGGTTGGCAGGATGGCGCATCAAGTTGCGAGAGGATGAATGCTGGAGTCGCTTTTGGGGCCGACATGTCCGGTGTGATGGCGGGCGGAGGGCGTTGTTGATAACTGCTGAGGTTCGCAGTTAAACAAGACCCTAGACATTGCACTTTTTCTATGGAGAAGCCGGAGAAGCAGTATAAAAAAGCCTGGTGGCGCGGCAGCTAGAAGCGCGGCTAGACTGCATGTGGTATCGCGATCCCTGGTCGGCATCCTCCACCACGGCCGTCTTTCACAAAGTCTCTTGCGGGTGCATGCCAGGCCAGGCCAGCCAAGACAAGGCAAGGCAGAGTGAGCGAGCCAGCCAGCCAGCAAAGCAAGCACCCCGCGAGAAAACTCTGAGCAGCCGGCCAGCCGCACTTTGCACGCTGCGGGAGCACGGCAAAAGCCTAGGCTACTCTACTGAGTCTACTCTACCCACCAAGGAATTCTCCTTGGGGGGCGACTGGATCCCGCCTTTGACCCTCTCTGACCACCCAGAAGCAGCCCTGGGCCTTGGAAAGAAGGTGAACGTGCTTCCGCCCGCCTTTTCAAGTCCAGCACCTCCGCCCCTCCGCTGAGCCCTCTTCTATTTTCATTACCCAAGAGCTTACCTCACAACTACTGCGCAACCACCCACAGCCACCCTCTTATCAGTTCCTATCAATCTCGCAAACCACACGCAATCCAATCTCGACCCGGCGTCTGCAGCGGCCCATCCCAGACGCGCTTAACCCTCCAGAGCCTCCTGCCCTCCATTATCGACTGCCGTTATCTTTATCGACACCATCCTGCCTCCGCGTCGCGTCTATCGTGCCTCTTGGCGCTCCTGTGCCCCTCTATCACGTCGGAGGGGTACGGTGTCTGTACATGGGAGATAGTCTCGTAACAGATATGACGGCTCCCGTGGGCAAGGCAGAGGCGTCGCGCGATGGTTCGACAGACTCGATCGGATCGTCGCCTGAACCTGGCCTACTAGCCGAGACATATACGCAGGAAGAGCCCCAGCAGCAGAAGCGCAAAGGCGGCCGCAAACCTGTGAGCCCTCCCACCTGCCTGCCATGATGCCAGCGGCATTTGCAGCGTCCATTACCATGTCACACGTAGCACTAACCAAGCGTCGTAAGATATACGCCACGTCGGAAGAGCGCAAGCAGCGGAATAGGCAGGCGCAAGCAGCCTTCCGCGAGCGTCGCACAGAGTACATCAAGCAATTGGAGAGCACTATCAAGCACCATGAGGAGACGCTGCAGAACCTGCAAAACAGTCACCGCAATGCCGCCGACGAATGCCTTATGCTCCGGTATAAGAATTCTCTACTGGAGAGGATTCTGCTAGAGAAAGGTAAGGCCCAGCCTCTCCACACCTGATCATGAAAATACAAAAGGTGAACATGTTCACTAACTCATGCTCCCCCAGGCATTGACGTCCAGGCTGAGCTGCGCGCAAAGACTGGCAGTCCCAACCTGGGGCCGACGAGAGCCCCAGCGTCTGCGCACGCGTCTCCCAATCAAGCCCCCCTCCAGCAGCGTGCCATGTTGAACCGACAGCAGCAGAGGCGGTCGCTGCAAGGACCGCCAAAAGCTGAAGGTACCAATGGCTTGCCCATGATCCAGCCTGACGGGCCCATTCAACGTTCACCCCTCTCGCAGCCCACTCCTGGCTCGCATCTGTCCTCGCCCGCGCAGTCAGCGACGCGCTCGCCCAACTTTCTGCCCCATGGCCAGTCAGTGTCGCCCAACTTTGGGCCAATACCTCCACAACAGCAGCCATTGCGCCCTCAACCGCCGAGATCAAGCTTTGCTCCCATGATGGGTCCCCAAAGACCTTCGCTAATCACAAATCAACCTCCTGCGAATGGCATATCGAGCGCGTCTACTGGCGGCAGCAGTGGCAGTGGCATAACGCAAAGCAGTGGTCCATCGTCATTCTATCAGACTCATTTCACCGACCACATGAGTCAACTAGGCAAGCTGACCCCTTTCTTTTCCCTCCTTGGGTATAGGACTTTGTAATCCTAGGCTTATTCTGTGTTGTAGAGCAGGAGTACGAGGAACAAGCCGACTCCTACGACCACGACGACCCGAGTGACCAGTCTGCGGGCCCCGGCCCATTCCCGCCGCAAAACTTCCCGCCTTCGAACAACATGCCGCCCCCATTACCGCCCACACAAAACCCTCCCTTCACGAGCCCGGCTGCGCTGGCGCCAAACGAAGGAGGCCATGTCTTCAATGGCATCAACAGCCAACTCTTCGACCCCTACGACCCCATGCTCGATGCAGACCCATTCGGACTGTCTGCCAGTATGCACTTTCCAACAATGTACGAATCTCGATGATTGATATGAGGATAACGCAACGGGAAGAGACGGGTTCATAAAAGACAATTACGCTTCTGGAATGCAGAAGGTTGTCCATTCGGAAATACCCTTGTAATATGGTTTTAGCGGGCGTCATCATTGAATTTGTCTTTGATAACGATTTTGGTGTACTAGAACAACGGCGTTCACGACGTGATCTACGAGTCATGGATCAGCGCCGGTAATCCTAAAAGTTTTGATGCAAACCTGAACGAAGATCATGTTTGGTGCTGTGGTTTTGACAGGATATGAGGAGATGAATGCCATGGAAGGTGGCTGGATGGACGGCTACACGGGTCTCAAATATTCCATAATTGGGGACGCAGCTTATTGGCAGGCTGCTACTTGTAGATATCATAATACCAAAGCGGAACACAGACGTCAGTGTAGAGGTCGTCAGATATGCTATGAAGAAGCTCTGGATGACGTGTGAACCAGAGCCAAAGACGTCTCCCCCCCTGCCAAGCAGGGCATGAGAGAAGCCTGCCTGGAAAGTCATTTCATTTGAATCATGTCTACCAAATTAATAACATAAAAATAACGTACAGCAAGTACTGCCCCCGTAAGCCGATCTCCGTAGTGCTCTATAACAAACCGAGGCTTGCATGCAAGTAATTGCACCGTCATCGCTCTTTGTCTCCCTCGAGACCTGGGTGGCACGGGCCTTTGCTTTGGACCATTGACTAAGCGAACAATGCACAAACGAATATCCACCTAACCAAAACTCCTGCCCGCCAACTTCACGCCAATTATCCCGTTTGAGAGCCACACTTGAGAGCCCCGTCCCTAATTCCGTAGGGCAAGCTCTCGCACTCTTTTTCTCCCCCCGGCAGGTTGCGCATCTAGACGGCACAGCGCGAAAGGCGCTTCAAACCCATCAAGATGTCGCAAATTGCTTCCAAGGTGAGCTTCCCCGCCCCCGAGTGTCGGCTTCGAAATTCGCGCGACTCGAAGCTGCCCACGACGCTTCCGCTATCCCATTAGGCACAATAGCTAATTATGATACTAGAATATCTACGAGCTGCTGGGTACGTTCGAGCACGCAGTAGCTTAACACGAAAAAACATCGCTCACGAACCCCGCAGGCAATGATCCCGAGCTCGACCCCTCCAGGCCAGCTGATCCCCCAACAAGGGCAATTGACAAGCCTGTTGCGAGAGTTGGCAAGCGCGAGGGTGGTGATGCCCCGCGGCCCGCGGCCGACAGGTCGGACAACCAGACCCGCGCCAAACAGACTGGCAGCGGCAACGAGAATGGTACGTCGCCATCTGGGAGGCACATCGGGCACGCATCATGTGCAGGAATGGCTTGCTTTGTGGACAAAGACTAACTAAGCACAGCTTTCCGGGATCGCGGCGTAGGAGCTGACAAGAACCGCGGCAGGGGATCTGGTGGTGAGTGCCATGGAATGCGTCCATCAATCAACAAAGACACTAATACATCTTAGAACCTACTGGCACTGGAGCTCGCGGTGGCCAGCGCGGCCGTGGAGGTCGTGGTGGACGCGGAGGAGGCCGTGGTGGTGCTCGCGCCGACGGTGACCGTCACAGCAGGACAGGCATTGCGTAAGACTTGACCCTTTTTTGCCCACTGACCATCTCTAACACACGACAGTGAGCACGAGAAGCAAGCCGCTCACGGATGGGGTGGAAACGACGGCAACGCCGAGTTGGCCGACGAGCAGGCTGGCGACGAGATCGCCAAGGCTGAAGAGAAGGTGGCCGTTACCGATGCTGCCGAGGGCGAGAACCAGCCCGAGCCCGAGCCCGAGGACAAGAGCGTGTCCTACGCCGCCTATATTGCTGAGCAGAAGGAGAAGGCTTCTCTCGCTGCCCAGAACGTCCGCAAGGCCAACGAGGGTAGCAGCAAGAAGTTCCCCGAGGGTACCGCCCTGACCCGTGAACAAGAAGAGGAGAACTACTTCGCCGGCTCTGGAGGCAAGGCCAAGCGCGAACGCGCCCGCAAGGAGAAGGTCCACGTCGAGCTTGACGGTGACCGTATGCTTGCCCCACCTCCCCGTGAGGGTGGTGCCCGAGGAGGACGCGGCGGCCGCGGCCGTGGTGAATTCCGCGGTGGCGAGGGACGCGGCCGTGGCGAAGGTCGTGAATCCCGTGGCGGCGAAGGACGCGGTCGCGGCGGCGAAGGTCGTGGCGAGTTCCGCGGTGGACGCGGCCGTGGTGGTGAGGGACGTGGTCGCGGCGAAGGTCGCGGTCGTGGAGGCCGTGGCGGTAACCAGTCCGGCCCCAACATCACCGACTCCAGTGCTTTCCCCAGCCTGGGCGCATAGTCTGACTATACGTCGACTACTTGCACCACTCGAGAAGTGCGTGCCTACATCCGACAGTCAACTGCGGATAGTCACGAGCGAATGAACAACAAGCGATCTGACGAATGGACGAACGAACGGAGGAGCTGAGCACGAAATATGGATCTCCAAAAGTAAAGGCGGCGGGCTAAAGTCACTTCCATCTACCCCGATTCCAAAGTCTTCTATATACGGTGAACCTATCCGTGTCTAATTCACCGGCCGATCTCCCTTCGAGGTTGTTAGGTTTTCTTTTCAATCTGAATGAAAATTGTGTATTTGATACCTTCTGCATCTTTTCAACTCGCCCTTTCGTATCAGAAATCTTGATCAGACTACTGACATTGATCAAACGCTAGTGATGGGCGTAGGCGCTTCTTGGCCCCTTTTATTTATACCCGAAATAACCTTGCTGAGCTATCGCCAGTCTATAGTGTTGGATCTCTGTGGAGTAATTTATCTGCTTCCCCTCGTTCATCTCATTCATTTTACCCTTCACCCCCGTCTTTCCCCCATGATCAGATTCCCACCACACCTCAACTACCCGAACATTTTCCGTAACATCACACCTCAAACCAGCTGATCAATAAACTTCCTTTTAGATGGCACATACTCATCGTTGAAAGCTAGATGACGAGCTAACGAGCTCACCTACCTCTTTCTCAACACCGCTTTGTATTTGGGGAATAATTTTGCAGGTAGTTGATAGACATGACGTGTTGAGGATATAGAAGATGTTGAGGACATAGAAGCGGGGAGGAAGAAGAAAATCCACAAGACGAGTAATGCTTCGTTGAAATGGATGGTGTTTCTCCTTAAAACGACCCCCTGGTATAAATACTTCACAGTCACACAGGAGGAGAGGAAATTGTTCAACTTGACCAAGATCTCGAGCATTAAAAAAACCTTCTACTAATGAGAAGGTTTAGAAAAGGAATTGCGCCTCACTATGCCTCAGTTGTGACGATGCAAGCCATTGGAAATGGACTGCTCTAGCAAGCAGGAATGTGCTCTTATATGCAACGCTTCACCCAAGGAAGACTCCACGCCAAAGGAACGCCGATAGACACTAGGTGCCCCGTTCCCAGACAGTGAGTAAAATGCTCAAGAAGACACGCTAAAAAGATCGCTGAAGGGGAACAAGGTCTGCGGAAGAAGATACCGCCAATCCTATTGGGACAAGATATCTTCGTCGTTCATCTCAGAAGAAGCTTCTCTTCTAGCCTCCAGTGCCGCCAATGTAGCGTCTTTACAGGACTCGCAGACGAGTAGGCCACAGTCACTACACTCGTGGGCCAAGCTGAATTTCGTCGTTGTACTCGAGAAGACGTTTGACAAGGCGTTGGAGGTAATAGCCTGACGGCCCAAAGGCTTCTTACCTGATGCTTGTCCATTGTAAGCAATGGAGTCTACAGAGGTGTCAAGAGAAGCGCGGCGTGGTGCTTCCAGGTCCGTCGTTGCGATGATGTTACCGTAGGTATCGACCACGCGATCAGTAAATTGCACATCCTCCATCGGCGACACTTCGAGAGTAGGCACACTCTGAGACAGCGCCGACATGGTAGCTGTAAGATGGGGCGCCGTCCCCACAGTAGCGTCGGCCGCGAACAATCCTCTCGGCGGCATGTACCGTACCCTCCCTCGTCCCCTTCCTCGCCTAATACCTCTTCGACTACCTCCAGCGCCGGCAGGTACCATCGTCTCATTTGCTTTGTGCGAAGTCTTGCCCATGTCGATCGCAGGGCGGATAACCCCCCAGCAGTTCATGCACTCCATGTCCGTCATGGTGGTGTCCTTGGTCAGGGCAGTAGCGAGACTGATCTTGTACGCGGAGAAGGCGTGGTAGCAATGCCAGGCGCGGTCTCTCATGTCGTCGCCCGGTTCTGCGCCGAAGTCTAGATCCTCCTGATCTATCCAGTAGCTTTCTGGGCCGCCATCGAGATTCCGCGGGGGAATGATGGCCTGGGGAGGTGTCGTCGTGTGCGTTGGGCTATCTTGTGGAGCTTCTACGGTAGCACCTGCGGGATTGGCTCCAGAGGTTTCCACTCCAACGGACTCGATGGCCTCTGACGCGACTGACTCGACATCGCTATACCTCTCTTCCTCGTCCTCATCACATTCTGCATAATGACTATCCCAGCTCTTCATGCAACCCCAACAGAAATGGGCGCCACACCTACACGCCATGTGGGCGCAACCGTACATTCGCCTCAGTCCATGGCCACATTTTGGACACTTTTTGTATCCCCATCCCTTCAGTAACGCCTCGGTTTCTGCGTCAATGCCAAACTCACCAACGTTGCACAAGCTATTTGGATGTGCTACTTGTCGACAACCTACGCATATTCCTGCTTGACACGTTGGACAATCAAAGGTGTTGGCGGTTGGCGTTCCAATTCCAGAATCGACGCGTTTGCCCTCGGATTTCGCCTGCTGCGGCAATAGGCGCCCCGGAATAAAAACTGAGCATGTCGGTATGGGGCAGTAGAAAGGCTTCAGTGTCGACCATTCCTCGTACTTTGACTTGAACTCGGCGATTTCCTCTTGCGATAGGTACGGTCGCACATTGTGGAGGTGAATCTGCCCGCAGCAGCTCGGCGGCATACTCGACGTGTTCTTGCAAGCCTCAATAAACATTTTCTTGACGCAGGTTATGCAGTATGCGTTATTACACAACCTGCATGGCCTGAGAACCTCTTTGGCGTGCATCGGATCCCTCTCTTTCGGTAACTGGGTGCAGCAGATCAAGCATTGTACATCGATTTCTGGTGGAGGATGTGGTGTAAATGCCACTGCAGGCGGCGGAGGCATAGGGTCTGTTGCGGCGTATTCGATCGACATGAGCTGCTGGCCTGCTAGGAATAAGCTGAAGGCTGCCGTTGCATCTCCTGGCTGCTCCATGCTGGTAGGCGCACTCGCGTTTGGCCGTGCGGGCTCGCTGTTGCGTCTTTGCGAAATGGTTGGTGTTGTGGTCGAATTTGCAACATTGATATCGTCGCTGCCGTACTTATCTGGCAGCCGTGGGGTGGAGTCTTGGCGAGCTTCGTTTTCGTTTGCATCATGTTGGGCAGTTGCGGATGGCGAGGCAACAACCCTCACGTGCGGTCGCACGGCCTTGGAGAATTTGGAACCCATGGCGAACAAGATGGCGATGACTGTGGAAGCGTGGAAAGCGCCAGACTTGACAGCTTATGAGGAACGCCGACGTGAGGGTGGAGGTGGAACTTTGACTCAGAAGAAGGCTGTTGACTCAAAAAGAGGCGGTGCTGCCTGCAGGCAGCCTTGTGTCGTTGGCCATCATTGGCTCAAACAGACGTGCGTCAGAGTACCCCACAAATAACATGATATAATGAGGCATTGCGGGAGAGAGTGTACCTGGAATCTGACCTACTAGTCTTGATATCAAGGAGCATTGATTGATCAATGGCTTCCATGAAGCTACGCACGAGAGCGGGTTTCCGGTCTTATTTAGCCATACGACATTTAAGGTCTCTACTTTAACGATGGAGCCGATGTCATTGGCGGTACACATCGCGTCTTCCGCCCTTTTCCATCGTGTTGAAGTTGTGAAGGATGATGTAGCTGGAATCATGGAGGTGAGGTTGGATGTTGCCTAGTCTCTACGCTTGCTGTTCCTGGACTAGTGACCTGCTCAGGCCCATCCATGCCCAGGTGGATAGACAGCGGAGTATTCACAAAGTTGTTTGTTTGCTCTTGCAAATATAGGCACGAGAAACAGGAAGATTCCAAGCTTGTCTATGGTTCCTAACAAGATCTGAGAATTGTGTTCCTCTATAGCTTGTAGCCACTACCTGATCATCGCCAGCTTCTAGAAGGCGCATTGGTTTATCAACAATAGGAACACAAAGATGGAAGCCATTGCGACGGACCGAGACCACAGAAGTTCGAAGTAAATACTGCTGTGGTGCAGACATGTGTTAGAAATGCGATAGTACAGCACATGCCACTTTCTCCAAGGCTGAAATTCCGTAACGCACGATTCGAGTATCGATTAGGAGAATAACTAGTAACGTAGAAGCGCCATATGACGACGATAGTACTTCGATCACTCTACACTGTGGGCATTCCCTTCATGCCAGCCCAGTCAGCCAATTTAAGGGATAAGACGATCGTCGAGGCTAGCACGTGATTGCGCTGGTGTCAGTCCAGGATTGCATCTGTCGTATTGAAACTTAAAGCTGAACCAGAAGCAATGACATTAGCGTACCGCAGTTGTGCTGAATGTTGGTCTAAGCCCTGCGAAAACCCGAGTTCTGAGATGACAGCACATGGTGTACCCGTGTTTGAGACCCCGGTTTGTACCAAGGTAGTGTACCACCCATCTCGTGAGCGTGATCTAGTAATGTTGCGAGGGGTAAATGGCCAAGAGGTGTGGAATGCTCGACCTTTGATCTCACACGGAACACCGATCCGGCTGGAATGGAGCCGGTTCTGGCGTTCATTGGCCTGGAGCGCAAAAGAATAAAATCGGAGCTCATGACATCTATTTGTAAAAAGAAAGTCGGACGGATCGGTGACGTACGTGAGGTATTATGAGGTATATAGTGACACCTTCCTAGTCAAGCAGTCTACTGCAGTACACTGCTAGACTGACGGCTGACGTCCTCGTTGCTTGAGCGGGGACCGTCAACGTGATGCCAAAGGGCCGCGGCAAACATGGAGCAAGGAATGCCCGAAAACAACCGTGGGAGGACTGAAGAATATTGCCGAGAAATCGCCAATAGTGAAAGGGCCGGTCGCTCCATGAAATATGCACCAGGCTGGGGACAGGTCCAAAGTACCTCGCGCCGTTTCCACAAATCAGCGACATGTGGACAGGCTCTCCCCATGCGCTAGAGGAGCTACAAACCAAGACGTGCAGGACGAGCACAGCATGAAGGGACACTGATGTGCGACGTCAACCCCGCATCATCCGTACTTGTCCTGGTTTTGGAGGTTGCACCGTCAGCGACGCAGAGCGCCACATGCAGCACTGTTTGACTCTGCTGCTTGGCTCCTTGGTGGCGTCGGAAGCGGCTTTTTGGGGAGCTTATCCGCACGTCAGGGTGGGTGCAGGCATATGACGATGTACATTCACCGGCTCATTGCAGTGACGACGACGACTGAGCGCCCTCCCTGCTCTTGACAAGGGAGACGGAACGACCGGGAATTGGTACTTGATGTGGAACTCCCTGGCGGAGAGTACTTGTACCAAGGAAGGGCTGGGTACTGGGCTACAAGCGCTCCGTGAAGGGCAGGCCAGGTGATGAAGCCCACAAGTATCGGCTTCATAGCGCGATGGCGGAAGCTGCGGGACATGCTCCATCAAGGGCGCTGGGGGGGCAGTTGGGGCGGAGATCAGCAGGGCTCTGCAGATTATCCCCGCAAAAAGAGGGCAGCACTCGGCGCTCGGGGCGTGCTGCTAAGGGACTTGGTAGCTGGGGGAGCTGCGATGCCCATGTCGTAGCTCCTTTGACGAAGAATAAAAGCGCCATGCTGCCCTTGCGTTTGCCTTGTGCGCGCAACCACGTCTCTTCATGTCCTACTCGTCGACGGCATCGTAATTTTATCTGTGTATTCGTACCGGCTGCTTCCCGCGTTCCCCTGACAGCTAGACGTCATGTTACGGCTTGCACAAGCATTTTTGGCCATCGCCCTCGTACAGGCGCAAAGCCCCCAGGTGAGTTCCAAACATTCTGTCATTATTCCTCACAACAACACCATTTCTACGGGAAAACGTGTGCAGAAGCTGTAGAGATGCTGCCAGAGCTCGCGCACTTGGTCGTTGCGCTTTTTCCGTTTCTCCGCTCGGTACAATTCTGGTTTCTAGCTTTGTTGATGGGCCCAAGCTAACTATAAACAAGTATCCTAACACCACAAGTCCGGGTACGAATAACACCGATAGTAGCCCGTTGAACAATGCTGAGAGCCCACCATTCTACCCGAGCCCGTATGTATTACTTTCACTCCTAGATATTCACATCCCGTTGCTGCGGAATGGTCAAACCGTTGGACAGAGGACGACTGTCTTCACGTCACTCTGCAGTCCTCAAGCGAAGAATGCGACAGGCATTGAAGCCATTTGGACAACGCCATTCGATCATTCCGACACGGATTCGCGGGATTCTTCATCTTTACTCGGATACTGACCTCACGTTAGGTGGATAGAAGGCACTGGCGACTGGGCTGCAGCTTATGCGAAGGCACAGGCATTCGTCAGCCAACTGACTCTGCTCGAGAAGGTCAATCTCACCACCGGTACAGGATGGCAGAGTGAGGCCTGCGTCGGCACCGTTGGTTCTATACCACGACTCGGCTTCGACTCCCTTTGCATGCAAGACAGCCCTCTGGGTGTCCGATTTGCCGACTACGTTTCTGCGTTCCCAGCAGGTGGCACTATCGCCGCATCATGGGATCGTGGCGAGTTCTACCGTCGAGGATACCAGATGGGACGAGAACATCGTGAAAAGGGTGTTGATGTGCAGCTCGGCCCTGTTGTTGGTCCCCTTGGTCGCAACCCGAAGGGCGGTGTAAGTTCACCACATCACGTATAGCAAACGATACTGACATTATCACAGCGTAACTGGGAGGGGTTCTCCCCTGATCCGGTGCTGTCTGGCCTTGCAGTCGCCGACACCGTCCGCGGTATCCAAGATGCCGGTGTCATTGCCTGCACGAAGCACTACATCATGAACGAACAAGAGCACTTCCGTTCGCCTGGCAACTTTGAGGACTTTGGCTTTGTCGATGCTGTCAGTTCGAACTTGGACGACAAGACCCTCCACGAGTTGTACCTATGGCCCTTTGCTGACGCCGTTCGGGCCGGAACGGGCTCCATCATGTGCTCATACAACAAAGTCAACAACTCGCAGGCCTGCCAAAACTCGTATCTGCAGAACTACATCTTGAAAGGCGAGCTTGGCTTCCAGGTATGCAATGCCACACACCCCACATGAGAGGCACATACTGACTTCAATAGGGGTTCATAATGTCAGATTGGGATGCACAGCATTCTGGTGTCGCCTCTACCCTCGCAGGTCTCGACATGACGATGCCTGGTGATACTGATTTCAATTCTGGTCAATCGTTCTGGGGGCCCAATCTCACGCTCTCCATCATCAACGGTACAGTCCCGCAGTGGCGTCTCGATGATGCGGCACTACGTATCATGGCTGCCTACTATTATGTCGGCCGTGACGAGGCATCGGTGCCCGTCAACTTCAACAGCTGGGTACGAGACACCTACGGATACCAACACTTCTTTGGAAAGGCCGGCTATGGTCTTATCAACCAGCATGTTGATGTCCGAGCGGATCACTTCCGCTCCATTCGCCGCACTGCAGCAAAGTCGACCGTTCTCTTGAAGAACACCGGCGTGCTCCCTCTTTCAGGTACTGAGAAGTGGACTGGTGTGTTTGGCAACGACGCTACCGACGGCGAGTATGGCCCGAACGGGTGCCCTGACCATGGTTGCAACAATGGCACTCTCGCCATGGGCTGGGGTTCGGGAACATCTGACTTCCCATACCTCGTTACGCCACTGGAAGCCATTAAGAGCAAGATCGCCAGCAATGGTGGCGTTGTTCAATCCGTCACCGACAACTGGGCCTACGCGCAAATTGCAGCATTGGCAAAGCAAGTCAGCGTCTCCATTGTCTTCGTCAACGCCGACTCTGGTGAAGGCTACATCACGGTAGATGGCAACGCAGGCGACCGCAACAACCTGACCCTGTGGCAAGATGGCGAGGCACTCATCCGCAATGTCTCGGCAAACTGCAACAACACCATTGTTGTTATCCACTCGGTTGGTCCTGTTCTTGTTAATTCCTTCTATGATAGCGACAACATCACTGCTATTGTCTGGGCTGGCCTTCCCGGCCAGGAGTCTGGCAACGCCATTGTTGATATCTTGTACGGCCGCGAGAACCCTGGCGGCAAGCTCCCCTTCACCATTGGCAGCAGTGCGTCCGAGTACGGCCCAGATCTCATCTACGAGCCTATCAACGACCACGATAGCCCACAGGACAACTTCGAGGAGGGCGTATTCATTGATTACAGGGCATTCGACAAGCAGAACATTACTCCTGTCTATGAGTTTGGTTTTGGTCTCTCGTATACGACATTCAACTATTCCAACATCAAGGTTGCCAAGGTCCCAGCTAGCAAGTACACGCCGACTACTGGCCAGACCAAGGCTGCTCCCACACTGGGCAACTATAGCACCGATGCTGCCGACTATCAGTGGCCGGCCAACCTCACCCATGTGAATACGTACATCTATCCCTACCTCAACTCTACGGATCTCGCGAAAGCTTCGCAGGACCGTGATTACGGGCTCAACTACACATGGCCCGAAGGCGCGACAGATGGCTCGCCACAAGCCCGCATTGCTGCTGGTGGCGCACCAGGTGGCAACCCACAGCTCTGGGACGTGTTATTCACTGTTGGCGCTACCATCACCAATACCGGGTCTCGCTCTGGTGACGAAGTTGTGCAGGTGTACCTGTCACTGGGCGGCCCTGAGGATCCCAAGGTGGTCCTCCGTGGCTTTGATCGTCTTTCCATCCAGGCTGGTAAGAGCGCTACATTCCAGGCTGAAATCACACGTCGCGATGTGTCCAACTGGGATACGGCGAGCCAGAACTGGGTCATCACCAAGTTCCCCAAGACGGTGTATGTTGGTGCTAGCTCTAGGAAACTGGCTCTTAGCGCGAAGTTGGATTTGAGCGACTTTTAGTCTTGGATGCTTTGTAGGGAGGACAAAGTTGGGTTATTATTGCATTGACGACAAGATATTAGTTCCAAGGCATTATTTACGATGAAGCACTTTCCATGAGATTAGGACAGTGAGGTTAACGATGTTGGGATTCTATGTAAATATTGAAACGAGGGATACTTTGTCAGTCGTGTCACGGTGTTGTGCACTTTGCGCATGTGTGGTCGTTCGCGGTGCTGTGCTGCTGAAGCCGGCCAAGAGCGCAGCCAATGCATGACCAATTCGTGCGCTGATGACGTACGATCGTCAACAAACGCGTCCACCAGTTTGCGTGCGGATGCTTACGCGAATGGCTGCTGACAACGACTAGCTGGCCTTGACGAACCGTAGTTGATGAGGGGTGCATAGTGCCGTGATCCCTAGGTAGGTAGTGCGAAAGCGGTCTGGAGGGAGCATGTGGTTCAACGTCCCTCGACGCTTGGGCAAGTAGACGGTAAGCAGGGCGTAGGCTCCAGGTTATCGCACAAGGAAAGAAGAACAGATTGGCGCCGCACCCGAGCTGGCGAGGCCGTTGGAAGCTGGAGCGATGGATGCCGCTGGCTGCATGCGAACACGAAGTAGCGTCATTTGTTTGTCGTCGCATCATGTGGAGAATTTTGCACGGATTCGGCGCCTTGGAGGTCACGGGACTGTGCACGGACACCACCAGGTCCAACAGCACCGCCGGAGAGGACCACAGCCAGGCCGGCGTAATTCGTCCTCTTTGCGACGTCTGCGGCTCTGCGACTATCTTCTCTATCGATAGCCATAGCCATTCAGTGCTCTAGACCACTCGACACCTGGACAGCTTATTACAACCACATGCTCTGGTGCGCGTCGACGTCGTCGTCAGGAATCCTGCCCATTGCTGCTGCTGCCACGCTACGCCCATTGTTTCGTCGCGTAGTGGAATAACAAACAGAGAAACGCCGGCCTCATCATCATCATCATCATCACCACCTCCCCCGCAGCCCCGACACCCACCACATCGCGCCGCCCGCCGCTGCCCTGACGAACGTATTTTCATTACCCTGACCTGCCCAAGACATCGGAAACCGACCTTCGCGGTAAGCTGCACCCTCTCTGCATGTCGAGTCGCGGTGGGGCGAGGAAAGAGGCCCAGAGGCGCAACTGGCTCGTCGCTCCCCCCCAACCATAGTTCGACCACGACAAGAAGCCGTTATATACACCCGGCCCTCTCGCTAACTCGCTTTCTTCCTCCAGACTCTGCTCGCGCACATGCAAAATGTCCAGCCGTCGCAGTGGACTCCGCTCGCGAAGAGATGCCCAGCAAACGTCTGATGCAGACACGCCCGACGCCACGCCCTCGCGGAAGCGCAGGCGGGTGAGCAGCCCAGCCCAGCTGGTTGACGGCAATGAGTACTTACTGCGGGCACAGTTGAACGGCACGCACGAGGTGCCCGCCCCTGCCGACGCTGCACGCACCCGCATCACCGAATCCGTCGCTAGTAACGACTCCAACACGACGCTCCCCAACGGCGGGGATGCAGAGAACCCCATTGACGCGGTGGAGCGCCAGAACCTCATCATCGCCGCCCTCCGCACGCCCCAGTACACGCCGAATGCCGCCGTCGACTATGCCAACGATCTGCAGGCCCGCAGAAACGAGGGCAAGAACATCGCTGCCTTTGCCAAGATTGCTGCTCGCGACTGGTGCTTCTTCGTCCAGGAGACTCGCGTCACCATCGGCCGCGCAGACTCGTCGGTCCGCCCGAACCCGGCCAGTTCGCAGGCTGACCTCTCTGGCCTGCCCGCGAGCGACGCTCCACCGTCAAACTGGGGAGTGCACATTGATCTTGGCCCTGAACGCCAAATCTCCCGCGTCCACGCCGAGATCAACTTTGAACCCCAGGACCAGAAGTGGTATATCCAAGTCAACAGCCGCAACGGCCTCAAGCTGGACGACCGCAGCCTGACCCGTGGAGATGTTTCGCCCCTGCACTCGGGCGTTTGCATTGGCATCATGGGCACCCAGATGCTTTTCCTCCTCGCCAACCAAGAAGACCATTTCCACTCCATGCTGTGGCGCCAGGTCAAGAACGAAGACGCTGCAGAATCCGACAATGACGGCAATCCACCCCCCAAGTCGCATCATGCTCACCCTAGCGGACCAACGCCAAAGCGCGAGCAATACGACCCATTTCCGCCCTCATCACACCCTCGCCACAAACAGCAATCGTCACAGGCCTTCTACAGTCAGATGACTTCCACTCCAGGCCGCCCACAACCAAACACACCTGTGGCTATTCGCCCGGCAACGGATCCCCGCAGCAGCAAAGGCTCGCCCGCTACCTTCTCTCGCGGCCTGATGATGGACTCTACCGACGATATCGACTACAGCCACGACTCGGCCAAGGATATCAAACCACCGCACAGCTACGCACAGCTCATCGGGCAAGCGATCCTGAGTAGTGATGAGGAGATGCTTACGCTTTCGAACATATACGACTACATCAAGCAGCGATATGCTTTCTTCCGCTATACCAATGGCGGCTGGCAAAACTCGATTCGCCATAACCTATCACTGAACAAGTCCTTTGAGAAGGTTGCACGACGTACCGATGAGCCTGGAAAGGGCATGAAGTGGAAGATTGCTGATTCGGAGCGTGAGGACTTCATCAAGAAGCAGCTCCTGAATCCACGCAAAGGAGGTGGTATCGCTATTGGATATCGAATCGACGGCTCTGGACCGAGCTCGCCAGCACTGGGAAGCCTCCGCGATCCTCCATCTCAAGCTACGGAGCGTCTTATCGGTGCTCTTGACCGCGACCCAGGAAACCCGGGAGCCCGCGTCAAGTCTCCCCCGCGTTCTACGACGCCACCTCTGTCGTCTGTACCCATGGCGATGGAGTCTTATACCCCTGATCGTGGCCCACGCCCCTACGGTGGCTTCAAGCAGTCACCAACCACGCGCGACAAGGATTACTTCGTTACCCCCGCAAAGCGACTCGTTTATGGAGCTGATGAAGGCCGCGGACCTACCTACATCAAGAGTGATGAACACGGTCGGACTCTCGAGTCATCACCCAACGTGGATCCTGTGAAGCCCAACCTCTCTGGCCTCAAGGGCGATGCTGCACACTCTCCGCCCACTCTGTACTCCGACGCCGCCACAAACAACGGCGGCAACCACGATGCAGGCCGAATGAACCACGCTCTAGTTACGCCGTTGGTGACACGCCACGCACCTCGTCTAGCTCCACCCAGCACCGCCCAAATGCCCAGTCAATACATGAATTTCTCCAGTCCAGCACCCTTCTGGAAATTTGTTGATCTGCCCAGCACGCCGGCCAAGCATCCCATCGATTTGAGCCCCATCAAACTTCAGCCCCCGGACGACAAGGATGCCGATGACGAGCTTGCTCAGCCTAGTTCGCCGCCCATGCTACCTGATGAAAATAGCGCTGAACCCGATGAGGAGGAGGAGGAGGATGCCGAGGAGGATGCCGAGGACAACAAAGGTGACGATGACGAGGACGTTGGTCCTGAAAGCCCTAGCCGAACTTTATCTCGCCCCGTCAGCCGCCGCGAGATTGGATCCCAGCGATCGCGATCGAACTCGAATGTCAATGGCCTCGGTATTGTTGGCAGTGGTGGCATGGTGCGCGGCGCAAGCTTGACAAGCTTCGAGGAGGAGCCCGAAGCTGAGGAGGAGAGTTATGATCTTTCCAAGTAAGTTACAACACAACCACGGCGCAGACTTCGCTGGGCATAGGACTGATAGATATTCAGGGGTTTCCAAAAAATTGGCTCTTTCCACCGCAGCATGGCGCAAGCTCATGGTGTTGGCCCCCGCGCTACACCACCCCCGCTGCCGAGGACAAGTGTGCCTGCGAATATGTAGAGCGTATCGATTATGAACGACGGCTCTGGACGAGTGGTTACTCGTAAGAGTCCTTTCTCCGATTGACACCGCGTGTTGCGTATTGCTTTCTCAGACGTACTTTTTGTTGAATGAATATGAGGTATCTGTGTTTGGGGTTAAAAAAGGGGAGGATTGGGTATGTTGTCTTACTTGGCTTCAGTATTTTGTGATACAATTTCTTTGCGGGCAATGCATTCTACGGGCGGCTAGGTACAGATCACTCTACTACGGCGTTTTCTCCAAGCCAAGGCTTACCTAGGTATGATGCTACGATTTAGCTTTGCTTTTGTATTAGAGGCTGTCTGTCTATGTACGCTTGCGCGTTCGGTTAGCTGTAGGGTAGGCGAGGCGTGGTTGTAGCATCTGCAAGAATTGAGAGATATGTTCAAATCCTGTGCTTCGCTACATTTCTAAACGGTAATGGTCACGCCATGATGTGATTTGAGCCGAGAGAGCAGTGGTGTTAAACGTTCATTTGATATCGCATGCACATACTACACACGCCTAGTGAGTAAGTAGGGCTCCACTACATCCATCCCCTCAATCACTGACTTCTCGCATGGGACCTTTGAAACTTGATATACACATGCATTGCCCCAACCGACTACACCCAGTCTTTTCAGAGACTAGACTAGTTGATCTCCTTATGCGGGAACCACTTGCTGGGCTTGAGATTCTTCTCCTCGAGCGGCGCATCCAACACACCGAGACGCCGTATCTCTCCCGCAGAAGGTGCGTCGTCGCGTTTTATATCGGCTTCAGCTTTGCGGTACGCAGCTTGGAGGGCGAGGGTACGTGCGGCCTGTGTCATTTCCTATTAGTACACTATTCCATATCTCTCTCTCTCATATAAACCCAGGGGAGAGTGCTGTGCATTGGAGATTACGCACCTCCTTCTTGTGGTGCAGACACTCGTAGTAGTCCTCAAGCACGGGCTGGCATTTCGCCTTGCCCGAGTCGTCTTCGGCGTTTGTGTTGGTTACGTAGCATGCGAGGACTTCTTGCCAGAAGGGAAAGCAGCGGGAGGGGCCTGGGTGGTTAGTTAGCTTGGGTTGAGATTGAGCGATGCGTGGTGCTAGTTAGTCGAGGACAAAGGAGCTATGGAGGCAAGCGGTAGGCGGGATCGTGGGTGCGACGGGGATTGCGGATCACTGCGGTATTATCTGGTAGGGAGGGCGCTTTTCGTAGCCTCGAGTTTGGATTTCATGGTGTCGCATGGTATAGCATGGTTTGCTGTAGTCTTGTCTGGAAATATCCTGGTGTATCGTTGGTATAGAGCGGGCGATCCAAGTCGAGAAGCCGGAGCAGTCGCATGTGCCCGAAAGCCGGAACCGTTTCAATCGACCACTCCGAGCTTCCAGTAGGCCTGGAAGCCCCTTTGTAGACCCATCGTGGTTGTCGTCGCTATTCGCATCGGCGCTGGAATCGTTTCGTTGTCGTTGCCATTGTCGGTCTCCTCGCGCCCCCGCCGCCCCTCAAAACTGCCCAGCAAATTGAAAAACAAACATTCAATACGTACCACCAGCAAGTCCGTATCCTGAAGCCATTGTCGCGGTGTAGTGTGGGGTTCTGGATCTGGATGCTGCGCTGCCATTGAGGTCGAAGCTCAATTGTGTTACGTCAGCAGCGAATGGCTTGGCGGATTTCATTGGACGGGCGCGCTGCAGAGGAGGTTAAGGACTACATTTTGACGACTACTACGAGGAGAGTCAATCAAATCTGCTGATTATACTGTTATGGAATTTCTGATACTATGAGACGACAAGTGACAGGCTGCAATGAAGCGTTATTCTGAATATCTCTGCAGCTTCAATGAATTCATGTATCTACGACACGCGAAGTGAAAACTCCGTATGTAGAAAACTATGATTGAAACAATCCGACAGTAGTCAGGATGGCGCTTCAACATTCCACTCCTGCTTCACTAGCTGCAAGATGCTAAATCAGCATAGAAAATGACCAACCACGTATCGCCCGGAATGTCGAGCTTGCTGTTGCTCCTCACCGGCCCTTTTTTGAGGCTGAGCTGCCCGTATCGAAGTACAGATTGGCTGATACGGCGTTCCGAATCCCACCGGGTTCATAGAGGGCGTCAATTATCTGATCTTCGGCCTCACTCCGCCGGTTTGGTGGCCTTCTACTACTGAGCTCGAGCATGTTCTTGACTTGGGTGACTGCACAACGCAACCCAAAATCTGTTCAATAATCGAATCGTCTATAAAGTCGGACAGGCTCAATCAAACGTCGTCTTCGTACCCTGCGACTCCACAATAGCATGGCTGGCCCGGGGAGCATTTGTGTGAGCTGCACCGCTCCTGATTGTCCTTGGATCCACCTTCTTGCGCCCTCTTCGTTCCTCGCCGCCATTGCCAGCATCATTCCCCCCGCTGTTGCCAAAGTTCTTCCACCGGTCTGGGTTCACGCCTTCAACGGCCTCGGCCGGCTTATCCTTGCCATAACGCTTGTTATAGCGCGTAGTAGAGTCTTCTGCAAACTCGCAGCGCAACTCTCGGCCAAAGAGCTTGTTGAGCAACCACTTCCTCTTCTTCCCGCTCTTCTTCTTGTCGTCCGCTTCCTCGTCGCTTTCCACCTTGTCCTTCTTCTTGCTCTTGAAATCAGACTCATCCTTGAACACGAAGCCCTTGACTGCTGAGGTCGCAGCTTCGACATCGCCGAATGTGACCCACGCGTAGCCCTTGCACTTGCCCGAGTCTTCAAATGTAGCCATGTGAATGTGTTCGAGAGGCCCGCACTCGCTGTAGTGTTGCTCGAGATCCTCCTTCGTGACGTCGAACGAGAGGTTGCCGACAAAGACGCGCTTATTCGGTGGATGGGCTCCTTTGGCGGCAACTTTGCCTCCACGACCAGTGTCCTGTTCTTGCTCCACCTTGGGCTTGTCCGGCCGCCCTTCAAAGCTCTTTGCATTCTTAATGAGCAGCGCGCGGCCATCCATCTTAGTCTCAGTCAACGCAATAGCCGAGTACATGGCCAGCTCTGTGGAAAAGTCGACATAGGCAAAGCCTTTGTTAAGAGGCTTGGTGGACCAATTGGGGTTGACCGGCTTCGTGGGTGGCGGCAGATGTACTCTTGTAATGTGCTCGCTCTTCATCTCTGCATTCTCGACGAGGAATGTTCGTAGCGAGTCCTTGGTGGCAGACCATGGCAGATTGCCTATCCACACACCAAAATCCGAGCGCTTCCCGCTCTCTTCCTTGGACGCCGCATCTGTTTTCGTATCCGTTGCTCCGTCCTTGTCGGCTGCCGGCGTAGGGTTCAGTTTCGCCTTCTTTGCTTTGCGGGCGGCTTTCTTCGAGGAAGGTTCCGGCAGACTAACGTCGATCTCGATTTCGTCGGCAAGAGCTTCTCGCTTGCGCTTCTTCGCTGGTGTCTCGGACGACTCGTCGACAGCATCGGTATCAGCAACCTCGGGCGCGGGTTGAGATTTTGAGCGCTTCTTGTCCTTTTTCTCCTTCTTCTCACGACGGTCCTTCTTGATGACAATATTCTCCTCCTCCTGTGAATCCATATCTGTAATCTTTAACATGGTAGTGTGGTGAATGCGGCCAATTTTGGCAGCGAACTTTTTCTAGAGATTGGGTTTTCGACTTGCAGCAATTTAGCCCCGGTAGTGGAGCCCAGGCTTAGTCATCGCATTAGCTGCCGGTAGTACAACCTCGTGCCATGAATTGATCACTTGAAGCCTAGTAGAGTAGAGTGAGGAATGGGGGGTTCTCCGTAGGCGCCATTTCTAGTCACCAATGCTGTGTGAAGGCTGGGTCCTGTTTGTCTACGTGAGCCTGAACCCCGTGATATAGGAAAGCGAACTACCTCCTCACACAGTTGTACCCAGGACTCGTCGTGTCATCTATTAGGCAAGGCCAAGCAAGCGTATTCAATCAAACAGCTTCAACTTGGGCGGTCAAGCGCCTGCGTCACGTCGCCAGTCCCTCCTACGCTCTAGCGCCATATCATCTCGTACCGGTGAAACGTTATCGTGCATTGGAGGCATCACGTGCTGCTGCTGCATCGCTGCTCTTGCGCCAGCTGCAAGCACTCCACAACGGTGAGCACCAGGGCAATAATAAGTAATCTCGTAATCTCGCAGCTGTCTCGCTGCTCCACACCGGCTGACGACGTCTCTGCTGCCTTTCGCGAGTGGGCCGCTTTCCAACCATCATTCGGTCTAGCTAGTCGGTGCTCACGGACCCCCGCTCAAGGCAACTACGGTACCTCCAGGTCCACGACCTTACATTGCTCCACCCACCTCCACCCCGTCGACCTTGTCATCAACCACACGCAATAGCAGCTCCTACATAGCTGTTGCATCCCTCTCGTTGACCCTCCGTGGCAGCGAGCTTGCAGCAGTCGCTCTCGACGTAGCCACTTGATCCATTACGTCGGTCAGCCTCACTTGTCCGCCATGGCGACGACGACCAACGTGCCCGTGACGCTGGACACGCCCATCGTGGTCAAGATTCTGTTTCGGGGCCTTACCAAGAAGTTCAAACTCCCGCTGAAGGACCTCGGTCCTCATGTGCTCCCTGAGAAGGTACGTTGCTGCTCCAACAGCTGCCTCGGATGAGTACGCCGCAGCCTGGCATGCCTCGCCCGAGCTTGCAACAGCTTTAGAAACACCGGATATGCCAGAAACTAACATGAACTGCGCCGTGTAGCTTCGAAGCGTTCTCCAGATCCAGCCCGACGTGCACGTCGTGTTCGAGCGCTACTCCGACTCGGCTGCCTCCTACGTCACCCTAGACTCCGACAAGCCTCAGGTCTACAAGACGCTCTTCCGAGCCGCAAAAGCAAAGCTCAAGCTTCGCCTGAAGGCCACCATTCCTGGCGAGCAGATTGAGCTTCCCGCCGCTGCTCCGCCAGTACCCGCTCATGAGGCGGCCGTTCCTAGTCCTCTCCCCTCGCTGCTCCGCCTAAGCTCAGAGACCTTAACTCCCCATGGCATTGCGCCCACCTCCCCAGTCATTGCACGCACCCCTGGCGGTTGCCCTGCAGCTCCCAAGTTCGAGCCCATCAGCCCCGTATCGCCACCCAAGCCAGCCAACACAGAGGGCGCGGCTCCTTCGCGGCAATTGCTCGCCACTCATCAGGGTAAGTGCTCGAGATTCCTTGTATGTCGGTCAACTAATCGATATTCAGGCTGCCTCGACATCGCCGCAACTACCAATTACAATTCCGGTCTCGCTTTCCGTCCCAAGCCGAACAATGTGTGTGCGTCATGGGTCGTGTACTGCAACAACTGCAATGATCCCATGGAAGACGAGCACTTCCACTGCAGCGTGTGTGATGGCGGCGATTACGATCTCTGCCCGGCTTGCGTTGACTCGGGTATTCACTGCCCTGGAACGAGCCACTGGATGGTCAAGCGCTTCGTGAAGAACGGATGCGTTGTCAACAGTACCACCCAGCGCCTTGCACCCAAGGCGAAGGATGAAGAGCACCAAGAGATTCCCGGAGCCTTCACCGATGAGAAGCAGTCTGTTGCGCTCGAGGAGGAGCCGACGCGTACCTGCAACTGCTGCGTCAAGGTTCTTCCTGAAAATGAGTTTGTCACCTGCGTCTCCTGTGACGATTACGATCTTTGTCTAGGATGCCATCTCAGCAACAAGCACGGTCATCACCCGGGTCATGTCTTCAAGGCTGCCACCACAGAAACAGCCCTTCCTACCTTGGCTGAATATCTCTGCAACTCTGGCAGGAATGTCCGTCACTCGGCTGTGTGCGATGGCTGTGACAAGTTTATCTATGGCGTCCGCCACAAGTGCTTGAATTGCCCAGACTGGGACTATTGCTCTGATTGCCTTGAGAACGCCAAGTTCATTCACCCTCGCCATCGCTTCGTGCCAATCTACGAGCCTCTCGCCGAGCCCGTCAACAGCGGCAACCGCCATTATGGCATTTACTGCGACGGTCCTCTTTGCAAGGAGAAGGAGAATTTGTCCTACATTGAGGGCGTTCGTTACAAGTGTGCTGTTTGCCACGATACCGACTTCTGTCAGAACTGCGAGGCACACCCGACTAACAAGCACAACCATACCCACCCTCTTATCAAGTTCAAGACTCCGGTCCGCAGCGTCAGCGTAACCACCGTCAACGATGACAAGGCTGGGAGGACCATTGCAAGGCTTGGTGACCGTCAGCCACCTAGCCGGTCTACCGCAACTGAGACTACCCCAGTCGCTCCTTCCACCAATGCTGCAACGCAGGTGCAGACTGTTGTCGACATGAAGCCTTCTGAGGAGCCTCAAGTTAAGAAGGAAAAGATTGCCATTCGCGATTTGCTCGTTGAATCCGTTGAGCCTGTTCAGGACAAGGTCGTCATGCAAGTGGACGACATCAAGACCATCGAGACTGAGCCTATCCCTATTCCCAAGTCTGAGACGAGCTCCCATGGACTCGATGCTCACTTCATTCGTGACACCATTGTAGATGGTTCCAAGATCTGCACTGGCTCCCAGTTTGTTCAAGTCTGGACCCTCCGCAACCCCGGTCCTAACGCCTGGCCTGCAGGCTGCAGTGTTCGCCATGTTGGTGGTGATAATATGCTCAACATTGACAATTCACGACCGCTTAGCCATATCGATCTTGCGGAGGCCAGCGAGACCAACTCCATGGGTCGCTCCGTCGAGGCTGGTGAGGAGATCTCCTTCCGTGTCATCATGAAGGCACCTGTTCGTGAGGGTCTTGCCATCTCCTACTGGCGTCTCAAGACTGCTGATGGCCTGCCTTTTGGTCATCGTCTGTGGTGTGATATTCAAGTTGTCGCCCCGCCATCTCCTGCCGCCGCTCAGCCTGAGCCTGAACAAGAGGCCCCTGTTTCGTCTCCAGAAGTTGCCTCAGCTTCGACTCCTTCTCCGCTATACGAGCGTCTCATCCTAGCTAGACTCGAGAGGATGAAGATGGCTCAGCAGGCACATGCACAGCACCCTGAGCAACAGAAGATGGAGCGCGTTCAGCGCGTCCGCAAGGCTGCAGTTGAGCGTCTCTTGGAGAGCCGCCGCAAGGAGCACGAGGCTGCTCTCGCTACCGTCAAATATGAGCCAACCCCCAAGGTCGAGGAGGCTGCCCCTGAGCCCACTGCAGAGCTTCCAGTTGAGAAGTCTGCCGAGCTTGCACCCGAGCCTCAGTCCTCTGGCATGATCTTCCCGCAACTTGACAAGGAGTCTCCTGAGTCGAGCACGTACGAGACGACGACTGCACAGCCAGAGTCGCCCAGGTCCGAGAAGAGCACCATCGCCCGCACCGTTACTGTTGCTTCTGATGACGAGTTCTTCGAGGATGCCGAGAGCGTTGCTCTTCACTCTGATGGCGAGGGCTTCATGACGGATGAGGAGTACGATATTCTCGATGCCAGCGACGAGGAGATGTTGTGAGCAGCGTGATGCTCAGCGGGCGAGGAACAGTATTGACAGGTATATCAAGGTGACTAAGTTTACAGGGTCGTAAAAGGTCCCGTTGTATTTCAATGCGTTCGTTCCGTCGAATTTCGGTGTTTGGGGGTGTTTGACTTGGGTACTAGCGACCACACTCCCTACAAAGAAAGCGCTGGTGCGTTTTTCTACATATGTACACACCCTGACGGGATGGGATAGGGCGCTGCATGGCGCACTAGCTCGGTTATGGCTCTCTTCTGTTCCAATTTGGTCTGTTCCCTTTCTTGATTTTTCTCTCCTATAGGGTAGTGAATGTGAATGCATTTTTCTTGAGTGTACAGTGCCATGAAAGCGGTGCCATGAAAGAGCGGTGCGTGATGACCTCAACACTGCGATTATGATTATGCGACAGCTCGCAAGGCCAACGTGTGACATGTTTTTGATTGTGAAGACTGCGTCCTTTAGCATATACACAGCCAACAGAGTAACGAAGCTACCAATACTATGCGGCCTTCGTACGTGAGATGTACATGGCTACGGTGGTAGGGAATGAAAACGATGTTAGCCTAGTGGTCCCTTTTACACTGCCTGTGAGAGATAGAGCTGGAAGTCACCAACAGAACATTATATATAAACTTGCCCCTAAGGCTTTTTGCATTCTTTAGTTTCGCTCCTTCTGACTACATCGTGTCTTCAATTGCTCCCACCAATCTATCCAAATCTCTTGATCAACTCAGCAGGCTTATTGCCAACAATCTTCTCAATCTCCTCCAGCGTCTTAGGCGTAAGCTTGCGGTACACATCAACCGCCTTGACAGTCTGATAAATCTGCTCAGGCCTCGACGCGCCCGTAATAGCGCTCGAAACCGCCTTGTTAGAAAGCACCCACGCCATGGACAGCGTAGCGACATCCGTATCCAACTTCTTCGCCACGTCAACCAGCTTGCGGATCTTGTCCTGCTGCTGATTCCACGCGTCGGTGCCAATCGTCTTGACCACGCCCTGAATATACGGATCATCAGACGTCTTGAGCCGCGAGTCCTCCGGCACGCCATCGACGTACTTGCCCGTCAGCAACCCGCCGGCCAGCGGGGAGAAGATGGTGAGCCCCAAGCCACGGCGGGCGAACAAGTTTGCATTTTTAAACTCCTCGTCTACTTTGTCGCGGCGCAGGAGCGAGTAGCCCGGCTGCTCGACGATGGGGCCGATCAGGCCCAGGCGGTCGGCGACAGCCCATGCTTCTTCGATTTCCGAGGCGGCCCACTCCGAGGTGCCCCAGTAGAGCGCTTTGCCCGTGTTGATGAGGAAGTTGAATGCGCGGACTGTTTCTTCGATGGGGGTGTAGCGGTCTGGGCGGTGGGCGTACAGGATGTCTACGTAGGAGAGCTGCAGGCGCGCGAGGGAGGCTTCGGTGCCTTCAATCAGGTGCTTTCTGCTCACGCCTAGGTTGTTGATTTTGTTGCGCGGGGAGGCGAGGGCCGAGTTGTGGGTTCCCCAGTATATCTTGGTCGAAACAACAACATCATTCCTCCTCCATCCAAAATGCTTAATCGCGCGGCCCATGACTTTCTCTGACTCGCCCCCCGCATACCCCTCTGCGCAATCGAAGAAATTGATCCCCGCATCAAATGCTGCTTTCAAGCACGCAAACGTGTTCTCGTCGCCTACGTGCCCGCCATACGTCAGCCAGCCGCCCAGCGAAATGGCCGAGATTTGAAGCCCGCTCTTGCCGACGAAGCGGTATTCCATTTCGGGGAGGTCGGTGGGGACTTGAGAGGTAGACATTGTTGTATTTGTTGGTTTGGTGGGTAGGTAGGTTGCTAGGTAATACACTGCCCAAGAGAGAGTATATAAGAAGGAAACAGGAAGAATGGAGCAAGACGTTGGACTAAATACTAGTTTAGATTTCAAAGCCGACTTTCAGGAAGGATCAATCACGCTGTCTGATATCAAACGAGCGCGCCTTACTCTATATACGCTCTACCCCCCGTCCGCCCCGCGACCAACCGTCTCCACGCCAGCGATGTCGCCATGTCGTCAATTGACGCGAAACGCACGCACGCCATGGCGGGAAAAGACAGAAGACGTTCCCCACTTAAGCAGCATGTTTGCTTGGCTTGGTTGAATACAGCGGTAATCCGCTAATAACTAACAGATGCGTAGGTCGTAGAGGGTTCCCGTCCCGCGCCCTTTTTCATGAGCCCTGCGGGGTTATTTGCCTGTGAGGTATGTAGAGCCCCGCCCGCTCCTTCTAGGTTGGATGGGTGGTAACCGGATCGGGTATCGTATCCTGCTGGACTTAACCTTGGAACTTGAAAGGCTTGAAGACGCCTTTTAGAAGAGGGAAGATTGCCGGATTCAGACGGTGGGCGATATACGAGATGCGATACGCGAGCATGTCCGCATTCATAGAAGGGGGAGATCAGCGAGAGCATGCCATGTCGTCAGTGGAGATGTGATTCATTGAGTATGCACATATTTATTTCTCCGTCCTTCCATCGAGTCATAGCCGGGATATTGTTCCTCGCTTCTACTAACACCCTTTCGTGTCAACGCACCCATCCATCAAATCATCGCCTACTTTGCCACCTCGTTACATTGAACATTGAACATTGACAATCGTAACATGTTTTCCCCGTAAACGCACCGGCCCCGTGGTGCCCGGCGCTGGGATAATGGAGTCCTAACAGGATCTCGTTTGAGTAAATGTACAATCATAGCCTAGAGGCCTCGCTCAGCTTTCATCCGTTGCCGTTGACGGTCGCACGGGCGGCAACACCATTGACTCCGTTCTGCTCAAGCACCAAGTCCATGAAGCTTTTCCGCGGCTTATGCTTTGTCTCTGGCTTTTCTTCAGGGTCGAGATCGGCTAGATATAGACGCTTGGTCTTACACTCGGGCTTCATATCAGCAAGTAGCGGTCGGAGTGACTCCATGTTCTCCACCTCGGATCGCAAAAGCGACTCTTCAACCCAGTACAAGCCGTCCATGGCTAGGAACTGGTTCTTCGCTTCTTTGATGCTCTCCTGAATCTTTGCGTAATCAAAGTCAGGCGTGCCTTCCTGAGGGAAGCGAAAGTCTTGGGCAAGCAGAGCGACATCGTAGTGGCGGAGGAGAACATCTCGCTGTTTGCGCGTAACGGGAATACGGGGCCAGTTGGAGTACGGAGGATCGAGATGTTCTAGGTCAAGCTCGGGAAGACCCAAGATGCCGACTAGCTGAAAGGAGCAGATGTAAGTCTTGTCGGGCAGAGCCTGCGGGTCGCGGAGGTCCTGCGCAGTCGCGTAGAGCAGTGGAAGGAAGACTAGAGATACGCCGAGTTCTTCGCCAGAAAAGTGGAGGGGCCGGTTGTTGCCCAGCTCGCACGCTCGCCGCAACGCTCGTGGTAGCTGTGATATCCGCTTCTGTCGAGCAGCGAGCGCTTTCTGCCGCTGCGCTTCCTCGTCAGCCAGACGCTGAGCCTCCTCCTCCTCTCGCTTGCGTGCAGCTTCTGCTTCCTCAGCTTTCCGTTTTGCCTCTGCTTCAGCTTCCGCTTTCTTCCTGGCTTCCTCCTCTTCTGCAGCCTTGCGGGCAGCCTCCTCTTCTTCCTTTCTGCGTACTTCAGCCTCAGCTGCTTTGCGTTTTGCTTCGGCTTGAACTCTTAGTTCCTCCTGACGGCGCGCACGCTCTACCTCCGGGGTTGCAATTCTCTCTGGAGGCGCAGGCGTAGATTTGGCAGATGCCGTAGGCGTCTTCTTTACGCTGACGTCGTCGGTTGACGCATCCGACGGTTTCCTCTTCCTGATCTTGTCCTCCTTGGTCTTGTATTTGATTTTCTGTCTCAGAGGTTTTCGGTCGTCGGGAGAATCGACTTCAGGTGTGGGTTTGGCGCTGTGGGATTTGACAGGTTTCACGCGAACTTTTGCTGGACGCTCCATGCCACGGTCGTCGTCACTTTCATCAGAATGCACACGAGCCGGCCGTTTAGTCTCGTTGTCATCCGAACGTGCTTTGAGTGCCTTCCTGACGGGTTTGGCTTCTTCGCCTTCGCTGTACGAACGAGGTTGGACCTTTCTTGTAGGCGGCCGGACATCCTCCTCGCTTTCCTCATCCGAAGACTCGTCATCTACCACTCGCTTCCGCCTTTGGCCCTCTCGATTTGCCTTTTCTTTTCCAGATAACAACCGTCGCGGTTTCTGAGGTACGAGGGCCGTTGTTGACTTTGTACGTTTCGCTTCGTGGCGCGGCGAGGATGAGCGCTCTCTTCGGGGCGGAGACTTTCTCTTCATGCGTACAGCTGATGGATTCGGTGGCTCCTTCTTGACTCTCCGAGGGCTCCTATGTAGTCCCCTGTGCTCATCATATGCCCGCTTTAGAATATCCCTCTCTTGCTCCCATTTTGGGCCTCCGCGATCTTCAGAGATTTCATAGTACGCCTTGTTTTCCTTGTTCCGTCGAGTCGGATCGAAGTTGTCTTGTTCTAGTATCAGTTCGATAATCCGCAAATGTCCTCTTCCAATAGCCACTGTCATTGGCGTCTCTGGGTGCTTGGACGGATCAGGGTCAGCTTTCAAGCCGCTCGCGAGCAGAATGCTGAGAATATCGTAGTGTCCACCTCTTGCCGCTGCAACACCGCATGTAATGTTGGGCTTGATGTTGCTGTTGATCAGCTCTCCGACTGCAGAGATGTCGCCATCGCCAGCTTTCTCGATCAGGGTTTCAACGTTGTATTCGTTGTAGAGAAGGCGCGACGCCGTCCTTGCCTGCTTTCGTCCTGATTCGTGGTCATTGGCGGCAGACGTGTCGACCTGCCTCTTCATTGCTTCCTTGAGCTCTTTTTCTATTTCTTCAGCGTCATTGTCTTCATAGTCCAGGACATCGATTGCGCGCTGGCCTTTTTTGTTCTGATGATGGGGGTTGACGTGTCCTTGGTTGAGCAGGAGCTTGACCACATCGAGGTGGCTATTCTCGACAGCATCGATGAGCGGAGTGTCGCGGTCGTTGCTTTCGCAGTCTGTGCGACAGCCTTTGCTAATGAGAAACTCGACCACGTCAGCCCAACCATGCAATGCAGCTTTCTGCAGCGGAGCTATGCCGGCGTAATCGACCGAGTTTAATTCGTCGGACGCATCCTCGTACGCCTCTTTGACTGCGTCCAAGTCTCCCTTTTCGGCTTCGCGGGCAAGCCTTGTTGCGCCGAATCTGTCGGTTTTCCGCTGGGGCATGGTGCGGGCAGGGGAGGTCAGCGCACGATGTGAGGAGCGCTTCACCCGGTTGTGCTGAAGAAGATGTGGCGCCACTGCGGTCTGTGGTGAGGTTGAGTGTTCCGAGCTGGACTCTGACCAAGGCGGGTGCTCTGTGGACAACGCAAGTGCGGTGACTTCGCGGCGTTTGCGTCCCGCTGCGCCAGTAGCAATGGACTGCGTGGACTGTGACCGCTTGTGGGGGCGGCCAAATCCTGGAGTCGCAGGTGAATGAGGCTGACGCGAATCTTTCAGACCTTCGGTTTTTGCCTTTTGTCGCGGGGGCTCAATTGATTTGGGAAACGAGCCATCGCGCAGCTTGCGCTTGCGGTTTTCCACGGAGGACGCACTGCGGCCGCGCGTGGTAGTCTGTGTAGGTGACAGGGCAGACTGAGGAGGCGATTTGGCCGAGTCGGTTGGGCTCGTGTCTTTGGTGTGCCGCGAGGTGGTCAGGCTGCTTGGTGAGGTGGGATCAGGGCTCTTTGCATCGTGGTCAGAGCCGTGCTTGGCGCCGTTTATCTTGACGACCTTGCCGTTGCTGGAGCGGCGGCGGCCGTTGGACTGGGGTGAATGCGCGTGCGACTGCTCTTTGATGGAGCGCAGGCGCGCGGCGTCGTTGTCGTCTTCGTCGATGCGCTCCATCTTGATGGCCTTCTTCTCTGGCGAGCGGTCGTCTCTCGCGTCGAGGACGACCGTCTCGGCCTCGGACTCGCCCTCTGCGTCTTCATCGTGGCCATGGTGGCCATTGTGTAGCAACGGGTGGTTCTCCTTTGACGAGGGCGAGGCTGCTTTGGGCGGTGCTGGCTGGCGTGGCGAGCGCGGGCTGTGAGGACGACGGTCGAGGACGTCGACGGCGACAGAGGATGCGTTCAGAACCGAGTTTCCATTACTGGGCATGACGCATATACGGGACAGGACTGTGGACCTGCCTCATGTCGGCTTGCAGAGCAAGGGACGGTAGCAGCAGCAGCAGCAACGGGCGGCAACAGCAGGCGCCTAGGTGGCCTGCGGCTGCTGGGATGGGTGGGAGGCCGTCGCTTGGAGTCGCTTGGAGTCGCTTTGTGTGCCGCAGCGACACTGTCGAAGGGGAGCAGCAGCAGGGCGCGGGCGATGGTTGAGAATGAGTCGCTGTAGGGTGTGTGGTGAGGATTAGTGGGAGGTGCAGCTGTAGCGATACGGAGGCAGAGGCTTGCTTGCAGGCAGGCAGGCTGGCTGGCAGGCAGGCAGGCAGGTTGCGAGCAGCGCAGCCAAAGCCAAAGCCAAAGCGGCTCCACCACTCAGCGGCCTACGACCGGACCCGTCTCTCCTGAACGCAACCCTGCACACACAAGCCTTTGATTGCTTGTTATCGCGCGCATGCTGAGTCTGCCGGCAGGACGGCGTACAATGTTGGACGGCCCACCAGTAGCTTTCTAGTCGTAGGTATAGTAGTAGAGCAGTAGAGCCGGCTGTTGCATGTCATCTGAACCACCCCTTCAAGGCGCTGCCAACCCCCCCAAGCCCAGTGCTTTGTTATGCCCCCGTCGCGTGTTTCTCCCATCTCAGCAAAACACCGGTCTTGGTACCACCGACGAAGCCGCTAATAATAAGACGCTGATCGCCGGCTTAATTCACTCGCTGCACCGCTAACTAGGGCTCTAGGGGCAAGTCGAACAAGCGGTCAGCAAGCCCATGACCTCCCTCTTGCGCCAATTTCCTCCCCCCTCCCCTACCACTACTACTGCTACTGCTACTGCTACTACGGCCACTGTCATGATCACGGCCATGGCCAGCAGCCTCGAGGACCTGCCCAACCCGGCCCTCCTCCTGCGCGTCGCATACCTCGCTGCCTCACTTCTTGTATCGCGACACCGCTCAGCCCCCTCTGCACCTCACTGACCGCTGCTGCTTACTAGATACTTGTCCTACAGTCTGTCCCCGCCCTGCGCACCCGCTTCCTGGCTTACGGCTCGCGTGCGACGGCACCCAACACCACAAAGGAACACCACCCCCAGCAGCCATCGGCCGTCACCCAGCTGCTCGACCATGTTGCCACAATCCAGGTCCCGCACAACTACTTCACCCACTTCTACATTACCTCGGTAGCCTGCTCGCTCTTCTGGGCATGGAAGCTGCCACTCTGGCATGCGCGGCCCCAGCTGCAGATCGTGTGGGCCCTCATGCTGCTCCAGGGCCTGCGTCGACTGCTGGAATCCTACACATACACCTCCACAAGTAAGAGCACAATGTGGTTTGCACACTGGATCCTGGGCCTCGCCTTCTACGTGACCATCAACATTGCTATTTGGATTGAATCCCCAGGTAGAATTCCCAGTGATTGGGCGACAGCTGCTCTCGTGCCCGCGATTCTCACTGCCCATGCGCTTCAGCACAGCTACCACGACTACCTCTACCGTCTGCGCACCGAGAACAAGGGCTACCAGCTGCCCTCGCACTCCCTTTTCCCGAACCTGCTGTGTCCGCACTACACGTGCGAGGTTGCCATCTATACGCTGTTGTCCTTTCTGGCAGCACCAGAGGGCAGATGGGTGAATTGGACGCTGCTGTGCGGCACTGTCTTTGTCGCGACCAATCTCGGAGTAACCGCTGTGGGAACCAAGCAGTGGTATGCTGACAAGTTTGGATTGGACAAGGTAGGTCCGCGGATGAGGATGGTACCTGGCATGTGGTAGAAGTGGGTAGAGTGTAGACTATAAACCCAACTCAGGCAGTCAAGGCAGAGTGACCTGTTACCGTTGATACCCAAATAGAATAACAGCTCTTTTTCCTCGTATGCAAATGAAATAAATACTATAATGGTGACCGCCCTTGCTGATTCTGCCACCCCGCCTTCTGTCCCGCATCTGAGCTCAAGCTCCGGCTCCTCCATGAGCTTCACAGCTACACTAACAATCCCTCAATCACCCAGTCCGTTACCGTAACTCCACCTGTATAATCTTCCTAAAAGTCCTACCCACAACCATGGCTCCAAAAAACAAAAGCAAACCCAAAGAAAAAGACACCGCCTCCACATCCGACAGCAAATCCAAGCTCAAGCCCGCCACCTCCATCAACGTCCGCCACATCCTCTGCGAAAAGCACAGCAAAAAGGAAGAAGCCCTAGAGAAACTACGTAACGGCGCTAAATTCGACGACGTAGCCCGCGACATGAGCGAGGACAAGGCCCGCCAAGGGGGGTCCCTAGGCTGGAAAATCCGCGGCAGTTTGTTGGCGGATTTTGAAAAAGTCGCTTTTGATTTGGAGCCGAGTACCACGGGCCAGCCTAAGATTGGGGAGGTCAAGACGAGTGAGGGGTATCATATTGTTATGGTTGAGGGGAGGAAGTGAGCTGCTCTCGTGGTGGGGAGGGATATGAGGGTGGTGGGGATGGGATGGGAGGGAATTGAGACGATGAGGTCTGGTCTTTTGATGAAGGAAAGATGGGATAGAAGATTGGCCTCAGAAAATTGCCTTTAGAGGAGCAGAGAGCTGCCTTTAGAGAAGCAGAAGCTGCGTCCAAATCTTTCGATGAGACGTGTCCATGATAGATACCACAACATAGTCAGTGATGTTTGCCTTCTAAATGACCATCACCGTTATCCATGTTATTGGATTCAGATCTTTTCTATTCTGTTAAACATAACTCAACACGGTTGAACTCTGTATCCAGGTGCCTAGATCACCTGAACTCGCGTTCGTTTTCGTCCGTGCACCCACGCGTCCGTGTATAACTCCAGGCACCACCATCCTTCGTGCAGCGACAAACACGCTCATTTAGTCGTCACCTCGCCCACTTTTTCACTTCTTACCTTAATACACTGCTTTTTCAATTCGCAGTGAATCGCTCGTTGTCTTCTGAAGAGGCGCAAACTACTAAAGACACATCAAACACTCGCGCAGTAAGAGAGGACCGTGACGAAGGCCAGATGGCGGGCAAAGAAGCAACAGTCTACATCCTAGACCTGGGCCGGTCGATGAGCGAGAAGAGACATGGACGCGACCAAAGCGACCTCGATTGGGCGCTAGAATACGTGTGGGACAAGATCACGACAACGGTAAGCCGACGTTCATTTGGAGATTTAGTGCGTTCAACACACGAAGCAGATAAGCTAGTGGATGTTGACAAGACTGTGCGGCATGGATCTGACAATGGCAGGTGGCAACTGGCAGGAAGAGCGCGCTCATGAGTGTGATTGGCTGTCGCACAGACGAAAGCGATCTTGCCGGGGTCATGGAAATAGTTGAGGGCTACGAAAATATCAGAGTCTTCTCGGAATTGAAGCAGTAAGGAAACGCCCTAATCTGGTTTGATCAAACCCTTAACGAGAGACAGGTATTTGCTCGGTGACATCCGAGATCTCCAGGAGCATTTGAAACCAAGCAGGACCGATGATGGGGATTGTAAGCTGCAGATATCGTGTACAGAATCTGATGCTAATAGTTCCAGTGGTCTCTGCTCTCGCAGTAGCTGTCCATATGATCGATAGTGCTACGAAAGGGGCCAAAGGCAATCCGTTAAAGTACGATCGTCGAGTGATTATCGTTACCGACGGCCGCGGTGACATGGACACTGGTGACTTGGAGCAAATTGCTATGAAGATCAAAGATGCGGATGCTCCGATAGAGGTTGTGCTTCTAGGTGTGGACTTTGACGATGCTGACAGCGGCTTCAAGGAGGAGAACAAGGAGACGCCAAAGGCAGGTAACGCGGTCTTTTGATTCATTTCTGTTACTGACTAAACCTAGGCCAAGAACGAGGAGATTCTCAAGGACTTCGTCGAAAACTGCGATGGCAATTTCGGTACTCTAGCGATGGCCATCGAGCAGCTGCACACACCACGTCTAAAAGAAACCCGCCCAGTTCCTAGCTACAGGGGCCAGCTCACTTTAGGCGACCCGGAGAAGTACGAGGCCACTATCACGATTGACGTAGAGCGGTACCCGTGCACTATGATTGCGAAACCACCAACAGCGAGTTCGTTCGTGGTGCGAACAGATATCGGTGGCGTACCAGGGCCCAGCGAGCAATCATCGGCCACAATAGTCGGCGAAGACCACGCAATGAGTGATCTATCAGCAGTGCGGAACCAGCGTGTCTATCAAGTGGAGAACCAAGAAGAGCCGGGAATCAAGAAGAACGTCGAAATGGAGGAGCTTGAACGCGGCTACGAGTACGGAAGGACGGCAGTGCACATTTCGGAGTCTGACATGAACGTCGTCAAACTGGAAACGCAGCAGTCGCTATCACTCGTTGGTTTCGTGAAAGCTGAAGAGTTCGAGCGATATCTACCTTTAAGCCGGTCAAATTTCATCGTCCCGCAGAGGGCGAACCAACAAGCTCAACTCGCGCTGTCTTCGTTCATTCATGCCTTGTATGAAGCCGAGTGCTACGCCGTTGCAAGGATAGTGATGAAAGAAAACAAGCCGCCGGTCCTTTTGTTATTAGTGCCACGCATTGAGCTAGAGTGGGAGGCTCTCGTTGATGTTGAACTGCCTTTTGAAGAAGATCTGCGGCGATACAAGTTCCCGCCTCTGGACCGAAAACTCACGATTAGCGGCAAGACGATAACTGAACACAAAGACCTACCGACCAAGGATCTCTTGAACGCAATGAGCGACTATGTGGACGCCATGGATCTTTCAACGTTTGGTCGTGACGATGATGGCAACGAGGAGGAATATGCCAAACGAGAAGATACTTTCGCGCCACTTGTTCACCGCATAAACCACATCATCCGATGGCGGGCTACGCATCCTGACCCCACGCTCCAGATCCCTGATCCACCAGAGATCCTCACAAAGTACTCCGTGCCGCCAGCCGAGCTCATGGCACAAGCGGAGCAGCAACTAAATGCCCTAAAGAAAGCAGGATATGTCAAGAAAGTTCCACCGAGGGTCAAGGGCCGTGGTAAACGCCAGCGTACAGACCGCGACAAACCCCTCTCAGGTCTTGATGTTGACGAGCTTCTCGGCAACCCCAAGCGCGTCAAGATCGAGGCAAACAATCTTATTCCATCATTCAAGCAAGCGCTCGCCGCATCAGACGATCTCGAGGCCATCCAGGAAGCGTCAGACGGTATAGCCAAGGAGATTCGCACGCTTATCAGTAACAGTATTGGCGACAGCGCGTATGGACAGGCTCTCGAGGCGATTCGTGTGACAAGAGACGAATTCATCGAACTCGAAGAGCCGGAGATTTACAATGCGTTCATTCGAAGTTTGAAGCAGGAGATTTTGGGTGGGAAGTTGAATGGCAACCGGAGAGACATGTGGTGGAAGATCAAGGGAAGCAAGTATGGTCTTGTGGATCAGAAGAGGAGTCTTGTGAGCGATGTTACGGAGGAAGAAGCGAGGAAGTTTTATGAGACATGAATTGAGGTTCTCTAGACATCGCGGGGTTCGAGAGGCAAGGCGCTGCAGGTTGTAGTGAGCGAACGTCGTGCATCACATCATGACTTTCATCTTGGCCCGTGGTACATATGTAGCTAGCGCAGAGAGAGCCTGGGCCTCCTTCGATCGACGTTGCTCTAAGTTTAGCTTGCAGGATTTCAGCCCCCAGTTACGCCCTGCCCTCAGCCCGGGAGTGTAGGGTACTCTTATTCTAGTAAATAAGTATCTGTGAAGTCTCCTTTGCGGGATAAAGACGTCTTAGAAAGGGCTTCATCCTTGTTCAGTCTCTTTCCAGGGCTAAAAACTATGCGTAAAAGCTTGTAAGGCTTGTACGCGCCTATAACAAGGGTAAGCCCGGGGAAGGGTGTAGCGCGCTCGGAGAGAAGTTGTGATCCTTCGTGGGATTCCCCGGCTCGCACTTAGTTACCTATGGGGCTCAACTCATCTCAAACAAAGCCCGTCTATAGTAGGAGCAGCTAGGAGAAACAGTGGCGGCTTTAAGTGCGCCTGAGCAATCTGACAGTGGGCCGCGACGCCTTGCGTGCAATTGGAAGCGATGCGGCTGACAGCTGAACACATCATTTGCCTGATGCTGTACAATCTCCCCGGAAGGGGTCGCACTGCCTCAGCCTGCACAAAATCCAGCTCTTGGCCGCTGACTGTGCAGCTCAGCCCTAGACAGTGGTTCTTCCGTACACATGGCGGATATTCAACCCGCTGAGCTGTTCTTACCTCTCTCTTCACATTACACAACGCTCGACGTGCTACCCCATACCGCTCTCTTTTGCTCGTGTGATCTCCATTGCGACAAACACGATGACCCAGACTAAGAAGGCTTAATTCCAACATTAATCCCGGTCACGAGCCATGGACTCCTCGAATCAACAATACCCCGTCTCGCCTCTGGCGTCACCAGAGATACATATCTCTCGACCCGAATATGCAACGATTCCCACCAGATCGAGCGATGACTCGTCCGAATCAAGAAGAGAAAAGCGTTCAAGGTTTGCAGAAAATATTGATCCTGGGCTCGGGATTCAGATGATGCCAATGGCCTCACCAAAGTCGCCGGGTGTCACACACTATCGTCAGGATTCCAGCGCCACGAAACCCGGCATGTTCTCTCCCATAATCTCACCTGGACCGCGGCCTCTCTATGCCAGGACTCCGGACACTCTGTATTCGTTCGGTTCAAACGTTACGCGCTCCCGAACGGACCCAATGACCGAAAGGCTCATTGCCCATCGAGCGACACAATCGGCACAGTGGCATGTCCATTGGCGCATACCTGCTTTGATTGCGTTTTCTTTCTTCATGGGCATCATATTCGCCCTTTTCCAACATTTTCTATACACCTATCTTCACCACCGGCACATCGAAGACGAGAACAAAAAGTTTCGCTGGGTGCTCTACGGCCGCGCACTCGCCTTCCTTGCGAAGGTTGCCTTTGGCGGATGCGTAATTGTGGTCTTTCGGCAGCGGATCTGGAGGACGTTCAGGGAGCGCGCGTTGTCGGTGCTGAGCATTGATCAGCTATTCGGCGCCACTGAAGATCCATCACTCTTTATGAACTGGGAAACGGTGTCGAACGCTCCCATTCTTGTCACAATCGCCTTGGTTATTTGGATCATTCCTCTGGCTACCATCATCTTCTCTCCCGGTGCGCTCACATTCGGCAACTACCTGGAGAAAGAGACAATAAACCGCATGGTGCCTACCATCAACTTCAAATCCGAGTCCAACAAGGATTGGCGTAATCCAGTCAAGATGGCAGATGGTTCCAACAGAAGATCCGTCATGTTTTACAATACGACAGATAAGTCAGGTACGCAGCCTGGATGGTTTGACTACTATGATCAACCCTCTGCGGAACTCAGACGAATCGCGCTTTTGCTCGCATACAGCAATATGGATCGTCCCAATATTCAACAAGGTGCTCGGCAACAAATCTGCGGAGGCTCAAACAATGGAGGAGCATTCAATTGCAGCTACGAACAAACTTTCGTCGGACCCGGCTACCAGTGTTCAGAGGTTGCAAGTGGCTATGGCGATACGGGAAGATTGAAAGAGTATGGTGCTCCCTTCAACATGAGCGAATTGGCTCCCGAGGGGCGCTATGTATACTACTCGGAAGTCGATCAAGGAGCCTACGTGCGCCCGCAAGCTGGCACGTTTCTCAAAGGGCCCGGGGGTATTCCAGTAGGCGACCCGGACCCCAGCTTAGGTGTTTTCAAATCGGAGCCTGTGCTATGGGTTGGTTACTCGGTGAACTCGACGGAGCCGCTGTCCAAAGATGACCCCCTCGCTACAAACTGGACGCATCGCTACGACCCTGCCATCATCCGCTGTGTCCACATGGAAACAAAGTACACAGTCAGGTGGGACTATATAGAGCCTTCCTTCCTTTCCACGGCCAAGCGCGAGTATCTTGCGCCGATTGTGGATACGAACTTTTTACGCATGGACAACGGCGACCTTGATCTAAGTGAGGATCCTCAACCCAAGGAAAACTGGATTAGCCCACGGAACAATGTCGAGCTGTACAAGAAGACTGCTGCATACCATGCTATAGGCGACATGTTCCGGGACTTCCTCCGTGGACACGTGGACCTCGCGCCTCCCCTACCCGGACCTTACTATGCACAGGTCTACTCCGATGTCACCAAAACGCGGCTCGTCGAGAAGAACAGCGAGCCGAAAAAGAATCTGACCGAGGAGATTGAAGCCTTCTATTCAGACATGGTTCTGTCCCTCTTTTCTGCGCCCGAAATGCTTCCCATTGACGAGGAAAAAGTCACAATGAACCGATCGCGCATCCAGTCGTCTTTCGTCTACGTGCCCGAGAGGCTATGGCAGTGCTACGCTCCAGTCATCTTCGTCACACTCATCATCATGCTCTTTGGCGCCTTCACGATATGGGAAGATGGGACTACTTTCTCTGCTGGCTTCTCGCGCATTCTGGTCACTACGCGAAACACGACGTTGGACGACATCAGTCGCGGGGCGTGCCTTGGAAACGACCCGTTCCCAATGGAACTCATGCATACAAGACTCAAATTCGGCGTTTTGGCTGATGGCAGTGAGGCTGAATATATGGGTGGGGACGGCTATCAGGGCGTAGGCCATTGTGCCTTTGGAGTTGCGTCGGAAGTTGGTCCGATTATAAGAGGCGTGCCATACGCTGGCTTACCCGATGCAGGCCTGAAACGTCGGGCAAAACGTGAAAATGGGACAGAAAAGGAGGTGGACTAGAGGAGCCATTTGCCAGGTCTTCTTGATGGTCTATGATCGAAGCTTACGCCTCACTCTATCAAAACAACACGCTCAGCATATTCCGATCACCCCATTCACTGGAATGTCAATGCTCGTCGTGTAGGACGCCGCATCGCTGAGCAGATACACGTAGGCACCGCCCAGCTCCTCGACTTCAGCTAGTCTAGGCATGCCGCCGTAGTACTTCAACTGCTGCTCCCAATCGGGCTGCTGCGGCACCCAATATGTCATGGCTGTCTTGACGAGGCCAGGTGATACCGAGTTGACTCGGATGTTGTACTGCGCCCACTCCATGGCGAGGGTATGTGTCATGTTCCGCACGCCGGCTTTAGACGCACCGTATGGTGCTGACGGGACGCGCTAGGGAACTTTAGCAAGAACGCACGTCAGAGGGCATGTGGAAAGAGGAACACGTACCTTGTTTGGACGATACGACGCCATGGACGCGGTAAACACAATCGACCCCTTCACGCCCTGCTTGATAAACGCCCTCGCCGCACACCGTGCCGAGTAAAATGACCCGTACAGGTTCACACCCCACAGCTGATCAATCTCCTCGGTCGTAAAGTCCAGCGCAGCCTTGTGCTTTGTCCGGCCTGCATTGCACACCATACCGTGCAGCCCGCCCGCCTGCTCGAGAATCTTATCGATGGCAGCTTGGATAGACTCTTCTTTGGTTACGTCCGCTTGTAGAGCAAACATCTGGTTGGGGAACTTCTTCGATAGCTCTGCGAACTCGTCGCCGGTTTCGCCTATGTCGATGGAATAGATTGCTTTGGCGCCGTTGGAGAGACAGCAGTCTGCTATGCCGAGACCGATACCTGGACGGAGTTAGTAGGCACTCATGAGAACAACCTGGCGTTGGGCTTCATGAAAGAACAATGTACGTCTGGCGTTCTTGATGTGCCATGGTTGGATTGGAACTTTCTACATACCCCTATTTGCGCCTGTAATCGCAATGACTTTGCCCTCAAGCTGCACCGTCTTCACGGGCGCTGATTCCGAACTCGATGCCATCTTGAATGTGATATGTTTGCTGTATGAATAATTACGTTTAGAAGTCTATGAAGCCACCTTGTAAGATAAAGAACCAAGCGTCAGAAATGAAGGTCTAAGTAATGATTACCAGGAGAACCGTTGTTGGAGTACGTACCTCTTTATGTACCACCCACCTCGTCACACTTTCTTCCTCAGATGTCCCGTATCGTGGCATTTGTGGTTCAAAAGGGCTCCACAGTGGTATCGTAACGAACTGCACTTGAGACTAGTATGCCTGTGCCTCGAGACGGGGCACATTTCGCCGCTTTGGGAAGTTCTAGCGTCTCCGTTCCGCCAGCCCGACAAGACACCCACTCGAAAGCTGACCGGAAGTTGATTGATTAATGTGAGTAGGCAGTTGATAGGATCACGAGTCCTGTACCTCGGTTGTAGTTTAAATTTCTGTTTTTGAATCGAGCTATGTACAGGAATTCTAATCTGCCTAACCTTCCGTATCAACTTCTTATCTTGGGAGCTGTCTGCAATTAGCCAATGATAATAACATGGCTCTCTCAAAGAAAGCCAAAGTCTAAGACGAAAAGGAACAGAAGAGACTGGTCAAATAACATCGAGGCTCTTTCTTTGCTTTTCTTGCCGGCCGACCTGCCATCTAATTGAACACCACGGTCTTTGCGCCATTCAAAAACACCCTCTTCTCACTCCACCACTTGACAGCAGCAGCAAGAACCTGGCTCTCCACGTTGCTGCCCTCCTCAACTAGTTCCTTCGCATTAAGCGCATGATCTACCCTCGCAACGCGTTGCTCGATAATTGGGCCCTCGTCCAAATCCGCAGTCACGAAATGCGCCGACGCGCCAATGATCTTGACACCACGCTCATACGCCTGATGATACGGCTTCGCGCCCTTGAAGCTGGGAAGGAAGGAGTGGTGGATATTGATAATCTTGCCGGACATTTCCGTGCACAGGCGCGGCGAGAGGACTTGCATGTAACGCGCCAGGACAACAAGGTCGATATTGTGCTTGGCAACCAGGTCCAGAATCTGCGTCTCCTGCTGCACTTTGGTGTCCTTGGTAACGGGTAGGTGGTGGAATTCAATGCCATGTGACTTGGCCATGTCGGCGAACTCGGGGTGGTTGGAGACGATGACGGGCACATCGATCTTCAATTGTCCGGATTTGACGCGGAATAACAGGTCGTTTAAACAGTGGCCGATTTTGGATACCATGATGAGGACCTTGGGCTTTGCGTCCACGCGGCGGATCTGGTAGTCCATTTTCATCTCTGAGGCTAGCTTGGACATGGAGTCCTGGAGCGCGGTGAGTTCAGACGCATGGCCGAAATGCACGCGCATGAAGAAGGTCTTTGAGTCTGGGTCGGAGAATTGCTGCAGGTCCAGGATGGTGAGGTTCTCTTTTGCCAACAGGCCCGTGACAGCGTAGACGATGCCGGCTTTGTCGGGACATGACAGCGTGAGGTAGTGATCGTCGCCTGCCATTTTGGATGTTGAGATCCGTTCAGAGGAGCCGAGTTGTTGAAGGTGAGGCGGGAAGGTGGCTATCGAGCGTTTGATGGTGTATGACTGGTTGCTCGAAAATTTAGGAAACGTGTTTTGCCGATTGCGGAAAGCTTCGTTTGGTGCGTATAATGGCTGTCGGGCCGATATTGCGCGAGCTGAAGTGTTAATTGAACGTGTGCAATTGCGCGCCGGGCGTAGGAACATTTCTCTAGCAATTGCTGTCGCCGTCATGTGTCCGCGGTGCGAAATACTCACTCTCCTTCAATGTTTTTGTGAAAGCCGAGATTGGCCCGTCCAATCACAGTCTGGCCGTATCGCTTACGGATGACGACGAGTGCGTTGAACCTTTACACGAACCTTAGGTCAGCAACTTCATCCTTGCACAACACCTCACATATAGGGGAGAATTATGAAGGCGTTGACTGCTTTGATTCGCTTACGTGATCAGCATCTTAGACTTCTGTGTAGGTTCGGCGACGCAGATCAGGTGCCCCACAAGCCTCATTTGTACCATTTAGGTATCAACAGCTCTCCTTTGGGATCTTATTGTCAAACGGAGGATTACTACTTTAGACAAATGAACGACTTCTTAAGGCCTACCTGGCCCGATAATGCCAAGGATACACCTTCGTGTTCAAAGTCCCGAAGTCAGATCTCCATCAAATCACTATATATCACTACGCTTCCACTAGAGATGAACTAGACAAATCTGATGAGCGGTGTACTGCGATGGGTTCATATCGACGCCTGTCTGAAGATAGCGCATATCCGCTGTATGCGCCTCGTAGTATGTTAGTTTCTAGACTCCAAAATTGACGCAGCTGAGCTGTCCGGACGATAACAAAGACCATCGCAGTGAAAGGCGAGAGCAAGCTCGATACGCACTTCAAACGTGACCTTTACTTCGATTGACAGTGAAAGTGAGATTTGTGTATTCTACCTAGGTATATTTAAACTCGCTCGCCTTTGTTAATGAGATCTGCTTCCCACCTTCGCTCCTTATCACCTCTTCACACGGGCAGAATCGTGCGACGACCCACCATTTGCGACCCACAATTGCCGATGGAGCCTCCACCAGCGAAGCCCGAGAGTGTATATACCACCATAACACGAAATCAGGAAGCGCCCCAGCCGCTGCTGATCTCACCGTACCGCTTCCCTTTCATCGATCCCTCATGGATGACCAAGAACATTCGCAAGGAAAAGAAGGTCGCCCTCATCCTACACACAGACGTGCGAGCTAGCTCCATCCCTGTCACCTCGGCGGAAGGCTACGAATTTCTCTGCAGCTACAGCTGGAAGCAATTCGTCGTATCGACTATCTACGTCCCTGGCACTCCTCCTAGGTGGAACCCTCCGCTACTGCCAATACAGTTGATGAAAGATAAGGGTGCACATTGGGTCGACCAGCATGGCGATAAAGTACCAAGGTTCCAATTCGAGCCGGTCTTCCAGGCTCTGGCCATAATGAATCCCAACGTCAGGTTTGACGATGTAGATATCGTGGTGAACAGGAACACTCTACAGAAACTATACAGCTTTGCGTCCTTCAAGAGAAGTTACAAGCAGTTCTACATCGATTTGGACATGGTTGGAAAGACGCTTTTCATCGGTCGCAGGGAGCGAAACGCATCGACGACGTCGCCATCCGGTTATGGGCGAAACTTTGAAAACAAGTTCACTTCCGTGGACCCCAGTTTGGTCGACGCAGACGGGCACCATCGTGTCGTCCGATACAAACTTGGAGCTCTCAATGCTGTTGTCAGGATGGAAGTTGATGGCTACTATGAAGTGCCAGCAGCGCCAAACGATTCGAGTGAGTTGAATGAGTCGAGTAGCAAAGCGCCGAACGAGTTCTTTCTCAACCTCCTCGGAACAATGGAGCCTGCGAACGCCGCCATCGTACATCACAATCCGCAACACACGGCTGTCATTCGTGGAGGCATGTTGGTCCCACACAACCAAACCTTAGAGCTCAAATCAAACTATGATTTGAAAGGCGCCAGGGAACAGACATGGTTCGGACGAACGCCCAACATCATACTTGGCAAACACTACTACGGCCTAATCCAGGCTCCGGAAACTATGCATCTAGGTGAGGAAGATTTTGAGGCATGGGCGGTGAGGTACCAATCGCACCTACGTCGGCTGGTGTGGCTTCTTGAGGAGATCAGGACGGTAGTTGTGGAGAAAACACATGGAGCAGCAGTGTTGGTGGCGATGGAGAAGGGTGCGCCATTGCAGATCTTCGAGGCAAAGCACAGCTTTGGAGCATTGCCGAAGCGGATCATTGAGCGGTTCTGGGAGGGGGATACTAAAGCCTGAGGCTGTCGGGATACATCGTGTTTGGAGGTCAGGTTGCACATGACTCTCAACTGTCTTCCCAGGTCACGAGGCAGTTGTGCACTTGGAAAGCACATTGCACCGGAACCGCCGTTACAGATACAGCTTTGGAATTGAATGAATACAATATTTTAGTGTACATGTAGGAAACCCGAAAGCAGTCACTCGCTGTTGCCAAAAAACAGCTTCTCAAGAACCAGAACCTCTTCCAATTTCATCTCCAGGCTTTTGCATAGATGTAACTCCTTCCCCTTCTCTCTCCTTGATTTGAACATTGTATATATCCTCTACAGTAAGGTCAGACCCTAACTGTCTCAGATGGTTATTCAACAATCTTGCGCGCTCCTCAGTAACCCCCGCCCGATTCATGATGGGACCAACTTCCTCCACCAACATTTTAACCTGCTCCGCTATTTTTTTGTCAATCGCCACAGCCACTAGCATACTGTCAGTCCTCATCATTATACTGGGGTTAGCACAACGTACATCCCAGTGTCATCGTCGCATCGAGATTTTGCACCGAGGTCACATCCCCTGCCATAGTCTTGTCAATCTCCCCTTTCGGCGTGACCCACCAAAATGTTACTTCCATCTCACTCGGCTGGTCGTCATATTTGCGCCAAGGTCTCTTGCCATACTTCTCAGTCGCCTCACTGACTACTTGCATTCTTCTGTTCATGAGTGCGGTGCAGCTCCCCACAGGTTCAATATCCCCGGCCATGCCCAGACGCATGCACACATCGAACCAATATTTGTCCACAGTATAGCCTAGCAACGCACCTGGGAGGTCTCTGGGTCGAGGATAGAGGACTTTGTATAGGTTGAATGGTGCTGCGTATGGTTTAAAGTTTTCGAGGTTGTATCTCTGCGGGAGTGTTGAATCGACTTCAAGACTGCGTTCGGACATGATGCCCACTGGTGTGTTTCCTGGAATAGACCGATTTTTAAATAGAGTATTTTTTCAAAAGCCGTTGATAATAGTTTTCTAGTTGAATGTCCGAAAAGTGCGTTTTATAATCCAGTATGTGTCACTCATTTCTGATCACGTCATAAAAACTTCGATACAGTCCTTTGTAAAGACACTCATCTGCTATGACAATACAACTGACTCGAGACTCTTTTCAAGACTCTAGTTGATCTATTGATGGGAGAGTCGTCATGTGTTGTATGTGTACTGGCGTCCGCTCGGGCCAGGAGCACAGTCATGAGCACCTCATTTGTTGTACACGTTTACTTTTCTCGATTGGACGTGCAGTCACACTCACAACAGCCGCTATGAGACCTAGTTGAATGGAGTCAAGATTTGTTTGACACATATCCCCTTTTAGTTAATGAGCATTGCAGGTAGTACGCTAGGTACATTAGGTATATAAAATAGCATTTCTAGCACTCCTACTACCTCTGCTATAATATATACAGCATTCTCAAAGCAAAAAGCGACCGAATTTTGACTAGAGCATCACAACATCTGACTCGATATATCTTTTGCAAACTCTACGATCATCATGCCGACCTCTCAAAGTCCTCCACCACCATTCCGCGTTTGGAAAGTGATTTTCCCATTACCAAATGAACGCGACGAGGACCACGTCGACTGGATTGGCTGGACGACCAGTGAACTCCTCTTCAAGGTCTGCGGCACCTTTCGTAGATGGCAGCCTATAGAGCCGCCCGACGTTTTCGACGACTGGGCAGACTTCCATGCGAAAAAGAAACAATTATTCCTTGAGTTGGATCCTGAAACGAGAACCAAACTAAATCAGCCGTATTCGAGTCAGTTTCACACTCGAGAACTGTCGTCATGGTGGGTCAACCATAAGACCAAAAAGGTCGATAGGAAATTAGAGGACCCGGAGTCTGACGTTCAGCTTGGACGTAAGTTGCGGTCTTTTCCCCAGAATTGACTTGATGTGTTGAGGAAATACTGATATGCCGCAGTATATTGCGCAATCCTCCATACATCGAAGAAGCTTGTACGCGACTTCGTGAATCAAGGAGAGCTTGAGCACATCACGAATCCGGTAGCAGCAGAGCAACATGAAAGGGAGTTGGATGAGGCTTTGAAGAACAACGAAGAGTTGAAGAAGCTGGGGGTGTACGGGGTAGGTGTGGTAGATATCAACAATTTTCTACGTGGCAAGCCTACGAGAGATAAGGTTCAGGATGTGAAGGTGGGTGCAGTGAAGGATAGGGCAAATCCTACTCCTTGAAACAATAAACTCTCTGGCTGTAAGGTTTGCATAGTGTGACAAATAGAATTGAGGTCTGGAACTATGAATATGTACTATATCACTAATTTCTTCGTTCTCAAAGGATACACCCAGACTAATGCTAGGTCAATAGGTGGTCCCATCGCGTAGGCACCTTTTAGGGCCTTTTCACGAATGCGCTGTGTTAGTAAGAGCTTGCCTTACAAAGGAAATAGTTCCACTGTAGCACGCTGCACCAACATGACGAGAAAGTCGTGCGTTTCTAGAGAGCATAAATCATTGGTTTATATTGTTACAGCTACAGCTACTATACAAATGATCTCAACTGAGAGATTACTACAGGTAATGTTACCATTAGTCGATCTCCTCAACTCCGTTATTCTTATCAAGAATTTCCCTCATGATCTCGTCAGGCACAGGAGTAGAGTGGTTCTCACGAACCCTATCTACCCTCAAATCCAACCCGCCCATCGTGTGCTTGAACTTCGCAGGAAGTTCATCAACATGTGTACGTTGTCTCTTCGGATGTTCGTCCATGTCCTTGTCCTTTTGTTTTGCGATTTGAATTTGCATGGCCAAGGACACTTGTGTATTGTCAGCCACCACATTAGTCGCTTTTCAGATAGGGAGGACTTACAACCAAGCGACATGAATTCTTGATCCGGCCCCGTGCCCGTTCTGTCAATTACTCTAGCGAGGGGCGAAACCCAATATTGGGCTATGTAATCCATCGATAGCACATGACCTTGTGTATCCTTGATTGCTTGAGATGCAGTATTAATTGTCTCGACCTTGAACTTGAGTAGCTCTTCCACGGTCGCAAACTCTAGGGGGGGCTCTTCCTCCATATCGAACGATTTGCATAATTCAACATGCTCTTTGGTCGTTGTGTATCCTACAGTCTCTACGAAGTTGGGCCATTTCTGATTATATTTGATTCGATACACAGTGAATGGTGGTGCATTTGCGTCGGCGGGGACAATAGAGCTCTCCGTTGCTTTTCCTTTCCCTTTGGATTCGGCTGCTGACATGATGGGCTCTGGCTGTTTTTGGTTGAAGGTGGATATGGGTACACAGTACAGTGTTGGCTCGAGAATATGTAAAGATGGGCTTTTTGTTGCTGAATCTCTGGCGTTAGCTTTGTGGTAGAGAGAACTCTCTTCGTCACGGCAGTCTTATATATGTAACTGTGTGTCATCCTTCCTGACTCTATTATGACAGCCACAAAATAGTCATGCTAATGCACCTAGCACTTACTACTAAGACGTGTGTGCGTCCCAATGGGTCCATAGGATTCATCACCCTTCACGAGTGCTATTGGCCACAATTAAATATGAGTCGAGTGCGGTAGAGGATCTGATGAGTGGTACTATTAGCTCAGGCCAAAACTTTACGCACATCGACTACGCACATCGACCCATCTTTGACTAGTATGCTCAACCTCATCATCGATTAAACCTCCCAGTCGAACTTGGAGTCAAAAATTGTGTAATCAAAGTTGCCCCAATGGTCATAGTATCGGACTCACATAATATCCTGCTCCATGATTATACAGTGACTGTTGTCAACCCTTGCACGCAATGTTAACCTTGAGTCACAGAGAGCAGTTATAAAGGGTCCCTTCTGCAAGCTTCTCACTCTCTTCGTCAAAAAAACATCAACAACCAAGAACGCTAGACATATTATCCTCTACGCCAAATACACCTTTGAGACACAAGTATCTCAAACATCCTCAAGATGCCTCCAGGGACTTCATCCCCGCGTCCCCAACTCGGTATCTGGACAATCAAATATCGAGCCTTTAAACAAACCTCGCGTATTTGGGTGAACAAGCGCGGCCATACGACCTGCGAATGGTATTATGGGCTCATGACAGATTTGGGGTACACCGGCGCAGGATTATTGGAAAAGTTCGATGATGATGACGCTTTCTATGCAGAAAAAAAGGAGCTCGTTATGGCCCGCCCTCTTGAACACAGATTGATGCTAGCAGAACATGGAATCAACGAACTGGCAACCTGGTGGTACGATCCGAAAACCCATACAGTTGACAGGTTTGGCGAGAAGCCGGGGTCTGTTATCCAGCTTGGATGTAAGTCATGTCCTGTAATAATGATAAAATCACATACCAATGGAAGTAATGCTGATCTACGATTTAGTGTTCATTCACTTACTCAGAACCCTCACGACAAAGACGCACACATTTCTGCAAGAGGGCAGGTTTATGACTCTAAAAGAAGCTGAAGAGCACGAAAGGAGGCTGAACAAGACTTTGCAAGATGACCCCGAGTTAAAAGAGCTTAAGCTCACGGCAGAAATGATCAACGACTTGCTAAAAGAGGAAATTTCGGAGCCTGAGGCAAGTGCTGAGGCTGTGAATTTACCTGACCCATCTGGGGCAGAATGATCACCTGTACGAATAGTTGGGTTGGGTCAATGCTTGATAGCTCATAGGTAGAACCACTTTTTTAGGAATCTCATCTCATGATATGCAACTCAAGACCAAGCGTTGGCTGAAAGGCAATATTGCGGTAGCTAAATGTGTGGAGCCTGGAATGACCGTGATATACCCTACAAGCTCTCAACCGATCCCTCCAACTCTTTCATCGTTTTCACTCTTGCCATCCCTATCTCCCCCTCCGCACCAACCGCAAAGTTCTCCTCCTCAGCATAATGCACGCAAAAAATGCCCGCCTCACGCGCAGGCACAGCATCTCTCTCCCAGCTATCGCCCACTACAACGATATCTTCCGTCCGCAGCTCTAATACCTCAAGAACCTTCCCAAACAGTCCATCGACTTTAGCTATACCGAGCTTGTTCGTCGTGGCTAGATGGTCGATATACGGCAGCAAGCCGAGAGCAGCTATAGTGCGCTCCTGGGCGTCCTGTGGCCCTTCCGTGATGACGGCAATTTTCTTCCCCTGGCGTTTCAGCGTGGCGAGAAGTTCGAGTGCGCCGCGCTTGAGCTCGAGATGCAAAGTAAGTGTTACTTTGTAACAGGCTTGTATATTCTGCATCTGCTCTTCCGTCCATTTGATGTTGAAGTTCAGCATGACGATCGCAAAGCGCTCAGCGCGGTATTGATGCGATGTCTTGCCATCTACGAATGCTGCGCTCGTCTTCTGTCGCAAGATGCTACTGTATTCGGTCTTCAGGACAGAGACGGAGACGGAGAGGTTGCTGTGATTTTCGCCCGCTTGGTCGATGATGAGTTGTAGGGTCGCTGTTACAGCCGCGGATGCGGCTTTCCGGAATTCGTGTAGTGTGTCGTCGAGATCAAAGACAAACCATGCTGAATGCCTCAGACTGTTGTGAAGACTCTCCTCCATCGATTTAATTTCAAACGCTGAAGTGAGCAGAGTCATAGGTATGCGAAACGCTTCAAATAAATCTTTCTGGCTTTGTTAGTCAGCCGTGTAACCTTTACACTTCGATCGTCCACCCAGAGCATTTGACAAAGTCCTAGAGGTCAGAGAAGATACAGATCGCCGGCTGCAGATATTCAAAGTATGCATTCAGCAAACAATATGGGGTATCCTAACTATCCAAATCACTCCATAAGCAAGGCCTAAACACCTCGCAATGGTGAGCAGACACTCCGCTTTTCGGGCACCACAACACCGTATACAAAACCCAAGACTACCTTATTTCACTGACATCTCCGAATCCAACTCTGGACTTGCCCTTCCCACCTCTTCCTCGCGCCATTGCGCTACGACCAGCAACAGAACTACCAAAACCACTTTGCTGCAACCTTCGTTCAAAACTCGTAATGCCTCTACCACCGCCGCCAAAACCAGTATCCATCGTTGTCCGAGCAGGCGGCGCACTCATTGCCCCCAAGTTACGTTTCACGGGACTAATTACTCGCTTTTCCGGGCTGGCAGGTAACTCGGGTCTCTTCGCTCGCACCACACTCCGCTTACTCGGGGTCTTTAGGTATCCTGGTTTACTGGCTGCTGAGGGTGGCGGCATAGGTGTGCCGGACCAGAATGTGGATTGGGCGCCGAGGTCGAGGTCTGAATGGTCGTCTTCAAAGATTGTTGGGGGTGGAGGTCGCAGCGCCGATTGAGGTTGAGGATACGTGTTTGGGCGAGTAGGAGGGGGCCGCTTGGAGGATTGTGGCAATTGCGATAGCGAGGGACGAGAAGATGACGGCGGAGGAAGAGCGTACGGGTTAATGCTGGTACGCTGGTAGTCCGGTGTCATGGACAGAGAAAGATCCAGGTCGTTGTTGAGACCGAGTGCACTCTCATCAAATGCGGTCCATGTTTCAAGGCGTCGGGTTTCGTCGCCCGCGGCGTCCAATCCGCCATCTCCATCTCCGTATTCTGCAAAGCCCCCACCATGGTCACTATTACCATCACCCTGACCATCGTTATCGTCATCCCTGGGCCCACCTCTCGACCTACTCCTTGGTGACGGACTTAGAGGCCTCATCGCAAGCCTTTCAGCAGTTTGTTCGAACCAAAAGCGTATCATAGCCCTGACATGCTTTTCAAAGTTCCGTTCATACAGTGCTCTGGCATTCTCCTCTTGTCGTTGGATGTTCCAGAGACGCCAGCCGAATTTCTTGAGTGCGGAGGCTGCTGCAATTTCGGTACTTTCTTGCCGAAGAGCTATTGCCTGGCTCTCAAGCGTTTGGAGAGCTTCCAAGCGGTGCGACCAAGTACGCAAATAGTGAGTCTTGAGCTTATACTCGTAGACATTGATGGCTTGTGTGTCTTGTTGTCGCAGTGTAATGGCACGATCGTGCCACTGGTGAAGGAAATGGCCAGTACTCTGCAACACACGGTTCTCAAGTATATCATTCGCTTGATGGTTCTGAACAGCGACGTGGTTCGCCTTGTCCCTCCAGCTCTCAAAAACTCGTCGCACAAGGTTCATCTTGAGCGTCCTTCGCACCTGAGCATATGTCTCTCGCCTGCGGTTTCGGCGCGCATGCTGCGTTGCTTCACTCCAAGTCTTGAGTGTGTGCTTGCTCAAGACGTAGAAGCGCGCATCTGCAGACCACTGCTTTAGTTGTTGGAAATGCTCTTGCTTGCCTTTGAGCATTTCGAAGATCCGCAGCTTGAGCTTCTGCTGGTAGTCCGAGGCGATGGCGAACTCCTCCGCTCTTCGTTCAGCAGTGATAGCCTCCATCTTACGTAGACACACGCGGAGTAGCTGGGTACGTTTGAACTGCGCGAATTTTCGTTCAGCGGCATCGAGGGTATTGGTGCGTTGATTCATATTGGTAACCCAAGTTAGGAAGGCAGACTCTTTGAGCTGTCGGTCGTGGACGCGTAGGAAGAGCGATACTCTTGATGCCAATGTCCACTTGTAGAGGCATTCGACAATGACGCGGTCATTGATTCGATCTTCGAGTGCTTGGATACGTAGCCGATCGTTCCAAGCAGTGTACGCATTGCGTAAAATACGCAAACGGTCGATACTGCAGGCCTGGCGGGACAGCTGGGAAGTATGGCGCCAGGTTCGGAACGCAGTCTGGACGAGACGGCTATTAGCAAGTGCTTGGAACTGTCGGAGCAGCGGTGCCAGCTGTGCTTGCTTCTGGAGCGTGCGTAGAGCTGAGGAGAGCAGCGCTGTCTGTCGGAAAGCATCTGCGCGAGGCTCCAGAGCTTGAACTTTTGCTGTATTCTGTTGCCAAGTCTGGAAACTCTTCCTCAATACCGTTCGATCTCGTCGATCAGCTGCCCAGTCATTGCGCTCTCTCAATACCTTCAAGATCTCACTCCATTTCTGCAGCGTAACTCTCCTGGTACGATCATTCCGCCACGCCGGCGCAGCAATAGCACAGAACTTGAAGAACCACTCCTTGTACACTCGGCGTACTAAGTTCTCTTCATAAAGCAGCACTGCAAACTGACTGTTCTCACTGACGGTGGCTGCCCGTGCTCGCCAGTTTCGGAGGAATTTGCCAAGAACGAAGTGTTGGATCTTGAGCTCGTTGACTGCTGTAATGTCGCGCCAGCCGTTGAAGAACCTTGTGCGTAGGATGTGTCGTCGTGCAACAGACGTGCGTTGGACCTCATCCTCCGCGCTCTTTGCCCAGTGCGTGAAGGCTTTCGTGAGAAGGAATAGATTTCGGGCTTTGTCAGCTCGGCTTTCCAACCGCGTGAAAAAGCGATTTGTCTCTTTGGTGGACCGTCGCATCCGTAAAGTATCTCGAAGCTGTTCGAAGGATAGTCTTAGTAAGATTCTGCGGTCGAAAGCGATAGCTAGTTGCTCCATATCGTCACGTATACTCCGTCGCTCTTGCGTGCGGCTGCGCCATATTTGTAAATAATTTCTTGCTACCCTGTGTAGGCGCTGTTGTTCGAACGTTTCGGCCTCGTCCATCAGTCGCGTGTCTGAAGGCTGCCATGGCTCTGGAACGTAATGCTGCTGGTATGGAGACTGGTACTTTTCAGCCGGGATTGGCGCGTTGAGTCCAGGTATCTGAACGTGAGAGAGGTCAAGGCTTGTCGTCCGGTCCGTGGATTCGCTGTCATCAGCATCCTCATCCCCAGCTCGAGAGGTCCCTCTCTGACCATCTCTACGAATCTGGATGCTGCCGCGACTGGAGACAGAAACGCTCCGTTTACGAAGTGGCTGTTGTTGGCCAGAAATGGATCGCCGATGTGTGTTCCCTTTCGTCTTGTTGCGAATGGGAATTTGGGCCTGCTGGTATGAATGCGCCTCTATATCCGACTTGGTCCGCCGTTGATTCCACTTGTCACCATACCCGTTTAGAGGGCCATGCGATCCTCTTCTAGTACGCGGGGGCAATTCTCCATAGTCCGTCCCAGCGACCTTGTCTGCCGTTCCATCAAAAAATGAGTCGAAGCTGCCTCTTCTCGAGTGTCGTCCCAAGCCACTTTGTGTCCTATTACGCGTATTGCGCGTCGCGTCTAGATTTGTCGTAACCTCAATGCCCTCGCCATCCTCATCAATCTCAACGTCGATGCCAAATTCTGCTAAGACGCGCTTGAACCGCTGTATCAGATCCTCATCTCTGCGCCTGTTCTCTTGCATGCGAAACAGGAAACGATGGAGGACAGCATCGTCGCTAGATGTCAAGCCTTGCTCTTCGAGAACTTCTTCATAGGCGGCGAACAAAGCGCGCGACGAGGGAGGGTTGGGATCCGAGGGATGGGAGGGTTGGCCTGAGGACGATAGTTGTGCGCGGCGCACAATCTCGTAGAGGGTTTCGATGGCTGCAGTCAGTTAGTACCGCGTTTTTGGGTGCTCAGAGATGTACGGATTGTATACCTTCATCAGTCAGGTCATGCTTGGTCAGATCCGGTGTGTCATGGCCGTGCGCGCCGCTCATGGAGGATAGCATTCGTGCACGCGACTTGGTCGTCTCCGGCGCGTTCGCGACAACATGAGCGTTGTTCTTCCGGTACAACCCAAGAGGAACCAAAAAGGCGCATAGGGGAGACGTGGGTCAATTGCGGGGAGGCGAAGTATGCGCGCGGATTGTTAGCATTACAAGGAGTGAAGATGAATGGGTATGAAGAAAGGCCCTGTTGTGAGTGAACGCGCTTTGTTGTTGATGGTTGGGTGCCCTTTCACGAAAAGCGGACGCCAAGACGCTTGTGCGTGAGCCAGTCGTTGACCTCATCGAGACAAATCGAGGCATTCAACCCAAACAACAAGGGACCAACATTACGAAGCCGTTGGCCAGGCTGAGCGCCGTTTTACCAGAAGTCTCTAAAGATGCCAGCTCGGACAAGGCCCATCGACAAGCTTGCCGCAGCGGCTGCAAAATGCTCGAAAGAGGTATGAAAACTACTACACCTGAAGATTCACACATAAAATCTCACTGATGCATTACAGAGCTCCGTGTACGGAAAATGCATATTCGCCGACTACAACAACGTGCATAAGGACAAATGCGTCACGGAGTTTATGAAGCTGAAGGAGTGTTACATTGTAGGTTCCATCAACCCTCACGATCAAAAGGGAGGAACCTATCTGGTTCGAGAAGCTAACATTGCTGCGATAGAAAGCATATAAGCAAAGATAAAATGAGGGCGGAAAGTGAATATGGAACCGCAGCTGTGTAAATCACAAGCATGAACAGCATAGAGTGGCGTTTCTTGTACATAATTGAGATTTCGAACATAACCGAGTCTTCATCTATCTACTCCATCACGCTTTTGATGTCATACCGTACGCCAAAGGACGACCATGTATGCGAGCTTCGTGATGTGCAACACCTCAGGACACATCTATAACTTGACCAACCTCAGCAAGAACGTAGCTTTGTGCAACTCTTGCTCCTCCTCTGCAATAACCGTCTCATTGCTGTTCTCTGGGATCTTGCCTTCCACTTCGGTGTTGACGTGCTTGTCGACGTTCCTTCGCAGCGCCTTCTCGAAGAGAGGTCCCTGGTTTTCGAAAGCAGCCTCTAGACCAACGCTTTCCGGATCGCTCAAGACTCTATACTCCATACCCACATCATCCGTGGGGACAAGCCCCGCCTTCTTGCGCAAATCCTGCACACGGCGGATGACTTCGCGCGCTAAACCTTCTTGCTCGAGCTCGGGGTATGAGGCCATGTCGAGGACAATGAGGACGTCATTATCGGTGTTGAATTCTTGATCTTTATTAGAGTTGTCCTTTGCGAGGCCACGCTTGACCATAAGGTCCTCTGTCTTTAGTTGTATGCCCTCGATTGTCAATTCCCCATTCTTCAGGAAGTTCTTGATGTCCTGACTCGTGAGGTTCGGCAATGCCTTTTTGACCTTGATTGCGTCCTTTTTGAGCTTCTTGCCTAGTACTGAAAAATCGCCCGTTGCTGAGTATTGGACCTTATACTTCTCTTCGTCGCTCGACAGTACCAGATCGCGGATGTTCAGCTCTTCCAGAATATAGTTCTCCAAAGACTTGATGTCGTCAAGATATTGCTGTTCGGGATGAATGACGACTAACGTCTTGAGAGGGATCTTCAAGCCCTTAGTGGCGCGGTCGCGGCAAATACGCCCAAGCTCAATGACAGATTGCATGCGCTTAACCTGGCGTTCGACGGCCTCATCAAACAACTCTTCGCGCACTTCTGGGAACGGCAGGAAATGGATACTGCGATTATCTTCGGCGTGGAGTTCCTTAGGTATGTGAGGTAGTAGTCGAAGGTAAATGTTGTCAGTGATGAAAGGTGTGAAGGGTGCGAGACCACGGCAGAGGGTATAAAGGACCTCGAAGAGGGTGTTTAGAGCATGTTTAGTATCCTCGAGACCGTGTTCTCCCTTTAAGCGGCGACGATTGAAGCGAATGTACCAGTTCGTTGTGTTGTCAATGAGCTGGGGTATGTTAGCGGTGGGGTCGAGAGTTCGATTCACACGATCTTACCTCAAGTAACCGTGGGACAACGGTGTACAGCCTATACGCTGCCATCTCCTCGTTGACGAACTTGAGCAGCGATTGGCAAGACGCTAAGATCCATCGATCTAGCACGTTGGTGTTTGTCTTCCCGGCTGCCGGGTCGAAGACGAAGTGCAGGTCAGCCACCTTCTTCAGCAAAGTCACTTGCTGCTCAAAGAACTGGTAGCTGTTCCATAAAGGTAGCAGGACCTTGGAAACGATCTCCTTGACACCAGCCTCCTTGAAGCGAAGGGTCTCAGCGCGAACGACGGGTGAGTTGATGAGGTACAACCGCAGGGCATCGGAGCCGTAGCTATCCATGATGAGCGTTGGATCGGGGTAGTTCTTCAAGCGCTTTGACATCTTCTTGCCATCTTCGGCAAGCACGATGCCGTTGACCACACAATTCTTAAACGGCAGCTTGCCAAAGAGATGTGTTCCAAGGACAGTCAATGTGTAAAACCAGCCACGGGTTTGGTCCAGACCCTCGGCGATGAAGTCACCAGGGAAAGACTTCTCGAACTGCTCGACATTCTCGAAAGGATAGTGCGCGCTTGCGTACGGCATGGAGCCAGATTCGAACCAGCAGTCAAACACCTCGTTAGTTCTCCGTAGGACACCCTTGCCTTGCTGACTAGGGATAGTGATGTGGTCGATCTTATCTCGGTGAATATCGGTAAGTTCGCCTTCATACCCGCTCAACTTCTTCAGCTCTTCAACGCTACCGATACACATAATCTCTTTGCCGTCATCACTGACCCAAAGCGGAAGTGGAGTGCCCCAGAATCGATTTCGTGATACAGCCCAATCCGGTGAGTTTGTGATCCAGTTCGCGAACCGCTTTTCTTTCACGAATGACGGTACCCAGTGAGAGCCTGCAATGTTCTCCAACATTTGTGGCACAATATCTTGAATTTTAATGAACCAGGAAGGAACCGTTCGGTAAATCAGGGGAGTGTCTGATCGCCAGCAGAAAGGATAGCTATGGGTGAGTTGTGAGTCGACGATGAGCCGTCCAGTGCCTTTCAGGTGCTTGATGATGCCTTTGTCTGCGGCTTTGACATGTTGGCCCTCGAAATCTCGAACTACTGATGTGAAGCAGCCTGCATCATCTACTGGGTTGGGTGGTGGTCGGGTGTCACTAATGACACCATGTGCGAGAGCGACCCGATAATCGTCCTCACCATACGCCGGGGCCTGATGGACTATGCCTACACCGCCGTCTGCCGTAACGTATGTATCGTTCAGGACCTTGAAGCCGAAGTCCTTGAAGTCAGCGTAAAGATAGTCGAAGAGCGGTTCGTACTTCCAACCCAGCATATCCTTGCCCTTCAGCTTCTGCACAATCTTGAACTTTGCCTTCTTGGGGTCTTTGTACAGCGTTCGTAGGAGCGCTTCGAGGAGGATGTAATGCTTTCCAGAGGCTTCGTCGAGGATCTTGACGTATTCAAAGTCAGGATGCGCGCAAAGGCCAATGTTCGAGGGCAGTGTCCATGGTGTTGTTGTCCTATTCAATGTAAGCGTATGCCCTGTTCGAGTAGACGATGTACACCTACCATGCTAGCAGACATGTATTTGGGTCTTCAACAAGCGGGAACGAGACGACTACTGCCGGGTCCTGGACGTCCTTGTAGTTTTGCGAAGCCTCGAAGTTGCTGAGTGGAGTAGCCAACGCCGTACTGTATGGCATGACCTTGAAGCCGCGGTATACGGCGCCTTTGTCGAATAGACGCTTGAAGACCCACCACTCGGACTCCATGAAGCTTGTATCCATAGTCTTGTAATCGTTGTCAAAGTCGATCCAGCGACCCAATCGTTCAATCGTGGCCCTCCACTCGGTCGCATACCGCATGACAATGGCGCGGCACTTCTCGTTGTACTTGGCAATACCGAGCTCACGCACCGCGTCTCGTCCAGACATGCCCAACTCCTTGTCAATTTCGTACTCGATTGGCACGCCGTGGGTATCCCAGCCAAAGCGCCGCTCGACATAGCGCCCTTTCATGGACCAGTATCGCGGAATAATGTCCTTGATGGTCGAAGCCAGCAGATGGCCATAGTGGGGCATTCCGGTCGCAAAGGGCGGTCCATCGTAGAAGGTGTATGGCTGCTTTCCTTTTGACTATGAAGCACATATTAGTTGCTGTTCAGTAGCCTTGGTGCGCCCAGCTAGAGAGTCGCAAGACCAGTCAGTACATACCAGCTCGACCTGTGTCAAGAAGGCATCAATCTCCTTCCAGCGCGCGAGGATGCGCTCCTCTTCCTTTGGGAAGTCAATCGACATGGTGGGGTCGTGTGTTGCCAAAGTTGTGCCGTGGCGGCGGGGTGTGGATATATTTTGGTGTTTGACTCCTCCGAAGTCCCCGCCATTAGCCTGACTCACTATCGATAACATCACATTCTTGACGATGCAGCCGCCCCTTCTCTGCCTGACGGCTGCTTCATCGTGTCCATATTCAGCACGTCTAGGTGTTGCGCCCTAGACAAGACTATCGCCACTTCGACTTTGCCATAATGCGATTGACTGTAGAATTCACCAGGACGTTAACCTCCACCACCACCAAGAGCCAGCACGTATAGCTCCTCTTCTTCCAATGCTCGACGACCCTAGCCCATCACCACGCTTCTTCGGTACAACGGGATCATCTTATCGTCTGCTTCCTATAATGATTCGCCTGCGCTGTCGCTGACCTGAGGGACCCAGCTGTCTTCATAGCTAAGCCTTGAACATATATAATTACGCACTCAGGCTACCCCATCTACGAGCAGTCCCTCCGTGACGCGAGCATGGAGATCTTTTCCGACTACAATAGCATCTATGACACGCCAATTACGGTCACGATTTCCCTCAATCGGCCCCTCAGTGAGGCACTATCCGTCCTCGTCGATCGCATACCCGATACAGACGGCTCATACTACTGCGCTACATCTGATCTGCATCTCACCGTGCTGTCGTTTAACGCCTCTGGTCATGGCGATTAGACCCTACTCAACGTAGAACACCCATAAGATAAATGGTCGTGAACCACGCAAAAGCGTGCTCACGCATTCGCACGTCTCAGTTTTGTCCGATCCCGGCCTTTTCTCTCAAAGCCTCCTGTTTGCTGACACGAAGTTCCGTATGTGCATGCAGCTTACTTCCTGCATTGAGTACTTCGCACGACTAAACTGCAGTTCGGTCACACCTACTTTACCTTTTGTGGAGAGGTTCTAAAGAGTCGATTGGTCGATTAGTCGCTTGTCGGCTACACACCGCAAGTATATTACTTACTTCGTATCCGTCCTGTCGCTATATCACATAAGCCAGCTCCGCACCCGATAAGTTCAACACGTAGCAGCATCAATTGCGGGCATTCATGGGGCCCTGTTCATATTTTAGATTATATTAGCACTATAAGAGCGAGTAGCTTGAAGGTAGGTATCAGATACTCTACCAGCTTCAATCACGTCTTCAAGACATAGTCCTTATCCACGAACACGCAACCTTCTGCGACTCGGTTGTCCCTCTATATCTTCATACTATGCTTCCTCAATTCATATTATTCAGCGGTTTGCTTGCCACCCTGACTGCCGCCCAACTTGACTACTGCGCCGGCAACAAGAACACAGTCGGCCATTGCGAAACTCTTTCTTTCATCGACCGTACCACCACCGCTTCAAACCCGCCCTTAGCTACAGAATGTCAAGACACATGTCGTGGCGTGTTTGGAGACGCTGGAGACTGGGGCGTTGACTTTCGAGGTATCAATTCCCTATTCAATCATGTCTCAATCTCCAATAATCTTCGCCCTCTTCTTGTATTTTGATGTATCTACTTCCGAATAAATGGACTACTATTACTCCGAACGTGCACAAAACACACTAACTTCTCCTTTAGACAAGCCCGAAGGGTATCGCCAAAACATGCTCATTTACCCCTGCGGTTTCAGCATAGGCCGCGCCCCCGGCCAACCTCTCAACTACGAATTCTCAATGGATAATCAAGATATTGCTGACATTTTGGATGAAGTCACTAAGCGCTTTGCGCCGCTTCATGGTGGTCGCGTTGCTGCTGAAGGAAGGGTCAAATGTGATGGAAAGGAAGCTACGTGGTATGTGGACTAGAGACATATATATGGAGAGAGACATGAGTGAGAAAGGACAGGGCGATGCACCAAACGAACAGGAAAGTCACATGGCATGACAGGTGGTCTCAGAACGAAGATGAAATGGATGTAAATAGTCCAACTGTTATCTTTCATTTAGAGCGAGGTGTTGGTCGACTTTTCTTTGATTAGTGTCATGCAACAATGAATGTTCATTTTCTGTTTTGCGTACAGATAGTCTTTGACCCATCACCTCAGCTCATAGCCCTAGCGCTTCCGTGTAGTAATCGAATGCTTCTTGAGCAGCCGGCTGAGGCGTGAGGATCGAATCAATCCATCCAGCACTCCTCCAATCCTCGTGATAGGGCACAGTATACATTGTCTTACAGTATTCCCAATAATCCGGATACCACCCAGACTGTTCCCAATCAACAATCGCGACAACATAGACCGGGCTTGTGGCTGACACAATGATGTTGCTTCGATGAAGGTCACCATGCGTGAGGACTATATCGCTCTTGTCGTCCAACATTTGTCTCCAGGGATCAGCAATTTGATCCGGTTCTGGAGCACGGCGGCGCCATAACCATGATAGCCAGTCGTGGAAGCTCGCAGCAGATTTCCATGGCCCGGGGGAGGGTTGAAAATCTAGGATCCGATCCTTCGATGGGCCTCCCAAGAATTGGCCTGAATTAGATTCCGTTAGCATGCGTAAAGAAACGTAGGGATATACTAACCAATGAATTCATTCGATGAATCCTGCTTGGTTAAGCGAAGATAGTGCAAAATGACATGAAGATGGCTGCACACAGATTGTCTATCCTCGTAGCTCATTGTAGCCCACCGCTCCAGGAGGGTAGGTCCGTGGATAAGTTGCATGTAAATAAAGACATGCTGTCCCTCCACTCTCCACCCATAGATTTCTGGAACGGGAACCTGGTTGCCAAACAGCTGCTTAATTGCTCTAAGACATACTGCCTCTGAAACTCTTACACGATCACCAAATTTGACAAGTAGATCAAGCTCCTCGTATCTAACGATTGGTTTAGGGTTATCTAGGGTGGGGGCTGGGCATCGAGCCCTGACATCCTCAGGGGATGGCAAAGAGCGTGTCAGCCCGTGGGTTTTGAACCACGTAGAGTCTTGAAAATCCATCTGGGTTTGTGAGGCATCGGGTAAATCCGCGAATGATACCTCTGGGGTGGCAGTCATTTTGCCACGATATCAAAACCACTCCGTGTTGAGGAATCGGATTGAATTGTAAGACGAAGAAGGCAAAACCCGTACATAGACTGCAGGAGTTGGGATGCAGACTGTAGATTTTCTGGAATGACCGTCAAAGTTGTGGTGTTCGTGCGGAACAGGCAACACAGTCAAGCGCTGGCCCGACCTATCCCGGAATAGTCAAAGGAATCACAACCCTGCGCACCCAAAGTACGTCCAGGATTCAGCGATGGCTCAACAGGTAAATCATGAAGCTTCAATCCCCGAAGCGTAGGCCCCTTTCAATTCTGATTTCTTTTTGGCACAGTTAAGGGCTACTGTCGGCGTTGATAGCCGAAGCGCAGCGGACGTTTGCAAGCAATTCATTTTTGGACCTATGGAAGCAGATTCGGTGGAAAGGGAAATGCTAGACGAGATAAAAGCACTTGAGCTTCGAACTCGACGATTCTCATAAGTGAAGCAAGTATCAGTGTGTCGCAGTCTGTGTATCAATCAATGTACAGTGCAAGCCTAGGCGATCAGAGGCGGGTTGGCGGAGGACTCAAAAGAGCGGTCACAGAAACCATCTCGCATCACCTTGCTCACTCTTGTTCTCCATAACCTGTAAGCGCTGGAAGCGAAATTGGCGCGACCTACTGTTCTCGGCGCCGAAATTCACCGCGAGAAGCGACACTGCCAAGCCGAGTAAGGGCGTGAAACCCATAAATCCAGGATGCTGTTCTCTTACCGCGCGCCAGGAACTGGTAAAAGGGCAAAGCACACTCAATATCGTCACGTCACAGTAGATAATGCCTTTGTACACCCTTGAGTGGATGCGCTGCGCAGTCGTGTATCGATACCCAACATCGAAACTAGCGAAAAAGCTCATCTCCAATCTTGCCCCTCGCATCGCATCGTGCAGTGTCTGAAACCAAACGTCCAGTTGTCAATCAAGCGTACCGCGCCCCAGGTTCGTCACCCGTCGCTTGCGCTCGCTTGTCGTACCAAGCAAACATGTTTTTTCAGACACCGGAAACTCCCTTGCATGGCACTCCACGCTGGCGGGTGTCATGTTTCAACGTGTACTGTCTTATGGAAACCCATGTGTGACTGAGACAATGCGACGACGTCTGAAAAGGCTCGAGCGAATGCTGTGCTATATGATTCCTTGCGTGGAGATATTGAGTGCTTTTCACTAGGGGCCTATCGCGACTGGGCGGTGAACACTCGAGACTTGCACTGCATCAATCTCTCTTGTAGCGCACGCTAGTACTGCACGTTGGACATGTTGCAATCATCATGATGCTGATGACGCTCAAGCAAATGTTGGGTTGAGGTTAGAATACAGTAGTGGGGCAACGTATGCCTTGCGCTTCTCTCGAGGTCGGTACCCCAGTCGAGTAGTACGGCACATCTCGTTTATGATAGTGTACCTGGGGCAAGGTAAGGGCGGATAGTGGAGTGCACTGGATAACGCTGCTCGTACTGCGATCCCCATTGTAATAACATTGAGCAGAGCAAGTCAAGTATTGGAAGAACAGAGACAGTCACTTCAAGACGAGGGAGGGATTTACGCCCGGTCAATGCATCGAGATCAATGCGCCAGACAAAAGTATCAAATGAAGCATATCAAACCTCATCACATCACAGCAATAGCAGTTCCACAACAACAATATAGTTTTCAAAGTTCTGATTCGAGCAACACCGTCCCTACTAATTACAATTACCCTTTCCGACACCAAGGATATCTACGTGAAAAGAAGACCAATCCTTATGCAATGATCATGTAACGTCATAGCCTGCCCGTGGGCATGCTCAATTTAAAAATATGACGTTTACAAGAAGAAAGCAGCGATGGCACCAACACCGGCAACGAAGCCAGCAGCGTTGAGTGCGGAAGCAGCACCGGTGAACTCAGCAGGGGTGCTGGGCTTGGAGTAGCCACTGTGATTGTTAGCGAATATTCGTTTGAATTTGTATCAGACATGAACTTACCCAGTCTTGGTGGGGTATCCAGTGCCGGCAGCGGGGACGCTGGGAACACCAGTACCGGGGACAATGGGGTAAGGAGCAGGGCCGGAGGGCTTGGAGCCGGGGCCGACGGGGTAGCCGGTACCAGTGGGGTAAGGGACGGTGACGGTGATGGTGGTGGAGCTGGAGCAAGAGGTGGACGCCTCAGGCACGGAGGGCTTGGACGAGGCAGGGTAAGCTGGGACCTCAGGAGTCTTGGAGCTCGCGGGGTAAGCGGGAACCTCAGGAGTCTTGGAGGAAGCAGGGTAGCTGGGGACCTCGGGGGTCTTGCTGGAAGCAGGGTAGGCGGGAACCTCGGGGGTCTTGCTGGAGGCAGGGTAGCTTGGGACCTCGGGGGTCTTGGAGCTCGCCGGGTAAGCGGGAACCTCAGGGGTCTTGGAGGAAGCTGGGTAGGCCGGGACCTCAGGAGTCTTGGAAGACGCTGGGTACTCGGGAGCCGGAGGAGCAGAGGACACAACCGGGTAGGAAGGGTACTCAGGAGCCGGGGGCGCCGAGGAGGCAACCGGGTAGGTTGGGTTCTCCGGGGTAGGGCTGGGGGTGACAGCCGGGGCAGCAGGAGGCGCAGGTGCGTATCCGTAGCTGGGAACGGCAGCAGCGATGCTGGCGAAAGCAGCGAAGGCGGTGATAGTGTAACGCATTTTGATGGTTGATTAGAGTGAACTTAAAACTGTGAAGTTGGAAGTTTGGTGGTGGTGGGAGAGAGTTTGCGGTTGGGTAATATTAATGATAGTAGTGGTTGGTAACAACGAATGGACGACCGAAGGTCAAAGGACTTGTTGCTCGAAAGGTTGGCTGTGAAGTGGGGAGGAAAGTAGCACTCTGAGCAGTCTGCCATCTTATGTACGGAGGGAGATTACTAGCACGGTAGCGCGGACCGCACACCAGTGGCAATCGAAAGGGGGATACAAGGCGGGCGACAGGGGCAGAGGCCATGTCAGCGCTGCGAGTGGCCTGGCGATTGTGGATCTAATGCAGGAACCAAGTGGACCCGCCGGGGCTGGCTCTTGACTGGCGTCTTATTGGCCGTGTGTAGCTAGTGCTAAGACCAGATGGGCAGGTTGATGGTGAATGGCTGCTCTGGCTGCTCGTGTTCCAGAAATGAAGGGCCGGCGTTGGTCGCTGAGTCGAGGCTCTGTTATTGCAGCACACAACAGGCTGTCAGCCTCCGCCCGGCGGTTATTGCCATGATTGGGCCTCCCACAAGCGTCCGCATACAACAAGTTCAATTTGTGCTGATATTGGACGGCAGAAACAGCTAGCCGCGTCGCGCGTGGGCCCCAAACGCTTGAGCAATTCCCTGAAGTGGACAGGAATTCAGGAGACAATGTCAGGGGCCCTCCTTATCGTGCTGGCCCGTTGGAACATCGCCCATGTTTCTGGGGGTTTCCTGGCGATCATTAACCCGAAATAGTACCCACGGAGGATCTCCATGGCAGCGTCGCAGAATCTGCACGGTGGGTCAGCAAATACCGCCGTCTCTTGCAAGCGCGTCACCGCCTCTTAGGTCCCGTCCATCCCACATGTCTACCACGAAACGAAACAAAGAAAACTCTTCCCGCCGCCCCTTTCCATCGCCTGTTCCACGCGATAGACGTCACCGATGCGACGCTGAGTTGTCAACCCGTCTTGCCGCCGAGTCTGTGCGAGGCGCTCCTGGATCAATAAAACATGGCCAAGCCGCGGTGCAAACTAAGATTATACGCTAACCGCATTGGTTAGCGCCGCCATGTGCCGCTCCACTCCAAGTCTTCTCCCATGCCTGCCGTGTCGACCTTCATTTCGGCATCAACACTTCGACCACGCTCCAGCTTGCTATGTGCCATGTCCCACAGTTCACGATGTTTCGACACCATCATCGCATCGCATCGATGCGTTCTGCTCATCTCTGGTGGGTTCCGCTCCGCTTTCGCGTTTCACTTGCTGCGGCCGTGCCAACGCCTCTACCCTTTCTGAGTGGACGATGCATCTTGACCGCCTCGCGTGTATCGAGTATACACTGCACGTGCCCTTGACCTGCATTCATCCAGAATCGCGTCGACGGGCAGGAGGATCAATTTCCACCTTCCTCGTCCAATCGAACCCCTTATTTTCGTGAGGAGCACGTCGATCCTGGAATTGCACCATGCCCGCCATTAACGCCATCAGGCTGGTCGTAAAACGGCATGAAAGCTTGGTCCAGAAGCGAAATGGGGTCCCCACTCCATTGATGATAGGAGTAGTCCTTTGATATATAAACCGGAGCCAACGCACGAGCACGCCTTTTTAGTGCAAGCCTCCGTGATTTGCTGCCGTTTCAGGACAGATAGGAGATTCCTTGGAACTCGCCTATCTTCATCTCGTGTCGGTTTTGCGGCCTCCGTTCACTGCAGCTTTCCCCTCTTCATTGCCACAACCATCTCTTCCGCTTGTCGCGTATCTATCCCTCGTAATGGGCACCGACGTAAACTTCGAATTCGCGCCTCGGTCCTTGGGCCATCGTAGTTGCCCCCCTTTCCCGAACACTCGCACAACCTTGTCCGTCAAAGTCGTTACTCCCGACGCTTGAGTGCATCTTCAAGGGCTCGATTTGCGACTCTTCCAACGTACTCGAACATCGACCACCCGCACAACCTACATACCATGACCAGTGACGCGGGACAATGTCTTGTTCTTCACGGTGTCGTGCTGCATATTTATCCACATGCGACCATACCCCATTTCGTCATGGGTTTCTTCGTGAACGGCCACATGTAGTCCTTGCTACACCTATACAACGCCCTAGTGGATCTCTACCATAATTCCCATTGAGAAAGCACCTGTTGATCTTTTCTTTATGTCTCAAGGAACCCGGTCACCCCTTGGGATCTTCCAGGCGATGCACTGTGAACCCGGAACTAATCCCCACATGATCTTATTCTCGAATAAGACGCCAAACACTATTACAACGTAACCCTCGGGAATACGGTACCCTTCATTAAGTCACGGCATTATTCCCCAATTTCTTCCTACTTTGAGCGTAGGGGAAACCATCTTACCGAAAAGGTAATTTATTTGTTTTCTTTCATGGCCTTCTCCGTGATCTTGTTTCTACAACTCTTATGTCGCAAGACGCCTTAAGGTGTCCTCGATGGACTCTGTGCCCACAGAGGACCTTCTTGGCACCTTAGTTATGATCATTACCACCCCAATCATCACGTCTATCCAAAATACGTCCTACCGGATATATTACCCTGGATTCTGTACGATAGACATTGCGGTCACTCGGAAACCTCTTCCGATGTAGATTTTCGGTTGCCATAAGTTCAGGTCGTGTAACTTGCCCATTAGTCATAACGAACCCTACATATGAGTCCGCTGCTTAGACAGAGCCCAGAGAACGGAGGTAGACCTTGAAAAGGCACTGGACATGAACTGCCGCAACATTCTGTGTCACATGTGTGCTAATCTCTTTGAAAATAAATCTTCCAACAGAAGCAACCAGTTGTACTAGCTGCATGGGACATTGAGAGTGATCAATTCGGTTCGTTGTCTAAGAGGGAGAACGCCAGGGTCATGGCCCATCGAAGATCTAGAATTAAAATACCTACAATATCAGTCTTCGCTCAAAATAAATCGTAATATGCTTTGCTTCAAGCCTATATGCTCCTATTCAACATGAAGTCCCATTGCAACCAGATTATCTTTACGCTAGAAATACTGGATTCGAGCTAAGTGGCACGATGCATCCCAAGCTCTATGCTCTAACAAGCCAGAATAAGATAATAACGCTGGGAAAGTATCCGCGATGTGATTGTCTATACTTGGCTTCTGGTTTTTGAGTTGAGTGAGGATGACTTTTTAATTTTAATTTTCTTCCAGAGAACTACTGATTCTCGACTTCAGCAACAATTCATCTTTGGTGTCATCTACTTTATATAAGTTTGAAATCATAAGACAGATAATCGCTGACCACACATCTTTGCAACAAAGAGGATTGCTCGATAATCATTATATGCTATTCAGTCTCGAAAATAGTAATGATCTACTATTACTAGATGTTGGATCAAACTTAGAGTGTATGTTCCCGCAAGCGCCGGGCGATGTTCTGACATAATATCAAACATCCTCCAGAACCTTTTACAGCGCTTCTTAATCACGCAGTTAGCTTCGGTGCTATATGACTACTCAGGCTATCTTCCATCGGGTGTCGTTTACATGTGTTATTTTGTAAACCAAGAACCATAACAGTATGCTATACATATTTAGACCTTGTCATCGCCCTTGAATGTTTCAACGTCGTCATCTCTCTTCCTCCAGAAGTCCATCCTCATCGTTTCTCGTGTCGGCTCACTCGCCTCATAATAAGAACCATCAATAGCAACATCCGAGTGTCCTTGCAAGTGCAAGTAGTAGTACAAACAGCTCACAAAAAAGCCACCACCAATAATATTTCCGAGCAGCGCCGGAATGATGCCTTTCCAAATATATAGACCGACGGTGATGCTGGGCGAGCCGTGGAAGATGGCATTCGGAATCAAGAACATGTTTGCTACGACGTGATCTGAAAGGGTATTAGCATCGAAGTCTCTTGTCCATATATCAAAAGTAAGGACCCAAAGAGGTAGAGAAGACTTACCGAAACCCAACGAGACAAAGGCAAAAGTAGGCCACCAGATGCCAACCACCTTTGAAAAATAGTCACGTCCCGAGCATCCGAGATAACACGCCATGCACACCAGCCAGTTGGCGCCGATGCCACGAAGGAAGATCTGATACCACGCTGGCACAATCTGCTTCTTGTACCCGAAAATGAGCGATTCTTCACTGTAGAGTGCACCATCAAATATACCACCATCTAAACACAGACGAGAAGTTAGCCTCACCAACACAGAAAGACGCGTAGGAAAGAAAAAAAACTCACACCCTACAATCACAAGACACACAAACAAACTCCCCGCCAAGTTCCCCCAGAACGTAACGAACCAGTGTCTCAGCATCTTTAGCACGCCTATCCGCCTGTGCAGCGCCGCGACGGTGGTATACATGAAGCTCCCAGTACACAGATCGCTGCCAGTCATCTGAACCGTAACCAAACCGTACGGAAAGACTAGTGCCGCGAGCGTTCTGATCAACCCTGGGGCATTCTCCTGGTACCATGGTGCCGTGTTGGTGCTAATGAGCGTTGCGCATGCGAAGGATAAGAGCATGCCGGCTGACACGGCGCTTAGAAAGGTCTTATCGAGGCGCATGTTTGCCTTCTTGACGCCCATGCGCGAGACGATCTCGAGGGATTCGAGGGGTGTGTAGCAGGCATTGCTGTTGCTATTGTGGTGCGCTGGGTTGGAGGTGGTATAGGAAAACGTAGTAGGCGGGGAATGGTGCGAAGAGGAATTCACAGGTGTAGCGGTGCCTGACGAGAGGGCGGAGTGGATGGGAAAACGGTGGTTGAAGTTGTGCAGAGAGGTGGTAGTTTGGGACATGGTCGCTGATGGTAGTGTAGATTTTTGACTAAGATCCCGGGCAAAAGCAGAGAATACAGCACTACAAGAAAGTAAAAGAATAAAAAATAGAGAAAAGAAAGACGTACGAAACGAGAGGATATATTTAAAAAACGGAGGATCTGGCGTGGAATTTCCCTATCTCTCAACCAAGCCTACCTAGACTCCACACAATACAGCCCCGAGACATCCCCAACCCTCCTCCACGCTTTCTCCCCACAGGCCTCCACAACAGGAATTTACTCGGACAGCACCAATTCCACACACAAAAACTCCCAAACTTTTCTCCCACTGGAAAACACAAGCCCGAGAGATTTGACCGAAAGTGGGCTTTTGCCGCAATCAATGCCTGGATTCAGTAGGTCTAGCGCGGGCTTTGCACTTGGCGACCCAACAATGGCCTTGGTCTACGCACACAACCAAGAAACTTCTCGGCTCTTTTTCTCGTAGAGCATTACTTGGAGCCCAGCGTGAGGGCTTGATAAGAGCCGCATGGCGCACGTGCTGCTGTTTTGTGCTTGAGGGCTTGGGCAATCTCCGAATGATCTGCGATTGCGTTGCATTGCATTGCGCCGTCTATCGAGAAGGTGTGGCATATCCAGCCATGGCAGGTCGTCCGTCCTAAATCATGAATGACGGACAGGACGCCCCCGGGTATTGAAGGGAAAGCAGCGCATTCACTTGAGGTATCGTATCTAGCCCAGCCCTTTAGGCCTAGACTAGCACAAATAGGCCTAGCTTGCGACTTTTAGCTTTCAATCCTGTCAGGCTCTGGAATATGACGACAATACTGACGACAAAAGGACGACAAATTGACAAAAGAGACGCACCGCATCTACTATCGAGCACCACCACCAGTCCATCTCACACATCTGTAGTCACATTTCCTTTCCAATCTTTGCAATAGCAAACACTGCAACAATGACATTCCGTGCACGGCAGCATACCAGTCTATCTACCATCCCCACCGCCGCCATATACTCGCACACACCCCAACGTTAACGTACAAAACTAGCCACATCCCACACAAGTCCCGAAAACGAACGACAGAACATAGACAGACAGACATACAGGACAGACAGGATAGACAAGAAGGAAGGTACCCAACCAACGCCATGCTAAGAAGAGAGAGATCGAGAAAGAAAAATCCAGAAGTTGTCCCCCTTTCGCCGCAAACAAATGCAGAACCCGGGGCCTGTTCGAGTTTTGTTCTTTCCCCTCTCCAAAATCGTATCGTTTCATACCAATGTGTCCGTGAACATGACCATGCCAATGCCGTGTCAATGCAGTTCCTGACAAACTCCGATCCTAAGAAGGAACCAAAAAAAGAGAAAGAGATAATACAAGCCGTTTGGGGAAAGAAAACGCCATTGTACAGCCCGATTGCATACATTAACAAGAGATATTCCAAGGTTATCCGGGGTACACAACAAGCGTTAGAGTAGCGGCAGCAGCATAATAGCCAGCTCCTTTCCATCACGTCTTCATCTTGCCCAAGAAGCCATCCAAATCAAACTCCTCCTCGTACTGCCTTTCATCCCACAGCTCGCCCAGTTCGTCCAAGAAGCCCTTTTTGCCCTTCTCTCGGAGTGCCCCAGTAGCGTCTACAGCATCGTTCTCGTCGATACCAGCATCCTCTTTGGAATTCGATGGCGGAGGCGGCAGTGCGGCAGGGTCGTTTGAATCGGCCGAAACGTTGAAGAGGTCTAGGATTTGATCCGTTTGCATGGAGCTTAGGCCAGCGTTTTGCTGGTTCACTACCGTGCTGGCGACGTCGATTTTGAAGCGTTGGAGACTGTTATTGCGTTAGTAATATGAATCATGAGGGCATCAAGGCTTTTAGGCTGTTGTAGGGGTATACGTACTTCAAAATCTTCTCCTCCAGCGTCCCGCGCGTGACGATGCGGTACACGTTGACGACCTTCTTCTGACCAATTCGATGCGCGCGATCCATGGCCTGGATGTCTTTCTGCGGATTCCAGTCATGCTCGACGAAGATGACGGTATCAGCACCTGTAAGATTCAGGCCCAGTCCACCGACGCTAGTTGTTAGAAGCAGGACGTCGTACGACGGATCTGAGTTGAATTTGTTCACGATGTCCTGGCGCTTCGTCGCTTCAACACTACCGTCCAACCGCATGAACTGAACGCTCGGGAGTAACTTCTCGAGGACGTTGTGTTGGACCATGTCGAGCATTTCTTTCATTTGACAGAACACTAGAGCGCGATGTTGGGATACAGCGGTTGGGAGGTCGCCGTTAGCGGTTGCTGACTTGTCGTTCGCAACGTCGGCTGCGCCAATGCCGCAATCTACCAACAGGTCCTTTAATGCACCGAGCTTGGGCGCGTGCGCGATGTCGTCAATGGTGGTGTTGTTCTTTTTCAAAAACTGCTGTGTGGGCTCGTAGGCTTTGTTTGTAGGACCTTTGACGACGAGGGCGGGAGAGTTGCATAGTTTCTTCATGTACTGCAGGGCTTGGAAGATATGTTGCTTGCTCTCGCGGTCTGCGTTACCAGCTTTGGATTGGATCTCCTGGCCTTGCCGCTTATTGAAGTCGTCGAAGAGGTTGCGCTGGAGCTCGGAAAGGTCACAGTAGTAGTTTTGCAGAATCTTCGGCGGTAGATCGTCTAGCACTTCTTCCTTGAGACGGCGGAGTAGGAATGGTAGTACTTGCTTATGGAGAGCTTCAATAGCCAGCGCGCCACGCTCCTGTTCCTTAGAAGAGGATTTGGCGAAGCGAGAGGCAGCAATAGGCTTCGCAAACCGCTCCTGGAAGACCTTCTCCGAGCCGAGGAAGCCCGGCATGAGGAAGTCAAACAGGGACCACAGCTCGAGAACGTTGTTCTGAATAGGCGTGCCGGAGAGGATGAGACGGTGATTCGATTGGAATTGCTTGACAGCCTGACTTGTCTTCGACTTGGAGTTCTTGATCAAGTGACCCTCATCCAGAACACAATAGTTCCAGTTGATGGGATGGAGAACATCAGCATCGTTTCTGCAGATGTCGTATGATGTGATGACAATGTCGACTTTATCGAGCTCAGACCTGTACTGGCCGCGGATTGATGGTGAGCCAACGTAAGCAACGCAGCTCAGGAAAGGCGCATATTGACGAATCTCTTGTTGCCAGTGACCAGACAATGTGGGTGGACAGACGATGAGCGATGGCAGGCGACGGAAGTTGGGATCACCAGACTTCGCGAACTCTTCGCTGCGCAAGTGATGGTCACTAGCTACCATGCACAGCGCCTGTAGGGTCTTTCCGAGACCCATGTCGTCGCATAGTATGCCATGTAAGTTGTAGCGGTTGAGGAAGGCCAGCCAGTTGACGCCTTCTTGTTGATACGAGCGAAGTGTTGCCTTGATCCCAACAGGGATCTCGAAGGGCTCCACCTTCTTCGCATCCAACATCTGCGCAACGAATTTGCGCTCTCGGTCTCGGCCCTTGAGTAACGAGTCTGGTAGACCTGGTGGATCGGGGATACCGGATTCGAGCGGAACGAGCTTGACTAGTGTGGCGAAGCTGGTTGTCGCGAGAAGACGAACGTCGTTGTCCGAATCGCTCATTCGGCCAAGGACGGGGGTGATGAGGAAGATCACATAAGGCAAAATGGCGTCTTCCATGACGTGAATGAGATGGTAGATGCACTCAATTGCTCCTTGACGGCCGTACAGATTTCCACCGTCGCTGATTGTTGGTAGAACGCTCTCCACGAGCATCGTAACGCCCTCAACAGACATGACGCTGCAGATAGTGGCAAAGCATTTCGCAGCTGCATATCGAAGAACGTAGAGCTTGCTTTGCAGGGCCTGTGCGATGAGTGGGAGAAGATCCTTGACGAAGCCTCGGACATCCGGATGAAGTCTGCCAACCAAAGCTCGTAAAGTCGACAAGGCGTCAACAACCTCCTGGCCAAAGACACCATCATCGCTCGTGATAATTTCCGGTAGCGCGGCCTCAGAGAAGGCCTGTTTGATCGGTCTTTCGATGAGGTCTTTCAAGATAGGTACCTTTTCGAAGATTTGAGCGCCAAAGCTTTCGACGACCTGCTCAAGACCCTCGCGAGCACCACGCTTGGTGATTCTCGCAGCTCTCGACTCTTCAGCGAATCGGGCCGCGTCCGGATGGTCTCGCACGTCTTCGTCCTTTTTAAGGGTAAGAATGCCTGATTCGATGTGCGCTTGTCCTGAGAATTCCGGAGTCTCGGCCGTCTCCATGCAGTAGAACTTGACGAGATTGCCAACAACCTTGTTGACGACGCCGGCCCGGTTCGCGCTGACGAGATGGACAATGTAGCCAGCTACAGCAGCAGCAGAGCGCTTCTGCAGCTCTACATTTTCTTCCTTCTTGACACTGTCCATCATCGCTTTGATAGGCGGCGACGGTTTCTTGGGTGGCGAGTCGAGCCAGATCAGCGCACCTGCTGCAGCGGCCTTGATGCGAACATCGCGTTCCTCCTTGATCTCCTTGGCCTCCTGGAGGCTTGTCTCGACTTCCTTTCGAGTAATCTCAAGGTTGGCGGCGGCCACCATGCGCGCAGAGGGTGTCATCGCCTTCTTCAGCTTCTCATACTGTACATTGATCAGCTTCTCGGCATCCGCAACGCCAAACGCGTATTGGCTAGCGGACGGGTCGCCTTGCACGACCACAGCAAGATTCGGCAGATTTTGTACATGCGCATCGCGGAAGATGCTGAGTAAGGCGGTGCACTGCGTTCGCACGATCTGGAGTTTGGGCACGAGATCTTCGTAGGCCATAGGTCGTTCACCTTCCAGGATCGGTAGTAGCGTCTTGACAAACGACTCAGCCAAGGAGTCCTTCGCTGCAATGTTCTTGCCAAACTCCTCGATGATAATTGCGGCGGTCAATTGCGTTGTAGAATGAGGCGAGGACAGCGGCGCCACTAACTTGGACTCGAATGTGTCACACCTTGATTCTACGGGCCAGGCTGCCATTGCTTTACCGAGGGCTTGCGCTGCAGATGTCCTGGAACGAATCATGACGTCGGCGCCAATGAGCTCTAGGTCGCCGCAGACCATGTGTCCATCCACGTTGTGGGAGGTTGACGAAGGGGTCGGCGTCGACATGTCATCCTTACCGTGCCTAGACTTCTTCCTCTTCTTTTGAACAGGCTCTCCGCCCGGAGGAGGCGTTGACCTTCGACTCGGCTGGGCATGTGACGATGGTCCCATAACTTGTCCTGAAGGACGAATCAGGAGGGACATGTCCATTGATATCGGGTGACGAGAGACACCAATGGGTGTAAGGGTTAGAGGAATGATGGAATCGAGTACAGGGGCGAGATGTATGGACATTTGATCGCCAAGGCTGTCAATGACGGCGTTCCAGAGCTGTAAGGAGAGTCTCAAAACGCCCTCGTTGCGTTCAAGCAAGATGTTCTGGAAGATTAGCTGCAAGGCCTTACTGTCTATCCAGCCGTCTGATCCTTCACTCTGGATATTCAAGAAGGTGATCAAGGCACGAAGCACAGCAGTACGAACGCTGGTAATGGTATGTCGCAGAAAGGGGAAAAGGCGGGGTACTAGCTCATGGAAAGACTGTGTCGGGTCTTGTCGAGCATTGGCTTGCATAGCTTCAAGGACCTGGGGGAAACTGCACAATTTGGCAAGAAGGTCCATGATGAAGCCAGTACTGGCGCTGAGATCATCTTGCAAGCTCGAGAGGCACGACCAAACTTGGTTCATGAGCCCCTCAAGCGCTTTGGGCCGCATCTCGACAAACTCCTTCGCGACGGGTATAAGCGTCGCTGCACTGATGGCTCGGACATCGTCATCAAAGTCACCGAGGCCTTTGATGACCGCAGCGAGCACGCCATCCATCAAGGTGCCGTCTTCGAGCAGTAGATCGTTGCGCACGGCGACAAGATATCGCAGGCCGATCATGCCACCCTGACAAAGGGCCCAAGGTGCATTCTGGGCGTTGTTGATGACAGGAATATCGTGCTGCATGATCATACGATGGAGGACCTGGAAAGTGGCAAGCACATTATCGCGCGACATGTATTGCAGCAAGGAGCCGAGGGCTTGTCCAGCAGTCTCTCGAATGGGCGCCACAGCGTTATCGGAGGTGAAGTCTGCAAAGCGATCGAGCATAAAGACGCAGGATATGCGGCAGGCGAGATCATTGAGCCATTGCTGGTTGAGCTGGTCGTTCTCAGTCCGACTTTTCCCTTTCCGCCTGCCGGCTCCAGCGCCGTGGACACGGAGAATCTCTCGGATACCCATGGCAGCGCCGTGTCGAACCTCCCAGGTATAATCAAAGAGTTCGACGGCAAGGTACTCGGAAACGCGTTGGAACGGCCACTCTAGACCAGCCTCTTCAGCTTCGCCTTGGAAAGATGACTTATCCGGCACGGGTTCGCCTTTGAATTCTTTGACGAACTTTGCGTCATCATCCCCTCCATTTCGGTCGAGAGAAAAGTAATCGTTGACACCGTCACCTTCCTCGCCGTTCTCCGACTTCTCTAGCTTCAGGGCTACCGGATGTGCGCGGGCAGGTGTCTCGACAAGATCTGACTGCGAGTCCTTGCGCGCACCCGAGCTGAAGTCGACTATTTGTACCTTGTTAGCACCTCCCTGGGCGTTCTTCTTCTGCTTACGCTTCAAGGCGTTCATTTGGCGCTTGCTGAGGCCACCTTGGTCCCCATTCGGAGTGGCTAGTAATGGAGATGCAGCAGTGTTCAGCGTGTCCGACTTGGAAACGTTGGTGTCGATACGGTGCATGGCAGGAGGTTTTCCAGGTGTTTGTGGCATGTCCTGGGCAGGTGGAGAGTGATCCTCGATGTATTCGCCTTCGAAGCCGAGTCGCTTGAGTAGCGTGTTTCTTTGATACTCTAGGCGCTCGGTAGGATCCATGGCGGCCAGCTTGTAGTCGTGCGCTTTTGTGCCAGAAGCAGCAAGCACCTTGCCAAACTTGAGGACAGAGGGCAAATCGAGGGTAGCAAGATCCAGCCTGTCAGACAGGGGCGGCAGGGCGCTGTCAGCATTCTCTTCTTTCTTGACAGCGTCGCCATTGCTGTCTTGTTCATCTTCATGCTTTACGTCGCCATTGGACTCTGGCTTGACTTCAGCGTGGTCGACAGGGTCGTCTTCAGCATTGGGGTTGAACTCCTCGGCGTTGGCGGCGATGCCTCCGACCGCCTTGGCAGCAGCAACACGGGTTTCCCAGCTCTTGGAGCGCAGGTAAGGGATGACTCGTGTGAGAAGATTGAATAGTTCATCGGGGTGTTGTTTTTGGACGTCGGCTAGCTGGTCGGCTGCTGTGTTCCGAATCAGGGCGGTGCTGCCCGTCTCGAGGAGCCTTGGCAGTGTTAGCGAGGGATGCGACGAGGGGGGTGGAGGTAAATCGCTGCTAAGAGAGATAAAAACAAAAGGTAGATGCAGTTGAGATGACTAGATTGGCGTTGTCATGTCCAAGGGTGAAAGCGGATGGTCGATAGTCGATGATGGTACAAGGAATAGTCCAGGGTGCACTTACGTTACGAGACGGTCCAATCTGGTGGCACTATCAGAGAGCATTAGCGGATGGGGACTCGAACATGCATGCACATGCAGTTAATGCAAGTAGGCGACGCGACCAACGACGCAGCAACATACCTCATTTTGGCGGCGTAGGCGTAGACAGTCGGTCTCGCAGCCGGAGGTGGGAGGGCGCGCGACCGAGTCTATTATTATGAATTACTAGATGCCCGCGGGTTGGGCCATGAAAATGGAAAAGCAGGCTGTGACCAGGGATGCGCGCAAGCTTGTCACGTGACGGAGGGTGACTGGCGGCGCCCGGAGTTGGGTGGTCGGGTTCGGAGAGGTGTGGGCTGCGGGCCTCTATCTACTCACCTGCCCATCATTAAATAACCGTGAGATGGCCGTCCAGGGCTGGTCTAGCGCCGGGCCTGTGCGTTTCAGGGAGAAGGGAATTTTTCGCTACTGCAACCACTCCCCCCCCAGCAAACCAGCGAGAGGCGCCTTGTGGATACATTTTTACAACCACGACCAACAACCTGTGTCTGCCTCCAGCCCGCCGTCGCGAAACAATTCTTTCTTGCTTTCGCACCAAGTCTTGGGCGCGTTGCCATGGACTGTGCAGCGGAGGTCGCGGCTTCCTTTTGTCTTTGTGGCCTCTGCAGGCGCTAGCCCGCATGAACCCGCCTCACTAGTTGTATCTGTCTGGTGCACCAACTCCATCCCGGCTACGTACCAACTCTGCATCTCTACGCTGGCTGCTAGCATCTTTCTTTTGTCTTTTTACATCACTCGTTGCAGCCAGTCACCAGCGCCATCGCCATAGAAACTCGCAGGCGGTAGGGCCTTGTTGTGGTTCCCAGGCTACCACTCCCCACATGCAGCCAATGTCCAGCCATGGTGGCTTGCAGCCCGGCGTCCGGTAAACCCTTGACCACTTGTCCTGTCCTTTGAACCTGCAAACGGCGCACCGCCTCGCTCTTGATCCTGCTGCTTCACCCGACGACGGCCATGTTGGGGGCGTCACGTTGAACGCTGCGTGTCCTCTCTCTCCCTGCTTCCTGTTCCATGTGGGTTCACAGGCAGCCGGATACACCGGACCATCCTCCGTTGCGAGCGCGCGTCGTTGGCAGCACCCTCTCGCTTGGCCAACGGATTTCCGTTGATCTACGTGTGGCTGCAGCTAGCGCATACAAGCATCTTCGACATCATTTCTGTAAATATCGTAGCCTTGCTCCTTGCTTAGTAGTAGCGCACCGTCATACAATGAATACAACGAATACAACAAAGGGCGACCTTCTCTCTGCTGCACATGTGGATAGCGTGTCCCTATGAGCCATTGCTGTGCGGAGTTAACAGCCAACCCTCCCGTGCCACTAATCCGTCTAGCCTCGACCTGTCATTGGTACCGAGCCCGACACACCCGTGGCTTACCATGGTTCAACTACAAAGACGAATGCAAAATGTCTGAATCCATGGTCTGGTACTGGTGGAAACGCGCAATATTTCTCGGGTACCCAGGCCTATTCTGTGTGCCTACTCGTTACTTCGACCTATGCTGTGATCGGGCGAGCTTGCCTCTTTTCTTTTTCACAATAGAACAAACAGCATTAAGCGCACTTTTGAGATGTAACATAATATTCCCAACGTGTTGATTCTAGCGAAAGTGGCTATGGGCAGACTACCACGCCCTCAGTCACATATTCCAAAATTGTGCGTGAACATGTACATGTGTGGTTCATCAATAACTCTTGGGCTATCAGTCTACTCTATCCAGAACCTTGTCACTTGAGTGTACAGAAGCAAGATGCACTCTATCAAGAACTCGTCCGTCTCGCTACCCGCCTCGTCCCACATCCCACATAGGTGCCCATCCATACTTCCCTTGCTCTGAGATAACGTGTCGCCCATGCAGCCCAGCGACCACTTGCCAGTGGCGCGGAATAGACATCTCGGCGCCCCTAAGCCCGGCCCATTTGTCCCTCAAGCTCTCCAATTTCCAACAAGACGGCAGCGACGGCACTATGCTGGGTTAGTAAAAAAAAAAGCATGGAGACTAGGGGAATACGACGTACTCAGGATCTTGGACGGGATTTTCGAGTAGGCGATCAAGGGCACTGATTCGAGCCCGCAGTTGAGCAATCACGTCGACTGTCTCTGGCTGCCGTGCTCCTCCAGCAGCACTTGCGGTTGCACCCCGACCCTCTGCACCGGCATGCATACCATTCTCTTGACCATCTGCTGGACCGCCTGCTCCACCGCGCATGTGACCTAGGGGGGCCTCGAGCCCCGAATAGTACCTGAGTTCTCCAGTAGCAGTAGGTATCAGTCTACGATCGTTGGCCGCCAGCGCATTCCTCCTCGCAACTCCAGCCCGCATAACACCACCACCACCCCCGCCGCTGCTAGAAGGAGCCATATACGTGATAAGGTTCGTCTTGACGTGCTGCATCCAGTATAGGTGCTCAGAATTCTCATCATTCGCGTGCAAGCGTGCATCGACTAGGAAGAGGCTTATCACGCCGTCCCTGATGACAGCGTAGCTGTCGAAGCCTTGCGAGCGCATGTAGTAGCACAAGCGCAACGCCTCTTCGGCCTTCGGCATCTTGGTCCTCGGCTCGATTGCTTCAGTCCATCTACGGGCTTGTAGAGGTGTCAGGGTGTCGGATGCATGAACCCGGAGATATTTGAGCAGAGCGAGCTGTACTTTGATGTATGGGAGAGACCTCTCGCTGCCCGTGGTCTCATCTTGGTCCTTGTATGGGTTCTCAGGCAGCGCGGAAAAGAGGGTAGTGATGGGCTTTTTGGGCTCCTGTTTCGCGGCCCTGTTGGCCGTGGTTGAACGGGCCATGTCTTGTTGCAAAACCTCCTGATGCAATGGTCCCTGGCTGGTATGCGGGTCGAAAGCTTCGCCTGGGCCGAACGGATGTGGGTGAGGTGCGTCAATATCCCAGATCCCTCCAGGCCTACCAATATCACGCCCTTGATTCCAATTAATAGAATGATCCGAGCTTCCACTAGGAGCCGCGAGTTGCGTACTAAGGCCAGATAAGTCGGGAGGTGATGAATACCTCAAAGGACTATCGCCGAGTAGCAAACGGTGTGGGAGACTGAAACTGAAGTTGAGCTGTGAGAGGCGCCTTGAGGAGTCGCTGTTATTGTTATCCGACATACTGAGGACAAGCGAAAGTTAAGTCTGCTGGTCGTTTGTTTGGCAAGTGAAATGGTATCCGTTGAAGAATATGGGTGTTTGACGTAGAGTCGTTGGCAAGTGAGCGAGAAGGGAGAAGAAGACGTGAGAGGCACTAAGAAATAGCTCGTTGTCGCTCGTGGCAGGTGCAAGCGGGCGGTAGTGACAGGAAGTGAAGGAGAAAGACCGAACAGCCTCAACTTGCATTCACGTGGTCTGGGAGCGTGCGGTGTTTAAAAGAGGGGTCAATAACTTTAGGGGACATTTGCAGACACGCGCTTCCACGTGTGAAGAGTGTTACAGCATCGAAGGTGACTCAGAAAGCTCGAAGCACTGATACAAAACCGATTATCAGAGCGCAATACGAGTCATGAAGAGACCAAAGAGACCGACTGTGAAAGACCGCAGTGACGATAAAGAACCAAATGACCGTAGTAATAGGAAATCGTGGGTCGTGTAAACCGCAAAGACATAAGACAGAGCAATCGGAGGTATCCAGTGTCTACATCATTGCTGTGAGATCTTTCTGACCTGAACATCACCTCTCTACGCCTGTACCTTATACCTTCTCCTTACCCAAATACACGACCCTCTCCCACCCATGATCTCCTCTTGGACTCGCATAAATCGTCCCCAAACTCTTGATTCCCTTATTAAATTCATTCGCATTCTTATCGCTGTCAAAATCGAACGCTACGTCGCCCTTCCTCGCGGTTCGCACTCGTAGCAAGCCTTCCGGCATAGGTAGGTATACCCAGTTTTGCCGTGAGCTGGGAAGTATCCGGCCCTGTTTGCAGCGTGACTGGAAGAGGCTGGCGTCCCCCTCGTTAAAGAAGACGAGGACGGGTTCGAGGGGTTGGAGGGAGATGAATGCGCTGGCTATGGAGGGCGGGGACATGGTGGTGATGTGGACTCGGGGTTGGCGTGAGAGGTCTGGAGACTTGTGAGATGGTGGACAACAATCAAGGAGAGGTGTTATATCTTACCGTCTCAGTGAAAGGCGCGAAAGAACGCGATTATTGCGTTGCTCTGCGGTGTGGTGTCGCGTGTCTGTCTTCAGCCCAGGCTATATACCCCTACAAGTTAAATAGTCTTGTGCGATTGCGTGAAATCTCCTGTGTAGTATATCAGTGCTGTAGGTTAGTAGGTCATCAAAAGCGGGATTAGGCAGCGTTCAGCTGCGGGGTCTATCTCTCCAGCTCGCAAGGCTTGAGGCGGTGTCGTGTGAAGAGGCCAGCTAGCCTTGCTGACATCAAGATGCCGCTAGAGCCTCGGCTTTGCTACACCGGTGTCCCTACCTCTACCAGGCTTCAACACTATACTTCTAGCGGTCTACTCCGATCTCGATGACGACTTCGATCCGTATCTGATGTCAGAAGACTAGTCGATAGGTTCGTTGCTGTAATCACTACTACCACCTCTTCATGATGGTACATTTACAATAGCCTCAACGAAAACCCCAGTCTTGTCCTCCCACCAAGTTGTTGCGCAGTCATGCTAACGTCAGATTGCAATTAAGATACCTCCATAAATACTGCGGTGACCGAAAAATAAATGGCATCATGCTTTTGAAGCCAGCATACTGGTCAGCTCTCGCGTCAGCACCGTTCCGCTCCGCTGTCACCTAATCCATGCTTCAACATGCTTGTTCCCGAGCGAAATTAGGTGTACACATGCGGGTATGCCATCGACTAAAGCAGTTCTACCCTAATGAGAAGGTTCTAGAAAGGATTTAGGTCCTTCAGATCTGTAGATGCTCGAACTGCTTGGTATGAGCTTTGCGCCTACATCCTCGGCCGTTTCATCTTGGCGGAGACATGTGAGCCTGACATAACGGCGCACAAATCTCACCTACGCGCGCGTTTCGCGGTCTAATTGGTGCAATTTCTTTTTAAGATGAACGTCAGCCCTCATTAGGACATGGTCGTCTGTTATTTTCGTCCTGGTACCGGACTGAGAGTTTACTTGGGTTAGAGAAGCGGGATACGAATCGAGGAACACGATGTTTACACGACTTTTCGGGAGGAGCGCTACACTAGGAGGATGGGGAGGCACTTTGTTGAAAAAGAAGAGAAGACCTCGATTGTGCAGCTTCTCTCTTTGACTCGGTTGACGCTCTTTTCTCTTCACCAGTTATCAGCACTTCATTCTTTACAGCGTTGATCGCATCCATTCGTTCATCACCAAACATCTAATCAGTCTTTCCCGAACTCCTTTCGCCGATTCTTTCATATCTTTCTCCAAAAGTTATCAAGATGCAGTTTATCCTCGCCCTCACTACCCTGGCTGCAGCCGCATCAGCGCTCCCATTCAATCCCTTCAGGCTCCCTACCACAACAACGACAACAGTGGCTGTCACTGGACCACCAGCTAATGTCCGCCGCGCTGATACTTGGGGTGGCGCCGTGTCCCTAGGCCCCACCAGGTCCACCATAACGCGTGCCGTTACAACCATCATCCCCGGGCCCGCCCCATCCACCCAGAATGGCGAATTGTTCCTTTGGCCGGGCATGTCTAATGGCACAGGCGACCTCGTACAGACAACGCTCGAGTCATGGCCTCAGGGTAACGCCTGGTGTGGTGCAAAGCCAGGACAGTGGTGCATTAGAAGCTCGCTGTTTGGATCGTTTGGGCAGTTGGATGGGGAGGCTAGTCCCGTAGATGGGGATACGAGGATTGAAATCCTTTATGAGTTGCTCGCAGACAATACGACGTGGCGGCAGACGGCGAAAGATCTCGACTCTGGCAAGCAGTTGTCCACGTTCGAGCACAACTCTGGCCCATACATGGTACGTACTGGAAGCTCCGCGGGGGCTGTCTTTTGGCATGGGAGAGATGGGCTAATTGCTTTATAGCGTGGGTACGGAACTGGAACGGAGTGCCAGCAAGACTGTACAGGAACTATCGCGCCTCAGCTCTATGAGAACACGGTCATCACGCTTGCTAGCGAGGACCGTGATTTCGGTAAGACGATTGCGGTCAGTCAGGGCGCGACGTATGAGGGCCTTGGGGCTAGTGCGGACGGGAAGACGTGGACTATTGCGAATATGAAGGTGCAATCCATGACCTGAGGAGCGTATTTAAGGAAGTTGGAAAATCGAGCATTGGAATTGGAAAACGGGCTATCGAGATCTATGTATATATCTTCAATTCGACACAAGAGTTCACATTTTATGATCACCTGAGAAACTTGCGAGACAATGAACGACCGAAGGGACGATGTGAACAAATAAATAAAAGGACGTTCACCTACTAATACCTCTCCGACCTACTGTTACAAACTCTTTCAATCTGCGGTATACAGCACCACTGTTCATTGACCCTCGCGACGCGTGTGTTGAGCACGAACTTGTTGCGGTGAATAGTCACGCAAGCCGCAGCATCTGCATCTCGCTGTGGCCGGATCGTAGCGTCCGATCATCAGCTTCACTGCTGCGCAGCCTCATACACTTGTAGGTGCTAATACGCGAACTCGTAGGGAATACGCCGATTACTAGTATGTCAAAGTCTAGACCGTCATTGACAGTTACCTTTTCCAGGTCGACGGATCCGAACAAAGTCACCAGTGTACCCACTTCCGGGGTCCGCAAAACAGCAAGTCCGCCGCCAACTAACACCATCTCACATCGACTAACATGCTACAATTCGCCAGTGCACACATCTTCGGAACTTCTACGTCAATCTCCCATCGCGGAAACATCTATCGTGGCGGGAAGACTAGATCGACGGGATCCGCGAACAGCGTGCCTGTGGCGGTGGCGAAAGATTGGAAACGGAAGGTGTACTATAGTAGGTGCCGCGGCGCGGCGATGTTGTGCGTTGTACAGCTCGTTCGGGTGTGCCTGAGTGATGGGCAGGTACAGCGGGTTATAGACAAGGGTGTTTCGGGCGCTAGACATGAGATACGAGAGAGACGATTTGAATTGCCAGAGTGGGATGGATGCGTTGCGATGAGGTTGGAGGGCCTCTAGAATGATGATAGGGTGGAAGAAATGACGTAGCGTTTTGGCTGTAGAGTCATCGACACTTCAACCTCCACGACTACCAGGCAACGAGAATTTTTGACCAGCTTCAGGACTCATGCCCTACGTATTGCCCAGGTTTTTTCAATAATGGCACAGGATGGCGACTTCGTATCTGCATTCTTCTACGGAGACACGTCGAGGACCGGAAACGCGCAAGACACGTATAGTCTGCATATCCGACACACATAATCAGACGCCCAAACTGCCCGCCGGAGACGTTCTCATCCATGCTGGAGACCTGACGAATCAAGGCTCGTACTCGGAGCTCCAGAAGACAGTAGAATGGCTTGAGAAGAGTGACTTTGAAGCAAAGATTATCATTGCCGGTGTGCAGATACCATGTCCTTGCTGCATAGTGAGATGGAATAGCTAATTGGTGGCTATTAGGAAATCACGATATAACGCTAGATGCCCCGTTCTACCATTCGCATGGGAAATCTTGGAGATGGCCTAAACCCCAAGACCCTGCTGCATGCCGTGAACTCTTAATCTCCTCCCCGTCAATCACATACCTAGAGAACGAGGCTACAACTATCAAGCTTACCTCACCTAAAGGGCCTAAGACATATTTTACCGTGTTTGGTAGCCCTTGTACGCCTAAACACTCAAACTGGGCGTTTCAATATGACGAGCATGATGCTGCAGAGGTATGGCGTAAGATTTCAGATGGGGTGGATGTAGTGGTTACGCACACACCACCCAAGGAGCTTTGCGATGGCGCAACGAACGACGACCGGTCAGGATGTCCGGCTCTGACGAAGAGGTTGTGGGAAGTCAAGCCTGTGTTGAGTGTTTGCGGGCACATTCATGCGGGCCGGGGTGTTGAGAGGGTGAGATGGGGGACGAATTCTGACGACGTCAACAGCCTGGTGGACTCTATCGAATATTGGACCGACCCAGGCAAGGGGAACAAGAAGCTCTCCTTGGTCGACCTTACCAAGAAAACAGGGCGTGCCTTGGGCTACCATGGCGGAGGCTTGACACGTCAACACGTTCATTATGGCTCGCTAAGGTATGATGCTGGGGGCCAGCCTGATGCAGCTTTATCTCTGCCTCAAGATGAAGGACTCCATCAGCCTCGTTCCGGTGATGAGAAGCTTATCCCAGCCTCGAGCCTCACCAATTTTGCCCTCTGTCGAAATGAGGCGTTATTGCGGGGAAATCAAGTGGGTAAGGCTATGGATCCCCCAAGCGATGTCGGGCCTGGGAGTCCTGACAAGGCTGCCTTTCAACCCGAGATAGAAGACGGCCGTCAGCGGAAGAGGCTAGCCGGAAATGTGGAGCGTAAGGAGACTGTGGTAGTCAATGCTGCCTATCTTGGGCCGCGGGTTGCTGGGAAGGCGGTTGGGTTCAACAAGCCCATCGTCGTTGACGTTGACCTGCCTGTATGGAAGTGTGAAGTCGAGATTGAGGTAGGATGATGTAGGATGGCTGATTAGAATTATGTAGGATGATGTAGAAAGTGCGTGTCCCTTTACCATGATCTCGGAGAGTGGTACAGATCGCATATCTCCATCATCACCTCACGTCTCTCCTCATCGTCTACCCACTTGTTTTTAGGCTCTGCTCAATGGAGGACGACCACGTCTTGGTCCTAGAACCCGCGCTGGCCTCGCTAGAAGGGTTATTTCGTCATTGGCTGTTATAGCATATAGTCTGCCCCGCTCACCCCGCATAGGCGTATCTTTATCGGCCAACCACGCGAGTGTCTAACGTCTCTATCCGGGACGGATCGAGTTGGAAGCCTGCGGCGTGCAAAAGACGGCTGCCTGGCGACGCAACCGCCGTGCCCTGACCCCCATTCGCAAGGATGCCCCTCAACAGCGGAAAGATGTGGAGGATGTGCGGTGCATTGCCTTTCTGGACGAAGAGGGACTTTGCATGGATGGAAGAAAGCGTGCCGAGCTCTTGTGACTGCGTGGGTGCCGTGCTCTCAAGCCGATGCTGTCTCGGATTCCGCGAGAGACACAGCACCATGGGAGAAAGCTCTCGTCACGTCTCGGAAGAAGGCTTGTAGGGTTGGCATGCTTCATTTTTGGTCGGAAGATGTGCGTGGGTTGGTCACGTCTTGCATATGTGTCGTGGTGGGGTTGCTGAGCATTCTGTGATTGGGTTACAAGAAAGGTCACATCGTGCTGCTGCAACAGGGTTTGGTAATCCACATGAATCGTCTCCTGCTGCTGGACACTCTTTTCGGGTTTCTGGATCATGCAGCCGTCTGCGGGATGTGCCTATCAGATCGCGATGCGCAGCAGGTCCCGAAACGACCATGTGGCCACTCGACGGCTTGATTGGGTTGAGAGTTTCGTAGCCGCTGTGGGCCTGCAGTGTGCTTTGGGGCAGCGGTGCGCGCGATGCGATCGAGCTGGCTCAAGAGTAGGAGGGCGTCCGGTGCCATGGACTGTATGGCTGGAAAAGCGGCCTCTTCCACTGCTGGCGTGATGGCTGTTCAATCGTAGGGCCTGTGAGGGCAGCGTGGAGTGTGAAGAGAGCTCAGGCCTGGTTGATTATGCATGTGCTGATGAAGCGCGAGCGAAAGAATAGACACGCTCTAAACAGCCCTAGAAGTAAGAGGACCTGCAAGCAATCAAGCAAGCAAGCTGCGGATGGGCTCCCTTGTCCCTTTCTTTGTGCAAGGTTAGGATGGGCGGTTTCGAGCCTTGTGCGTGCACTTGGATCCCGTTATAGTTATAGTGAGGATGCAGCGCCCCAAATAGTAGTCAGCCTGCACACATACACACACACTCTTCATCATCTCCGTTGTACCATTCTTAATCTCTGCGACACTTTTGTTCTATTCTGATTCTGCAATCCGACACTTGGCTCGCCATTTGACTATTCCGGGGCGTTGCTGAAACCTGTTAGTGACGTCGCATCCCACACCGCTTCCTACCTAGACGAGGCAGGACCAAGCGGTTTCGCTGCCCGGCAACCACGGCAACAGGTCCACGTCGCATTGCTATACGCAAAGACAGCCTACACAGCCTCTCTCTCTCTCTCTCTGTTCGTTCTCGTCTCCACGGAACAAACGCTGTCTTTGTCACAACTTGCCTTGTCCTTCCGCATCTTTTCGCTTTGCCACGACCTTCTCCGGCCTTCCTTGCATTCCACGGCTCTGGCAGGAACAGACTCCGCCTTAGGTCAGCAGCAGCAACCACCTCGTCATTCGCGTCACCCCATACCAGGGGACACAACCAGCAAACCATACTCACTCATCACCCGTCACGAGCACCAACCCCCGACTTTCATTAAGGGCATTCGTCCACCGTCGCTGCTCGTCTTTATTGCCGTGATACAAGCCTCGGCCGCGTACTACCGCCACAGCTCGCTTTGCCAATCGATCGGCACCTGCATGTGTCGGGCACCATTTACGCCTCCACTATAAGACTACCAACTATACCCATCTCGCCCTCACCCATCCATCCATCACCCCACCACAATGGCCTCAGAACCCTTACCTGATCACTACAAGGCCCTCGGCGTCGACAAGAACGCCGATGCGGCAACCATCAAACTGAACCATCGCAAACTGGTCCTCAAGTGCCACCCTGACAAGGTCACAGATCCCGCACTCAAGCAGCAGAAGCAGGAGGAGTTCCACCGCATCCAGGAGGCCTACGAGACTCTCATCGACACCGAGAAGAGGGCCGAGTATGAAGCGCATCTGAGGCTCGAGATTCTACGAAAGGAGAAGGCAGCAAGAGGAGCCGCCACATCGAGTGCAGAGAAGACTGCTCGCTTCGAGACACGCACTTCATCAGGCAATGCAGCCTTCTCAGCTACCACACCATCACGCTACTCTACCGAAGAGCGCAAACCTTCTCGCTCATACGACGAGGAGGAACGATACTACGACGAGCGCTCTCGTAGCAAGTACGACACCTACCCTGCATACCCCAAGACTGGCTCAACACCGCGATCAAGTCGCACGGAGAAGGAGTCATCTTCTAGGTCTGCTGCCCGTCCTACCCAAGACCGAACACGGTCAGAGCGCACCAAGACGCGCGACAGGGAAACACGAAGCGACCGCAAGTTCAACTCTGTCGATGATGAGTCATCGTCTGACGACAAAGCACGCTATGAAGCAGACTATAAGAGGCGCAGCGCTGAAGACGAGGCTCGGAAGCAAGCTACCGAAGCCAGCAGGCGCAAGACAGAGGATCGACGGTCTTATGAAGACCCACGCTACGGTGGTTCTAGTGGACGCAAGATGAGCGTCCAGGAAGAAGAGGCGATCCGCTATCAGCACAAGTCTCGCGGACAGGTCGAGGCTGAGATGTCTCGTCCTTCGCCTACCAGGACTTCCTCGCGAGACTACTATGGCGAAAGCCGCTCGTCGCGCAAGGAGACTCGACCAGAGCCTGTTCGCAGGTCATCTGCTGCTCGACCCAAGGAGCGCACAGCTTCCGGCCGTGACAGGGAGCGCGGCATGCCCGAGATTGTGGAATGGAGTGAGCACAGGAGCCCCCCACCCTTCAAGCACTCGTCGTCTTCGCCCGCCAACATCGAGTTGCCACGCGCGCCACAGCGCTCCTTCACCGAAACGTCTCGTGACCACCATCATGCAGAGACCTCGCCACCCCCATCCTTCCACCGCTCGTCGACGATGCCCTCAGTCCCGTCATCGCGTAGAAAGGAAGCGACTGCCCCACGTCCTTCAGGCCTACGTGAGACTATGACTCCCGAGCACACCACCCCGGAGCGTGACGCCTTCCCATCTGTCCCGCCATCTCAGCCTAATTCATCCAGAAAGGTTTATCACTACCCCACGCCGCCTAGCGGTAGCGTGCCCATTCGCCCAGAAGACATTTCTACCAGCCATCGCACCATTCTGCGCGAGCCAGAACGCCACCGTGCACGCTCTCCCTCGCCACTCTCTCGACCTCCCATTGGCGCCAATCGACCTTCCGAAGTCTCCTCAAAATCGCAGTACGCTACCAAGTCGGCAGTTCCTCCTCCACCGATGGGCCGCACAACCTCTTCTCGCCACGTCTCGCCTGTTCGGGCCGCCGAAGATCGCGGACGGACACGGCCATCGCTCTACGGCGAAATCGGTCGCTCGGACTCCGAGTACGGTCGTAGCAGAGGACGCCAGGCGAGCTTCAGTCCCGGTCAAGTACAGTATGCTCCAAGGTTTGGGCCTGAAGATGTCAAATGGGCGCCAAGGAGTAGAGAAAGTGACCGAGAGTATGCTAGTAAACCGTCGTTGGGCAGGACAGCTACATACGTTTACTAGTGTGCTGACAGACTTGACCAAGATTTGTAGTGCACGAGTTTACGAGGTTCGAGCCGACCGTTCATGGATATGCGTGGGTAAGGAAGAGACTCGCGTATCATGAATGATTAAGGCGAAAAGAGAAGGGAAACGCGACAGCCAGCAGCATATCCCGTGCCCCTACGCAACCTCTCGATTATAGCAGGATACCCATACCCCTCTCTCGACTTTCTGGACTGTATTGATTTTCTGGCGTTGCAAGGGTTTTCTATTTATGCGTTACTTGCTCGACGCTCGCAAGGGCTGCTTTGCGTCGAGACTAGGTTGTCTTTTTCTCTATCCTTGAAACCTGTTCTTGGTCTCAACGCACCAACAACACCTTTTTGTACATGCCACATCGAAATGTCTCGATTTCGATATTCCATTCGTTCTCCTCGACCTGTCGTTTTTACCACATTTCCGAATTGCATACCAACATCTGTGCAATTCTGTAAGTTCAAGGCGGTCTGTTCAACATGTTTGCGCATCAAGGTGGCAATCTCTCTCTTCTTTCTCAAGTCATTCGTTTCGCCCTCACATCACTCATTTGCTAGATAGCGATGGCTGTTCTGGCCCAGTAGATACGACCCTTATGAACTTCGCGTATATGTTTTTTAGCATTGAGTCTTCGGACCAACATCTTATGACCTTTATTATTAGTATCTATGTATGTAGTTGGAAATATAAACAAACCAAATGAATGGAAGGTTATCAGAATAGGATGGCCGTTATAGTCCTCGACTTTTTCGTCAAATGACTCTGCTATCTACTCGTGGTTTTCATGTTGCTGAACACTCACCTCTCCCTCTAGGATCAACAGCTATCTATAGATTAGGAGAAGAGCAAGTATGTGTTTGGAAATGGTTTGTAGTCGGGAAGGGGTCGTAATATAAGGAGCAACGAACTTGTATTACTATCACGGGTACATCAAAACCCGCGCTGGTCTGAAGAAACTCTCCGATCCTATTGTAGAAAGAGACGCTCCTACAAGACATTGGAACGCCTCATGCCCAAGATGATTCAATTCCAAAAGAACGCCATCGCTATGTAAAGAATCCGAAATTATGCTTGAACGCTAGAAACATGGTCCTGATAAAGGACGCTCGAGTTGAGGACAAATAAAACGGAGGAACGGGACGCATCCTAGCGGAAGAGTCTGCGTCCCCCAGTTCTCCCCATGGTCCTCTCCACGCCTTCAAGACTCATGCCCGCAAACCCCGCTCCACCTCCCTCTCGATCCCTCTTGTACCGCCGTATCGCTTCGCGTAGATGCGCCGGCGTCAATGGGCCTTTGTCAGACTGCTTGAGTCTCTCCTGCAAATCGGCATCTTTATCAATCTCCCTCCACAGACTCTCACTGCGATCCACCTGGTTCAGAAACCAGCCTGCAGACTGGATATCCGTGTTTGTGGGCTTGTTGCGGTCGTCCTTGATATGCGCCGAGGGCCTTTGTAGACTCTGCATGAGGATTGGGGGTGGTAGCTTCTCGTTTGGATGATGCGTTACGACGGCTTGCCATTCGTCTCGCACCGTCAGCGCGCGGTCGATGAGTTCGCCGAGGAAGGATTTGGCGTAGGATGTTACGGCGATGATGACGGGTTGGGGCACGGATTGGGAGAGTGTCTGGTTGACAAGTTTTCGGACTGTTTCGCGCTTGAGGCGGATACGGCGGTAGGTTGCGTAGCGTTCCTGCTGGGCGGGGGTCATGTACTCCATGAGCATTCTACAGACACGTTAGTAAGCTGCAGGTACCTGGGTATGCGGAAAGGAATGGCATACCGCTCATGGTCCTTCTCTTGTTTGCGGCGCGCTTCGACTGTCATGCCGCCTTCTTCCATAGCCATGTCCATCTCCTCGCCCATGTCATCGTCGTCTTCCTCTTCCTCGTAGTCCTGCCCACCGTCTCCGTCCCCTCCCACAGCACTCCGTCCATCCGCACCCTTTCCCCCTCTGACACTCGAGCCCGCGACGCTTGCGCCATCAGCATCACCCTTCTTCCTTCGTTTCTTACCTCCAGCTCCATTTACGACCGATGTGGTAGCCACGCTGTCCAGAGATGGGGAGCGAGAGAACCGCGGCGAACCGACGCTTTCAGCATCGGGGGAGAAGGCGTTTCGCAGGTTCGAGGGTTTGCGCTTTTTGTTTGGATTGGCCGAGGAGATTGAGGATATGCTGGAGCGTTTTCGGGGGATGTTGAGATGTGGGACGGGGGGTGGGGAGGCCATGTTGTTGTCTTATAGCTCTACTGCCTGGTTCTCGACAGTGAATAAGTAGGTGTGAGCGTGGAGATGTAATCGTTGAGAAGAGGCCTAGTAATTGTTCATAGTGAGTTTGGGTAATGGATTGGGGAAGTCGCGACGACGCCAAGAACAGGGTCGCGCTTTGACTAGCGCGTTGCTTCGTTCCGCTCGGAACGCAGCTGGTTTCGTCATGCAACCTTCACTATTCTTACGGAGCTTTCATGGTCTAGTTGATCCAATATGAAAGCCATCATTACTAGGCATATTACCTTCACTCAAGTCTTAACCCATCTTCGCTCATCTGATCTGCGGAGAGCTCTGGGCAAGCTTTACAACGCCACTTCTCTACTCCCGCCATACTCCTTGGTTGACCTTGGTTGACAGCTTAATCTACTTTCGATCGCATAGTAGTATGGTCCTCTTATCAAGAAACGGCTATCTAACCTCCCGCTATATCTCAACAATGATAGAGCCGAAAAGAGTGCATCATAGCGTTGCTAGATTCTATTAAAGCTGCGAGATGTGTTGCATACGATGCTGTAGGGACGATGTCGATAGTAGCCCGCGCTCGATCCCAGGTAGCGAGTGAGAGGCGACTGTTGACCAGGTATGCTAAGGGGCGTGTAAAGGCGTATAAAGGTGGCGAAACAAACAGAGTAATCACATAAGCTACGCTTAAACAAATTATTAGGCCTGCCTACTTGTGACGAAGATAAGACATCTTGTCCAGTTACACGTTAGTTGCTCACGTCAGCCGCCATGATTTGAGAGGAGACGGACGAAAGTCATCGCGGCCAATTCTTAAAGTGCGCAATGCATGTCATTTCAGAGATGAGTTTTTAGTCGTCTTTTCCTAACAAAGCCCATTATATGCTGCGAAGCGCGGTACTGCGTAATTTCTCGTCGAAGATGGGCCAACAAAGAGTTGCAGTTATAGGCGCCGGTAAGTCACGCTGCTTAAGATTGGATACCGGGTTCTGACTAACGAACGCGATAGGCACATGCGGAGTATCTATGCTGAAAACGCTGAGTGAAGATGGCTTCAAAGTTACGTGCTATGAGCGCAGGAAGCAGGTCGGCGGCCTGTGGGCGTATACTGACGACCCGTCAATGACCACGGCACTTCCGTGTACGTTAGCTAGTCTCCCCTGGCAAGATGGTACTTATTGAATGTCTACAACAGCTACCCGCGCTCTCATCAGTAAATACACGTGCGGCATGACCGACTTTCCCATGCCCGACAGTAAGTGCCATCCATATTCGTGCCTGTGAGAAGTCACACATGCTTACGCATAGATGTTGCATGACAGAGTATCCAAGTCATCTCTCATCCGCACAGTTCCAAGAATATATCGAGTCGTATGCGCGGCATTTCGACTTGCTCAAGGATGTTGTATTCGGTGCTTCCGTCATACGCGCCACGCGGAACGAGGAAGACACGGCGTGGCGGCTGGAAATGCTTGTCAATGGCGAACCGCAGTCCAAGGAGTTTGACAAAGTAGTCTTCTGTCATGGCTACCAAACCAATCCCGAAATGCCCGACTACGAGGGTAAAGAGCTGTTCAAGGGTCAGCTGTTGCATGCCCAACAGTTCAGAAAGTCAGTTTTCATTTGGTATAAAATACGCGGGCACTGACATCTATAAAGGGCCGATGGCTTGGAGGGCAAGAATATCGTTGTAGTCGGCATGTCTAGCACGGCCTCGGACATCATCAACAATCTCCTCCCAGTTGCGTCCAAGGTTTACATGTCACATCGCCGCGGTGGCTTCATCCTTCCAAATTGGCGTAAGGGTGTACCAGGAGACTTGCTAGTAACGTGGCGACGCCGTCAGATGGGCGCATTTTTGCAACGCCGATTGCCACGGGTATATACTTGGTTGACAGACAAGGCACTGAGTTTCTTGATGCGCAGCCATTGGGGAAGGATAGATCCAGACTGGCGTGTCTTGCCATCCCCATCCGTCTCGCTATCCTTACCAGGCGCCTCAAGCACCATCATCCCTTTGCTCCAAGAGGGAAAGCTAGTCTCACTGCACGGCATAAAGCGCTTCACAGGACCGAGATCAATCGAATTCAATGATGGCACAATTCTAGACGACATCGACGCTGTAATCTGCGCAACAGGCTACTCCGCCGACTTCACCGTCGCCCCCTTTCTGGAATCCAATCGACCCGCAAACTACGGAGGACCGGACTTGGTACGACTGTGGAACAACATCTTCCCACCGCAATACGCCGACTCCATGGCCCTTCTGTGCCACTCTGCCTACGGAAAGAACAACGGCTTCTCCTTCAACGACGTGCAATCCATGGCCATTTCCAACATCTTCCGTGGTGTGCATCCCTTGCCCCCACTGCCAACGATGAACAAGCAAATCGACACTCACAACAAGTGGCTCGCGTCGCGCTGGCGTGCGGAAAGCCTAGGCTTCGACCCCTCCGCAGTGCAGACGTGGAAGTTCCAGCAATTCTTACACGAAGTGGCGGGCACGGGCATGGAGAACCTAGGATGGGGATGGAAAGGGTGGAAGTTTTTCTTCCGTGATCCCAAGATGTCGTACCTTATGAACAATGGCGTCGAGACGGCTCATGCGTTTCGATACTTTGAGACTGGAAAGAGGAAGACGTGGGATGGGGCTAGGGAGGCTATTATTCGGGCGAATGAGGCAGTCAAGGTGTTTCCGGTCAAGGGTGGAAAGGAGAAAATTTGACATAATTCATCGTAGAGGATTCGTGTTTAAAAAAAAGACTTTGCTTGAGCGCCGCGAAATGGTACTGCTCCTTATATCTGGCGCCAAAAAAAGCAACTCGTGTAATCAATGTCCAAGGCAACGAACTTGATGGTGGTTGATCCAATTCAAACCACACCCTTCGTCCATGACGGATAATGCAATTATGTCCAGCTTTCAAACAGAGTGCCAAATTAAATCGAGCAACCCGTCGTCGCAACTTATAAGGTCCAGAGCCAGCTCCTTCGTATGCTCATATCCAAAACTAGTTTGTTCCATCTCCCCAAGTCCAATTACAGCTCGGTTTATATGTCCGAGTTTCCACCTATCGACAAATTGACTCTGGGTGGGTCACAGCAGGCAGCCGGTCATTTCCATCGCCAAATGAATCCGAGGTATCGCATATCCCCGCTCGGTCGTTGCTCACCGACTCATATTCGTCGAGGTCTCCGAGGTCCTCAAGACAAACAAAGTCGTTATCTTGACATCACTCAACGTCCTCGTATAAATCCAAGTTCCTGCTTGGATCTGGAGATTCCGGTCGGGGGCTCATGGCAGTACGACTTGCGCTCGGCTCGCCGTCGCTTATCCCGTGAACCGGAGACTCGATGTCCAACCCAGAAACGTCACGCTGATGCGTGGAGGAACGTGGAATATCGGGCGTGGTAGGCGGCCCATCCACCGAGCCAGCAGCCTCGCCCTGCACAGCGGGCTGACTCTGCTCGTTTGCCAAACGTTCGGCATCGACGCGACGTCTCCAGCGCATGATCTGGAGCTGGATCTGCCCGCGTACCAGCTTTGAGTTAAACGAGGTCCCGAACCAAACCGGGTATTGGGCAGGGAGTTCGAGGGTACAGTGTTTCCCCATGCCGGTATCCTGACAGTGCTTGATGCGCATAATTTGAAGCTTCGTCAGGTTGTAGACAAAAGGGCCACAAGGGCCAATGTCACCCTTGTCCAGGTTGTTATGTTTTTGGTGCGGGCTGTTCAGCTCCGGTTGGAATGTCCAGCAATCTAGGTCTTCTCCAAGTATGCGGAGTAGCCCCCAACCTACCATGTGGGCCGTTTGCTGGTCGTCCTCGTAACGGACAAACAGAGAGTCGAAATAGTGTACAGTTTTATGTAGCCTGTCCAAGGCTACAAGCGACCAATGGGTGCCGCTAGTACCGTCGTTCTCGACGTCACCGAAGGCATCGTTAATAACGACAAATATCCATTGCTTGTCTTGGTACCGGTTCCTATACGCATCGTAATCTTTTCCGGAACCGTCTTCGCTTTCCACTTTGCTCACAAAGTGGAACACTTGGGCACTGTTTGAGTTTGCAATGTCTATTTTATAGGCATTGCAATCTTGGTCTCGGCGGAGAGTCTCGAGCGCCATGTCGAGGCTTTCACCGCGCATCCATGCCTCTGGGCCTTGACTGGAGTCAGTGAATCCAATGTACCAGAAGGCTTCATTCGTAATTTTTGCATCGCCGAGTTCGAGATATGTCTTGTCATTTAAAGGGGGGTTGAGAAAAGCTAGAGGGAAGCGTTCAATCGTCTTGGTGTTCATGGTTGAACTTTTAAGATATATCGTCGGTAGTCGCGATAATATAAGAGCAATTCCTGTCCACTGGTATACGAACGCTTGTAGCAAGCGCTTCTTGTACGATTTTTGATGCAGGTGTGCTGGTTTGCGTGTGCTTCGGTTGGTGTCAAAGGCGCAGTCCAGGTCAAGTTAGGCGTGAAGAAATATCGCGGTTCGTTGCCGGTGTTGCAGCAAAAGGCCAAAGCAACAGAGGAATTGGAGAAAGAAGTGGATGGCGAGGTTGGTCGGGGCTGCTTCGTAGCTGACAGTAGAAGTGGCGATAAATGAAGGTGAAGGGAAGGCAAAGCGTCGCGCCTTCTCCAAAAGTCCAGTTTACTTTCACCGTCCAAAAGGTCTATTGTTTTTCAGATCTCAGACCTTGGAAAGACAGTGTAGACAAAGCAAGGCAGTAAAGTCTTAAAGTAGAGGATTTGCGGCATTTTGACCATGTCGTTTATGACTACTGGACTAGAACCTTGGTTACGGTGCATCATTGTGTTCGTATTAAATGTCGAAGCCGCAGAACACAGGCGAAGACGGCTAGTATCGGAGATGTAGAACCTCCTATCAAAGACAAGATAATAGAGGCTCTTGCATGTGATTCATCGGTCCAAAGTGTGACTTGCGAAAGCGTGAAGTGGAGTGCTTTAGGCAGCAAAGACATTCACCCTCACCTGAGGGCCCAATGCTAGAAATACAGTGAATCTGACTGGCTATTTTGACTATAAAAAGTGAATGTAGACTCGGTGAAACTAAGGTTGAATTGGCTTGGCTCGCTGCCTTGCCAGTTATACCAAGGAAGGCGCCAGTTTGCTGTACGTTGTGTGTACGAATGCTAGCGCGCATGACTTCATAGAAAGCACACGTCACCAGTTCTCTTTCCCCCAAACCACGGTTTCTACATTGAATTGCCCCTCCACAGATTCCCCGAGGAATATGCAAGCTCGGTCCTGCCGAAGCAGCTTCTCCTGAGTGCTCCATAGACAAATACAAGCCGGCTCATAGGGCAAATTCAGTCAACAATTGAAGCCGCCCACTCGTTCCAAGACTCTGTGATGCAAGGAAATGCAAGCTCCCCCAGAAACAGTCTCCTGATGTTGCTCTCTCTCCATCTTAGGCTCCTATAGGCCCCACTACAGACTTGCAGTTGCGGGACCAATCATCATGATGGAATTTCGACTTCCATCTCTTGTTCCCAAATCAGCATGTCGGCATTGTAACTTCGTGACGCTAACGTCGAAGATTCCTAGCTTGGGTATAACTGGCATGGGAGCGATCGGGTCATAGGCAGTGTCGTAGTAGTTCGTAGGCCTGTTGCCCAATGGCGGCGTTGCCATCCTTTGAGGCCTTATACATGGTCCTCCAGACTTGTGATGGATATCGGGACTATGAATGACAAGAAACTCACCATGAGGCTGATTGAAAGTAGACATGAATGCTAGAGCAGAGCATCACACATCACTAGCACCCTTATATCGCTCAAGCACATTCACGTTTAGATAATCCATTCATTGACATACACCCTTCCCATCCCATCCTATCCCACCATTGAGAAAGACCCGAGAGCGAGCGAGAGGGCAGAGTAAAATATTCCATGCGATTTTCCCCACTCATATCCAAAAGAAAAATCGAGCAGAGCAGATTTCTTTCGCCCGCAAGATGCCAAAAACGACTCCAAGGCAGGTCCGAGACAACAGGACCGCCTTTGCGCCAAAGACAAAACAAAAGGAAAATACCAAAAAAAATAGAGATATGCAACCATAGGAGTGATGGTGCTGTTTGCCCTGTGTACGCCAAAGCGTCAATCATGAACTTCAATAGACCATGACTCGAGAACCAAAGGCTAGCTAGCAGATGAGAGATATAAATATACAGCGAGCGAATGTGAAGTATGTGTGTGTTTCGAGATGATGGGTAATGAGAATAATGGTAGTGAAGGAGTGTGAGTTGTGGAGGGTAGGAGGCGGTACTAGATACTAAAAACTAGGACATTACTATGCGTAATTCAACGCGCATTTAGCCTCCACGAGCGAATGTAAGAAGCCGTACAATACAACGGCTTGGTGGAATGAAATGAGGACCAAAGGAAATGCTGACAACAAAGGGAATCATGTTGGCTTTGTTGTTGGATATGTGTTGCGGTATGTGGAGGCGCAGTCGGTGACCTGACCAAGTCCGCGTGGGTGAAGAGCGCAGAGCGTGTTCTGGTGCGCATGTATGTGTCAGATGGCGGATCATCCGGTTGGTGTGTCCTCTAATGTATGTGCGGCTTTCTCGCACCCGATGGAGAAAGTGGATTCTTTGGAAGCCGAAACCACATAACTTTAGGTACACGATATATTCTCCGACCTATTTTTGATTGAATAGACAGGCCGGAGTCCGCTCCGCGAGTCTTCTGTCGACTGTTTTATTTTACGAGACGATATCCAAACCAGGCTTCTTAACGCTCACAGTACGTCCCAAATGTTTCGTACGATGGGGTTGCTTCCAGTTTGAACAGGGCTCCGAGGATCGACAGTAGCCTTTTCGGGTGTCCATTGCCGTGGCGGTGGCTCATTCCAATCATGCCCATTACGTCCATCCTTGATGGTTTCATTTGAAGAAGCTGGGCTCGTGTCATCGCCAGTGGAATTGAGATCGACGTGGAAAGGATTTCTAGTAAACTCTTCCGCACGAGGAGACATCAGGGCATCGATATCATCTACAGCGTGCTGAGCAACTGGAGGTTTTGGCAGCTTGGATTCGATTTCTGTCTGCAGCTTGTGCAATTTCCTTTGCTCACGCATATTGGGTGAAGAGAACCTCGTTCGGATAGCTTTGGCTGGGGTGGATAGAAAGGCATGGTCGGGGGCCCGGGGCGTTTCAACCACTTTTGGCGACGTTTCCAAGCCAGGCACGTGGGGCTCCATGGGGACACTAATTTGTGTCTCATGGGGGGAGCTCAAGCTGTCAATACGTGACTGGACTTCAGGATTTTGCTTGGTGTTCAGAGCAGACAGTGAGACGGATGGCTGGAAAAATGATTGCGTCTGGGCTGTGCCGTCAAGGGAAGCAAATCCATTGAAAGTCTGATGCGAAGGGGGCATAATGGCCTGGAAAGAAGGACGGCGGCCTTCATCGTCCTTAAATGCTGCTAAACTAGGTTTATCGAATGGATTGCCAGGGAATTCTGCTCTGGTTGGAGAGGTCAGACCAAATGGATCGTCGTCTGCTATTCTTGGTTTCAGGGGCGTCATGTGGAATTCCATAGCTCGCGGGGATTTCAACTCATCGTCTAGCACATCATCTGCGCTACCAAAGATGTCTTTCGGAAAGTGTGTTGCAACGGGAGACGTGATCTCGGGTTCGAGGTCTAGATCATCAATGGTGGAGTTTTGTGGCTGACCTGATCCGCTCTGCTCGAAGGAAGTAGCACGAGGCGATAAAAGGCCGTAGGATTCATCAATTCCACTAGTGCTTAGACTGGTCATATGGAACTCAGTAGACCTGGGTGACAGGAGTGGAAGCGGTGCCGGGATGTCACGTCCCCTATAAGGTGGCTCAGATGGCTGCGAATCCAGGTCGTAACCTTGTGGCCAGGGATCGATGTCGAACGACGTCTTGACCGGAGACATTATATCTGGCTCCACAGACTGTTCTCTGGGTGCGAAGGATGAAAGATTGAACCTAGCTACGGCAGGTGATTTCAACGCGCTGAAGTTCATCGGCGGTGGTGGTCCTAGATGGACTTCTCGTGAGCTAGGTAACGATGCCTCAGTGTGGTTCTCAAGCGTCCTGAGTGGAAGCTGACGAGAAAAGTTGGGAGCCGAGGGGAGTTGCAGCATCACCTTCTGCTCAGGTTGTGCGACCTCGCTCGTGTGAACCACCTGTGATTGCGCGGGTGACAGATCATCATCGATTATTGAGAGCACAGGTACAATATGACCCTTTGGATCCACATATGGTGTTGTGGTAGGACTAGGTTGCGACGTAGGTTGCGACGAAAGGCCAAAGTGGGTTTGACTAGAGTCCCACGACCGACGGAACCCAGGGGCAAAGGTACCAGTCGGTGCTGACAGAGGACCTGGTGATATGGCCATGATGTTGCCTGTGCTGGCTCGTTGCATGCTGATGTCGCAATCTGGGGGCAATGGAGCTGTCTGAGGAGTACGTGGTCCCGACGAAGTCTCCCTATCGAAAGGCGAGTACCTGTTGGCCCCACCAGTAGAGAGGCCGCCAGACCGCCGACCGAATCCTTGGTTATGGTATGAGCGGCTTTCGTTCTGCCTCAATAGACCATTGCGGAACTCTTGGAGTTGCATGATAAGGTTCATGTTCGGTCCGATCCATTTACTGCGTTTCTTGGCCCGGTCGTATGCTTCTTGTACACTCATTTGCGGATCCTTGTACAGCCCGTAAGCAACAATCAAACTGGCCGAGCGACTGACACCACATTGACAGTGAATAAGAACACGCTTTCCTTGCTGAACGTTGTCGTCCATCATCTTCACCAGTTTATATAAATCAGGCACGATGTCTGTATTGTGCTCCCATGGCATGTGGATATACTCTGGTGTTTTGTATGTCTTGCCATCGATGGTCACGTCACGTGGCGGCACAATGTGCATGGTAGGCGCGGCCTTGGGTGTGGTTGGGGAGCTGTCTTGCCTGCCGGTGGTTGTAGGTTTTGGTCGGTGTGAAAGGGTAGCAAAGTCGACACTCTCGGCTGGCGGCCCATCCACACGCCGAGCATCAATATCCTTTTGCGAGTCTGTTGCGGGCGAGAGGAACGGATTCTTCACTTCGCTAGCGACGTTGATGATGACATCGAAAGTGGTAGCCTGCTCCACGGTGGGCTCGAAGTAGAGGTATACTCCAGACTCGTATATACAAATGGGTCCGTTGGGGTACGCCGCAGGCTTCTCTTCTCGAGATTGAGGAATGTCGAAGTTTTGCTCTTGGTCTTCCTCTTCTTCCATTTCGAAAGGGACCTCGGACAGACCACTGGGGTTGGTCACGATAGGACGCAGAGGAGGTAGTTGCATTCCACCCATTGGGAGCGTACTCTGCGAATATAGTGGCAAGGAAGGAGATGACTGGAAATGGCGCAGTGCTGGGCGGTTAAAGGATGGCGTGGAAGGAATGACAAGCCGTACTGGTTTGTTTTCAGTACTGCCGGGTGTCGATATCGTCAAACTCAGATTCGAGGGCCGTCGCTTAGGCGGTGTGGGAGGCTTAATGAAGAGGGGAGAAGGTGGGGCCGAGCTGTTTCTCTCCTTGGGGGGCACTACTATGGGAGCTGGTGTTTGTGCACGTAGGTTGCTGAGTGAAGAGGTCGTATTGATACCCAGGTTCTTCAGATTCCGCGGCTTCTTTGCAGGTGTCGTGGGCCTCTGCAACTCAAAGAAGTTGTTGGGAGACGAGTCTCCAGGACTGGGTTCTGTTCGTCTTGACCTGAAGTCTGCGACGAAGGACGAAGGCGCAGCCGTCTTGGCCAGAGGAGACTCTGGCGAAACGCCAGGTGACGGGTCGGTAACGGATGATGAGTCCATCGTGGAGATGGTGGTGGTTGGTGAGTTGTCCGAGGAGGCTGTCGAGTTGCTGTCCCGGCTGTCGCGGTGCATGTGGAAGGAAGAAAAGGGTGCGCCCGTGGTTGTGTTCCCGCTCGAAGCAGGCAGTGCTACATTGCCGCCATTTGCGTCTGCGAGATGCTGGAGCCCAGTATTGTGAATCTCTCCTCCGAAGACTGCGCCGAAAGAGGGCATCGGCATGAAGGATCGCGCACTCGTCTGAACCATGCTGGGTTTCCGAGTCTTGGTGGGCGGTGCCAATCTAGGGCAGCGGGTGCCGGTATTACTAGGTCTACGCTGAGTTGGCGGCGAGGTCGAGGGTCGATCGGGGCAGTGGGTGAAGGACTGCTGGGGCTTCTTGGAAGGGAAGGAAGAATTAGGAGTAGAAAAAGCCCTTTTTAACGTCGGACTGTCAGCTTGCTGTAGCAGGGTGGACGGGGCGGACATGGCAGACAGATGCGCGGTTTCGAATTGTGTAGTGTGCGATGGGGCAGCGGGGTATGGAGCGTGTAGACAGGTTCCAGCGAAGCTGTTACCAGATTCCATGGTAGGCGAAAGGGTGTACATGGTCAAGCAGGAAGTGGTAGACAGGTGGCGATTGCCCGTACGCTGTCTGTCGTCAGACAGACATGCTCGCACGGCGGGAGAGTAGGCGGGTAGAGAGGCACAGGAGCGTGGGAATTGGGGCACAAGGAGAGCATGCAGGACGCACCTAGTTGCCAACGGCGAAGTGGGAGCAGCGCTGTTGGTGGTTACAAAGCGAGAATACCAGATCCTCGACTAAGCGCCTGAGGGAGCGACTGGGCCGGCGATGCGCCTATGCCTGGGAAGCGGCGCAGAGAGAGAAGAGTCGAATCGACACGACGCAGTGGGCCCCCGGCGTGCGTTGGTGCAGCTGAGGAAGAGAGGCGGTCGACGAGTTCGCCGTGGGCACTGTCGCCTTCGTCGTGGTCGTCGGTGTCGTCTTGGTCGCGACACACTCTGGATGGACGTGTTGCAGAGTGAAAGAACCAGCTTGGAGCGGACGATGGAAGCCGGTCAATCGCAGAGCCGCTGCCGCCTGGGGGGAGGGGGAGGGGGAGAAGGGGTTCGTGGGAAGGCAAAGCGTGTCGAGTGTGTCAAGGCGACGCTCTCAATGGTGTGGTGAAGATGGGGGAGAGACGAACCAGAGCGCTAATGGCTGTCCAAGCGCCGACCCCCCAAAATAGAACCGCCAGCCGTGCGCTACGAGGGCAGCTGCGACCACTAACAGCGCTAGGCAGATGAAGAAGCCTTTAGCACGCCGCCACTCACCATCCAACACCCTTACAAAGTGCCAGCGCGCGCCGTTGCCTGTTTGCGCGTCTACAACACAATACAATAAAACGATAACACAGTACACAATGGCCATGATCAACCGCACTGGCCGTCCTCATCTCCAAGCCGTGAACGGGGGCTTTGTCGCTTTGTACTGGCCCCCTGGTATGCATTCGCGGGGCGGGAGACGCTAGACGAGCGACATGAGCGTTGAGCAGTCGGCCGAGTAGTAAGTAAAGTAAGTATGTAGGCTTATTGCAGTGACCCTGGACGCGTATCCACGACCCGTTATTGTTTTGATCATCTTACTATCATCATTATTATTTGCCTAACCCTCGAATATGATGCCCTGTCTTTGTGACGGGCCTGCCAGCTTCCTGTTTCGCACACAGGCCTCGCTGCATCCGCCAGGAACCCTAACCTTACCTGGGACATGAATACATATGAACAGGGGAGCTTGTACAGCAGTAAGTACTGTGGTATGCCACCCCATCTCACGACCCGCTCCACCTTGGCCCGACGACCGTCTTCCCACGCGTTGTCCGAGGCACGCAAAAGCAACTCCTCCTGACGTGAAACGCAAGGCTGCCGATGCAAACACAGTCCCCACTTGTTGGCGGGTTGCGCGAGTACAACGCCGCCCGTCATTTGCGACCTCGCACAGCGTACATCGCAGCGTCTCTTGGTCGTGTGAGTAATGTATGCAGTTTCACCTCTGCAGTCTTGACAGTTCCTGCTGTACGCCTATCATTCACAACGCTGGTGCCACCTTTCTCCACCAGTACAGCAGCGTCGTTGGACAGAGCCGCAGCAACATGATCTCCTCGCTCACCATCTCGGTTCCTATAACCTCTCCTGTGATTCGCCCAGGTTGCCCCATCCGGCCAGACAACAGCTCGACGTGGTTTCAGCATCGTAAAGTGTCCAAGAAATGCAACGGTAGAACCGTTCCATCCTTGTGTAGATCTAACGGCACCAAACTGCATCGTCTTGGAGGTGCCAAGTGGCATCGAGATTAGAATCGGATCATATACCACTATTGCCCATAGCGTATTTAGACTCGAAGACCAGTGCCAGGAGGTCGGGTGCGAGTGTCGTGTCAGTCCCCACTTGAAAGAAGAGATGGTATCCTCCCTCGAGCGATGCAACCTTGCGAGTCACCATGATGCTAAGCAAACTAGAGCCTCCACTCTCAGGCTCAGAGGGAGCCCGAGGCCACAAGTCCATCTGCTTGCCATCGGCCACCTCGTCCGGCAAACCCCTAAACCGGGCGTATACGGCGTCTTACCTATTGTTGGAGGTCTGGTCAGCAGGTCACGATACAGGCTGAGCATGTCTTGGATCCAGCAGCGCCGTGACCCATAAAAGAGTGCTGACACATCGGACGCGACTGTTCCGGATCAGGAAACTTGATATCTTCTGGCCATGAACACAAGCGAGTTAGAGGTTGATCGCATGCCTGTGTGCTCATGGGTAAAATGCAATAAATTGCCGAGGTACGATCTGTAGATGCGATTTGGGTGACGTGGCGTTTCTGCTGCAACGGTAAATGATTACGAGTCTGGAGTACGATGGTGAAGTTTGAGTTGAGCTTGTATTGACCTCGACTCGTTTCAAAGTCCGTAGCTGACGTACTCGTTTCGACGGCACTTGACCACAACTATTAGCGCAGCTAAAGCCCAAAGTTAGTGCTGCCATCCTAGATCCATGATGATAGTTGGACAGTATCGAGGTAGACTGCAGAGCTTCAGTGTATTCATTTCACATGATCTGTCTCCTAGTTGAAAGGGTATTGAAGGCTTCAGCCTGCGCAATAAAATGGTGACCGCTAGCCATGGTGCCTATAAAATACGGAGAGAGTACCTGCAGCAGATCACCCCTCGCCGACTCTTCAAGCCAGAAGGACTAGCGACGGTGTTGTTCTTACTGAGCTGGACAATGGTGTTGCGGCACGTGCAGGCGCTAGGCCGGAACCAAACTAGCCCCCACCATTCATTTTTGGATTTTGACTACACTAGCGAAACTGTCAATTTGCTGCAAAATCAGACTGCTCTTCCTCGTCACTAACACAGCAGCAACGCCCACAATAGCCACCATGTCGAGGCCGACCGTTACCGTCATCTCCGCCAAGGGCGAGGCCACCAAGGACACCGTCACCGTCCCCAATGTCTTCAAGGTCAGTTCACCGCCGCGATTCGCAGTTCGCAGTTCGATACACAGAAGTCGGGAGGGAGAAGAGGGACGGAGAGGCTACAATCGCTGGATTGACGCATGTTCTTGGGGATTTGAATCGAGAGGGCATCATTCTATTTGAGCCCAAGCCTTGAGATGCTCTCCCGAGATATGCATTGGATCCGGCGATGGTAGAAGCTTGTGATGCATAAACAATGCTCTCAGGGCTCTGGCGCATTCACTGAACAAGATGCTAACAATCCACAGGCACCCATCCGCCCGGATATCGTCCATGCGGTCCACACTGGCATGAACAAGAACCGCCGCCAGCCATACGCTGTGTAAGCCTTCCTCGCGCGCTGCACAATGGCTATATCTAACAACACACCAGCTCCGAGAAGGCGGGTCATCAGACTTCTGCTGAGTCCTGGGGTACTGGTCGCGCTGTGGCCCGTATTCCCCGTGTCTCTGGTGGAGGAACTCACCGCGCCGGTCAGGCTGCGTTCGGTAACATGTGCCGCTCCGGTCGCATGTTCGCTCCCACCAAGGTCTGGCGCAAGTGGCACCAGAAGATCAACCTAAACCAGAAGCGCTTCGCTACCGCCTCTGCCCTCGCTGCGTCAGGAAGCCCTGCTCTCCTCCTCGCCCGTGGCCACCAGATCAGCACCGTCCCCGAGGTCCCGCTCGTCATCTCCTCGACCGCTTTCGCTGATGCCGCTATCAAGAAGACCTCCGCTGCCATCGCTCTACTCAAGGCTGTCGGTGCCGGTGCTGATGTCGAGAAGGCCAAGAACTCGCGCAAGCTCCGCGCTGGTAAAGGTAAGCTTCGTGGCCGCCGCCACAAGCAGCGTCGTGGTCCCCTTGTCATCTACAACCCCGATGAGGATGGCAAGGACCTCGTCCTTGCTTTCCGCAACATCCCCGGCGTTGAGACCTCGTCCGTCTACTCGCTCAACCTCCTCCAGCTCGCTCCTGGTGGCCATCTCGGTCGCTTCATCGTCTGGACCTCCTCCGCATTCGGTGCCCTGGACACCATCTACGGCTCCACCACCGAGCCCTCAGCGCTGAAGAAGGACTTCCTCCTCCCCTCCACCATCATGAGCCAGCCCGACCTCAGCAAGATCATCAACTCAAGCGATGTTCAGAAGGTCCTCCGCCCCGTCCGCGGCGGTGCCGTCTCCAAGCGCGGCGTAGTACAGAAGAAGAACCCGCTCAAGAACTTCCAGGTCCAGCTCCGTCTCAACCCTTACGCTGCTGCCTTTGCAAAGGAGAAGTTGGGCTCGAAGAAGCTCGAGCAGGGCAAGCCTGAGACCTCTGCCGATTCTTTCTACCAGCTGCTCGACGAGTAGATGGTGCTTGAATTTGATGATTTCCTAAGGTGTCTTTCTTCCGGGATGGAATGGATGGATTACGTGGGTGCAAAGTCATGATAGATGGCTATTATGATGTAGCTGTCTGAACAAAATACCTCATGAGAAGGTTTCTACTTCTTCACATATCTGTCTGAGATGCATGGTGATGTGATCATTGTCAACATGCCACCTTGGTGCAACTTACAGGGCACGCTTAACCTGCAGCTTTCTTAGCCATTTCCAGCGCCCGTTTCTTACTAGCTTGATCCCTCTGCATTGCTACACAACCCAAATCTATTGTTCCTTGGGATATCCGAATTCGTTGCGGCTGAATTCCGACGACGACTTGGTTTGTTCCGTCGAAGCGAGGCCGACCCCCGCACTTTGTGGCTTGTAGCTCCGACTACTCCACTTACCGTATCCAACCGAACCGCGGTTGCTGCTCTACGCCCTATGCCGATTGTCAATAATGCTGTCATTTACGACACTGCCCTTTAAACAATCACTTGACGCCAATTACGGGGTAGCTGCAGGTTATCTAATTTCCACTCTTCGCCTCACAGTCCGAGTGAGCTTCCGACTGTTCGTTCCTTCTACGGTAAGATCCTCCGACAAAAGATTCATCGTTCTTACCGGGACTAAACAATGAGGTCACAGGCAAACTCCAACCATACAAGTCAAGTGGCTACTTAACCAACAATTTTGCCTCTTTGTTGCACACTTCCAGCTCATCTTTGTCACATTTGTCAAAGGGACATTACGGCTTTCCACGGACCTCCATTAGGACCAACTTGGATCCAAAATGCCTCCTCCTACAGGGAAGATCACACTCGGGCGTTACATGTGGGAGCGCCTCCACCAAGTTGGCATCAACACAATCTTTGGCGTGCCAGGGGATTTCAACCTACAGTTCCTCGATTACATCTTCCATGTCGACGGTCTAAACTGGGCAGGCAACCAAAATGAACTCAACGCAGCGTACGCTGCCGACGGATATGCCAGGGTCAAGGGCGTACCTGGATGTCTGGTGACTACGCACGGTGTCGGAGAACTATCTGCTCTCAATGGGATTGCTGGAGCGATGAGCGAGCAGGTCAAGATCATCCATGTTGTGGGGCAGACGACGCGCGGTATGCAGAAGCATCATATGATGATCCATCATTCCATTGGGGATAAGCCGGATCATCAGCAGTACAACAGGGCGTCTGTGGGACTGCGATATGCGGCTGCTGAGCTGTGGGATGTGAAGACTGCGCCGAAGGAGATTGACCGCGTGATTCGGGAGTGCTTCATCAAGAGCGGACCGGTGTATATCTTCTTGCCACTGGATCTGAGCGCTGAAGAGGTGGATGCTAGTCTTTTGGACACGCCGATTGATGTCCATCCGCATGTTGACGAGAAGGCGCAGGAAGAAGCTGTCAGGGCGATAACGTCCGCCATTTCGGAAGCTCAACAACCTACTATCCTCGTGGATGCTTTGGTGCAACGCTTTGGAGCGGAACAAGAGACTCGGCAGGTTGTCAAGAAGCTCAACGTGCCGTTCTTCTCCGCGAACATGGGCAAGGGCATTGTCGACGAGACGGAGGAGACGTATGTTGGTGTGTGGAATGGCGAAGTCAGCTCTCCGGGTGTCAAGGAGGTTGCAAAGGCTGCAGATCTAGTCATCACGTTGGGCTACATACCCGCTGACACAAATTCCGCTGCTTTCTCGAGGAAGCTGGAGGTAGAGAGAACGATTCACGTGAACCCATTCGATGTCGTAGTAAGTTCTCCAAGACACGGCCGCATAGGTTCTACAGAAAGACTCAGTTGAAGACTAACGCAATGATAGGTCAAAGGGAAGACGTATCCCAACATCTCCATCAAACCCCTCCTAGCGGCACTATTCGAAGCCCTCCCGTCCACCCCAAAGCATCAGATCTCGAAACCCCAGCTCCCGCCTCTACGCACACCCCTCGATCAAGACGCAACACACCTAACGCAATCCTTTCTCTGGCCACAGATTGAAGCGTTTATCCGCCCAGCCGACATCATCGTCAGCGAAACAGGGACATCGAACTTTGGCCTCTGCGACATTACGTTCCCAATGAATATCCGCTTCATCACGCAGATATACTACGGTATGTGGGCATTCCCCATGCTAATAGCGCGTGTGCAAGATATGTGAAAACTGACGATACCTCGATTTGATAGGCAGCATCGGGTTCGCTACAGCTGCAACGCTCGGCGTGGAAGTCGCACGACGCGAACAAGAGCAGGAGATGAAACAGCCGGGGAGAACAATACTATTCACAGGCGATGGGTCCATGGCGCTTACGATCCAGGAGATTGGCACCATGATCAAAGCAGGCATCAAGCCGATTCTGTTCGTCATTAACAACGAGGGGTATACCATTGAGCGGTTGATCTGGGGAGCGAAACAACGTAAGTGCTACTCTTCTTCGCCATCATCATCCATCTTTACTTGATTGAGGCGACGATTGCTAACCTCCCATTCCGCGAGCTCAGCGTACAACGATATCGTGCCGACAAACTACAAGCACCTCCTCCCACTTTACCACCACCCTTCGCCGGAGACTTCTTTCCATCGCGCAACGACAAAGGAAGAGCTTACTGCTGTTCTCGCCAAGCCTGAGTTGCAGAATCCGACTCATCTCCAGCTGGTCGAGCTGGTGATGGATAAACTTGATACGTCGTGGAAGCTGGGGACGCTGTTGGCGTGGAGGAGTGAGGAGCACAAGGAGTATCTGACGAGAGAAGGATTTGTGGATACGTATGGAGGGTGGGGATTAGATGGGAAGGCGGGAGGGGACGTGAAGTGGAGTTAGTTAGCGTGTGAGAGATGAGACTACAGCGTGGGAAAGTAGTTGAAATGTGAACATGTCACCGCATAGCAAAATAACAGCTTATGCCTATTAGATTTTGTACCTTCTTATCAGCTACCAGAGCTCTGCTCCGTCGCCCCTACGACAGAAGACATCTTCGCATCCTCAAAACTCGCCAATTTAAAGTCATACGGAAGTTCAAAGTCTGCTCTCGGATCGCCGTGAAAAGGCAAAAAGTCGACGATGAGCGAGTCTTTAACTGCGAAGACAGAGTCGTCGTCAATGTACTTGCTCTTGCGGTCGAAGATTTGCGTGACAATGGGTTTGTAACCAGGCGCTGTGATCTAATCACCATGTTAACGAACCAGTACCCATTTCCCCCCTTTTCCGCTCCATTTACGCACTCCCCCACACACCCACATCACCGAAAAGAGGGAGGTGGGTAGCTCCTCACGCGATGCCAACGAAGAAAGGTTCAACATACCAAGAAATGAATATGCGCCGGGCGAAACGGATGCCGATCCAGCGCCTGCAGCACTTTCCCCGCAGGCCCATCAAACGGAATAGGATACGGCACTGGTCTCAAGCAGTAAAAATCGTACTCCCCTCCCTTCCCTGTAGTAAACCTTCCGCGCAAGTTCATCTCCGGTTGGTCCGGGTCCTGCTGCTCGTACAGTCCGTTCGGCGCCGTGTGCCAGACGTCGACGACGGCGCCCTCGATTGGGTTTCCCGTTGCAAAGTCCGAGACGGTGCCGTGCATCCAGGTCCGATCGCCCTGTGCGTTGACCGCGTCGGAGACGATGCAGGACCCGTTGGGCAGGCGGGGCGCGTTGTGGCGGTAGAAGGGGCCGAGGATGGCGGTGGCGGTGGGTTCGTCGGCGGCCGTCGAGGCGAGTTTGTAGGTTATCTCGTCGACGAGCGATTCGAGGCCCAGGATGTCGCAGACGAGTTGGCCTTCGTTGCGCTTGTCCGTCGACATGCGGCCTGCTGCGTTCATCTGTGCAAGTCTGTCAGCGCTGCACAGATTCACGGACTTGTCAAATACGTACAAGTTCAACGCCCACCATCCATTCATCCACTGTGAGCTCATTTTCCCGCGCAAAGTCATGGAGATGGTTTATCAAGCCCGCGGTCAACTGTCGCACTCTAGGCGTCGCTTTCGGGCCCGTCGCATTGATCACCGCGGCTGTGAACTCTGGATTGTACTTGTGTTCTTTGCTGTTTGGTACTGCGGGGGCGTGGGATACCATTGTATCTGCAGTTGGCTTTTTATGCCCGTCTTGTTGATACTGCTGTACACAGGACGCGTCTGATGCCAGGTAGGTCTGTATAACTGGATTAGAAACTACGGAAGAAGGGTCAGTATAGGAGGGTTAATAGTGATCAAATGAGTTTGTGAGCATGTTTTAGTGGTTTAATAGCTGCGAGACACGCGGGGTGCAGCGGTTATGTGATGCGGTTGCGGGGAGTTGTTGTCGGTCGCGGTGCGCTATCCGAACCTAGGATTGAACAGCCAATCAGGAAAGATGAGATCAAACGTCGCGGTAACGACGCGCCGTCAGAGTGGACGCCTTCGAGGGAAGATGAAGTAGATTCGCAAGATGAGTTCTATATAACGAGGTCATTTCTTGGAACATGTCTTCAAATTGTTCGAGTATGGTATGATGGACATTAAAATCCGCGTAATGCTGCATGTAATCAATCTTTTCAGAACCCAAAGCCCATCGCTATAGCAATTGAAAGATATAGCCATATAACTCCAAAACGTCACTTGAATGCACCTCTCCCAATGATGGATATCTCAATCAATCGCTGTCATCCTCTACCCTGGCACGCTTCGCAGACCTCCCCTCTGGTTCCTGGATACCATAGCGCTTCTCGCCAGTCTTCTCGCCCTTTTCCCCTCGTACTTCATCGATCATCTGGTTGATGTTGAAAGGGTCGTCCGCTTCCTTCTCAAACTGCACCGGGCCGTCACGAGTTTCCTGCAGATCCGCGCCCTTGAAGCCCTCTTTGGCCTTACCCAAGACCTCAAACTTGCTGGACTTTGTGATTCGATCATACGTCTTCCCCTCGTCTTCGCCGTCATCTTCTTGCACGCTCGGGCGGTAGATGCTGCTGATGGCGTCCTGGGCTGCAAAGAGAGGCTTATCGTAGTGGTTGTCCTCGTTGATACCTGCATTGAACCCACTGGACTGATTGAACAAACGTGAATCGTACATGTTCTCTCCACTTTGTGTCGGCTTCGCAAGACCAAGTGCAACCTTTTCGGATATGTCGCGGTTCTGCTCGCGGGCAAGCATTTGTATCTTGCGCTCGGTGCCCATTTTCGATTGGCGGAACTCGCGTTGAAAGTCTTCTCGGCGTTCCTTGCGAGCCTCCTCTCGCTTCTTCACCGCCTCTTCCTCTGAGTCGGTGTCTGAGTCGCTTTGTGAATGTCGGCGTGAAGTATTCGCACGCTCCTCGCGCGCCTGTTTTGCTAGGTTGCGCAAGTGGTCCTCCTTCTGCAGCTTCTCCTTCTCTGCCAGCCGCTGTTGCATAATCGCGCGTTGCTTGACTTCTTCTCGCGCATGTCGGTCTGCCGCTTGAAGCGCCTCGCCAAACTGTGCAAACTTGTCATTGATGGTAATGTCTTGAAGACCCCGGCCATCTGCTGCGAGACGCTTGTCTAGTGGCACTGTGTAACCTTTGGGATTCTTCCAGTTACTGATGGGTGGCGGGATCTTCCACATTTCCTGGTCTTCGGCGGTGAGTTTTCGGGGGGGTGAATGGAGGACTGGCGGCGGGGGGGAGGGTGGTCCGCGTGGAATTCGTTTGTGCTTGAACTTTGGGGGTTCTAGGGGATCGAGCTGTCTCTGCTGGATCTTGAAGATGCGCGTCTTGCCCTGGGCCTCGCCCATCTGTGCGGTCGGTGTGTACCTCACAAAGGTGGGTTCGTCATCCTTGCGCCCCTGGACGTTCTTTGGTTTCTGTGCGGCAGTCTGGCCAGCGACCAGCGCCATGAGCGCCTGCTCCGTCTTCTCTTTTGTCGCCTGAACCACCTCCTGGCTGGGCCTGGCTAGGTCCAGCTCCCCAGCATCTGCCTGCTGCCGCAGCGGGATAAGATCTTTGAAGCTCGCTTGCACTATGCGCGAGTCGCTGTGCCCACGTCGCGCAATCTCGTCGTATTTTGTCTTGCCCTCGCCGTCGACTCTCCGTACGAGCGCATTGGAAGTGGATGCTGTGCCTTTCCTCCCCATGTCCAGCGGGTACTGTGCAACGTGGACTTCTGGGAACGCGCCTCCATCACCAAAGTCTTCAGCGGTACGCGGCCGCCAGCTCTGCCTGCTGCCGTATGCGGGGGGGCCATTCTGTCGTCGCGCAACCTGCGTCTCGAACTGCTCGGAGGTTAGGACGCGCGTGCTTCGTGTGAGCTCCTCCTCCTCGCCCGTGTATTTCGGCTTGGGTAGCGACTTGGACAAGGCGGCGACGGACATGGTGGGCGACGGAGTAAGAGCAGTTGGCCGTCGGGATCGATCGCGGAGACGTGATGGTGTTGATGCAAGATTATTTCACCAGAGTCTCGGCGTTGGTTTTGCCGCAATCCGATATCACGTGCCATGGTAGCCTGGCCCGCACAGTTGCGTACAGTATGCACGGATGGTAAGTGAAACAATGGGCCAAGCTAAGAGGAAAGGAATGCTGCCGTGGCCGGTCGCGTGTATGCCATGCAGAGGAGGCCTGATCGGTGTCAAGATGTAGGTAGTGTGTGTCTTTTTATAACCCAGAACTCTTCATACAGCTACAACTTTCCGACATGGTTCAAACTCCTGCTTAAGATGTACATTCTTGCAAGGCTTCTCTCGACCTCACAGACGAAGACAAAGATATTTACTCATCGATGTGATAGACGTGCAGAGTGGCAGTGCCCTTCTGGCTCGCTACCGCCCGTCTCCGTGTGGCAGGGGTGTGGAGTGGACATGCAGGAACCAGTTCACGAGCAGGCTGGACAAAGATTCTCAGCAACAGCACAGTCAATTGTATAAAATGATATTGGAGAGGCGTTGCTTGTCTGCACTATCACTGATTTAGATATTGATTGGTGATAAAACCCCCGGAGTTGCATCGAAAACTTGTCAATGCAGTACTATCACAACAAGCCAATTCTTGCTTTTACCACGGCTGGCGGCATCTAGGACATGATTGCCGACCTGGTCAGGACACTGGGCTGTTGATCAAACATGAGAATGGCCATGCCCTGCCGTGTTTCATCTTTTGAGCAGCCATTGTGGCCTCATTGAAGACTCGAGCAGGCAGGGCGATGACACTCAGTCCAGCAGAAGTCAACACAAATCGCTGGACAGACTTCACCCCAGGACCTTGACGTCTCCCGTCCAGCTGCACGTCACTTCCATCGCTACGGGAACGGCCTCGGGCCTCTCATTTGCTGCGACGGGATGGGATGGGATGGGATTGTGACGCCCCGTGCAGATAGTAGTTCCGCCCGCCTAGCAACGAATCGGTCCTTGGTCAGGAAGCTATCCAAGCGTGAGCGTCGCAGGCGCGGGAGAGCCGTCGTTTTGCGTGGGACGGACATTCAGGAGCGAGCATGCGAAACCTTGGACGGCTCTGCGTAAGACTGCGGGTCTCTTAGCAACCATAAGGCGCCGAGCATGGTCTTTGCGACTGTACTGCGCTGAACCCTGTCTGGTGTGTGTGTGTGTGTGTGTGTGCCAGCGCACCTTGGGAAAACCTGCAGCTATGCGCCGCCATTTTCGCAAGTCATCTGGAGAAGGATCAAAGAAACAACACCATCACCACCACGCAGAGCGCCAATCCTCCTCTCAGACCTCTCAGACCTCGCAGCCAGCGCCGCCCAAGCTCCAGCGTACCAGCACCGCGCCCGAGGCACCGCCGTCGTTGTTGCGCCTGCCCTCGACGAGCTCCACTGCGCCCTCAGCGTCTTCACGGTCGCGACGCACCACCAACCCCTCCACACCCACGGCACCCTACTCGGCCTCTGCAGCGACCTCGCCCTCGTACTTTTCCCCACAGCCCCAGGCCACACCAGCCCAGAGCCCCCGCTCGCCGCCGCCGGGGACGAGACGACCGCCAGCGTCCCACAGTGGCCATGGCATAGACAACTCACGTGGACCGCCCGTCACACTGCTCACACGCGGCAACTCGGACATTGCGCGCCGCAGCACCCAAAACCCGGCCGATTTTGCATTTGCCCAGCAGCAATTCGTGCAGCTCGGGCTGGTCCCATCCAGTGGCAGTGGAAGTGGAAGTAGCTCGCAGAAGCAGAGGTCGACCCGACGGCGAGAGTCTGTAGCTGCGAGCGACGCCCCGCAAACACAACAACAACAACCACAACCACAACAACAGCAAGCAAACACGCCCGCCCCCGCCGTGACTCGACGAAACTCGACAAGCAGCTCTCGGCCCGCGCAACCCATGGCGAGCTCCATGTACCAGTCGTCCAAGTACGAGCCAGGCCCGCGCGGCCAGTTGCGAGACCCCAGGCATGACGACGAGGACAGCTCAAGTACAGATGGCGAGCAGACGGAAGACCTCTTCATGAAGGTCGCCGCAGACAGCGCGCCCAGGCCGCGTCCAGTGGATCCAACAGCTCGCATGGACAGACTAAAAGTGAGTGACGTGCCCGACTACAGAACACAGCCATGTTTCCCTATTTCCAAGCTGACCATCGCAGTCACGATTGGCCCGAGTCAATGGACGACAGTCCCTCCCATCCGCTCCCTCGCCTGTATACACCCCCTCTACCACACCCATCACAACCCGGATACCCACCTCAGCCGAGCCCCGGTCCAGCGGCCAGCGCCGCGCATCGCACCTGCCCACCTCGTCCAGAAATATACCAGAGCGATCTTCGCCCTCGCCAGCCCTTTCCACTCCCCGGACGCGCCCTCCTGAACTATCTCACAAGGCCTCGTTCTCGTCACGGAAAGACACGGAGCTCTCCCCGCGCGACTTCCTCGCCCAATTCCAACGCCGGCCATCGCAACCAGACACGCTTCTCACACCCCCTGCTCGGACAGGAACCTACCGGCCCTCCAACCTAAACTACTCGTCTTCCCGTGATGACTCTAGGACACCCCACATGGAGCCAGCGTATGAGACGGCATCTCGCGCTGACGGTACCGAGTCCCATGGTTCCACGGGACCGGCAGCCTCGGTATGGGACGAACTCGACGAGCTCAAAACGCGCATTCGAAAGATTGAGAAGATGGGAGGCAAGATCCCGGCCACTTCCAACGCCATCATGTCTCAAGCGGCAGCCGATCGCCCTCGAACCGCAAACACGTCAGCCACAACAGTCTCATCGTCCCCGAAGCAGCAGCGCAAATCCAACATATCTCCCCCTGAGTCAGCAGTCGAGACCCAGACGCCCACGGGCATCAGGATTCATCCTTTGCTGCGTGAAGCGCTTGCAAAGGCGAAACATCACATTTTGCCTTCTGTGTACCGTGCATTGGAAGCAACAGCATCCGAGGCACTTACATTGGCGGAAATGACTGGCAGTGCAGGACCCCAGGGCACATTCCACTCCGCCAGTTCCATTCTTGGTAGCACCGGTACGTCCGATCGCCAGGTTCGCCGCAAAGCCGACAATATCTGCCGCAGCTTGACAGAACTCTGCATAGCCATGTGCGACAACAACAAGACAGATCTTGCGAGTCCGGCCTTGAGAACGTCTGCAGCTACAGTATCACGCCGGCCAAGTGTGCAGATTAACGGGGATTCACCGACCGTTCGGCAGAGCATAGAACCCGAGAGCAACACAATATCAGGTGTCAGCCCCAGCAGAGCGCTTTCGCGAATCGAGGCGCGAAGGTCGAGTATGCTCGCTGGCGACGTGAACGGGAGCCAACGAGACCGCAACCAAGCCTTTGACGACAGAGAAACCCCATCACGGCTGCAACGCGCTGGCACAAGCTTCCATCGGACTCGTGAAAGTATGAATGATGACGAAGAATATGACCCAACACTACGAGCCCCTTCCCGCGCCATGAGCGATTTCAGATCCGTTCGCTCTTTAGGGGAAAATAGGTACAGCAGCGGCAGGCAATACACTTCACGGGAGCCCATGCCTGAGCTGCAACCGTCGCCTGCGCTTCAACCCACACCACTAGCTCGTCGACCCACAGTGACAGGTGTCACGAACGAGAACAGTTTACTCTACAGAGACGGCCCTAGACGCTACGACTTCCGCGAAAGCTCCCCTGCCTACGAAAAGCAGATGTCGGGTGGTTTGCGAGCCCAAGCACAATTTAGCGCTGCTCGTAACCCCAACAGAAATTCGATTGGCGGCATAGCTGATCTTGGCCGCAGCGTGAGCCTGGGAAGGAGGATGAGGGGATCAAGTACTGGAGAGTGAGCGGATGAAGCAGTATTGCAAGTCTTGAGCGTCTGTTGACGATCGGAACGATACAAGGCAGTTTACTATTCGCGCGGCGGTTGACAGGGCCGCGCCCAGCACACGAAACGTCGATACGCATTTTACGAAAAGAAGTTGTGAGCGTTGGCCAAGATTTGATTTTACTTGTACGGAGACATTTCGACATGCAGAGTACTTCAGCATCTATCGGACTCTCTGGGGGGATACAGCAAGGTCGATACGATTATTGGCGTAGAGACTCGCGCCGTTGACTACGATTGCGAATAGAGCCTCGAAGACGAAGGCGGTTGACTTTTTCACGATAGCATCTTCAATAGACGCATGGAGCATTAGCGTGTACTTACAGCATCGGGTATCAAGGGCAGTATGGAGTTTGCACGGGATGGTAGGCGTTTCAATGACGTAGCTTCAGTATATACCAAGCTCTTTCCGCAAAGCTGGACAGCACTTTATGTATATATTCAGCAATCTTCTCTTGACGACGTTTTCCTTCCTCGATGTGGATCAGTGTGAATCGCGACCTTGGATAACTGAAGTGTTTCATTATGACAAGATATATATCCGAGTCCGATCGTGGTATCATATTATCGTCTTCCCTCCCTCCCCCATGCCATGTCTCCATCTTCCCTGCATCCACCAACTAACCTACTTATTCTGACCGTCCTCTTTCTTCCCGCCCAGAAACCCACCCACATATCCTCCCGCGCTCTTCGCTCCGCCCGCAACACTCCCAACACCGCCCTTTACACCCTCCGCAGCACTCTGTCCATACCTACCCAACTCGTCAGCCACGCCACGCATCACCAAATGGGTGGCACACCTACCCTCCCAACGGGCCCTGGCTCTCAACACCACGCCCCTTGTCATCCTTGCCGCCTCGCTCAGCGCGATTGATTCCTTCCTTGGAGAAGGCGTCGCCGAGGGGTTGGGCCAGGCCGCCTTTGCCCACTTGGCCTGCGACAAGGTTGTTTACGCCGTCTTGGAGGTTGTCGACTTGGTCTACGCCTGTGACTTTTGTTTTGTCGAGGTTTTCTAACCGTCGAGGGGGTGTTAGCTTCTGTTTCTGGGGGGTTTGGTTGGTGTAAGGGGGAAGGGGAGGAGGACGCACGTTTTGTAGCGTAGCTTGCTTTGTTGTCTTTGGTGAACCAGCTTAGGTACTTGTCTTCGATCCAGGGCATCCAGCTTTCGTACTGCTTGTTGTAGTACTCGCCCGCGGCCTGTTTGTACGTTTTGCTCTGCTGACTGTTGTTGGTGTTGTTGTCCGTCATGATGAAGTCGTCTGAAAGTCTAGTTCCAAAGGTAGTTAAGGAGTTTTGAGAAGTGTTGAAGTGGTGAGAGACGTGTCGAGCATGTGAAGGTCCTATATTAGGCAAACCCAACTCTATATACTAGCCTTCCCGCTATCCAATTTCAACCTGCATCATCATTAACAAGTGATCTCATCAGCCACCGCATCTGAAATCACCGTTGCAGGTTTGTGACCCGCCGGTGCGACCATCCAAACCTTGCCAGTGCAGGAGTGGGTGGGGGGGCTTTCCCGCGCCCATACGTCATTCCGCCAACTTCAACTCCTCTACCAAGTCTTCACCAAACCAATCATGCGCACCTCAACAACACCTATTCCCTTCCTAACGGCCGTTCTGGACGTCTGTGTGGCTGCTTCAACGGTGCCAACGGCGCGAGGTCGTGATGCGTTAAATCGCACGCGCGACGATCACTGGGTCTAGGCCTCGGGTTGGGGGGGTTTGGGGGTGGAAGACTGACGAGATACGATAGCAGTGGCTGTGCGTAGACTGCTTACGTGTTCAGCTTTCGGTTTACGCCACGGTGCTTCTTCGTATTCGCGAATCGCTGTGCCTCATTGCGTTATGAGAAACGCCGGAAATGCCCCATCCAACCCCAGTAAACAACGTCGTCTGCAAGTCGTCTCTTGGCATGTTAAGAGTTGGTTGAACATGTCCTGGGTGTTCTGAATTCTGCGTGTCGTCTGTAGGGCCGGTCTTGCGTGTACAAGTGCAGTATTCGGATCACGGCACTATGTCTTCCGCGAAGCTCTCTGACGATCACCTAGGCACCGTTTCACCATTACCAAAGAGACTCCCGCGTCCGAAATGAAGAGTAAAATGGCACCAGTAACACATCTTATTCTAACTAAATATACAGCGTTGCGCAATTCTACAAGCTAGGCCTCAAAAGCTTGAGGCCTTGATAATGGTACTTTTGTTCAGGTGCTCGCCGGAGGCGTGTGCTTGACCAGCTCAATGTCCGAACTCGACCGTTCAGTACGGTAGATGGTCACATCCGTAGACTTCTGGATTTTGCCAAACGGCAGAGAGCCCTGGCGCTCTCCCTTTCCTGACGTCTGACGCAAGTACGATCCTTTGCTTGGAAGGTCGTATTGTCCACCCTTGCTTCCATAGTGGCCTTTGCTTGCGTAGTTGCTGTTACCGCGGACGGATCTCAACATCTTGTGTATAATTGCGTGTATTGCAGGCATGCAGGCGACGACCGTGAATAGGTTGGATTCGGTTGCGCACCAGTACAGACCAGCGGTGTTGTCATCTAAAGCAGAGAGTTGTTAGCTGTTGGAAGTCGCTGTTCAGTAGAAAGGTAAACTTACAGGTAGGATTCTGCGTCTGCGCAAATTTGACAAAAGACCTGAGTCGGAGACAGCTGACGACTGTGATGACGAAACCGACACAGAACATGGACATGATCTGCATCTTCTTCTTTGGCGTCATGTTCAGCTTGTACAGCATAGGCAGTGGCATAGTCAGAATGGCCAAGTCGAGGGCAATCTCAATGGCTCCTCGAACGTATCCAAACAATTGCACGTCGATGCAAGATCCCTTCATCTGGCCCCTCCACCCGTCCCAGAACATAGGAATGGGCGTGCATTGGAAGATCATGGCGAAGGCGTTGCCTAATCCGAAGGAGACGGTCAAGGCGAATAGGATCCAAACTGCTATGCGTATCTTGCGGTCGGTCATGATGCGCAGATAAAAAGCCAGGAGGGAGAGCTGGCACAAGCACTCTGCGATCATGTACATGAAATAGGCAACGTACAGCCATTTCAAGGCGGCGGTGATCTTGTCCGGTGGGATTCCCCACATGTCTCGTCCGAAGCCGTGGTGAGCAGCCACGATGACAGGCATATTCATCCCAATAGATGTGAACTACGGGGAACACGGGGTTAGTACAGCTTCTACTTTTGTTCAATGAAGAAGATGTGGTCACTCACTCCTGATAGCCCAATCAACAAGTCATCCCATCCGAGCCTCGCGTGCGCAGAGACGGCTCGATCAACGAGACGCATGGTCACCATTATCAGGGCCAGGCCTCCGAAGGATGCCGTTACTCCTGTCAAGGTCTTTCCCTCGTCGCGAATCGGAATACCGCAGGCAGCATACGTCTCGTTTGTCGATCGTAGCACCTCAACGACAGTACAGTTGGCCGCATTGCAGGCTCCGGCCGTTGCCATGAATTTGGCATCGGCACAGAGACAGGCCAAGTCTGTGGGCTTACATGTCGATGTGGGCAAGGTAGCAGCAAGACATTTTGCCTGGACTGGAGTGTCAGTTCTAGTCGCTTTGGAGAAGGGTGCGTTGGAAGTAGGCGTACGGCACAGTTGGGCAATCGTGCTACGAAATTCTCCTGCGCCAGGATGCCATTTGAAAGAGCCGCAATCGAAAGGAACACACCAAAGAGCCTCATTGTAACAATTGAACAAAGAAACGAATCGGGGAGTTGTGAACTGGTGGCGTCTAGTGCATACACGACGTCGAGGCACTCTTAAATGGGGACCTTTGGCATAGAGGAGCGATCGCTGATCAGAGCGAGAACTCCTTCTTAGAACGAACAGGATCTGCTCTCCGTTGCTCCAAGAGGCAACGCATCTCAGAGAGTCAGCCTAACAGGGCTCCTGAATCAGGATCGCAGCCGCGTTGAGGGCCATGCTCCTGAAGCTTCGGCCCTTTTTTCATGCACCGCCAAGGTGAAGAGGAAAGAGTAGCGTCGTCGGCAGTTTACGGGTACTCAATTCACGAAAGGATCTTCAGAATAATGCCCGACGCGGCATGAACGGGAGCGGCGCGGGGGCATGGTTACGGAGCCGCGAGACTTAATGCGTGCGTTATAGTACTAAAACTTAGCGTCGGTGGCGGTAGACCCCGGTTAGGAAACGGCCAGGTCTGCTTAACCAATTGCACGACTAGCGATGCGAATGGCACAGACCGATACTTCATTCTCCACTTGATTATTCTCATGCAGGAGATGCTGCATCTGACCAGGTGCGACAGACCAAGGATGAGCCCTGGGTGGGGAGGGGGGTAGAAGTTTGAGCTATATCTCATGTTATGCTCGAGCTTCCAAGTATGACCCCGCCGATGATAAGCACGTCAAAATACTCAAGAGGAAGAGAGTGGCCCTTCAGTCGTCTCCCCCTTTAAGCCGTTCGCCGAACTTTTTGCCCTTCGTATTTTGATGTTCGCCCAACCTACCTTTGCTGGGGCGCTCGTGTCAACCTACTCCGCCGGACGCTCGCCTCAAGCCGCCTTCCGCTAGTCCGCCAAACTCACAGCAAGCTAGTGAGTATCCCTGGTATTGGCAAAGCGGTCTAGAGTTTAGGGGTCCATAGGCATTGCAGCTATTTGATAAAAACATTGGGCCGCAATTCAGTCTTACTTGACCTTCCAATCTTCTTTCTTTCTGTATCTTCAGGTTCAGACCTCTTGATTCTCCACAGTCACCATGGCGGTTTTATCGACCTTTGGGCTGTTTGCTCTTTTTGGCATTGTTGTTGCGTATGTAATCAATCGCTTGACACAGTCGAACAATGGTCGCGGCCGGCCACTGCCTCCAGGTCCCAAGGGCTTGCCGCTGCTTGGTAATGTCAACGACCTGCCAAAACCTGGGATGCTTGAATGCCACCACTGGCTGAAGCACAAGGATTTATATGGCCCCATTAGCTCTATCACGGTACTCGGCCAGACGTTTGTTATTATCAACGATGCACAGATTGCAATCGAGATGCTCAGAGACCGGGCGGCCCTTCACTCTGCTCGTCCGCACATGGTCTTCAGCAGTGATATGTACGTTGGAATGCTATGGCAGAAAGGCAGGTGCAATACTAATAGATGTATAGGATTGGATGGAAGAACACTCTTGCCTTCAGCGGCTACACGGATACCTTCAAGCTTCACCGGAAGAATATCGCCAAGGTTGCGGGCAGCACCACTTCCCTGAAAGTGTTCGATCGTGTTCAGGAGGAGGAGGCTGTCCATTTTCTCCTCAATCTTCTGTCTTCTCCGGAAAACTTGTTCGATCACATCAAGAAGGAAGCTGGAGCAGTTATCCTAAAGATTACCTATGGCTACAACGCAGAGCCGCATGGCAAAGATCTTCTCGTGGATATGGCGGGCAAGACTATGCATGAGTTCGCCGACGCAACGGTTGCTGGAAAATGGCCTGTAGACATTATGCCTTTCTGTAAGTTCCTTATCAGTCGAAATTGAACACTCGCTAATCAATGTAGTGAGATATGCCCCCGAATGGCTGCCGGGTACTGGGTTCAAAGCTACCGCCCGCGCGATGACTGCTCAACTACGACAAACCACCGAGCAGCCCTACGAGTTCGTCAAGCAGCAAATGCGCGAAGGAAAACACAAGACGTCATTTTTGTCCCAGGCTATCGAGAATTCTACTCCTGAGATGGAGCAACTTCACAAATGGTCTGCATCGTCCATGTACCTCGGCGGCGCCGACACGACTGTCTCCGCTCTAATGACCTTCTTCTTGGTTATGACCCTGTACCCTGATGTTCAGAAGAAAGCTCAAGAGGAGCTCGATCGCGTCATCGGAAGTGGTCGTCTACCTACCAGTGCCGACAAAGGAACCCTGCCATACATCGACGCAGTCGTCAACGAAACACATCGCTGGCATCCAGTTGCACCCATGGCACTGCCCCATTCCAGCACTGAGGAGGATACTATTCGAGGCTACCGCATTCCCAAGGGCGCACTCTTGCTCCCGAACAACTGGTGGTTCACTCACGACCCGGCAGTCTACCCCGACCCCGAGCAGTTCCGCCCAGAGCGTTTCTTGGACACGCCTACGCACAAGGCTGAACCTGATCCGCGCACTTGGACATTTGGATACGGTCGTCGTGTGTGCCCAGGGCGCTATGTCGCTGACAACGCCTTGTTCATCACCATCGCCCAGGTGCTAGCGGTTTTCAACATCGAGAAGCCAGTCGACGCGAACGGGAAGCCGGTGGAGCCAGCACTAGAGTTCGAGCCAGGTGTCGTCAGCCACCCAGTGCCGTATCGTGCCATCATTAAACCGAGGAGTGAGGTTCATGAGAAGTTGATCAAACAGTCGGAACTGCAGTATCCGTGGGAGCCGAGTGACGCGAAGGCGTTGGCGACTGTGAAGTGGTAGATAGACATCGCACGAAAATCAAATTGTCATCTCAACTCAAAATTCAACCACCTTTTGCCTACTGCATACATGATAGCGCTGCTGTGAACATCATAACGCACGGGACAATGCACGTGGATGGCGCGATACCCTAGCAATACGAGGACATACTAAGGCATGGCTTGACAAGGTATTGCCGTTTTATGATTCGGATGGCGACCTAGGATCCGGCAAGTAGCAGTAGCCGCTTGGCGGCGTAGGGAAGGGAGCGGGGCGGAGCACCGCTACGTTTGAGGTTCATGGGGTGGATACGCACAGTGGATAGACTCCACTACAAGACTGAACTGTTGTCGGTGCTACTTGATCGGCTTTCACAGTCTTCCTTGCCCCGCCACCAAATCCGTCTTCGCCAAACTGTACAAACCCCTTTCTGGTTGTACCTGAAGCTAGTGTGGGTTCCAGTGTCGCCATCCTTGGCTGTTTGAATGCGCGTCGAAAGCTAGCAAGCTTGCGCAGTAGCCTGGGAGTGAGTCAATTGTCTGACACCTGCAGGGTCGGTTGCTATCCGTTGCTTACAGAAATGGAAGAGTTTTTTTCCATGTCTTGCAAGCATCAAAAATCCAACAGTGAAATTGACTGGGTACTCTCGGGAGTGGCATTCCGTTCACCGTAGCTATGGTGCTAACATCGGCTGATCCCGAGTTCCTTCGTTACATCCTCGTCGTCATATGAAGACGCATATATGATCATCTTTCTCGATAGCATTCGGTCCGTATGCACCGACATTGCGTGAGTCGCCGTTGCCGAGGTCTGTCGCTCACATGAATCCGATCCGCTCTACAGCTCTGACCCTGTGGCGGCAGTGAATTCAAGATATCTGATAGCTAGGCGCCCTGCCGCTCCACGTCATGGCCGCGTTGCAACGCCATTGAATTGCGAGTCTCCAATCGCTCTGTCGACATAATTTTCTGGGCGAGATTGTGAAGCACGGTGTTGATTGTTGGGGGCCTGAAGATCTATTTCCTTGGTATTGCTTGGATAGGTTCTTTGCTCCTGATTCTATGCAAGGAAGATCTTTTTCTACTTTGGTGACTGCAAGCAACAGTTGGGATTCTGTCGAGATCTTCGAATGTGGTCTGATCGCCTGCTGACGGTTGACGAAAGCTCGCTTATGCAAGGGTAGCCCGGCCCCCGTCCCAGCTATTCAAACTCAATTCACATCGTTCGACATGCTTTGCAAAACTGTCATGTCGTTGTTAACCGAGACCGGGCTTTCCTGGGGTACGATGGATGGGCTACAATATTGTTGGGACTTGCACGTTAGCACATGCAAATGCCTCTAAACCAAAATAAACTCGCTTCGTTTTACCCCTCTCCATCCTCCGCCCCGGAGCCATGGTTTGGGTATCTCAGGGTTCAAGGCATATATGAACGGAGTATTTCGAGTCGAAATCTCGGCAGTCCGGCAACAATTGAACGCATGATTTCTGCGGAATTTGAGCGAGGCTTCAGTGTAGTTGATACTTCTTCCCGTCCATATTATCTCCTAGCCGGGATCCATCTGTCTCCGACTAAATTTACTACCCCCTTAGATGGCTTTCCGACAAGGTTCGCAACCCATTGTGAGGTGGCCGCAGGAAGCAGTTCTTCGGCTTCAAGCGCTATCACGCAATCCAATATCCAATCTTGACATCGATCCTTGAATTTAATCAGCCTGGGCTACTATTCAACAAAAAAACACCTACCTGGTTATTCCTAGGTGCGGGTTCCCCGGATATGATTTGAACAACTTGGTTGTACCTCGAGGGGTTAATATCGCCTAGTAGCACTCGGCCCTCGCTGGTCTGGCTCTCTAAGGGATACCCGGTTCGAGATTCGTATTGGTATATCAACCCTTCGAACGAAAGGAGCTGGACGTGCAGAAGGGTGCCGATCTCATTTTCTGGACGGTAGATCAGAAATCCCCAGTGCGAGCGATGATTAGGATCCTCTCCGTCTCCTTCGATGCCGATCGACAACGTGTAGTCGCTCATTATTTGTTCCCGAGAAGTTGCCTATCCTAACATCCTATTGTGTATTCAGTTTGCAAATATAGTGAAATTATGTATGCGTTGTAGTGATTCATCACTTCTACGGAAACATAACCTCCTATAAATATACTACTGTATGCCAAAATGCGCAGTGTGATTGGTACTTTGCGTACGCGCTCAAGGTCATACAGACCAATGTCAAGACACGCGCGCGTCTACATCTTCTTATTATAACGATAAATAGCCAATCATGGAGCCAATTGCACATGGGGTCAGGTAAATAATAAGAGCACAAAAAACGTCATTTAGGCAGACGCTGTAGTTTAGCTAAAATGCATAATTGGATCGCTTCGTAGTCAGCGCTTCTGCATAGTGCTCAATGGAGGATGCCGACGCTCACAATCTCGCACAAGATGTCCAATCAAGACACAACCGGCGTCCACCCTCCAAGAACAAAAGCTGGGTCACTATACTTCTCCACCACGCTATCATCCCGCGGCGACGTCAGCTGCCTCGACACATTCACCCTATGCGAATAATCCACCGCCTTTCCATCAAGCCCCATAGTATTGTACTCCCAGAGATGCAAGTGAAACGTATCGAACGGTGGCCCCTGAACCGGACCCCATCCCTCCAGCGCAATCCCGCCAGTCTTTGTATTCAGCAGCACCATCTCTGCATACGGCCAATTCGCCTGTACGCCACCCTTATTGTCTGGAAGGCGCGCAAACGTGCTATTCCCCTGCCCCCCAATGATTGTACAATTCAGCATGACATTCCCATGAACGCCCTGTCCCGTTCTCGTCCACGAAACAGGACCTGCTCTCGTAATGACGGTACTGTTCTTCCAGAAAACGGAGCCGTACCCCAGAATCGTGTCACCGTCACCCCAGAGCGTTGTGTCGGCTATGTAAGCAGTCCCGTACGTAGTAAGAGCGTCTCCTGAGCCGTTTAGGTTCATCCGATCGACAATGACGCGTATGCCATCGATGAGGAGTGCTTCAGCTTGGCCACGGTAATAGTTAGTGATAGTGAACCCGCTTATTTGCAAGTCTGCAACTCCTTTGAATGAGAAAGCCGATCGTCGTGAGGGGCCTTGGCGATTTGGAGGATTGAACGCGGAATTGTTGGGGTAGCCTACGATAGTCTTGTTGCGGGACTGTCCGCGAATAACGAGGTTGGACTTGTATTGGAAGTAGACCAACTCTTCGTAGTTGCCTTCTTTAATGTGGATAGTTGTTTTTGCTAGAGAGTTGCTTGGGGCCCAGTCGATGGCGCCTTGGACGGTGTTAAAGTCCGCTGAACCGTCCGCGGCCACGGTTACTTCTTTCACTCCTGGTGCGGGACCTCGGGATTTCGTTGTAAAGGTCCATGAAGAGTTGTGGGTGATGCCATTGAAGCTGTAGTCGGATGATTTCAGGACCGCAGGACCTATAGTAACGGAATATGTTCGATTGTAGTCCAGCCGGTTGTTGTGCAAATATATTGTAGCCACGTTATCTCTGACAATGATAGGGTAGAAATAAAAATCAATCCCGCCAATGATGTTCGATTGGTAGGTGGTGGAGTCACTGTAGTTTGCTTTGGTTGAGCCGTTGCCGTATGGGCTTGGAGACGAAGGGATCGAGAGATCGAGAGTGTCAACAAGGCGTCCGTCTTCGAGATCGTAGACCGTTACGTTGCCCGAGGAGCCAATGACCGGTGATGAGGGGAACGTGAGAACAAGGTGCGTATCCGGGTTGACATCTTTCGCGCCGTTTGCTGGAAATAGGTCGACGCCTGATATAAGAGTATTCCTCTTGGTGCAATGCGCGAGTGACACGAGTCCGGCGATCAGTGCGAGAGTCCTCATTCTGCCAGCTACTTGTCAGAGATGTCGATGAAACAGAGACTGTTGTTCCAGCAAGTTACTGGTCAGTCTGAACACTTTCATATAAATGCATCATTCTTCCGTGTAGGATTCTGCTCCCTTTCCTGACCGGGGGGTTCTGTGGATTGAGCGGCCAAATAACAAGTGATGGACAGTAACCAATACCGTGACAAGATTATCGCTCCAATGACACCTTGAGATTAATGAGCCGCGATGACATCACAGCATAAACTGAGACTATTCGGGGTAAAGACTTGCGAACGGCGTTGCTAATTGACACTGTATTGTGAAGAGCGTTACCCCTCAGGCTAAATCCCTTCAGGATATCTCTCGGGACTTGATAGCCGGCTGATGACTAGTTCATAAATTCGCCGACGAATATTGAAAACAATATTCATTGCTCAATAGGAACATTGAGCGTAAAGTCTAGGTATAAGCATTGTAGCTAGGTACGGAGATATTGACAGCCATACTGATTGGTCCGATGGAAGACGACGTGCGATTAAGCAATCTTTGCTTACGAGGGCGAGTCGTAGCTCTGCGAGTCGTAGCTCTACGAATGGACGGCAACCCACCAGGTATTCTCGATGAATCTATATAACCTGAGTCAAGACTGGGATGCCGCGCTATGAAGGTCGAAGAGATGGGCCGATTCCAACGCCGTTGTTGGTTCATCTCTGGTAGCGAAGATTAAAGTCCGAGCCTAACAACTCCAAAAATGTTTAGTATATACTTCACTAATTAAGCTAGGGTCTAGTAACTCTTAGCCTTCAAGGATATCGATCTAGTAAGACCTGGTGTTGGTAAGTTAGTAGAGCTAGATAGTAATATAGCGGAGTGAGAGTGGGTGGCCTGTTGTGTATATCTTCATCCATCTCAGTTGGAGCTCTTGAAACTCTACGTTCAGTAGCAGACATAAAGTGGCACCAGGACATGAACACGAAACCCATCTCTCTATTAATAATTACTTGTTAATACTTTGATTGCGCTTCAACAGCGCACAGGAGTAGAGTTATATGCCTCTTACAGCCAAAAAACATCGTTAAAACTCCAACCCAATGCTTGCCCCCGATATTCTAATGCATATATTACAGCCTCAGTCTCCCTTCATCTGACCTTCCACCAAACAGACTCATGAACCCAGTGCTTCGATCCTCGTCCGCATCTTGACCCGGTGCCCTTCTGCTATGCCTAGCACCATCACCTTCTTCTTCATCGCCACCTAGCCACTTCGGCCGTGTGAATGTGAAGTCGTTGGTTTCAAAAGTGTTCTTCATTCTGCTGGCGAAGTTCTCGAAGAAATTGCCGGAGTCTTCGTCGTCGTCTTCGAGCACAGGGCGACGACGTTCGGGCCGTGTCATTCGTGGAGGGAGAGAGGTGCTTGGCTCGCCGTTTGCGGCAGCTGTTGCACTGGTCGAGAATGATGATGGATTGTCTGTGTACCGCTCGTTCGGCGGGGACGTTGTGCTGCGTTGTGAAAGGCCTAGTACGTTTCCACTTGCACCCTGGATCTCCCGCTCGATCAAGGCTCGTCCTTCACGCCACGATCCAGTGCCTGCATGTTGACCTTGAGCATCTTCCTCGTCTTCGTCCTCTAGTAGGTCTCCAAAACCGCAGATATTCTTGATTTTGCCGTACAGCCCAAAGGCCGTAGCAAAAACAGGTACAAGGATGAAGATTGGGAAGAATGCCGAAAATCCCTGACCAAGTGGTGTGAGCACAATGAGCCTGCCCAAGAACTTGTAAAACATAGTGCCCTTCCAGATATTCTTATCCGTCATGGTCAGGAAGTTGTAACTGAGTGGAACAGTCAACTTCGCAACTTGTAATCCATACCATGTTGCGCTCTCCTGATACGTGTTGCGCCGAACCAACGCCCTGTTGCCCCAGATCTTGATTTCGGTGAGACTGTAGAAAGCGCATATGCACATGTAGCACAGCCATGCGGTGGCGATTATTTGACTACTAAAACCGATAGACGAGCGACCTGAGTCATGTCGGTGTACAACGGTCCAGCCGATGATGGAGAGTTTAGGGCCGCCTAGGTCCTGCGCTTCGCGGACGCATTCAGACCAGACGATTGAGATGGATGCGAGGATGGTGATGAACCAGGTGATGTATGTTAGGACCGGGATGATGTGGACGTGGAGTTGGTAGCGCGTGTATGGCGTGAGAAGTGTGAAACGATCCAACCAGTTTTGCGATGGATGAAAGGAGGATGTCTTGAACTCGAGGCGTTGGCTTCCTTTCGAGTCGAGGATGGCTTGTGTCCGGACCGCCTTTCGGACGATATGGTCCCATTCCATCTCAAACCGAGTCTTTGCATGTCGGGCTCTCTTCAGCTTTCGCGTCAAGTCCGCGAGGTACCTCTCTGTGATGACAGGCGGTACAGTCGTCGTCCTTGTGCGTCCAACTATACCTGCCCTATTCTCCGGCAAGTTACCCTTCTCCGCCAACTCATCGATCCACTCTTGAAACTCCCTCGTAGTCGCGTTCTTCCTCTGCTTTAGCTGCACAACCTGGAACTCATACTGATCCAGCTTCTCCAGCGCCTCGGTCAACTTATCATGGACCTTTGGCGCCTGGCTCTGTATCCTCTTTAACCGTTCGCTAACACTCGCGTAGCGGAACAAACTTCGCGGAAACGCTACCAACCCATGGCCCATCAGGTATATGCCGAGAATGAGGCCCCATGTATACGCCAGCGCCATGACCAAGCCCTTGAACGTCTCCCTATCGAACCCATTCCACAATATGATGTATATTGACCCAACGATGCTGCACGCCAGCACGATGAGCCAGTACCGCCCATTGCTCCTCAGCGCATACATCATCCTACTTTTTGGCTCCCTGTATCCCGAATCACAGTATTCGCCCAACATGGGCAGAATCGCCCACGTCAGCGCGAAAGTCAGCCAGTACATGACGCGCCATGACTTGTACACGACTGTGTCACTAAGCCATATCCCCCTTGCGCCTGTGTCTGTTCCTGCGCTGCTCGCGAGATCGATGGGAAGCAGCACGACGATGCTGGCTGGAAGTGCTATCGCGAGGAAGACGGGTAGGACTACGTAGGCGGGGGTTGTGCGCAGGGGGAGATAGTAGCGCAGGAGCAGGAGGACGAGGGTGGTGATGGCGAGAAGGGAGAGGACGAAAAAGGCGGTTGAGCCGGCGGCAGAGAACGTCATCGCGTGTCGAGAGAGGCGCGCATACGATATAAAGGCTGACTGAACGCTTCAAAAAAGGACGATTTGTGAGGACTAGTGCCGAGCCGGCGAAGAAAGGTTGAAGTCAGAGAGACCGCTGATAAAGCTCGCCGAGTGGAATGTCGCGGAACGCTCAATCTCGGAATCGGAAGTCGCGCCAACCCGTTGCTTATATCCGCGCTGTCATGGTCCTACACCACTTCCAACCATGTTTCATGCCCTGCCGAGCTGTGCGAAGAGTGTCTGACGCTTTGCTGATTAGTTGTTTCTCTGCGAAAGAGCCTCAGATCTGGCTGTCGAGTCTGGAATCTGGACCCTGGAGTGCAGCATCAGCCGCAAGCACTCGTCATATAAACGGACTACGCCTGTTTTGCAGCGTAGCCCTGCTTCCACAATCGCCGGCTACCTCCGAGGGGCAAAACTACTCTAATGAGAATCATCTGCGAGCGATTGCATCATCTGCTGGCCACCTTCTCTGCTGCGGGGCGCGCATCTGCTAACGAATTCCAAATCTCGACCTACTATAGTCACTGTTCGCTGTAGTCTTCTTCTTCTAACTACACTCCACCGCTCAAAGCTCAACGCAACAACCTCAAGGTGAGTAGCTGCTCGACTGCTCTATATTTAACGTCTACTACGAGAAACAACTACTCACCCTTATACTAGCAACCAAAACACATACAAGGCCTCGGCCCCAACCGCAACCATATCCTTCCTCGCGCGCTTCTTCAGCCGCGCCCACAGCCCAGCCACCATGTCCGCCACCAAGACCAAGGTCCAGTCCATCATCGACGAGAACCCCGTCGCCGTCTTCTCAAAGTCCTACTGCCCGTACTGCAAGGCGGCCAAGCAGCTGCTTTCTGAGCAAGGCGCAAAGTTCTACGCCATCGAGTTGGACCAGGTTGGTATGTAGACACTGTTTTCTGGCTTTGTATAGAATAGAGGCTGACTGATGCATTTAGATGACGGATCGGCTATCCAGTCCACCCTCGGCGATATTACCGGCCAGACGACTGTCCCCAACATCTTCATCGCACAAAAGCACATTGGCGGAAACTCAGAGTTGCAGGCAAAGAAGAAGCAGCTGCCCAACCTGCTCCAGGATGCCGGTGCCATCTAAGCGAAACTGAATTCGTGGTAGCATAGCCCGCAGGGAATGGTTAGGACCTCGCTCTAGCAATTGGCATAGTTTTCAGCCAGACAAATCAATGAAACAACTTTGACAATCATATTGGCAAGCGCACAGTGAAAAAGTACAAGGACCCCGAGATAATGCATTTCAACGTAACATGATCATGATTCTAACAGGGTAATTTTGTTGGTTATGTTCGATGTCACCCAACTACTTTCCGCCCAGGCACTTAAAGCCTTCAATTCGCTACAATGCACCATGCCACCCTCAAAATGACCAAGCAAGCTAGGCTTCACTCTTCTCTACCTCTCTCCTCTATCCTAATCATTTCCCATGCACATGCGTGAACGTGAATGCCTATCGTGTCTTCATCCCATTCCAATAACGCGGCTTCTTGGATGCATCACAACCTCCTAGGTCTGCATTGCTTCCGTAAAACTCTGCGCTGCCGTGGTGGCAAAGTACCTGACATCCACATCATCGTCTTGCTGCAGCTTCTCCAGGTTCGGTAGGATGCTCTTGGTGATGAGATCGGTCGCCTTTTGGCAACCTTGGCCGGGTGTGCCTGCCTTGTCAAGAGCAATGACTGTGCCTTCCTCTGGTAGTTGCTTCAGTGTGGCAATCAATTGGCCGTATGACTTGGCTACATTGAAGCGAATGTTGGGGATGTCGTCGTTGACGAGCTTGTCCATCATGGGTAGGATAGATTGCTCGATAACGTCAAGGCTGAGCGCCGGTGCGAGGGTCTAGTTGACATTAGCAGGAGCACGAAAAGAATCGAGTTGAGCAACTCACAGAGACGGCGAAGCAGGTAGTCATCCGGTAGAGGTAGTTGGGATGCTGACCCATCGCCATAACCTTTGGTACGATGGCATCATTGGCCCATTCGACTCCGAATACCTCAGTAAGCTTCTTCAAGTTTTGGGTCGACGCTTCACGGATGGAGAAGACTGTGTCGCCAAGCCAGCTCATGCACAAGCTGCTGAGTTTCTCGTCGAAAAACTTAACACCTAGTTGCGATGCAAGAAGAGGAACGTATTCGATGATGGCCAAGCGCACGCGCCATTGCTTGTCTTCGGCGAGCTGCACGATTGCGGGAAGAAGAGACTGAGAAAGAAGTTCAATGCCAATAACTAATTTACGTCAGCCGTTGCGTGCTTGAGCGAAAAAGTCACTAGACCTACCATTGTTGACAGACTCGAGCTTCGAGATGATGTTCAATCTTACGTCAGGGAACTCGTCCTTGAGCATTTGTAGGAACATCGGAAGAAGGTGTGAGATGGTCCTAGTAAAGATTAGTATGAAGGTACATGGTCACGTGTGGGGACCAACGTACTCATCTTTCCCGAGAATTGGGGCCAGCCCACTGATCTGGGTGCCAAGAGCGGCGCGGACATGTTGTGATTGATCAGAGACCAGCTCCTCTATGCTGGGCATGACGTCGTGTAGAAGTGTCTCGCGTTCAAGAAGCGCGCAGAAGCCTTGCGATGACCGTTAGTGAAGCACATAGACGCTAACGTGTGGCAACGTACCTGGGATCTGCCCCGCGATCGCACTGCGAACCTCCGCCTCTGTGTCTTTGAGCAGCTTTACGAACGCTGGAACAAGGTCTCGGTTGACGACCTCCTCATCGACCGCTTTTGCAATCTGGGCCGCGTTAGCTTGGGTGCTGTCTTGTAAAGATAATGAAGCTACCTTTTCATATCGGTCTGCAACCATATATCGCACCCTCCAGCTCTTGTCCTCGAACAGACTCCGCAGCGCAGTCAACAAGACGCCGTGACTCGACTGCTGCTCCTTGGGCACTGCCTCTGCAATAGCAATAAGGATGTCGACTGTCAGGAGCCGGACGCTATCCTGGTCATCCGCGGCAAGGTGCTGGAAAAGCGGGATCATTTCTTCAATGACAATCGATGGCGGCATAGCCTTGATGAACTTTGCGAGGTTATTCGCTGCCTGTCTCCGGACCATCGGTGTGTCATCGTGCACGAGCTGGCCGTAGTGCTGTCGGAGCGCTTCTTGCGAGGGGGGTGTAGCTCGGGTGTACGGCGTCTGATACAGACCAGTCGCGGAGATTTTGGAGGTGAACCAGTCGGCTTTAGACAGGCGCAGGACGAGGGGAATGAAGGCATCTTCGATCTGCTGCTGCGACAGTTCCTCGCAGATCTTGTTCAGTGACTCGACAGCCTGTGCATGTTAGCCAAGTAACCAAACCGGCAAGGTTGTGTTCGCACCTTCTCCCGAACGAGAGGCTCTTCTATCGCCGCAAGATTCTCGAGGGGTGAGAGGAGCACATGCGCGTGCTCTGGGCCTCCGACATACTCGACGAACTTGCCCAGCTCGTCGCTTAGTGCCGTTAGCACCTCGTCTTCATCCTCGACCGACTCTAGATAGTACGTTAGCCTGGGGATGCTACAAGCTGGTGTCTAGGCAGCGCCTCACCGTCTAGAAAGGGTATGAGCTCCTCCCGTGTCCGCTCGGCGCCCAACGCCAGAGCGATCGTGTTGAGGCGATGGATTGCGTTCAATCGCAGGATGACATCGTCGTGCTTCAATTCATCAATGAGAACGGCGATTGGGTAGAGCTCATCGTTTTGATTTGCGTCCATGGTGGAGGGACTGTGTCGGGTCACGGAGAGGCGTGGTCGAGGCTACAGGCTGCCCACAGTGGATCCAAAGGGCAAGGAGCAAGTAGCAATGCTAGGAGAGAAAGCTGATGTTGGCTTGCCCTGGAAAGTTGTGAGCCTGTGATTGCGGGGTGGGGAGGTCGAGCGCGGCGTCGTATTGACGTACCTGCTGTTGGCGAGGAAGCGAAGAGGGGTGTCAGGGCACCTGGGGCGACAGCAGTTCGGGAGGTTTGAGTAGGGAGAATATTAGATGAAAGAGCTGTCTGCCCTCGATTCGGTGGTTTCTGGTGCCGGGATGGGGTCGTGTCTTGGTTAATGTCGTAGTGGTATAGTTCATGGGCAATAGTGGGCTGCGCTTGCCAGTGCGAGTTCTGGCGATTCGAAGTAGCGTCCAAGCTTTTCAGCCACACGCCCCGCCACACCATCTGATCCCACAAAACATGTCTTGCTCCGCTATCTATCAGTCATCCTTCCTCTGGGTTGCTTCTGGCCCCATTCAAACATGAAGAGTCCCAGTTTCTGCCAGTTTTAAATGCTTGCTTTTGCCCGCTAGCTTCACGTCAGTCTCGTCACCCACCCCGCTCTTAGCGTGAGGCACCCACGAGAAACAACAGAAGCAATTGTTACGCGAAAAGATTCGTGAATCTCCCCACTGTATATATAATACCCAGGAATTGCCAAGCTCCAATCAACCCCAAGCTCATTCTGACATGGACAGCGGTCAAGCTGTGGGCCGAGTGGAGGCGGAGGAGGAGGAGACTGCACCAAGACCCAACGCCCCGGAAACAGAACCACTTCTCGGACAACGTACCTCCTCAGTGTCACATACTACTCAGCAACTACCAAAACAACTCACCACACGGCATGCGTTCGCTGTACTTGTCACACTCCAGATAGGTTCAGGCATCTTTGCTTCACCAGCCCAGGTCGATAGCCATGTACCATCACCCGGTGCCGCCCTGCTTGTCTGGGTTCTTGGGGGCTTGCTTTCATGGGCAGGAGCCGCATCTTTTGCGGAGTTGGGTGCTTCTTTGCCTCTTAATGGAGGAATGCAAGAGTATTTGCGGCATATTTTCGGCGACACGGCTGCTTTCCTCATGGCTTGGATCTATATTATGGCAGTTAAGCCGTCCTCTATGGCTATTCAAAGCATCGTCATCGCAGAATCGATAGGATCAGTCAGTTCTGTTAGTGCCCACGGCCCAATGGACGCGGGCCTTCTCAAGCTTATTGCGGCTTTCGCCTTCGTGTCCATGGTATTGCTCAATTCTATCAACACCAAGTTTACGATGCGGTTAAGCGAGTCCTTCACCATCTTCAAGCTTTCCACCGTGGGTTTAATAGTCATTGGTGGGATCGTTGCAGTCATAGCCCACATCGCAAACCCCCATTCTTCTCTTTCGGGGTCCAGTGACTGGTACTCCAAAAACTGGTTCCAAACTCGATCAACCGTGTCAAATGGTCATACGGTCGACTGGACATCAATGAACGCATGGGATCGCTACGGAAATTACTGTGCGGCCATATACGGAGGGTTATGGGCGTATGACGGTTGGGACAATGTGAGTTTTATTGATGCATGCCAGAGTCATACAGTCTCGCTCAGTCTTAGCTACTAGCGGTGTTTGATTTCAACTAACAAAGCCACTTAGGCCAACATCGTTGCGAGCGAAATTCGGGATCCTGGCCGTGCCCTTCCAAAGGCCATCAAGGCTGCTATGGTCGTCGTGCTCGTTTCATTTGAGCTTGTCAACGTTGCTTATTACATCCTCGTGCCGTGGGACAAACTGAGTACAAATAACGCTGTGGCCGTTGCTGCTGCGACTTCTCTATTAGGTCGGCCTGCGGGCATTGCTGTTACGATCCTAGTTGCCGTTTCGTGTGCTGGCTCTATCACAAGCAATGTCTTTTCTGTGGGTAGACTGACATTAGCCGCATCCCAGCGACACTATATGCCAGCAATCTTCAGCAAGCGAGGACTGCCGATGTTTTGGCGGTCAGAAGAAGACGGCGATTGTGCATCTTCAAGCTTCGATGCTCCAATGTAAGTATCCTGAGACGCATCATTAACCTAGCTAATCTAGACTTCAGATATGCGAACCTGTTGGCTCTCATCGTGACCCTAGTCTACATTCTCACGGGAAGTTTCCGAGCGCTACTGACTTTTGTTGGTATGGCTGAATGGGTCTTCTATGTAAGCACTGTCATTGGCCTGCTCATACTCCGCCGTCGAGAACCTCAGCTCGATCGGCCATACCGCACCAACATTGCCCTCCCCATCACATTCGTAGTTGTCGGCACGCTAGTCATAATACGTTCTGCCATGTTTGCACCGGTTCAAAGCGGAGTGCTTGCATGTCTGTTGGTGGCTGGTACCATAATAAGCAAGCTTCGTAGCAGGTGAAGGCAAGAGGAGAAGCGGAAATAGACGCAACGCACTGCATTGACATATCGAATTATGGTCTTACAAGCTGTTCGCAATGGTCCTAGCTATCATTATTGATTTACGAGGAGGGTATCGCTATGCTCATCGAAGCCATCAGTCGTCCTCAAGATCCTCACCACCTATCAGTATGCTCACCATCACCATCGTTCAACAGCCGCGCTAATCTTCGGTATTTCCGTTTTGACAAGCACAACTCCCTCCTCACTAGCATCTGAGAGGCTTCTATGCGCTTTCGTCACCGCAAGCACCGATTGCTCCCTTCTGACCCACATCCGACTAAACCTCTTATTTCCCCAACTCCCGGATTGTTTCGTTCTTGTACTACCAGTTAGCACTTTCTCAAAAATCGTACCCGCGAACATTTTTTTCAATAGTGGCTTCAGCGTTGGCATGACACCTGCTACTAAATAGATACCTGACTCGGCAATAGTCCAGCATAGTGGCTTCACGTTCTCGTAGGTGATATCGTTGAAATTCGTGACTTGAAGGAAAGACTGGAAACGCATGATCGCTGCTACAATGCCAAGTATGCATACGCTAAACACGACTCCAAGACCAACCTTGACCGGACGGGAGACGTTCAGCTTAGCCAAAGCGGGGACGGGGATGCCGACAATGATCAGTGTTGTGAAGACATTCGGGATGCCCAGAAATCGCCAAAGTGAGAGTCCAGGAATCGCGCAACTACCCGGACTCATAGGATTGGGATTCCACGTCTTGGAGAAAGGGCGGCAGTTAATGAATGGAATCAGGATCTGGGCGATCATGATTGAAACGACGAGGCTGAAGGTTGTTCGAATGGTAATGCGGTACCACTTGGATGTCTGACCGAAGATTCGTTGGAACATACATAGTACCCCGAGTTTTGAAAGCGAGGTTGTAAGCGGACAGACAATTTGCAGCGCTGTGCTGAGCTTTAACGCGTTCGTGATTGTCGGTGGTTGTAAGGTTATGAGATGGTGTCCTGCACCGCCGATTTCTACCAACACTATTCATGTATCGTCAGCATGTGATAGAGGGTGCGAGGTGGTTGCTAGTGACGTACACAAAGCAATTGTGATTTTTAACACACAGACAATATACGTCAGTGTCATGAGGATTTCCATCGACAAATTCGCTCTCTCGCCTTTCGCTAGGTATCGGGAAGTGTATAACAAGGCTATGAACACCGTCTCTAGGACGAGGAAAGCGATGCTAGTTCCTAGCAGCGGTGCACTGTTGTCCTCGGCAATATACTCCCGCGACAACCCGGTAGCGTTCATTGTGGCACTCATCTTTTCGATTAGAGGTTGAGTTGTAGGACTGTAGTGGAGGTCCATACCGATCGCTTTTAAGGTAATTCCCATCGTTCTACCAAACGGCCGGTACTTCACTACCAAGACGAGCGATTGCAACGTACTCTAGCAGTTCATCAAGATCCTTTCAGTTGGGGAGGGCCAAACTCGTCGGACCCGGTCGTTAATATACGTGCATTTTTAGTACTGTAGTGCCAGGGGGCAGCAAGGGGTTCCTCGTGCTACCAAGATTGGGCAGTCATCATGTGCACAGCGTGCAACAAGTGCCGCGACACAAAACGGAGTTTGGGAACTGATGTGGCGCACAAGTTCGTGCATGTGTCTACATGGGCGACGGAAATAGCTCCTGGAATCTATGCTGAACTATTAAGCCTAGTAGTAGACATGCCCACGGTAGTGATGTAGTCCAATGTCGGAGGATTCAGTAGCCATACTCCACAATGAGATGTAACCGCTAGCATGGGTAGAAAAGTGCTACAAGCGATATTAGGGGACTCTAAGCGCTTGTGTTTACGACGAGAACTGTACCTGTGTACGCGTGGTGCCATTAGTTGTACCACCTGCTTCTCCTCGGCCTCACCGTCCACTATAATCCCGGAAGCGCAAAGCCAAATACATGTTTCTATCAAACACCTAGCGATGTTGCACGCAAATTCATCCAAAGTACTCGGCAGGCTGGGATGTAGGCACCAAGAAATTTGGGGGTAGATCGTTGCATGGAGATAAGCTATTCTGGGTCGAATTGAGGGTGAAGTGCATGGCGCTACGGGGATCAAAGCGGGCTTTAATGTTCGTGTAACTATTTATCTCGTAGCAGTGTGAGGGAGGGGCAAAAGCTTGAACTCAGATGGAGGGCGCAGCAGACGTTCAGGGAGAACAAAAAAGATGGAATACGTGCTCGGGATGTACCTCAACCTCAACATCATGGCCAACTGTAAGCATCAAATGTAAAGTCCTAATAGGATATGATATGGCCCCTCCCGCTGACGCTTTTCGGGGATTAACATCGTTGCGGTTGAATGATGCAGGAACCGGAACTGTGCCGTCGATGACTGATAGCGTTTCATGTTTAGTCTAGCGTGAAATTATATCTGACATCTTGGAGACGATGTAGGAGATGCTGGGGGAGAAGTGGCTGATGTTTAAGGCGACGGGGTCCTGGGTGTGGGGACGTGGAGGCGAACGGGAAGCGGAGGCCGCCGCGTGAGGTCCCCACTCCTCCCTCTCTACCTTAACCTCACCCCTTTTTATGTCGCCTGGACCGGTGGAGACGCGCACCTCCGTTCTAGCAGGTAGTGTCAGTTGATCGTTTCATCGCCCATTTCATACTCCTAGCAAATCACGGCATCTACCATTGAGGCATTTGAGAACCCAGCCTGTAGCACCGCAACGTTAGTGTTTGCCTTCTCTTGTCTGCTAATCTGTTGGTATTCCTTTCATGGTTCTCGTCCCTCTAGAAGTTGCACGATCGCCCGCGCTGTTACATTCAGCTGAAGACAGGGGCGTATGCCACGCCAATCGACGCAGACATCGTTCTTCTTTCGCCCCCGGCTAATCTCACCCCTGTGCGCCACCACGTCCTCTCGATCGTTTATCTGCTATTTGATAGAACCCTGCGATACCTTGGAAAACTTGAAACCCCCCGGTATTACAGTAACCTAAACAACTCAACATTCCACCACTTTCAAGCATGCGAGTAGTTCTCTTCTCTTGCGCCACTATCTCTTTCACGCTAATGAAACAGGCAAGCAAACGGTCGTGCACTAGCCCACAGCCTACCGGCGGGCGAGACGGGCCTTTTATCTCTTTACACGTGCAATGGTTAATCTTACATATCAGCAAACATCAACTAGTTAACCTGTATCTTCGAATGACCAACTTCATCATATTTCATCATTCCAATTACCAGCTTCTGCTGCAGTTACCTCAATCTCATTCTAGCCATGTCAGGAGCCTTGGAAATAGCAGCAGGCGCTTTCGCAGTTGTGGGAGCGGCGGATGTTGCTGTACGAACAGGCCGCGAGGTTTACGGATTCCTACGCAACCTAGTTGACGCACCAGATGATATCAACAGATTATGTGATTTGATCAGAGACACCACAATGCTAGCTGAAACGTCGAAGCAGTGTCTGGAAAGACTCAGCAAGCCTAAATCACTAGCAAACACCTATGGAGCAATTTCTTCGCTTGACGTTTCTCTCAGAGGCATCAACCGAGAACTGCAGAGCCTCAGACTGTTAAGTTCGAGATTCAAAGGCACGACGAAGACTTGGGGCAGAGTCAGATATGTTCTGGATGAGCGCAAGACGGGCAAAGCTTTGGAAAATCTAGAGCGCTCGAAGGTTCTTCTCGGAAATGCGCTGATTCTGGCTTGCAGGTATACCCCATTTTCCTTTTATGAGTATATCTTGCGGATGAAACGAGGAGGCTGGTTGCCAGCTTCCGGGTCAGGGAACCAATGCTTACGATGAATTTTTTAGAGAGCTGTCCGCAATCGACCTTCTACACACTGAAAGCCTCATACGCCATTGCTACGAAGAACATGGCCTGCAAATTCACACCCTGGCCGAAGCTTTATCAACGCAACTGGATGATCACCGGCATGAACTCGATTTTACGCTCAAGGAACAACATCAACAAACCCTACAGAAGCATAAAACTCATTCAAAAGCGTTTTCCTCTGTTCATCGGAGTCACGCTAAGATTCTCTCCCGTCAAGCCTGTTTAGTTCGTTCCTCAACGCACATACACAAGCAGACTGCCAATATCTCAAGGAATCTTACTGAAACGCAGCGGATAGTCACCAAGGAGCATCAGAAGACGAGAGAGATCCTTTCCGCGGATTTCGAGAATATCATTTCTAATAAGATCGAAGCATTGAGCAAACCATCCGCGAAGCGCTACAAGACAGCTTTCTCTCCAAATCGAGACATTCACTTCTTTGGCGAAAGGCGTGACATGATCATGGCTTATCTGCTTCTTGTCAAATCCCATATAGAAGCCATCATACAACATATAATGGCACACGCGGGTGGAGAGCTCTCACTACAGGACATTGCCCGGCTGCAATACGAATTCGAACACCTCATTGCTTCGGCTGCGCAAGAAGAGGCGGCAAGTCATTTTGCGTCCACGTCCACTTCCTTAGATCAGTGGTTTTACTCTGAGGATATCGCCCGATCTTCAGACAGGGCAAGGAAACGAACATCAAAGAGCCCAAATGATGGAACAAATGCAGCGAGTGTCAAAGAGGAGGCGTACACTTACCTACATGCGCACAGGCGTCTAGAAAGTACACAGCAGTCCTTCTCTCACGACACACCTTTTGGAAATCTACGAATTCATGTCCCCCGGCAAGCGGGTACACCAAAGGTTAGGCAGGTCAGCGATGAAGTCGGATTCTCATTTACATGTGGAATCGGCCAGTCGATTCATGCCATAAGCGCCCGTTTCCTGCGCGATCTATCCAATGGCCGAAGCCCGAAACTGTATACTCAGTTGAATGTGTTCACGGTATCGGAATCTGATGAACGATACAATGACCTGTTCGCCACGGGCACTATTGAAGAGATCGATGCTGCACTACGACAAGGTGTCATATCCCCTTATCACATCAATCGAGAAGGAAGGAACATGTGTCTTTATGTAAGCTTGGACTTTCAACTTAGTGCGCTATTAGCAAACTGTGCCAGTCTCTGACCAATATGTCTAGTTCGCCGCAGAAAACGCCCGGACAGACTTGTTCGATTATCTCGAAAGCCAAGGAATTGGAGTGTCGGCTCTCAAGTTTGTTTTCCATAGCCACCCTTTTATGTGCGAATTCTTACAACAAGTTAGTCACGATTTCAGCGTTGTCGCAGGCCTTTTTAAGCGCTCAATGTCGAACGACGGCAGACTCAAGCTGGAAGCATCGGTCGACCACGTCCTTGAAAAGGTCTATGACTCGTCATCCTTCCTCTTCGAAACAGCGATGAACATGCTACTTTGGGATTACTACAAAGGCCGGCCTCGGTCCCTGTTGAAAGAGCACTTGCATAGGCTGGAGAAGGAGAACCTCATACCAAATCCGACTTCCAGTACCATTGATGATTCACCGTGGGACTGGGAGTCTGTATCTCGCACCATCCGCCCGCTAATGGGAAGCGGTGCATACGTGGATTCAACGGGCAGTCTTGGACGCAATAGAATCCAGCGTTGTTTCAGTGTACTCGCGTTAGACGATAGTCCCGGCGATCCGAAGGCAGTCGAGGAGATTGCGAATGCATTGATCGGAGCGGGAGTTGACATACACCATCGCGATAACGATGGCCTGACGCCATCCATGTATGCGAGAAAACACGGTCGCTGGAGCGAATGGCTGATAGCGCTGGAACGCAACGGAAAGTTTATTGAAGATGTGGTACGGGAAGAGAAGTCGGAATGGCTACTGGAGGAGAATTGGCAGGAAACATGGAAGCAGAAGTACGCTCGATCATAGGTTACTTGGAGGTGAATTTGGTCAATGCTAGATGCTGAAGCTAAAACACCTTCGACATGTTTTCGCTTCGTGCACAAAGAAATAAGTGAGTAAGGCATCCTTGATACCCGTATATAACACTCTTTAGCTACCATATATGACATCCGTGTTCTAAAGGTCAACTCCTTTTGTCGAATTCGATGACTTACTTTAGTTTCTGACTCCTCATCTCTTACCTTCACCTTTTTCCCTGCCTCTCTTTGACTTTCCGCGGTTTCTTCCAATAACTCATCCCTACCACGATCTTCCCGCTACATTAGCTCTAATGTCCCACTCACCAAACCGATACTTGATGACACTCGGCAGACACTTCCTATTGTCAGGCTGATTGGAAAGGAGGGCAACTGCATTGATCTTGTTGATCTGCATCTCGTATTCTCCTGCGAGGGACAAGTTCCTTATTTACTTTCCCCCTTGCTCTGTGTCCACATGGGCTGTGCAGATGCGGGTGTCAAGGCTCACATAGAAAAAGGGTCACGCAGAATGCTCAAAGTAATTTTATCAACACGAAGATCCGCAGACGCGGTCTTGGAAGGGTTGCCATGCGTTTTTCAGCTGTGTGACCTCATGCACGACCCTGGCATATGCATAGCGGGTAGTGTTGACACTAGTTTATCGAAATAGCTTTTTCTGGTACAGGACCCATCTGCACAGCCTGCTCGCTACAAGACAGTGAAGAGAAGACAGTATTGTGACGACGTTGGACGCCGGTTTAATTGAGGACATGGCGTCGCTAAAAATGGCACCGCATGCAGAGGGGCTCTGCTATCGCTGTTCTCGATTCCTTCTACGGCTGGGGTGTTAATGCACTTACTCATCGGTCCGAAGCTTTATTGGATGTGGCAGCCACCATAAGCGCCCGCGTTGCGTTTTGAATGAAAAGATTTATGCATTTCCCCATCAATCTCATACGATTGTGAATGAAAGAGCATGAATGACGTGGAGGCGGCGCTTCTTGAGACAGGGGCAAGGCGATCTTGCTGAGAGTGAATAGAAGTCGGGGTAGCTTGGGCAAAGCCTAGTACTACGCAGGGCAGTGTGCATACTGCAGGTGCAGAAACCTAGGGTTGGGTTTTTCGGCATGCTGCTCGCCAGGAAGTTGTGTGTGCTGCTCGGTGACATCAAGCTTGAGCTCGGTGAAGCGCGCAATACGAAGGAGCCAGCAGAGCGGTCTAACGTCAGCCACGACACCGTTCAATGCATCTGTTGCGCCGTCGAGTTGCTCGATTGGATGGACTTGTAGACGCTCACTGCTTTCTCGCGTGCTGCACAGGGATCGATAAGTCGGGTCGATTCTCCTCGCGTCCGCAAAAGGACATTTTGGCAGGTTGGCTTACCGAAGGAGGAACGTGGCTATTCGCAGAAGGCTACCTTGGTGCACAATGGCTGTATTGACAGTGTTGTTTTTGGGTGCGCGCCGACGTCAGGCATGGAGCAGATGGTTGAGGAGCTGTGGTGGTGGGCATTGGCGGCAGGCTGGAGACGCAGACCAACCGCATGCACCCAGCGCATATGCTCAGGCCCCCGAATGAGAAGTGTTTACGTTGCCAGCGGATCTCGAAACAAGGTTTGGAGCCAGTCATAAAGACTGGTAGGCTCAGCGCTTGTGCAGGAGTGCTCGACGAAGTGCCTTTCATCCTATCTTGTGGCCTCATGCTCCCCAGTACTCTCTGGCCAGCTCTCCTCACACTCGCTGCCCCCCCATCTTTTCCATCCAACACATTCACCGGGCTGTCTATTGGTCGCGGCACCGGGTTGATTCCGCCTACACGCAAACGAGGGCGGGAGTTCAGTCCAAACAAATATTCCTCGAACCGCTGGAGCGTATTCCTCTTCTCGGCAAGCCGTGCGCGCATGCGCCTCACCTCTCTGTCCCCACCGCCGTCGTGAGCCCCTCGGACCCTCTCGAGTCCTGAAACACGCTCGACCCGCCGCCATCCAGCCCACAGCAGCGCGGCCTTCCACCGTCCTCCGTCCCGTCTGCCGTCCTGATCTCGAGCACTCGAGCAAGACGAGTCTCTTTTGTACCTTCCTAATAGCGCCCTTCCCGCACCAAGTCGCGCCTGCTGCCTGTCGAGCCGCACCTGCCTCCTGGGACTCGTGGCTGTCAACGTCACTCCTCCCGCCTAAACTCGAGCAACCTCTTGTGCTCTCCAAGCTCATCCCCCACCCACCACCATTCTTCTTCACACCACCCTTTCTTCGCCCAAGAGTCGGTCAGCATACTTCGGCTGACGGCAGCGACCCGTACTGTTGGGACCAAGCATCTGCGACGTGCAACCTCACACCTTCCATAGACCACCCCTCATTCTTCCAACCGTGCAAGACGAGCCTAGAGCTTAATCACGCTTTGGGCGACTAGTCGATCGCTACACCGTTCAGCCCGCAGAGGACGCCCCACGCACCAGGGCCCTGACCGCTAGAGCTGGAGACGGCATCATAGCGAGGGCTGCTACTGTACCCTTGGGTGTAGATATACGGTAGATGCTGCCGTTCAACAACACATCGTCGTCGAGTCCACAGCCCACCATGTCGTCCCCCGCGCCCCTCCTTCGACCCCCAATCCCCGGCGGTCGCGCCCAAAGTGGAAGTCGCCCACCACGCCTCGGCCTCTCTATCCCCGCCTCACCCAGCGCGAGACCCGTTGTGAATGGCGCGAGCGATGCGGCGGTACCCACCCTCGGCCGCCCTATGCCACCACAGCTGCGGCTTGCGACACCCATGGGCTCCAACACCACACCACATGAAGGCCGACAGAACCCACGGGGGCTACCCCCGCTACAGATTGGCACAGGGCTCTCGGCAGGAGGCTCGAGCGATGCGAGCGCACACTCGAGATCAGGGAGCTTTGGCGAGGTACAGGCAAATGGGTCAGCCTCATCATATCAGGCTGCCTTGGGCTTTCCTGGCCTACAAAAAGGCTCAGATCCTATTTCAGCCATATCTCAAGGGGGAAGTGAAGGCGCCCCGTCGATGGAGAGGGAGAACAGTAGCCAGCCAATACCAGATTTGGAGGCCCTGGCTCTAGAGAAGGGACGACCGCTAGAAGTCGACGATCTCGATGACGCTGGATGGAGGGCGGCGAGCGCCAAAGGCATGATAGAAGAGAAGGGGAGCCTGGGCGAAGGTGCTGGCGGTGCTGTCACAAAATGCATACTGAAAGGTGGAAAGACCACATTCGCGTTAAAGGTGCGTACCATGCATTACCTCACAATATATCGGCTAATTTCCCGCTACAGATTATCACAACCAACCCTGATCCAGACGTCAAGAAACAAATTGTGCGAGAACTGTCATTCAACAAGAACTGTGCCAGTGACCACATCTGCCGGTACTATGGCGCTTTTATGGATGACAGCACAGGCACCATCAGTATCGCTATGGAGTTCTGCGAAGGTGGTTCCCTTGATGCAGTCTATCGGGAGGTCAAGAAATTGGGAGGCCGCACTGGTGAGAAGGTTCTTGGTAAGGTCGCGGAAGGCGTCTTGAACGGATTGACCTACCTCCACTCCCATCGTATCATTCACCGAGATATTAAGCCTAGCAACATTCTGTTGTGTCGAAACGGCCAAGTGAAGCTGTGCGATTTCGGTGTGTCCGGAGAGTTTGGAACCAAAGGAGACGCCAATACCTTCATTGGCACATCATATTACATGGCACCCGAACGCATCACCGGACAGAGCTACACCATCACCAGTGACGTGTGGAGCTTGGGCGTGACTTTGCTTGAAGTCGCACAACATCGCTTCCCTTTCCCAGCAGACGGAACAGAGATGAACCCCCGTGCTGGTCTCATCGACCTGCTGACCTACATTGTCCGACAACCTATCCCAAAGCTCAAGGACGAGCCAGAGAGCGGCATCAAGTGGACAGAGAACTTCAAGTACTTCATTGAGTGCTGGTACGTACGATCATCCTGCCGAAGAAGATGCATGCTAACATTGAACAGTCTTGAGAAAGACTGTCCTCGACGAGCTACGCCCTGGCGCATGCTTGAGCATCCCTGGATGATCGAGATGAAGTCCAAGAAGGTCAACATGGGCCACTTCCTCAAGCAGGTGTGGGACTGGAAGGAGTAAGCCTGCACTTACTACTCTTCGATTTATTTTGACCAGAAACGAAACATTCCACGCAAATATTCTTATTCTCAGTTTTGATACCTAGGGTCATGTGCTGGACATTGACTGAGGGCTGGCCGCAACTTCTTACTTGACGGCAATCATCGAGGTGGCAGATGAAAGCGAAAGTTTTTTTTAGCAAGCATGCATTGGGAATGTCTGTTCGGGGTGACGGCATGGGCTATGATCTATGAGGCTTTGGATCTTGATTAAGGCCGTTCAAACGGGACTCAATTCGAAGAAGGTGGATGAGGCATTGGCAGGCGTTTGAGCTATGGGTTTGGTGTTGCATGTAGCGACATAATTGTGAACACGATACCTTACAATATAAGTCGATCCGATACCATCTGAGTAAGGCAGCATGCTCAAGCAGAAAAATAAAAATTGCGCGCGATGAGAGACACTCCCTCGAAGACATCCATAGAACGATGGTTTCTTGGGAGAGTACTCGTTTTGGACTAGCGCCAAACGCGGCCCGGTAGAACTTTCGAATTCGGAGTCACACCAAATAATTTACTCCGCCTCAGTCTCACCCAAGGAGCCGATTGAGAGCATTATAGAGCTTCGAAAGCCTTCGCATATACGGCGACCGCTTCTCCCAAAACCTAAACGCAATCGACCGCCTACCGCTCGCTGAGCATCCCCAACTACCCCTCCAAATACCCCTCCATACCACGCGAGTGCGCAATCGAGCTGAACAGTCGCCATAAGCACAGTCCAAAATGCCGACCATAGGAGTTAACAAGGCGGCCCTCTTCAAGGAGCTAGGGCGCGAGTACACAACGGAGGAATTCGACGAGCTATGTTTCGAGTTCGGCATCGAGTTGGACGAAGACACGAGTCAGAGCACGAAACCAGAAGACCTGGCGCAACCACCACAGTTGAAGATTGAGATACCTGCAAACCGATATGATATGCTATGTTTCGAGGGAATTGCTCTAAACCTTAAAGTCTTCTTGGATCAGCAGAAGCTGCCCAAGTGGACATTGAGCGCGCCGAAAGATGCGGAGTCGCAGGTACTCGAGATCAAGCCAGAGGTAGGTTAATTACAGTACCAAAGACATAAGGGTGTGTGGAGATGATCTGACAGTATACAGACAGCGCAAATACGCCCTCTCTGCTCTGCCTTCATATTACGGAACATCAAATTCACCCAAGAACGCTACGACTCCTTCATCGCGCTACAGGACAAGCTCCACGCCAACCTCGCTCGGCAGCGGACATTGGTTGCAATAGGCACGCACGATCTTGATAGTGGGTAAACTCATGGCAAAGCTTAAATATTAAGCTAACAGAAGGCAGCGATCAAGGGTCCCTTCTCTTATGAAGCGTTAGCACCGGAACAGATCAAGTTTGCGCCTCTAAACCAGACCAAAGAGATGGATGGCAAGGAGCTTATGCAATTCTATGAGGTAGGCGACAAAACGCGCTTTGTTGCATCATTATTCTAATATTGAGTAGAAAGACAAACATCTCGGCCGGTTCTTACACATCGTCAAAGACTCACCAGTATACCCCGTCATCTACGACTCTAATCGGACTGTCGTCTCGCTGCCCCCCATCATCAACAGTAATCACAGCAAAATCACGCTGAACACGACGAATGTCTTCATCGAGATGACCGCAACAGACAAGACAAAACTTGAGGTAGTCAGCCACATGCTCGTCGCTATGTTCGGCGAGTATGCGGAGTCAATAGAACCGATCAAGATCATTTCATCTCATAACGGCGAATCGAGAGAGACACCAGACCTTTCACCAAGGAAGATGCAGGCCGAGGTCGACTATCTGAACCAGGTAACGGGCCTAGACCTGTCCCCAAAAGAGATCTCAAAACTGCTCTCACGCATGGGTCACGACGTTTCGCCATCGAAGTCAGACAAGAACATTCTGGACGTTTCGGTACCCATCACGAGAGCGGATATCCTTCACCAAGCAGATATCATGGAGGACTACGCCATCGCATACGGCTTCAACAAGCTTCCTCGCGTATACCCAAACAAGACCGCCGCCGTCTCAGCTCCACTACCGATCAATAAGCTCAGCGATATCATACGTCTGGAGTCAGCAGCTTCAGGATGGACAGAAGTCCTGCCTCTCATTCTCTGCTCACACGAAGAGAACTTCGAGTTCCTGAACCGGAAAGACGACGGTAACACAGCTATTAAGCTTGCAAATCCGAAGACGGCAGAATATCAGCTCGTACGCACGTCGTTGTTACCCGGCCTTTTGAAGACCATCAACTCGAACAAGCACCACTCCGTGCCGATGAAGATCTTTGAAGTAAGCGACATCGGTCTCATCGATATGGAGCAGGAGCGAAAGAGCAGAAACGAGCGACATTTCGCAGCGGCCTTCATGGGCAAGACGAGTGGATTCGAGCAGGTGCACGGTCTGCTCGATAGGCTAATGCTGATGCTCCGATCGTTGTTCCTGACAAGGGAAGATGGCTTGAAGAATGAGAAGCTGGAGGGTTACTGGATCGAGGAGGTTGATGGTAAGTCGTATTGTGTCGTTAGCGTAGGGATAAGTGACTAATGAGGCCAGATCCAACGTTCCTGGCGGGTCACTCAGCGGCTATCAAGCTCAACCTTGGTGGCAAGAACCATACAATTGGTGTTTTCGGTATTCTACATCCAAGTGTGTTGCAGAAGTTCGAGCTGCCGTAAGTTCAACTCAAGCTCCGTGTTTTGTTTGTACTAACTTATCATTTTAGATACCCTGTCAGCACCGTTGAGTTCAACCTGGAGGTCTTCTTGTAGTCAAAACTTTCTTGGCTAAACCCGTTCGCGAGTATCAACGACAGAGTATTGAAATCAGCGCGATAGATACCTAGACCAGATATACGAATCAAAACGATACATGATCAACCGCTATTCAGTTTTCACAACATTAAGTACATTAAGTTATACTAGTGGACGATGGTTGGTCCCTGTCAGACTGTAGATGCTCACCTATTCTTCCTAATATACCCACAGGTACCGGGCCAACAAAGATACAAACCCTCGATAGATGCTGATCTGTTTCGAATACCTCTATTTCTTCATCTGGAGGCGACCTCGGTCCCGAACGCACACTCTCACGGAATGAACAGGTGAGAGGTGATGGTTTTCGCCCTGTACTCTGTATTTCTTTCTTTTTTGAAAAGTTAAGTCAACGTTGGCAAGAGCGGATTATACAACGTCTACCCAAGTATACAGCATTTGTACCTTAGACAGGCACAAGCTTGAACACACACATAGGCTGACCGTCAAGATGCATACTGACCGGATTGCTGTCAAAACAGAGGCTGATCTGACCTTCCAACCACGCTAGCAATCATGACATCGGTCTCAACTTCTATGCTATCAATCAGCTTGTAGCTAGCTGAGCAATCGAAGCAGAACATATATCCGTTCCAGCCTACGAGGCTTCCTTTTTGCGCCAACACGCGGTTCGCCAACTTTATACAGGCATCGATATTTTCTTCGATTCGATATGGGGTTTTCCTGCATGAAAACCGGGCCGACTAACCACACCCGAAACGTGTGGCGGGGAAGCTGCTTAGTTGACTGCGCTGTACCTTGTAGGTTCGGAAGGCTCATCGGCGCTTACTGAGTGGTGAGGTTTATTGACTATGCACCGGTAGCACCAGTAAGCTTCATTTATTCTTAGTGATATTGTGGTAGCGTCCCGCAATCTCTTAGGCCTTGCAGAAACGATCTAGTAGAGTGCCAGGGGGGTGCTTCGTCGTCTACAGTGTATAATTTGTCCGTCCTCGAGGAATCGGGGCTGCTTGTTTACAGAGATACGTCGCTCCATGAAAAGGTGGAGATCGAGACCAACCGTCTGCAGCGGATCCTTTCACTGTCAAACTATCCCTCAGCGACAGCTGTTGCCTACGACGTTTCAACGAAGATGCGCCGTGAAAACCGTGCCACACACCCGCAGCAGCCAATGAAGTCGCACGGCCACCCACCAAAAAGTGATGCTTTTGAGGGTACTTAGTCTGATAGACTCCTTACCCCTCTATATTGCAATTTCTTCTAAAACCACTGATTATGGAGGCACACCATCCCCGTCTTGCGGGTAGGCTCCAAGAAGTGCTGGATGCGCTCGGTGATGAAGAGCCGTCTACGGTACGCGAGGCTCAGGCGATCACGGAAAAGATTAGAATCTCGAAAGGCCATCTCGATGACGAAGTGCGCTTGGATCTGGAGAACCTCATGCCTCGAAATCGTGATCTTATGTTAGCATTTGTTGAGCGAAATCGAGATATGGAGGCAGCATATACCAGCAGGTACGATCGTCAGGACCATTTGCTAACAACACACTAACTTATCTAGTATTTCAGAGCAGCTTTACTCCTCCAAGTACCGCTTTCTGTACGAGCTTATACAAAACGCCGATGATTCTTCTTATCGCAAGGACGCCAATCATCGTGCAGCACCCTACGTGCGATTCAGTATCACACCCGAGACGATACTCATTGACAGTAACGAAGATGGATTCACTCGGGCAAACGTCGAGGCTATCTGTGCAACGGGCAAGAGTTCTAAGAAGGCTTCAACATCCGATACCCATATCGGCGAGAAAGGATTCGGCTTCAAATCAGTGTTCTCCATTGCGCACGAGGTTCATATTCAGTCGGGCGTCTGGTCCTTTCGCTTTCAACATCATCCACAAGATAACGGCCTAGGCATGGTAATTCCACTGGACGCTGAACTGAAACCTTTGCCTGATGATGTGAGCACACGCATCACTCTGAAGATATCAGACACAACAACGACGGCTTATAAAAAGCTGCTTGACGCGGTTACAGATATCCCCGAAACAACCATTTTTTTCCTGCAGCGACTACAGAAAATCCAAGCCCGCATGACCAGGATGGATGGCTCCACTGAAATGATAAGCATCACCAAAGCCAAGAAATCATCGTCTAGCTTGACCTCGATAACCCGTTCGCAAGAATTAGGCGGCATAACGTCACAAGATGTGAGTGCCTATCTTAGGTTGAGGTACAAAAAGCACCGTATGCCTCAGGATCGTCGCCGAAAAGACAAGAGTAGTGTTACCATTGACCTGGCCTTTCCGGTTGATCCGTCCACAATGAAACCGAAAGTTTCCGAACGGGGTCAATATGTATTCGCTTACTTGCCATTGCAAAGGCTTCCTCAGATCCAGGTGTGTAGTCCGTGGGAATTGTCTGATCTCAAATGCTAATCCAGTCACACAGTTTCTAATTCAATCCGATTTTATAACCGCTGCTAATCGTGAAAGTGTCATAGACTGTCCATGGAATGACACTATCTGTACTGGTGTTGCTGAAATGTTCTGCTGGGCAGTGAGCCAATCTTTCACGAAAGCGGATCATTCTCTAAGATACTCTTGGCTTGAATATCTACCCACCAGGCCCATGGAACATCCCTGGAAGTCATTACTCTCGAGTATTAAGGATGGGCTGAAGACCAAGTCTATCCTTCAGTCGTGGGAGAAGAGACAGCTCAAACCACCTAGCGAGTTACGACAGCTCCCTACTATTATGCTGCACGAGGGTCGGCCGATTTTGAAGGACTTGGCCAATGAGTGTTATCTGGCACCCGAATATAGTGCAAGCCACTCAAGCATTCTGAGCGAACTGGGAGCGAGAATAATGAGTTGGACCGAAATGGTCGATCGGCTTCAAATGGACCTTGTAAGCCTTTCGTCAGCGGTGAGGACCAGCGTAGATGAATCCTGGCAGGAAGCGTTTGCAAGGCTCATTTTAGTAGGACTCAGGCGTTCAGATGCGACTTGCCAGCAAAGGATCAAAAGACTAGCAATCATTCCTCTTGCTGGTGGTAGCCAGTGGACAGGTGCTCCTGGAACAACCGGCGGTTTGACCGATATTTACTTCCCAACAACTGGCTCGATTCGCATCCCAGATTCTATCTCTTTGAGTATGGTCGCGCTTCATGCCGCTTCGAATGGTAAACGCAAAGAGCTATACACTGCTATGGGTGTCAAGGAATGCCCCGTCGAAACAGTGCTTTCCAAAATAAAACAAGCACAGTTGTCAAACTCCGCACCATTTGATCCAACAAACCAACAACTCAGATATCTGTTTCACTTTCATCCCCAACTGGGTGAAGTCCAATCCTGGCGGGTCTGGGTTGCATTAGCAGGTGGAACCAAAAAGAAAGCCTTTTCTCAGTCTCTATACCACCCCTCATACAATGAGTACGATATGTATCAGCTGTTGCCGGAGCAGATAAGGTACAACCTTGGTACGGTGGCAGGGTTTCTGTCAAGTTCCATAGTCGATCTGGAGCCTAGCACCGTCCGTGTACGAGACCGGACGTGGAAAGACTGGCTTACAAGTATAACCAATGCCCGCCATTACCCTCCATTAAGAGATGGAGGCTTTGGCTCTAGATCATTGTTGTCTCAAGGCTTGCAGGCCGTACTGCAGCATAACCCTGAGAAGTTCCTCTGCACTCTTAAAGCCCACTGGAATGAGTACCAGCAGACTGTAAGCTACGTTAATTCTGATATACGGAACCGCAAGGTTCCCTGTCAGTCCGGATCGTTGGTAGAGCTCCACAGAACCTATCTTCCTACGCCCGACATCCTCTCCAGAATCACCGCGCTGGGCCTTCATGAGGCACACTTCCACATACTTGTCTTGCCGGATGGCGCCCTGACTGAGACGACGTACAGACAATGGCAGTTTCTGGAGCAATTTGGGGTAGCCTCAAAGCCGGATCTGAGCTTTTACAAGCAAGCACTGGAGGCGATCAAGTCTCGGACTGCTGTTGTAGACCTGGTCAAGGTACAGAATATATACGAGGACATAGCGCGAATGGCGACGGTCGAACAGCATGCTGATCTCCAGTACGTACTTTCAACTGTAAAGAGCTTCCGTGTGACTGACACTGGGTACCAGATCTTTCTTTACCTTTACTTCAAATATTTGGGATCCTCATCAAAACAGCTGGGTGGATCAGGACGAATGCATATGGCAAGGTCCCGATTTCATGAGCTATAAGACCGTATTGGCGCAGTCATATGGGAGGAATGCTTTGCTTACGACCTTTTTTACCTTTGTCCTTCAAATCCCAGACTGGACAATTGACAATGTCCTAGAGGAAATTGAACTACGAAGAGACAACGATGACACCACAGACTTGCCGCTTTTAGAGGACATTTATTCGTTCCTAAATACCAATGTTAAAACTAACGAGGACTGGCAAAAGGTCAAGTGAGTCAATATTTAGTTGAAATGGCTAAAAGTTCGACCACTAACAGGACACTAGAGACTCATTTTCAGAGGAGACAATGATTCTAGGCGAAGACGGCAGCTGGCATACACGGCATACATGCCTTTGGAGGAGTCCGTTCCCACTCACTGGTTTCCAGGACCTCTCCAACATATACCCAGAACTGGAGGATTTCTTTGTTCGCCATCTTCGCATCAAGAAAGCTAGCCCAGGTATGCTAATTGACGAAGTCAAACGTATGGCAAACGAAGCGCACCCACGGATATCTGAGATACATCGCCGCCTCGTAGAGATCGGCATGCTGTTAGCGAAGACCGGGGTTGAATCTAGTGTTGCGCGAGCGCTAGACGCACTCAAAGAAGTCGAATTCCTGCCCAAGAAGCTGGCTGACGGCACATTGATTCTCGTCGATGTCGAAGATGATTTCGCCATCTCGGATCATCCACGATACGGTAACGCACTATCTGGACATGGTGTCCTGCTCGACTTCCGAGTGGACGAAGTCCAAATCCTGCACGCCGTATTTCAACACCTAGGACTTCAGAGTCGTTACCTTTCCGTGATGGTTCAGGAGGTTTCGAGAGTCGGGGTTGACTCCAGTGAGAACGAAAGCCTCTCGACAGAACTGCAGTCTAAGGCGTATGCATTGTACTGGTGAGTTGCCATCTTTCCCGTTGCCGCACCGTCCCGTTTCACATACACGACTTCGAAGAAATATCTCTACAGAATTTAGTCTACCGATTGAAGTGCTCAGTTCTGTATCTACATGAATGAACAAAAAGCTGCACTTCATTCCGTGTCGAACTTGGACTAACAAGTTGCAGCTGCGCGGCAAAGTACATGAGCATAATGGCTCTGCGGGATGATCATGCCCTGTTCGATCGACTCAAAACTGCTCTGATCTTCACTACAGATGACATCTCGACACATCTGACTCTTCCACTTGGTACCCCGTCTTTAAGCGTGCAGAGCGACAGGGCATTCATCCACCACGAGGAAGTGGACGGGCAACTCAGAATCTATGTACCAGCAGAGCAACAGCAGTGTCGGGCATGCTATCGATCACAAATGCCAGAACTGCTTACTCGTGTCCTAGGAGTTGATGCGTCTGCTAAATTCAACATTTCGAGTATTGTGGCAAGCAGTCTAAGAGATCTTGATGACATCCTTACGGAGCAGGATGTCCCATCGGTGGACTGGATTGAGAAGCCTGCAATTGACATACCGGAGTTGTCGGAGGACGAACGCCCCAGAACCCCTATACCACACTCCGTTTTCGACGACTCCGACGCTACTACTATCGTTAATGACTCTGGATATCTGACGCCTAGGGCACCGTCGCGATACCGTGATGAATCCGAACATACACCGTCTCGAGTCGATATCAGAGATGCGATACAACCCCCTTCCCCTGCGCAGTACCCAAGACTCATCGAGCAAGTTGTACAAATTGCACAGCGAGCAGGCCATCGACGAGAAGGAGGGGGTGGTGTTGGCGTTGCCTACACACCGCCGCGAGATGGTGAATATCGTTACTTTGATCATGTGGCCACCTTTGGAAATCGCGAGGTGAACGAATTTGCGCACGATCGAAGGATTGGCGCCGTTGGAGAAGCCTTCGTGAGCTCCTCCTCACATTTTCACGTTTTCCATTCGCAAGCTGACTTCCTGTCAAGGTCTTCGAAGTTCTGTCCACTCTCAACTTACCGGATTTCACGCAAGAAAACTGGCAGAGCACCATACGCGGCGAACTCCAAAGTGCTACACGTTACGAATCTATGCAAAATTGGGTCGGCCGCGAGACCGCAGATATTGTTTACACAGATCATACTGGCGCTCTCACGCAGTATTTACGGGACAACTGCACTGGTAGTTTCCCCGAGCAGATACCCATCGGCCATGATCATACAACAATGCCAATCGAGTATTATCTCGAGGTGAAGAGCACGACGAGCGCGTGTAACACTAGGTTCTATCTGAGCAGTGGGCAGTACAAGCGAGTAAGTCGTCTCAAAGCACCTTTCCCTCTTGCTGTCTATGCGAAACTATATAGCATCCACTGAAACAAAGCACAGATGGAAAATATGGCGTTGATTGAGGACCAACGACCGAACCGGGTATATGTCATCGTCAGGATTTATAACTTGACGACTACAAATATAGGGTTCAAGATATTTATAGATCCGCTCAGGCTGGAGGGGATATACCTGGATTTCGAAGTGCAACAGTGGATTGGAAAGACTTTGTAGAGACTATCATTTTCTAACTGGCTTAATATCAATGATCTATTTATGCGTTTGTGGAGATGTACATTGACAACAATATGCATACATGAGAGAATTCAAGATGGTCGCTGAATCTCCTTAGGCCAACTTTTATCCCTTTCCATCCAATTGCATGCTCATGATACTCCCCTCCGAAAACCTTTATGGTTCTGTAAGTGCTCAGGGATTGCTGGCGTTGCATATTGTAATAGTGGCTTATAATGATATAAGCATAAGTGCATGATTTAGGGATACTGACTACTACTATCTAGTTGACCCTTATCAAGCTTCTCTCTAACCTGATTGACCATTGCGTTTTTAACGGCTAACAGGTTGTGTTGGGTGATACGCCTTATAAACCTGCAACGCCCCTTCAATGCTCTGAACTATACCAAAGATAATCGTTAAAAGCAGAACAAGGACAGAAATCCAAAAGGTGTACCATTGAACACCGTTTCGTCGGTCGAACCACCACTGAGACATTGTTGCAGGTCGAGATTGATCGAAAGCTTGCTTGAGCATGACCAGTCGGTCGTGCCAGAAATGGAACTTTTCGATTTGGCGATCCTCGAGCCGTATCGGGTCGCAACGATGTAGCATATCGTCGAAGCGACCAGACTGCTTTTTGAGCCAATGTCGAGTTTGCCGATCATGTTGCGGGAACAGCAGGGATAATGTTCGCAAGGTTTCCTCCTTGAGACCTTGTGGTAGTACAGTGCTGTCCAATGTGTGAGTGGCGGGCTTCTGATGACTTGTATTCTGGCAGGCTGACGTACCCTGTTTGCCGGTTGAGGAACGAAGCATGGTGAAAGATTGCAACGACCTTATCTTCTTTATCTATCAAGCGCAGATGATCTACAAGATTGTCCGTAGGTTTGATCTGAATGCCAGCGATAGACTCCAGGTTTGTCGCTGTAAATGTTGGATCTAGCTTAATACCATCATTGCCAAGTCTTACAGCTTCGCTGAAGTGATTACTCAGGAGGTCTTTCAGACTTCCGGACTCCCAGCTCAGCTGTAGTTGACCGGAAATGAAGAGTTTGGCGTAAGAAATGTTAATCATCAGGTGCAACCGGGCAGCCAGATCTATTGCTCCGTCTAGTATATTGTCTACGTTAGGTCGCTCCGGCTTCAAGAGTTTTGACCTCAAGCCTTCTTTTATTGTGTCCCGAGAATTCTGGTCCTCGAATCGACATGCGATGTCAATGATATCCTGGTGAGTTCTAGCTAGGACATGTTGTCCATGGTCGACTAAGGCATCGTGACACTGTCTGGTGTAATATCTGAAATAAGGCTCAAGGTCAAGGTCGTCCTTCCGTAGTCCGGAGGATATAGTTGTTGGCCACATATGCTCAATTATCGCGCGTCTAGTTGCCCAGTCGACTGAGGTCTTGTTGAGTGCGCTATTTAGCATATTCATAATGACGTCAAATACTAGACGGTTCATCTAATCCGCAGGTGCGAAGACATTCGACCCTCATATATGTTCCTCATGTGCGTACTCGAAAACACTGCCTTGTGGCTTAGCCACCTCCCTGCACATCTTCGTTTGCCTCTGGCCAATGAAATTTTTTGAGCACGCTTGGGCTGAAACTCCAAGGCAGCAGCCATGAGACAGGCAACATTTCCCAGGCGTTTTTTGCCCGAGAACACGCCTTCGCTGTGCTGCAAGCCCGGGATCATACTGCGTAGAAACCCATAACGGTAGGATCATGCTTCAATCCTCGAGAAGCGCTCCAGGTGTGCGTGGCTGACCTGCATAAACGAAGGCTGCGCCTCAAAACTTTGCCTACCCCAACCTGACCCAACTCACAAATTTCTCTCCTACACATCCACCCTTCGCTCTTGTTCTTCGTTCGCTATTATGCACGCGAATTTGCCCTAGTGCATAGACATCATTTTACTCCTTTTATTGCTTCTTCATAACCTCGGTTTTTCGGTTTCAATGACTATATCATTGCAATGTCCAGCCATCTTACGGATACTCTAGTGCCCCAGAAAATTCCACGTCCAGATGTGAAACAAGCCAAAGGCCGTTCAGGAAAGTACGTCGGTCCGATCAACTTCTTCTATCATTGCTGGATAGCGACCGGATGTGCCAGAGACGTGTTCTACTCTGAGCTCAAACAAAACATCTTGCATCATCTGGATGGGTGGTCTGCATCATTATCCAGTGAGGATTTCGTCATCTTGTCACTATATATGATTGGAAGATCGGAGAGGACGGCATCTCCTACGATTTGTTTTATCTCCGAGAGCAATCGGTATGGAAAGGAGGCTCGAAACGTGATCAAGAAAAGTGGCATACTCAAGAATTATTCAGAATTCAAGACCGCCCACATGTCGAAAGATCCAGGATGGGGCGAGGAGCTGGAACAGCTTGCGCGAGGCGGGAATACAGACACGGTCAGGGGAGAAGATCTGTTTCAAAGGCAGGCGTTCTTTGATAAGTCAATGCCATTACGATTGGTCGGCATGCCCATTTATGTCCAAGATGATAAGCTATCCATTCACACCGCTACCGCGAATGCAATACAACTACAGGGTCAGATATACTACCTTGCGCCTTCGCATGTCTTCTTCGAGAGACGACCGCGCCCGCTTTTACCTCTCGCTATACCGGACGACGACTTTGAGATCGACAGCGACGGTGAGCTGGAAGTCGATGACGAGTTAGAAACTTCCATAACAAGTCTTGGAAGTTGCAGTTCTGGTAGTCGTTCCGACTCTTCCTATGTATCTCAGGCCGGCGAAGAGTCTACGTCATCGAATACCGTCACTCATGCCAGTGCATCTACGCCAAAGATGCGACCAAGCGATCTGGCTGATGCAATGGCCGCACCCTTCTCGTTCGAGCAAGACCATATCTCATCTAGACTGGTCGACGCTGAAACCCGAAGCTGTTCACCTGGAGGTACTCAACATAGATCTTTAGCACAACTGGGATCCCTCTTTAAGTGGTCGATAGACCAAGACTGGGCTCTGATCAAGATGGATGAAGACATATTTCTCCCAAGTTCTCACTTCGGCGTTTCGGACCTCACCATGGATAAGATCGCCCTTCAAGCACAAGATCAGACCGCAGTCATCACCCACACAGCTTCATGTGACCGGATAATAGGCATTGTGGAAGGTTCGCCATCTTACATCCGGGTGCCGAAAGGCGAAACATTTCAAGAAGTATACTCTATCAGACTTAGAGGTTTACTTGCAGATGGCGATTGTGGGTCAGCAGTACATGATGTAGTGACTAGAAAGCTCCTTGGTCATATAGTGGCGGGGTGCCAAAAGTCCGGGTTCGCGTACGTGATGGCTGCCCGTCATATATTGCCCGAGCTTGAAAAGGCTGTTCAGCGGACAGAACAAACAACTTCCACCGCCGTCTTTGGAATACCCGTGCAGGGACTTTCACGTATCCCATCTGTTCGGAATACAGACGAAATTGCTGATCTGAAGTTCCAGTCAGACATTCTTAAACAGCAGAGTGTCACCAATAGTCCCCCCGTCGAAAAGGACAACAAGCCAACATCTACGAAGGATTACAGTGCCACGACCACGAGCGTGGTTACGTCTCCTAGCTTCAGTGCTACTGATGCTATCCAGCTGGCCCAAATCTCCACGCGCATCTGGCTTCTGGCTAAAGGAATATTAGATGATGTCGTTAAAACAACCATGGTGAACTGCGAATATGTCCCAGAAGCTAGGAAGGGTCCAGAAAAGGCCTTGGAAGGACTTGTACGCGAGCTTGCAACTTTGAAAGCTTGCTTCGTGAAACTGGCTGAGCTCATGACTGAGTATGGGAAGCCACTACCCTTCCCTGTGCCTGATTGGCGAGACACTTTGCAGGCCTGCGAGCAGAGTATCACAGGATCTATGTCTGAGCGGCGCAAGAGCTTGAAGGTTTTCGCTTTCAATAGCATACTGAAAGTGAAAGATATCAATCAGTTGCTTAAAAAGATCACAGGTCACTACCGGGGACTCCAGATTTGTACTTCTTTCCTGAAACTGTAAGTAACTCTTAGTTATATTCTGTTTCTTGGTACTGACAACAATGTAGTCGAATTTATCTAGAAAAAGCCAAACAAACGCAGCGGTTACTTGACGCAGCTCCCCTCCAGTCAATGCAATCAGGTGGTCGGACCTACTCACCGAATCCTTTGAGCGTATCCTCAAGCGTAGAGAATGTTGACAGCCTCCATTCTTCCGCGAGTCTTTTGGGTGTTCCTTCCAGTGGGATGACCTTTCGCCTACCTATGCAGTCTGCCGCGCATGAGTTCTATAAAGACTCTGAGGTCTTGAATCAATGGTTAAAGAGCGAAAGACTAGCCACCCATATGGTTGGCAGCTCGATGGACCCGCGCAAGCCAATGACGTCACCTGAAGGAAGTGATAAGATTGCAGCCATGATGTTTCATCTCAGAGGAGAGGTAGATGATGCCATCATGATTGAAGAAAATTGCGCGAAACGAACGATTGAATCACGGAGAACAATTCTTTCTCCTTTCGAGACGATGCAGCAGGAGGCACAGAAGATGCTATCGGATCCGCGAATGAACTATACACGCGAGGTGTCACACGTTGACCCGGCACAGCCAATAGAAACTTCCGTGGACTGGCGTGCCTTTGAATCGAAGCCCTCACCAAACTCTACTGCGCAGCAGGCACTGTCCGAGTTAACTGATCTTTCGAGTATGTCAAAGTCTCATGCCAAACCTTCATCGATAACCCATTTGAGTACCATTACCCCCGAAGCGGAACCTGAAGACCTTGTATACCCCGTGAGCTAGGTTTCCGCAGAAAATCACTGACGGAGGTCAATATCGGCCATGAACCATTGGAATGGAAATCATTGTGTCGACGAGTGCTTGTTGAGCGTGCAACGCTTCACGGTGTCGAAAGGAAAGCATGCGACCTACATTGGCGTTATAGAGAAGACAAAGGGTTGAGCATCCGATCAATCTTCAGTTCAGACGGGAACGCTCGTACGTTTATCACGCAGCATTTCCCAGCTACTGGGTCCAGCATTCCCTTGACAACAACACACGCTGATGGAAACGTTTTGATCGAGTTCCCTAGAAGCTCCTGTAGCAAGCTAGAGAATGACTTCACAGACATCAGATGTATCGTTCCCGACACAGATTCAAGCAAGAAGTTGCAAACACTACTTTACACGAATAACGGCAAAGAGGATGCACAGTTGATATTCTACCGACCCCCGTAAGAATATCTTCTGACCTGTGTCGGGGAAGCAATTTAAGGTTGTGGCGAAGCAACGAAGTCTACCAAGAAAAACACGTTGACATCGTCCACATCCTTTTCTACACGAGTGCCTTGGATGAGGAAAAGGCACATTGGGTAGAAGAGCCTCATTATGCTTTTCAGACCCTGAGCTATACTAGGGGTTCTGATCGCTTGATACTTCCATTTCGCAAGGATACTATTCCCGCCAAATCGAGAGTCAACAAGTGAATCCGGGAGCCTCGCCGAACCTTTCAACAGACTGAAAACCGTGACTTGAAAGCAACACCTTCTATCAAAGACAGACATCTTGAGGCTTTCGACACGATGTCTGTCGCTTCGTCGCCGTTAACGTCGAATATCGCTTCATCGAAATCTATTTCTAGTGGCTCAGAATCTTTCAATTGCTTCAAGTATTCCAAACTAGAGATCAGATTCAAAAGCGGATCCGACTGCATGGAATCTGGCGCGTCTGGGAGCACTTTCGCAATTACGAACGCTAAAAGTCAGTATTGTTTCGGATATGAAAAGCGAGAATCCGTGCACTGCAATTCACTCCATATCTAGAAGTGAACGGAACTAGATTACCGCTTATCGCATCCGAAACTGTTCGTCGAGCGTCGATTTCCACAAATGCTTCAGGGATATTTTGCGCGCTTCTCATACATGTAAATTGTATCTCTCCTACCGACCACTAGTGCTTAGATGCATGCAGTTACGCTTGCTAAATTTGTCTACGGTGTTTGAAATAAAATTTAGTTATCTGAAATCACGTATTGTGCCTCCTTTAACGTCTGTCCATAGGTTGTAAGAGAAAGCACTGTCCTCTCTAGGCAAGCTTCTACTATAATATAGCCATATCGAGTGTCCTCGAATTATAGACTGTGGCTTACTCGTGCTTCTGAATCTGAATATTGGTCCGCGTATAATTGCAACCACACTGCGTGCTTGCCCATTATAACAATTGTCGGGTCCATAGACCACTAATAGATTTGGGACCCTAGATGGATCTTCTTGACTGTTTTCCTTTCCGAGCTCCGCACGCTGCACCTGAACATATTTCTACCATAACTATCCAGCCTCACAAAATCTTCGCTGCCTTCCCCTTCGCCTACCTTCAATGTTCACGAACTAGATCCTCTCACCAAATCGGCTGCTCTTGACTCACCGTGGATGCACTGACCTAGTACAAACACACGGTCTCTCAACTCTAATATATAAGTACCCCCCTTTGACCCCGCTACACACTACTCTTCTCCTTCAATTTCTCTCCACAACTCAAACTGTCAATAATAAACACAAGCCACTGGTATCCATTGCCATCTCCAACATGAGGCTCCAAGTCCTCCTCTTCACAGCTGCCGGCTTGCTTGCAGTCGCCAGCTCCGCCGCTAATCTCCCAGCTGGTGCCTCACCTTCCCATGTTCGCGATAACAAGATCGAAGCCGGCGCTCCTGAGGTTCACGTCGCTGATCTCGGTGATGATGCTCGCGTGAAGGACATCGTCCAGATCGCTAGGGCTGCTGATCCGGTTCCTCAACTCGACTGCGCGACGAACTGCGAAGGCCCCAGGATGTATTGCATGGCGGCGTGTAGCGACGAGCCTGCCCAATGCTTGCACAAGTGCTCGTGTGAGCTGTTTAGCAACCCTCGCCAGTTCTGCAGGAGGAGGCGTACGTACCGAGTGAGTCTTTGGACAATGCTGTTATTGTACTATTCACGTTATTATATAATAGAAGAACTAACTAATTGCTTTAATTTTTATTATTATTATTTTTATAGTTTATTACTGCAGGCTAATTTTAAATATGTCTTCTACTTTTTAAAGAATTTTCAGGTAATAATAGAATTAAATAAAGTAAAGCTTAAGCTTTTTTTTATAAAAATAATTATAATTAATAGTTTCTATACTAGCTTTAATATGTTTAATTTTGTTAAAAATAGCTTACTAATTTAAAAATATTATTAAAACTATTTATATTGTATTTATTATAAACTTACTTAAAAGTTATTTATAAAAAATACTTATATTAAATTTTTTAAAAATAGTAATTCTCTAGACAGGGACCCTATTAAACTATTACATATTAATTTTATTATTAATAACTAACTAAGCTTTAGCTTTTTAGCTGCTTTAGGCTGCTATAGCAAATGCATAAACTACTATAATTATAAATACTATAAATACTAGCACTGCAAATACTATAATACTATAATACTACAATTACTGCAATTACTATAACTTTATAAAGTAAGATATTAATACTTAAGCTAATATAAAATAAATTATATTTAGCAGCAAAAACTATAGTGCTAAAATTTTTTATACTGCTAAATTCTGCAATACTAAACGCTTTATATTCTAAACTCCCTATAATAAGCAATTAATAACTTATAATTTACTACTATTATTTTTATAATTACTTTATAATAAGCTTAGCTACTTTAATAATAATAGTATTAATATACTATATAATACTAGGCCTGTAGCACTAAGTACTACTTAATTTTTCTATACTACTATACTACTAGCTGTTAGGAAAATTCAACTTAGGTATAGTAGGCTAAGTAGGCCCTAGTAGCTAGCAATCTATACAACTAAAATATTTGCTATATTTACTTTATATTTACTTTTTAGTTTTAGCCTGCTATTACGTACCCTAGCTAGCATTACTTAATTATTTTATATAGTTTGCTTATACTACTTATATTGCTTATATTACTAGTATTACTTATATTACTAGTATTGCCTGCTTTAATAATATTACCTGCTTTAATAAAATTATAAAAATAGGTAAGCTTGCTTATAGCGCCTAACTATACTATATATTAAGTAAAAATTATATATGCAAGTCCTGCTTAATAGCTTTTATAGTAGTATATATTTTATTAAGTTTAAATCTTTATTATAAACTTTTAAGTAAAATCTAAAGTTTTGCTTTATTTTATTATTTTTTATAATTTTATACTATATACACTAGCTGCAATTATAGCATAATTAATAAAATATATTAATAATTATATTATTAAATTACTACTAAAGCAAACTATTATATATTTATATAAAGCTATTTTTAGTTGCATGCTTATTTACCTGCGCTTTATATATATTAGCCTATTTTTAATACTTAGTTAGTTTTTACTTTCATTTATAGAAATAAGCATAATAATTATTATATATAATTTAGTATAGTACTTTTTTTAAGCTAGTTTAGTAAAAGCATACTAATTTATATTTATAATAATATTTTATTTACTATTACTATTTTAAAACTAAGCTTAAATATTATTATTTACTTTATATATTTGTACAAAGCTTGCAGCGCTTATATTATAATTAAAATTAATTTTAATTATATTATTAAATAAAAGGCGTACTTAAATATATATTTATATAAATAAATTTAGTTAGTATTATTAATAGTAGTTGCGTATATAGTACTATACTTTTATATTTTTTATATAATATATTTTAATTTAATTAGAATAAAGTTGCTGCTTTTTTTTATATTATTAAGCTAACTGTATATAATACTCCCCTTTTTCTAGATTATATATAGTAATAATATTATTAATATTATTATTATATTAATTATTTTTAATAGCTATAGCAAGTTTATTATTATTATTATTATTTATATATATAGCAATTTCTTTGCATAGTGCTTTCTATATAATAAGCTACTTTAAAAAACTTAGCTAGTTCTATTTCTAGTAAATAGTATTATAATTTACTATATTTTATTAATTATATACTATATACTATTCTGTGTATACTTACTTTCTATTATATAATTATAAAATAGTATAGTTTTTTTAGTACTAGCTTTAGCATACTTATTAATAGCGTAGTATATTATTATACTTACTAGTGCTATAGTATTTGCGCTTAGTATTTAAAAGTAGTTTTTTAACTAACTTATAATAGTAAGTTTTTATTTTTTATTTATATAAAAAGCTTTAGCAAGCGTAATAATAATACTAGAGTATATAAACTATAGTAAATTAAGCTATAAATTTATTATTTTTACTTTATATATTTAAAAAATATACTTATATTTTTTAAATTCTTTAGCAGGTAAGTAAAATTATTTAAAAGCTAACTAATTATTATGCTGCGTTATTCTAAGTATAGTATTATATATATACTTTTAACTTTATTTTTAATTTATTGCATTACGTGCGTCCTTAAGTTATTAATTATATTTAATATTTATAATAAAGTATAATTAACTACTATTTTACTATAATAAACTATAGTACTTACTTATTAAGTAGTACTAAAGTATAGCTATAAAAAAACTATTTTTTAAACTTATAGCAATATTATTTTTTTTGCTATTATTTATATATTAAGTATAACTTGTATAAACTAATTGCAGTAAAAGTTTATTTATAAAGTAATATATGCTTTATTTGCACTTATACTATTATTTATTATAATTTAAATTACTAAAATAATTTTAGCTTTAGTAAAAGTACTTTTATATTTTACTAATATTTTAATTTTAGCTTAGCGCTTTATATCTTTCTATAGTATATTTTAAAAAAAATTAAATAAGTGCGGTTATATCTGCGGCAAAAGCTAGGCTACTATTTTTACTATATAATAAAATTAATTATACTTTTTTTTATAATTATATTATAAGTACTTAATATATATTAATATTGCTATAAAAAAGCTAGTATAAATATATCTTTTTACGCAGCAATATTAAATATTTTATATTTATTAACTAGCTTTACTCTATTGCAGTTATAGCTAGTTGCAGGTATAAATATATAGTTATTTAAAGTTAATAACTATAAACTAGTTAATATTTAGCTACTTAAAGCAGCCTTTTAAGTGCGCTATAAAGCTAATAGTATTATAATAATATTTAATAATTTTTTAATATTCTTATTTAAACTATTACTATATGCTTAAAATAGCGCTAGAATATATTTTATTTTTTATAATTACTTAGTATTCTAGCTACTAGATACTATAACTAGAACTAACTTTACTATTCTTAAATTTACTAATAGCTTATTTTTTTTCTATTATAATATTTTTATTGCGTAATAATAAATAAGTTCTAGTTTCTATTTTTATAGTAGTTAAGTATAATAGTATAGGAAGCATAAACTATAAAACTATAATAATAAAATAAACTTTTTAGCATTAGCAGAACTTTAAAAAAAAAAAAAAGTAATAATTTTTAAAAAAATAGCTAGTAAAAGTAAAAGCTAAAGTATATGCATTTTTTATTAAATATAATAAGTAAAGCTAATAAATACTGCAGATTTATTAGTAGAAAAACAGTAGTTTATAGTCTACTATTAATATTAATAGTTATTTACTATTAGCATTAATATTATAATAATATAAGTTATTTCTATAAACTTAATTACTCTAAGGCACTAGCACTTATTTGTAATAATTTATTAAGTTTATAAAATATATATAAAAATAAATAAATTATATATAGTATTATATAAAGTATAATATAAAAACATTATAAACTAAGTTAGTATATATAGTAAAAAGGGTAACTACAAAATAAATAGGTAGTTAAATATATAGTATTTAAATTTATACTAAAAATTTAATTATAAAGCTTAATCTATTTTTTTTTAAATTAACTATATCTTCTAGTGCACTATACTACTAAAACTTAGTTAATATTTGTATCTGTCCTTAATTATCTTTATTTTTTATATAGTAATATATACTATTATTATTTTTTTAAAAGCTAACTTTTTTTTTTAATATTTTTAAAAACAAGACAAAGCTTAGTTTATTAATATCTAGTATATTTTTTTTAAAGCTAGGTTGCAGTAGCTGTTTTATTTATATAAATATTTAATTAGAATTGTTTATTATATAAAGTATTATAATAGATAATTTATATATATTATTAGCGCTGCTTAATAATTTTCTATACTTTAGCACTATAGGTCTACTGTAGTTTATATATAATATAGTAGAGTATTTAATATTAAGTAGTATATATAAATTCTATATTTTTTAAATATAAATATATTGCGTAGTATTATAATTATAGCAAATAATAATTTAAGTAATTATATAAAGCTGCTTATAAACAGGCATTTAATTAAAAATTAAGTTATAATCTAATATTATAATACTTGTTATTTATTATATTTATTTTTTTGCAAATTTTATTTAAAATAACTAGTATAGTATCCCTTGCAACTTTATGCTTTATTTAATTTAAGTATATAATATATTATATTTTTATTTTATAATGCGCAGTTTTTTGCAGAATTAGTTTATTATTAAGTATACTATATTCCTGCATTTTTATACTATAGTACAGGCTTAAATATTATTTAGCAAGGTAAAAAGGCTAAAATATTACTATTTGCAAATAATCCCTAGTATTAAAGTATTATTTATAAATATAGCAGTGTAAATAATAGCTAGTTATACTAAAAAAGTTAAGTATACTCTTAGCCCTATTTGCGTATAATTAATATAATAGCAATATAGTAGTATAAAATATTAGTAGTTTAAAAAAACGCAAATAATAGTACTGCGCCTATATATATAATTATATAATAAATATATAGCTCTAGTACTTTAGGTATATATTTTGCATTCTATACTAGTATTTTATAATATATTTTATAATTTAGCCTAATACTATCTTTAATGCTAGCAGACTATAAAGCACTATTAGCTATAGTTTATTTTTTAATTTAAAAAAGTTTATAGGGCAGAAAGCTAGTTATTATAATAGTAAATTTAAAAAAAATACTTATTTTAAAAACTTGCGTAGCCAGTACTAGTAACTGCAGTAATTAGCTATAGCTAGTTGTAAAGTATTAGTAAAGAGTTAAAAATATATAATTATAAAAAAAGCTATAAAAGCTTAAATTACTATTTAATTACTAAAATACTAGCCTCTTTTACTTTTTAAAAGTAGATAGCTATAAAAATAAAATATTATTTGCTAAAACTATATAACCTTCTATCTATACTTGCGCTATTATAAAGAAATATTTTTTAAATTTAAAAAATAAAATAACTTTTTTTTAAAGTCTATAGTTTAAGCTATTAAATAATAAACTGCTTTAGATTTTTAATATATTAAGGTTTAATGCAGTCTAGCGTATTAAGCTTTTATTAATATATTATTTTTTTATAAAGCTACTACAAAAGTGCAAAAGTATTTTTTACTTAATTTAATTTTTTAATAACTGCAAGAATACAGAACTTTAACTATATTTATAATACTACTTAATAGCTAATAAAGTTCTTTATTAAGCTTAAATCTACTTAATTTATAAGTAAGAAAAATACTTATAAAGTACTTTTTTTTATTACTTATTTAAATAGTTGCTCTAGATAATACACTACTTGTCTTATTACTATATATAGAAATAGTATATATACTTTTTTATTAATAATAACTAATTACTAATACTATTAAAACTATAATATAATAGCGCGCGCAAAAACTTATAAAACGCTATTTTAATTTATATTTATTCTAATATTAACTACATTTTTTAGAATATATACTAGATTTTTAATAATAACAAAAACGCCTATAATACTAAGCTTAAGCTTAGGGAAAATACTAAAGTATACTTTAGTATTTTTTCTAAGCTTAAATTTTATTTATTTAACTTTAAAAGCTAGCACTCTAATACTAAAACTGCTAGTTGTAATAATAGAAATCTTCTTAAAATAGCTAAAAACTTAACTATTTTTAGACGCTTTTTTTTACTACTAAAACAAGTATAAAGTGTTGTATAACGCCTGCCTACTAACTACTTACTTATTACTAGCTATTTATATGCTACTATTTATATATATATTAATTTTATTTTTATTAAATATTGCTTTTAGTTTTTTTGCTCTAATCCTTAGACGCAAAAAAACTAAAAGCAATATTTAATAAATTATACTACTACTACTATTTCTACTACTATATAAACAAAAACTTAACTATTTTTAAATACTTTATTTTACTACTAAAATAAGTATAAAGTATTGCGTAACGCCTGCTTACTAATTACTTATTTATTACTAGCTATTTATATGCTACTATTTATGTATATATTAGTTTTATTTTTATTAAATATTACTTTTAGTTTTTTTGCTCTAATCCCTAGACGCAAAAAAACTAAAAATAATATTTAATAAACTATACTGCTACTACTATTTCTACTACTATGCAGATAAAAACTTAAATAACAAAAATTATACTAATAATATTAGTATTACTACTACTAAAATAAATATAAAGTATTATATAATAAGCTAAGTTAACAAGTACCTTTTTAGCTTACTATTTATACTACTTTTTATATATGTATTTTATAAGCATAATACTATAAATATTTTTATTTTTTTTTATTATAAAAAAAATAAATGTACAAAGCGCGCTTTAGTATCTTTTCTAAGCTTAAATTTAAAAAAAATACTAAGCTTAAGCTTAAAAGCTATACTATAAATAAGCTTAATATTTAAAAAAATATTTTTAATTATATAAAATTAAAAAAAATAGTTTAAAATAGTATAGTATAGTCTTCTATAGTTGCGTTTCTACTGCCACTATTTGTTTATAATTAAATACTTAAAACTAACTAGTATAAAGTATTAAAACTTAAGCTTATAAATTAAGTTAACTTATTCTATTAATATAAAATTATATATATCTATTTAGTCTTTTACTACTTTATATTATATCCCTAAATAATTTTTGTCTATTTAATATTAAATATAGATAAGTATAGTTTATTATACTTATCCTAGTTAATATAGTTATTAATATAGTATAAATATAAGTTTCTATCTAAAGGCGTAATAATATGCTTTAATACTAAGTATACTAAGTAAATAATAATAAATAAATTATAAAACTTAAATACTTATAGCATATAATAAGTAGCTGCGTTTTTAGCTTACTAGCGTTGTATACTTAGTATACTTAATATTTTATTAATATTTTTATTTAAATTAAACTAAAGTGCTTCTGCAAATACTTTTATATATTTTAAATTTATTCTATTATAATTGCTATAGTTTATATTAATAAAAATTATAAATAAGTAAAGCTGCGCTATAACGCAACTATTAGTTATTATTCTAGTTTATTATTAATAATTGCTAAATTTAAATTTTTAAATTTAAATAAAAATTTTTTGCTATATATTCTGCTTATTCTAATTTAAAATATACTATATTATATCTTCTTTACAATAGTCTAAGTTGTTATAAATTTTGCTATTATTTATCTAATAGTAAATAGAAAAATAAATTTTTACTTTAAAGTAATTTACTTATAATAAGTTAGATTTTTAATAATTTTTATTTTAAAAAATGCTAGACAGTTTTAAAAGCTTATACTAGCTTTAATAAATAAATATAGTAGCTGCGTTTATAAAATTTACTATAGCAAATTATATTGCAACTTCCTTTAATAGTAGTACAGTTGTGTTTAGTTAAAACCTATATATTAATTAGCTTAATTTTTAGTATAATAATAAGAAGGATAGATGTATTAAATATATCTTTTCCCTATAGTTAACTATTATTAATAGTTTACTTAAATTATCTGCTATTTTATATTCTGCTGCTAATACTACTAGCTTTCTAAAATTATATAGGCAAATCTAAATTAAAAAGTCTTTCTTATTTATTATATAGTAAAACTATTTAACTATATTTATATAGTAGGCTTTACTATTAGTACTTATACAAGTTTTATTTAAAGCGCTAAATTCCTAAATATTATTAAGTATATATATTAAAGCATACTATTTTAAGTAGTTAAAATATAGCTTACTATTATGCTTGCTTACGCAGTAAAAGCAAAACTTTTTTTTAAATATATTTAACTAAATAATTAAAAAATTAATATACTTTATTATATTAGTATTATAGCTTTTATACTATATAAAAGTAATAAAGTTATATATAGCGCAAATAAAATATAGCGCATATAAAGCTTTATATATTAAAAGTAATACTACTATAAGTATAAGCTATTACACTAAGTCTTTTTATTTATTTCTAGTTTACTATACTATATTAGTAAATAGTTACTAACTATTAAATTATTTAAGCCTATTACTATATTTAATTTAATAAAATTACTTATTTAACTGCTTTATACTTATATTAAAGTTAATAGTAACTTTTGCACTATTTCTAGTTTTTTAATAATTAAAATAAATATTATTAAGTAACTTGCGCAACTATTTAATTATACTTATAACTAAATTTTTAAATAATAAGTATAAAGTATTAGTAAGTAAAAATTAATATATATTAAAATAAAAATATTTCTATTTAAAGTAATTAATATAATGCACTTAATTATTATAGTTTTTATTTATATTTTTAGCTTATTATATACAGGTATACTATTTAGTTTACTATAAGTAAAATTCTAACAAGTTTTCCTAATTATTAAGTAGAATAGTACATTTTATACAGTAGCAACTTTTTTTTACGCTAGTTAATAGAACCTGCTTTTTATAGTCTATAAGTATAGCACAAAGTACTAAATAATAGTACTATATTTTATTATTAGTATATTAAAGTTGTATTTTTATAATAGCAAAACGCTTAAGCGCTATAGTTAACTATTAGCTATAATTAGTAATAGTTTAATACAGTATAGTACTTATAAGCTAGTATTTTACTTATATAATAATAATATACTTAATTTTTTATATTTATACTATTATTATCTATTAAAAGTATAAACTTAGCTAGTACTATACTAAAAGTACTCTAGCGCCTCTGCGCCTTACAACTAAAATTCCTAATTATAAAATATATAAGCTATACTAATATATTGCCTTAATATATAAATAGTTAGGTTTTATCTACTGCTAAAATAACTAGTATAATAGTAGTACTAAGTAGCAATTTTACTTGTATATTCTACTACTAGTCTACTAAATACAGCTTATAGTATACTTAATTTTTATTATTTACTTTACTATTAAAAGTTTAACAAAATACATATACTATATTATATTAAAATAAAAAGTAGCTAATTAAAAATAATATTAAAGGTATAATATTTTAGTAGATTAGGATATATATATTTAGTTATAGAATTAATAAAATAAAAATTTTAGTAAAATTTTTATATATTTATATATTTTCTTTAAAACTAGAACTTATACTAAATATAGTATTTTGCTATTAATATTTAGACTAAAAGCGCAACTTTTTATACAAGTTACTTATATATAAATTATTAAATAAATGCTATATATTTTTTTTAGTATATTAAATGCGTTAAAGCTATAATACAAATACATAATTAAATTTACTGCTAAAATTACTATATACTATTATTTTATACTAGTTAGCTATATATAGTATATTGCGGCATGCGCATACTTAGGCTATATTTATAGTATATTTAATAAAAGCTTTTTAGCCGCTTGCTTACAAAAATATTTAAATATTTAATTTTATAACTATATAAATATAAATAGAAAACTTATATATTTAATTAGTATTAGGCTATTATTAAATTCTAGTTTACTAGTACTGCATTTATTATATAGTATAAAATAGTCTAGCATAATACTTACACACTTATTAAGTATTAAAATACTATTATTAAAAAAGTATATATTATTAAAATATAGTGCGTCTAAGTCTGCGTTATTAATTATATTAGTTAATAAATATTATATTTTATTTTTGCAAATATAATATAATATATATTTAGTAAAACTAGTATAGGTTTTTGTATAGGTACTATATATTATATAGTAATAGTTTATATTCTATAAAAAAAATAATACTAAATTTATATATTAATAGCTAAACGCGCAGCTCCCCTAGCTATATATTAATATAATTACTATTTAATAGTTTATACTATATTTAGTAATATTCTAATTTTACTATTACTTGCACGCTCTAGGGACACTTTAAAGCTTATTTAGTACTTAGTTTTAAAATACTATTTTATTAGCTTTAAAAAAAACTAAAAAATTTAAATTAAGCTTAATAACTTTTTTAGTTTTAGTATTACTACTAATAGTATTATTATAGGCAATCTGGCCGCACTAGAAATATACTTTAAAACTTATAAAAATGCTTAAAAATTTAAGCACTAGCTAATTAAGTATAAAAATAAGCTTTGCTAGTTATTTAATAATATATTTATAATAAATAGCAACGCTTTTATAATTAAAAAAGTAATTAGTAAAAATACTATAGATTAAGCTTATTAAAGTCTTTGTCTATGTAGTAATAACAGTTTATATAATTATAAACTATAATAAGAATATATATAAGCTTTACCTGCGTTTAAATTAAGAACTTATATAGCTAATTAAAATTTTTTTAGTATTATTTAAAAACTCTAATGTCCGCTTAACTATATTATAGAAGCTTAAATAATAGTAATTAAATAGCTTTTTCTTATTTTTAAATATTTAGGCAGCTTAACTAATTTTTTATAAATAATATTATACGCCTCTATATAGGCAGAGTAATATATTGCTATTTAAATAGCTTATATCTGCTAAATAATATCTACCTATTAGCGCTTTAAAGCCTTAATTTACTGCGTTTATAAATATTCTACTATTATAAATAAAGCCCTTTTAGCTTAGTAATATATATATAAAATTTATATTAAAGTTAATAACTGCAAAAATATTTTAGCTAAAATAGCTATACTAGTTCTAAAAGCAGCATTATTAATTAGCTAGTATATAAAGCTTAAAATAAAAGCTATTAAAGGCTTTAATATAGTCCTTAAAAGCCGGCTAGCACTTTAAATTATTATAAATTTAATTAAAAACTTCTAATAAAGCTAGTTAAACAATTACTAAATAAAGCTTTATTAAACTTCTAAAAATTTTATAAAAATAGCTAGCAATTATAAGTAATTACTTATATAATTGTAAAAAATACTTACTGCTTACTATAATATAGTCTTAAAGAAGTGCTTAGTATAATATATAGTATTTTAATATAATATACTTTGCGCGCAAATATATAAAAATATAAGTAGTTTTTTTTTAATTATAGCGTAAGTGTCTTTTATAAGCTTACATAATTTTAGAAAATTTAATAGTAATTTAAATACTTTAGGCTTTAATTAAGTTTTATTATATAACTATTTTAAATTGCAGAAGTATGCTTTTAACTAATATTTTTTTTTCTTATTATTACTAAATTAATTAAACTAACTATAAAAAATAAAAGATAGTATACTTTTAGCTTTTCTAGTAGACTTACTATGCGCTAGCAGCTTTTTTAGCTTTTTTTATAACTAATTATAAAAAATAAAAAATAGTATATATCTAGCTTTACTAGCAGACCTGCCTTGCATTATTATTTTTATTTTATTTTTATAATTTTAGCTATTATAACTAAAAATATATACATATATACTTATATATATAGACTAGACTATATTTACAACTTTTTATACTTTTAAAAAATAAACTAATACTAAATAATGCATATATAGTACTTATTTTATTTAAATACTAAATATATATAGGCAACTTTATATTATATGCTTAAGTAAATAGCTAATATACTTAGTAGTATATATATATTATAAATAAACAAAAATAGTTTTACACTATTCTTAATTAAAGCTAATAGTATTTATTTAAATACAAATAAACAACTATATTTTTTTTTATACTATTAAGTCTAGCTGTATGCGTTGCGTCTGCAATATAATATTAGTTTATAATTACTAAAATTTAAATATAATTAATTTTTCTTTTTTTACCTCTTCTTCGCGTAATATATTTAATATAAGTTTACTTCTACTTATATACTAAAATATTTTTATATAAAGTACTTTTGCTATTTAATGCTTTATATACTTAAAGTAATTAATATTTCTATTATACTTTGCTAATTACTTAATTTCTTTGCGCTATTTTTATAAGTACTTACTTAGTAATGCAAGCACACATAGTCTTTTATTTATTATATAGTAAGTATAGCGCTTTATAAAAATATAATATAATTTATATATACATGCTAGCAGCTCGCGTTTATTTTTTAATATATATTTTTAGTAATTATACTACTTTGCGCGTACTACTTATAAACGCTATTTACTATAATATATAGCTTTTAATATAATTAAAGTATATTAAAATTATAAAAATAAAAACTACTAAAGTCTATTTTAAAGCACGCAATAGTATAAAGCCTATATAAAAATATCTAGTTTAAATAATATATCTTAAGTAACTATAATATAGGCTATAGCTTTACTTTACTTAATTTATTATACTTATTAATAGCTTTATTAACTTCTTTAAGCGTTAAAATCTATACAAAAAAATTAAAAATACTAGTAATTATTTTAATAAGCTATAATTACTGCATATACTAAAATTAATAAAGTTGCTATAAATTATAATTTATTTTTAACTATATAATATAAATATTTTTGCAGAGTTCTACAAAGCTGCAGCTAGCACTATATAAAATTTAATACTTTTTAAAATAAAAAAATATAAAAATATAAAAAGTAAAGTACGCAATAAAATGCTAATACTTATACTAAATAAAATAGAACGCAAGCAGTTATTTTTAATTACTTTAAATATATTTATAGTATTAATAACTAAGCAAATAAGCCTTATTATGCTAAATATTAAAATAATACTTAATAATATAAATATTTTTATTATAGATAACATAAACTACAAAGTTGCCTAAAACTTCCTATTATTTAAGTTAATATTAGCTGCCTGCTAGGATTAGCTTAAAAAAAATAATTTTAATATTAGGCTATAGTATTTTAAGTTTAACGCACTTGTTGCTAACCTACTATAAAAAAAGTTTAAAAAATAGTATATTTTTAGTAAGCTAAAAATATTTAATATGCTAGCATTACGTTTAATTATATATAATAATAGTTTAGTAGCTACTGCTAGTTTTTATATTAAAGTAGAAAAATACCTAGGCATTGCTATTAAATGCTATAACCTAGCGCTAGCAAATTTAGAGCTAATAGGTAATATAATATACTTAAGTATAATTATATTAATAGCTAATTATAAACTATAGTTTGCTTCTAATCTTCTGCGCTTAATTTTATTTTACTTAAATTTTTACTTTATAAAAAAAAAAAACTAATTATTTCTAGTTTTAATTTTAAAAATAATACTAATTTTAGTATAACTGCTAAACTATACAAGAAAATAATAAAAAAAAAATACTGCTAAAATAATAAATAAAGTAGAAAAAAAATAAAAAAAAGGGAAAAATAATAAAAAAATAGAATAGAAGAAAAAAAAGAAGTTAAAAAAGCAAAAAAAGCTAAAAGCAATAATAAAAATAAAAGCTTAAATAATAAAAATTCTATAAATAATAATATTATTAATACTAACAACAGCAATAAAAAAAATAATAATATTATAATAGCATAGTAGTGTGTAAAAAAAAATTAATAATACTTTTAAGCCCTAATAAGCGCTAAGTAAATATACAGTAAAAAACTATTAACTATAATTTATAATACTAATATATAGCTTAAGGATTTAAGTGCCTTAACAATGCAAATAAGGCTAAAAAGAAAATACTATACTATTAAAAAATAAAAAAAAGTAGCTAAATTATTTAGCATTTGCATTAAAAAGCTTTAAAAAGCAAATTAATTACTTTATTAATAGTTTAAAACTTTTATATTATATTTATACTTTACTAACTAAATAAAGTCTATTTTTTATATAAAAAAGTATAGTTAAAAAATAAAAATTATATATTTAAAAATATAATAAGTATAAGAAAAATAAAGGCTATA